GAGTTTAGAAATCTTAACATTGAACAGGACCCTGCTTCACAAGGATTCAAGGAGTACTCTTACGATCTAATCGTCGCGTCGAACGTGCTACATGCAACAAGATCTCTCTCGCAAACTTTAAAACATGTCCATAAATTATTGAAGCCGTAGGTATATATCGTAACAACCTCTTGAGTAGAACTGCTAACTTATGATTATAGAAATGGGAAACTAATTCTCAGAGAAATCACGGAACCAGCTGGGAAAATGAGAACGCACATGATTGTGGGCTCACTTGAAGGCTGGTGGTATGGTGAGTTCAATAGTAAGTCTTATCAAGGCTTGCCAAAGATATTAATGCTCTATGTAGGCGAGGGCGACGGACGTCACGAAGGACCATATCTAACCGTAGATAAATGGAATTACCTCATGCTCGACGTAGGATTTTCCGGCGTGGAGATTAACTTCCCAGATTTTGAAGAGAAGATAGATTTAACAAATTCAGTCATGGTCACTACTGCCTCTGCACCTAAACCCTTGGATACATCACAAGAAGTCATGATCGTTTTACCAACTACTCCCGAACAGGAGACATCTAACTTTGCAGAGAATATCGCATCGCAACTGAGAGATGCCAGACGCGACGTAATTACGGTGAAATTACAAAATACGATCGGAATCAATGTGAAGAACAAATCGTGCCTTATTTTGGTCGATGTTAAGAAACATGAAGGTTTCCTCCTAAATGTATCCACGGAGGACTGGAATGCCCTTAAACACCTTCTCTTTTCTTCCCGAAGCGCTACCTACGTAACACGGGGCGGTACCGTCGACAGTGAGAACCCTCAGTCTAACCTTATGACCGGCTTATCAAGAGTGATTCGCTCCGAGAATTCTACCATTTCTCTTTCTACATTGGACCTGGACCCTAATGTTGCAATGAATACTGACGAGACAATCGCTACAGTTATTAAAGTATTTACAACGTTTATGAATTCTAAGGACCTAGAGCGCCCGGATTGGGAAGTTGCTATAAGGGATGGGGTTCCAATGATTCAGAGGATCGTCCTCGAGAAGGGTGTCAATGATTTAATCAAGACGCTACATGTCGCTGCTCGATCCGAACCAGTCCCTTTCAAGCAAGAGGGCCGCCCGTTAACGCTTCAGATCGAGTCACCAGGAAGACTTGATACTTTGCGATTTGTAGACGATCCTACTGCATCAGCGCCGCTATCTGATTACGAAGTTGAAATCGAAATTAAGAGCGCAGGTCTTAATTTCAAGGACGTCATGATTGCAATGGATCAACTTTCACAGCATGAACTCGGTCTCGATGCCAGTGGTATTGTGAGCCGGGTTGGCTACAAAGTCAAGTCATTCCGACCCGGGGACAAGGTGATGACCTGGAAGAAAGGAACGTTCAGAAATTACATCAGGACAGACGAGTCCATGGTCCAATTAATCCCCCCAAACTTCGACTTCAATGTGGCAGCGTCGATTCCGCTCGTGTATAGCACTGCATACTACGCCCTGGTCAATGTTGGAAATGTCCAGAAGGGTGAAACGATCTTAATCCACAGCGCAGCCGGCGGGTTCGGACAAGCTTCTATTGCGCTTGCCCAGCACTTCGGCGCCGAGGTCTTTGCCACGGTCTCGTCGCGCGAGAAAAAGCAGCTGTTGATAAATACGTATAATGTGCCTGAAGACCACATTTTCAACAGCCGTGACGCGAGTTTCGCACAGGCAGTTAAGCGACATACCGGTGGGCGCGGCGTGGATGTCTTATTGAACTCTCTCGCCGGCGACGCGTTAAGAGAATCATGGCATTGCGTTGCACGATTTGGCCGATTCATTGAGCTAGGCCAAAAAGATATTGTTGGAAATACTGGACTGGACATGGCGCCGTTTATCAAGAACATGTCCTTTCACTCTGTTAACATGATCGACCTTATGGACCATGACATCCTCACCACGGCAAGGGTGTTCCGCGAGGTCATGGGACTGATCCGTGCTGGTATCGTAAAGCCTGCCACGCCGATCACCACTATGCCCTTCTCGAGGGTGGGTGGAAGAAGCTTTTAGACTCATGCAGACCGGTAAGCACGTCGGTAAGCTCGTTATAGAAGCTGTGGATGGCGATATCATTCAAGCCATCCCACCAGGTACGGCTCCAGTGTGTTTCCACCCTGATGCAACATACGTGATCGTAGGCGGTACAGGTGGTCTGGGTGGCTCCATCGCCAACTGGATGGCAGAATCCGGCGCAAAGAATATCCTCCTTCTGTCTCGTTCAGGGGCCAATAAGGCATCTGTCCCAAGCTTATTAACTCGACTCACTGGTCAAGGGGTTAAAGCAGACGCATGGGCGTGCGATATAGCAGATGAAAGCCAACTATTGGGATGTTTAGATAGATGTAGGATAGAGAATTGGCCTGCTATTCGCGGTGTCATACAAGGTGCCATGGTGCTCAGGGATGGTGTAAGTCACTCATCCTATTTGCATATCGTGAGTTTCGGCTAACTAATATGCCATGAAATAGATCTCTCAGACCATGTCGTCAGAGCAATTCCTTGCTGCAACCCGAAGTAAGGTCCAAGGAAGTTGGAACTTACACAGTTACCTACCCAACGACCTCGACTTCTTTGTAATGCTTTCGTCTATCGCTGGCGTCGGCGGTTCCCGTGGCCAAGGCAACTACGCAGCCGGTAACACATACCAAGACGCTCTAGCCCACCACCGACGTAAGCTCGGCCTCAACGCGTGCGCCATAGACGTCGGTATGGTGCTAGGTGTCGGCTTCCTAGCCGAGGAGACGACAGATGACCGCGTCTTCGAAAACATGCAGAGCTGGATCGTCATCGGTATCTTAGAGAAGGAGTTCCTCAGCATCCTACAAGCCGCCATCACGGGCGAGAGCTTCAACGGCGCACGTATGCCCCCACAGGTCATAACAGGCCTCGGAACGGGCGGCATACTACTACACGGCGCAAAGGAAGAGCCGTATTATTACAAGGACGCCAAGTTTGCGCACCTCGGAGAGGTCGATATACACCAACTCGCGAAGGTAACGCATGAGGACACGGTGCAGCTGCGCGTGCAGCTCACGCAGGCAAGCAGCCTCGAGCAGGCGACAGATGTCGTCACAAACGCTCTAGTGAAGAAGCTCGCTAAGTCTATGATGATAGCGGCTGGTAAGTAATGCTAAGTAGCAGCACTGTCGTGAAAAATAAGCGAACGAAGCTAATAAATGGATTAAATAGAGGACATTGAAGTCACGAGGCCGGTGAGCAGCTACGGCGTCGATAGCTTACTTGCCGTCGAGCTACGGGCATGGATCTACTCCGAGTTGCAGTCGGATATATCCGTGTTCGACCTGCTGAGCAAGACGGCGCTCACGTCGCTTGCGACGAAGATAGCCTCGGGCTCGAAGGCGATACCGGATACGGTGAGGGCTGAGGAGTAAAAGGGTGGGTGATGGTGTAAGTCTGACTATTGGGTAACTTCTTTCCAATATTGTTGGTTGGATGGGAAATAATAGAAATTGGGAGGAATGAGTAAACTGATTGTCATATTGATGCATTTGGAAATTTTACCCCTTTTTGGTGAATTTTGGTTCAGGGGTATTTAGTACTCGACACATGGAAGTCAGGTTCTCCTTTATCTTGCTCTTAGACTTGTTACACTGAGCTAGAAACGATGCTCATTTCACCATTCGGGCTCTGTTATAAATAATAGCTAAAGGCTGTTCTAACAGAGTAGCAGATTGTCAGAATCTAATTCAGGGGTATCTCCAAATCTTCACGGTGGATGAGGGATTTGGAGTGGTGGTCCATTATGAAGTAAGTCGTTGTGATCACTAGGTAATAGTTATTATGCCCTGAGAACTGCCAAACCTACCTTATGGTAAGACACGTTTAAGGAAAATGTTCTTACTAACATTGGTGATTATTCCCGGTTGCGTCAGCATCAGCACAACTCTCATAACTTGTTCCAAAACTTATCTGCTCGAATCCTGTTAAACGAAAATCTGCCATAACGATTGCATTCATCGTCATTCTAAAATTCAATACCTGCTTTTATCACACACATCAGATAGTAGTTAAACCGATTTCACATCTATACTAGGATGCTTCAAAGAGCACAGACATTCCCTCTCAATATCGACAAGCCAGCAACTGGGAACAGGAACAAGACATGGACAATAGCTGAAATATGCCCATCCTCTAACGCGAAACAGAAACGAGTGTGCTATCCAAACCTAGAACCGTGGACACCGCGAGATGGACAACGGAATCTGTCTAGCGAGTTAGAGGACACCATCAAAGAGCTAAGAACAAGGGATAGCTTTCTAGGGTCTAGAGAAAGTCTACGAGAGAAGTGGTCTATCAAGTTCGAGGCCGCTAATAGACGGATGGAAGGATCTAACATAGCTTCCGTGCCGACTATCATGGTAGTAGCCTGGGATGAGAACGACCGTGGATACAATGCCGAGGATGAGCAGTTATGGAGCGAGGCATGCAAGGACATTGTTAACTTCCTGAGAGATAACGGTGCTGCTTATTTCGGAGTTGAGATAATACATTGGGATAGGCTAGATTATCAAGTTGTGACATGAGCTTACAAGCTATTTACACCTTTCCCAGCGTTTACAAAGATAGGAAAGGGGGATGGATACCTTATTGGACTAACGACGAGACGATCAACAATACACTTATGGATTTAATATTAATGCTTAAATCTATTTCATAATTTTCATATATACCTTATTAATAACGTTCAATTTCTAATTAGTCATGATCTACAACTTTAAGTCTACAACGCGGATCGAGAACTTGCATCTTAAAACCCGGCGCCCGATCTCGGCTCCGGAACTTTACTTACTAACCTAGATTCGAATTCGAATTCTAATTGAAAAAAAAAAAAAAAAAAAAAAAAAAGATTTATAATAATATACGTCACCGCTTCTCAGAAATAAATTTAACTTTCCTTCCCCCCTTCCAATGTAGCTCAAGCCCGTACGATGACGGCCGACCACAAGCGAAAGCCGGCAGAGACCAACAAGAATTACAAGGGTTTCGTAGCCGGCGTCTTCTCCGGCATTGCCAAGCTATCGGGTAGGTTTCTCTTCTTCATATAACCTATCAATAAATAAATAAAACCAATATTAATGCATATGATATAACCCACAGTCGGCCACCCCTTCGACACGATCAAAGTACGCCTCCAGACCACCGACCCAACACGCTTCAGCGGACCGCTCCAATGCGTAGTACAAACGATCCGCAACGAGGGCGTGCGCGGCCTATATAAAGGCGCCACGCCCCCGCTCGTCGGCTGGATGTTCATGGACTCCATCATGCTGGGGTCGCTGACCGTGTACCGTCGCCTGCTGGCCGAGCACGTCTTCTACCGACACCTGACGCCGCACCTCCCCTCCACGCCGCCGAACACCCGGCCCGAGAAAGAGGGGCCTATCGCCGCGACCTCGCACGCCGCAGCGCACCTGCCGTCCTACGGCCACGGGCTCGCGGGCGTTCTCGCGGGCGGCACGGTGAGCTTCATCGCGGCGCCTGTCGAGCACGTCAAGGCGCGTCTGCAGATCCAGTACTCGGCTAAGAAGACGGAACGGTTGTATTTGGGGCCTGTGGACTGCGTACGCAAGATCTACGGGGCTCACGGCATGCGCGGCATCTACAAGGGGTTGTTTGCGACGCTGATATTCCGGTCCTTTTTCTTCTTTTGGTGGGGGTCCTACGATATTTTCTCCCGTCTTCTAAGAGATCGGACGAGTCTTAGCGCTCCGGCTATCAATTTCTGGGCAGGTGGACTGAGCGCTCAGGTCTTCTGGCTTACGAGCTATCCTAGCGACGTCGTTAAGCAGCGGGTCATGACAGATCCGATGGGTGGGAAACTTAATGATGGGACGCCGAGATTTAAAACTTGGGTACAGGCGGCGCAGGCTGTTTATAGAGAGGGTGGTGCTAAGGGGTATTGGCGAGGATTCTTGCCGTGTTTCCTGAGAGCGTTTCCTGCCAACGCTATGGCTTTAGTAGCTTTCGAAGGCGTTATGAGAGCATTGCCATAATAGACGAGATACCATGCATCCATGGAGCTACGAAGCCTAAAGGTTTAGAAAGTGCATATAGACTAAATCACAATAAAGAGTCCAAATATTGGTTGGCAATGGCGATTTTATTCCTGAGAATTCAAGTCTATGTGTCATAGCATCGAAGTGCCTGTCCTACGCAGAGTCCATGCACAATCGCCAATTTTCCCCATTTGTCATAATTCCATGTCCATTTAATCCTCATCCTCATCAGCCTCGTCGTTAACGACGTTGAAGAACTTGAGCTCGTAGACACCCTTGGAGGTAGACACGACGCGGAGCCAGTCACGGAGCTGCATCTTCTTGAGGAACTTCTTGGTCCTGAATGCGACGAGTATTAGTAACTTTATATTTGACCATGTGTGCCGTAGCAAATCGGGAGGAACTCACAGGTACTTGAGGTATCTACCGGAGAGCTCGTTGTGGGCGATGATCTCGATCTTTCCCTCGCCAGCCTGCTGGATAACGATGGCATCGCCGAGGTTGCCAGTGCGGCCGTCAACCTTGATCTTGTCCTGGAGGAACTTCTCGAAGGCAGCGGTGTCGAAGATCTTGTCGCTAGCGGGCTGCTGGGCGTTGATGACGAACTGAGGCGCATTGTAAGAAACTTCTGTGTTTTGCGATAGGATCGGATATTATAGGAGAGCTTACCTTCTTCGTCGTCTTGGCCTGCTTGCCGGACTTCTTCTACATGATGAAAATTTGACCTTAGCCTACTGCTTCACGCCATCATCTCGCTGATTGCCAGAGAGACTGGGCCAACAGCAAAGCGGTGTCATGTGATACATACTGTTTGGGGAGCCATTGTTATTGAGCGTGGTTATGAACGCAAAGAAGTCAAATCCTGCGTCTGTCTATTGAGGTAGTTAAGGGTTGAATGTTGCCGACGAAGCGTTGCGATTGATGCTGCTGAAAAAAGAGGGAGAAAAAAAAAGTTCGTTGAATTTTGATAGGGACCTTTTGGTGTATCGAAAACGAAGTGGGGGCTCGGTAGGTCGATAGGGCAAGCTAAGATGGTCTGTGCTTTTACATAAGTACCTAATCTTTCGTATCTCACAGTATAATAAAGTACAGTGTTAATTACATCTATACGGTCCACGATATTCCTAATCCGGACCCCGCGCAATGCGTCTTGTCTTGCAGATGCAGGCCGCAACTGAGGTATCTGGGTATCTAAAACAGACCAGGGTAAGTGCCTCGGCCAAGTTTATTTACTTGGCAGCTTCAACGAATTCCATGTAACAAAGGGTGAAACTGGGGATACTTTTATAAATACAAAATTGCCAATAAACTTTTCACATTTATTTTTTTATTGTGTTAATTTGTCATCTGTAGCTCCCAGAAGAGTGAATAATTCTAGTTTCTCTAACCGTGCCTCTTGTCTATCAGCTTCTTTATTATTCCTATATCCTCGACTTCTACTACTATCATGACATCTGATATCAAAATCCCCGCCTTTGAGGCAACTCCCGTCGACAGCATTGCTAAGATTGCTGCTACAGCTCGCCAATCATATCGATCTCAAAAGACCAAAGATGTCGAGTGGCGACTTGTACAACTTCGAAAGCTATACTGGGGTATCACGGACTACTCTGAGAATTTCCAGGCCGCCTTGAAGAAGGATTTGAACAAGGCCCCTCACGATGCTATCTTGTCCGAAATCCACCATTTGATTCAGGAACTTAACCTGGTTCTCAAAAAGTTGAAGGACTGGGTAAAGGATGATAAGGATATCGAATATGCCTGGACCTTTTCAGCTATGAAACCACGTATCAGAAAGGAGCCTCTAGGCACGGTTCTAATTATTGGCCCCTATAACTTTCCTTTGATGCTTAATGTCGCTCCGCTCATTGGTGCTATTGCGGCTGGCTGCACCGCTGTCATTAAGCCTTCCGAGAACGCTCCTGCGACTGCCATGGTAATGAAGGAGATGATTGAGAAGTACCTCGACCCCGAGTCATTCTTCGTTGTCAATGGAGCAATCCCGGAGAGCACTGCCTTGCTTAATGAGAAGTGGGATAAGATTTTCTATACCGGCGGCCCGACTGTTGCGAGAATCATCTCAAAGAAGGCTGCTGAGACCCTTACGCCAGTTGCTCTCGAGCTTGGAGGTCGAAACCCTTCCTTCATCTCCAGATCTACCAACTTAGCACTAGCTGCAAGACGTCTCATGTGGGGGAAAACGATCAACGCCGGCCAAGTTTGTTTATCGCAGAATTATGTGACCGTCCAGAAAGACTTAGTCGATGACTTTATCAAGCATCTCAACGCAACCTACAAGGAGTTTTACCCCAACGGTGCTAAAGCGAGCATAGATTATGCCCGGATCGTTAATGAGCAGCAATTCGACCGCATCAAGAAGATGATCGACACCACCAACGGCAAGATTGTCTTAGGCGGAGAGACGGATAGATCTGATCTTTACATCTCACCAACCGTCGTTCTCGTAGACTCTACCGATGACCCAGTGATGAAGGACGAATCTTTCGGTCCCGTCTGGTCTATTATTCCTTACGATACTGTTGAGGATGCTATTAAGATCATGAATACGGTTGACCCTACACCTCTAACGGTTACAACTTTCGGGTCCAAAGCCGAGAACGAAAAGAGTGAGTGTCTAGACCTTTGCTATGAGCTAAAACTATGCTAATCATACCCGGCAGTCCTCAGCCAAGTTACTTCCGGTGGTGCAACTATCAACGACGCATGGATGCACGGCGCGATATCCACGCTACCTTTCGGGGGTGTCGGCGAATCCGGTACGGGTTCGTACCACGGACGAGCAGGGTTCGATTGCTTCACGCACCGGCGTACGATAGTCGAGGTACCTAGCTGGATGGACAAGCTGCTACGCACACGGTATCCACCCTTCTCGGCGACTAACTTCAAGCGCCATATCTGGTTGACTAGCACCAAGCCTAATTTCGACCGCGATGGCAAGCCCCTTTCCGGTCCCGGCTACTGGCTCTGGCTCATCTTCGGCCCGGCGGCCCTACTGCCAAAGGTGCGTTACTGAGGTGGATTGTTCTCCTTACCTCGGCGTATGCCATATTTTCCCGGTATCGACCTGGGCGCGGTCTTGAATTTTGGAAATGATATGATGTTGGGGTTTGCGACTCCTTTCATGCAAGAGGCGTCCAGATGTAAGGAAGATCACTTCCAAACTCTCCTCGTTGTTGTCGAATCTGGTTGATCTTGATTTAGCTAACTGGTAAGACTAGGGGATGATCCACGAGCGAAGCTCTGATTTGCGCTCCGATGTGCTGGGATCGAATTTTATTTATACGTGTAAGATAGTTCCGCATATGACGAGTCTATCTCGAGTATTGAGTTGTACTGCGTTTCATATGTGTATAGTAGTATTTCTATTAAACTTGAATCTGCGGCACTATCAAACAAAAGTGCCTAGAAGGAGGAACTGGGACTGAAAGGGTCTAATTGTAATAAAGATGGCCAATGAGCGTTTCTGAAGAGTACCTAATATAACAAATTCGTGTCCTGATAACCAGTTCGACTGCATTTGCACATAGCATTAGCCTACAATACCTAGATATCCTACAGCATTAAACGTACTGTAACTTCCTTTAGTGTGTAATTGATGGTATCTCACTCTTTAATATTTGTAATTTTTCGGGATAGCTATCTTAGTGACAGGTACTCTCTTATAACGACATATCTTGCATCAAAATATGCCGACGTGATAGATTCACTCAAGTAAACCATTATTGATCGTTTTCCCTTATTGACTTGCTAGCCTTGGAGCGTCCCTACCGTCCCACAAGGGTATCAGCTAGTCGTCGACCTCGTTCACCTCCAAGATATAGTGTCTCTTCGCCATCGCCATCAGCCCTTGCTATCTCGACCGCTTCATGGTAACCCGTAACTACCATTTCTTCGTCCACACGCAGACCATGCTCGATAAGAGCATTGATAACGCCCCTAACACGCGCAATCTCGCGCATCGTTCCAGGTGGTATCGCATCGTTCTGACTCGAGTACACATTCAGTCCCACGCTCTCTTCAATCCGCGTAATCCCCGGTCCCGTACCCTCGGCCGCTGCTCCTTCGCCCTCAACATGCTTGCTGACCCAGATATACCCGTTCACACCCAGCACAATATCAATCTTCTCCGCATCATCCGCCGCGGCACCCCCACCGCCCACCGCACGCCCCACATCCAACACGAAAGTCTGCCGTTTCGCGCGGATGACGCCGCCGCCGCCGCCGGTGCCGCTAACAGCCATGAACACGCCATTGCGCAGCTTGCCAAAGCGCAGACTGCGCGTGTGCAGGACCGCGCCGCCGTCCGAGTACAGCTGCTGGACCTCGGCGACCAGCAAATCGCCCTCGCTGAAAAAGGTGCGGATCTGCAGCTCGTCGGTCTCGGTGCGGCGGCGCTGGATGCCGCCGGGCAGGTTGACGGCGCTGAGGGGCAGCTGTGCGAGCAGCGAGGCGCCGACGTCGACGCGCCAGCGCTTCGCTTGCACTTCTACGATGCGGCCGACGACTAGGTCGCCTATCTCGGGGGGTGTAGCGTGCGCGCAGAGGGCGCACGGAGAGGAGCTTGTTCGTTTTGGAGAGGGTGCCTGCTACGGAGGATATTATCGCGGGGGGGTCTGCGGTTGTGTATGTGCCGTGGCCGCTGTGAAGAGGAAGATATAGTATTAGCTTTTTGTCTGCCCTTAATACTGGTATAGGAGGATAGGTATTGTTGAACCATCTTACCGCATCCATTGGGGATCTTCCGTAATCACCTCACCGGGAGTTACGATCGAGTCGTCGCCTGTCCGTCGAGCTCGTTTGGTTGGGCGTGTCATGGAGATGTCGCCTTCCAGGTCGACACCGCCCTCTGAATCTGACTCGGAATCGTAGTTTGCATCTCGAGAGTTGTGCGCCGGTAGTAATGCCGGTTGGAGGATTGTGATTGGCATTTTCCCGGAAGTGGTATGTGACAGACAGGTTTAAGGTTGACGATGTGGTGCTGTTTCGTTAAGTTGTTGGAAACATTTTTGTCTAGAGCTTCATGGACCCCTGTAATTCCCAAAAATGCATGCATGCCCCGCTATCCTCTTAGCGCCTTTAGCCCTGTCGTACCCTGCTATCGATACGTTAATTAAAACCACTAACATGCGGTATTGTCGGCACAGCTACCGGCTACGTATTTCTTAGGTAAGGCCATTATTAGGCAACTTTGGCATGTGATTCGTTTCAACTCATCGTAGTTCATCTCACGTATTCCATAATTTCAGCTTTTTATCTTCATAACACAATTATTCATCAAGCTATACGTCGTAGCATTACCGCATCTCTATATATAATGTTAGAGCATTATCCAAGCTCTCGTAGCCATACTGGCTAAGGTTGAAGCTTTTACGAAGCTCCCTCGATCTTCGATTACACCATAACGCAAACAGACGGGCTGTTTCAGCAAATATTATAATAGTATCACGTTCTAGAATTAAAATGGATGACTTTAGTTCGGATGTCTTCGTCAACCGTGACGACCCCATCCCGACCATCGTCCTTGACGGTTCTTCGCCACCTGGACCGCGTACACCTTCAACTTCGGGAGATCACTCCGATAGTGAGACTCCGTCCCGGCGTAAGGGTTTCCGCGGTCACCTCTCGGCTTTCAAGGAGAAAACCAAGATTCAGGACCAGCTAGTCGAGAAGCTGTTATCTCAGGTGGTACCCCTCGACGATACCCAGCTTCCCCAGGATGATGCCTCTCAAGAGCCTAACACCCCGGGCGCGGACCGTCCTAATTTTAATCTGACTACCATGTCTAACAACTTCCGCCGCTTCAATGCTCGCATCGGAGTTGTTTTTGTCTTTCAAGCCCGTGTAATCCGTTTACTGTCTTGGAGGCAACCTACACACACCATCTCCTTTCTCGCCATATTCACATTCATCTGTCTGGACCCCTATCTCTTACCAATTCTTCCTTTGACAGCTCTCCTCATCTGTGTCCTGGTCCCGAGCTTTGTAGCCCGCCATCCCGCAGCCGAATTTAGCTTGTCAAGTGAACAGGCGATAGGATATTCACCTCATGGACCTCCGTTAGCCCCTGCAATTACTGTCAAGCCTGTCAAGGAGTTGAGTCGGGACTTTTTCCGCAATATGAGGGACTTACAAAATAGTATGGAGGACTTCAGCCAGCTCCACGACAATATCATAAGGCTAGTAGTACCACGGACAAATTTCAGCGACGAAGCTTTAAGTAGCGCCTTGTTTGTATCCCTATTCATCGTCTGCATTTTCATGAGTATTGCGTCGAATATACTACCATGGCGATTGATTTTCTTATCTATCGGTTGGGTGGTTATATGTGTTGGTCATCCTGTTGTTCAGCGGCAGGTTCAAGCTGCACATGAGAAGCATATACATCCACAAGAGGAGAAAGCTAGAGGCTGGATAGAGCAGTGGGTTGAACGCGATGTCATACTCGACAACGCGCCAGAAGTCAGGGAAGTGGAAATATTTGAGTTACAGCGCCTCTCGAACGCGGGCGAATGGGAGCCATGGTTGTTCAGTGCGGCGCCCTACGATCCGCTATCACCACGACGCATCTGCCGGGGATAGGCCAGTTGGCACACGTTTCTTCGAAGATGTACTTCCGCCCAAGGGATGGGAGTGGAGCGAAAAGAAATGGGCTCTGGATCTATGGAGCCGCGAGTGGGTAGAGGAGCGCATTATTACAGGCGTCGAAGTCGAGACCGAGGGCGAGAGGTGGGTCTACGATATATACGACGAGCAGGCGGGTGAAAAGGTTGGAGTGATCGAACAGCCTACACCGGCCAAGGGCAAGGAGAAAGCGAAGATCCCACAAAAGCCTAGTTGGGAAGAAGGGGAGGATAGCGACGGCAGGAGAGGCGAGTGGAGGCGGAGAAGATGGGTACGATTGGTAAAGAGAAAAAACCTTACTGAAACCTCTATATGATTGTTTTATTATATTTCGAATTTAGAATGAAGTCGACCAGAAAGTATATTATTCCAGCAGCGAAGTGTAATTAAGGGAGTTCTTACGACTACTCTCACGATTTCTCTAGCCATTAAAGAGTGACAACAAGATTTCACATAGGCATTAAACATTGGGAAACAGATAAAGAATCATATTCATACGCCAGAGATAAAACACTAATCAAATAACGCCATTTAGGGATAATTTCCAATTACAATGTTCCAATGTACTCACCAAGCGTATACCTAAGCAAAGAGCGCGTCGTATCCAAGTTCAATTAGAAGCACATTATCTCTTCTCAAGTTCTAGCGAAGATATAACCACGCCAAGGGAAGAGACTATTACTTACGTATCCGAACTTACGGCCCACCTATATTACTCACATTTCCCGCGTTGCCCGCGATGGACGAGCTATAATGGCTCCAAAACCACTGCCAGTCAGCGTCAGGACTCGGCGCAAGCTCCCTCCTATCAAGAGCAAGCATATGCGGCATAGTAACCCGGACCCCGTTCTCAACAAGCCAGCGCGGGATGGCGAGATTATGGCCCAGCTCGACGGCCCAGCTCATATACTGCTCGCCCATCTTCTTCAGCGACGGTACCACGCGCATGTCGAGCATGACCTGCAGCGCGTCGAGGTGGTCGGCGGCAATAGCATACGCGGCGGCCGGCCTAAGAGCCGACGTTCGCGATCCCCGGAGCACCTCTGGGTACACCCGGTAGTAGCTGTCGACGAAGCGCATTACGACGTGCACGGGCTGTCGCGTGCGCAGACTCCAGTACAGCAGCGGCTCGTAGCCGCTGGGCCATCGCCGGATGCCGGATCCGGGCCAGCCGACTATGTTGCGCCAGAGGATGCCTGCGTCTAGCTTCACGCACGTGTATATCGGGTCGTTGTGCTCCCACAGGCGGTGGCAGGTTCGCGCTAGATGGAAGTAATCGCGTGGCTTAGTTATGTACTCGATGACTATATCGAGGACCTCGTTGGGGAGGCGGAGGAGCGAGCCTGGGTTTCCTGACATGGCTGGTAGATTCGGTTTGGGTTAGTAGATAGTTACTTAATGGACTATTTTTGGTGCTTCTTTGGTTATTGATATTGAAGGTATGTTTAGAGGACAATGGTTTTTGGCGCGCTAGGATAAGCTGGAATTTGGACGATTAAATATGACTCGATGTGATGACATTGTTCTTTGTCATAGCTATTGTTCTGGTATGGTAATATTGTCTTATAAGATAGTGCTCATGTTAACTAAGAGGGTGTTTTGATAAAACTATTGTATATTAGCATTTCTAGGAAATTTAAGGGGAGCTAGATATTTTCTCCTATTGCCGGTATGGATTGTTACGTATTAAACAATGGAATGTCTATATACCGTATCTTCGAGGTATATCGTAAGGGAAAGGATATAGTAAAAGGAATGATGTGGTCTTGACGATATGTTTGGGTTCGAGTACTGGTATATATTTCCTCCTAGCTTAAAAGGAGTTGTTTTACAATGATGACTTTCTTGATAGGGGAGCCTACTTATAGTGACTGCTAAGTTGCCTCGTTATTTAGCCCCTTGTCATATTTCCTGATATTGATCCATATATGAATGTACTATGGCTGTAGCCCGTTCTTTATAATATGGTAATAAGGACTAGTATTACCTTTGTTGCACTATTTTCACTTGCGTTCGCACTAAATTATTTATCACTTATAACTCGAAAACTCGGAAGAATCTATCTAGAATTTTACGATCTCAAAGGTCAGTAGTAGCATAAGTGTAGAGTCACAACAATGCAAACATAAGCATATTTTCACAATTCTTATAAATTTGAAAAATAGGAAATGAGGGTATCCTAAGCCACACCGAGCTCGCTCCCGCAAACCCCTACCCCAATAGGAGGGTATGAATTAAAGATCCCCTTTACAGCCCCCACTAAAATTCCCGTAGACAATTCGTCTTTTCATCTTCTCGTTAAATCGTGCTGCCCGTTCATATTATCAGCTTATCTAGGATCTTATGGATCCCAATGTTCTTCCCTCTACCGTCGTCAAGATGGTCTGTCATCTTTCTCGCCCTCTCAATTAGGATTGTTATCACTTTTTGAGTGTACTCGAAGCTTCCCGTGCTCTCCATATACTTCATGGCATACCGCTTCACTTCTTCGTCTGTTGTCCTCTGCTTAAGGATGTTTAGGAGCTGGAGGTTCGACGGGTTTGTGCGTATACTATGGATGATCAGAAACGAGAACTTTCCCTCGGTCAGATCTTCACAGAGCCCCTTGTTCTGCCCATATTCAGGGCTCGACAGGTTCCTGTAGTCATCTTGGATCTGAGAGAATGCCGAGTAGATTGACGAGGGTACACAGTCGATGGGGGTAGCTGATTCGGCTTGCATGAGCTTGATAGCCAAACGGAAGAGTCCTCCAGTCTTGTTTCCGACCATCTCGAGATACTCTTCCTCAGTCGGGCAAGTAAGTGTATCACGCCGAAGAGATCCAACCCTTGACCGCGGTGGAGGTTCAGCAATTCTTCCGTATACACACTAACCGCCTTCGGATTCTTCAGTTTCTGTAATTCTTGTAAGGCGCAGAAGTAGACATAATTGGCCGAGTTTATGGTTTGCGCCGTGCCGAAAATGCTGTGGGCAACGGGAAGACCCCTTCGCAATAGCGAACTGTCCTCGACATCATCGACAAGGAGGGATGCGGTATGTAGCATACCGACAACTTTAGTAATGACATCGAGACTTTCTTGTGGTACCTCTAGCAACGCATTGAAGGAGTTGACCATGAGAGTACGGAAGTCTTTCCCGGGATGGGCAAACAGGTAGTCGAAGGGACCCATTAGTACCTTTTCTTTTTGTTCGGTCCACGTTTTCCGCGAAGTGTAGTTTAAGTCCTCCGTCTCATAGCGCGCAGGGTCTTGAGGGCCAGTAGCATGCATGCCTGTAATAGGGACAGCAAAATTGGAGAAGCCTCTTTGATGTCGATTGCTATTCTGACCTAACCAGTCTGGAACAGGACGTAGAACAGATTTGACGGGGGGGAGGGGAGTAATATATCCTGTAGAGGAAGTCCTAGGAGGTATAGCATTAGGCGATTGCAATGACGTAGAGTTGTTAGATATAGGACTGCTACTGTTGGCGTTAGGAACCATAGTTTCAAGTTAGAGGTTCCCCTCTTCTTAAGAGGAGAAAGTTCCTATAAGTTTATTAAGTTTTATAATGGTGAAGCAGATGCGTAAAATGTGACTGAATTTATAGTTGCCTAGGTTAGCTCTTTGCCGGCGCAAAACTATAAGTAGACGAGGCTAACGGGGATTATATGGGGACGTGCCGAGTGGAACGCGGCGCAATGCAAATCAAACCAATTAGGTTAGGTAGTTTGTCTTGATTGGTTGACTTTTAAAAAATAATTATCATGTGAATGTGGGTAGTATTGAAATATTAAAAATGAGTAGAAATTTGCGATAGGCTGTCTGGTCTGGAGGTATTAGGTTATTGATCATTGATTATCGATAATCCTAGATTCAGACGACGGTGATCACAAACAGCGATCAGCAGAGTTGAGGCGCAGTGACGGATTGCGCGGCTAGCCGAAACAGATTGACACACGGCAGATATGTGACCTTTAAGTAGGATTCATAAATGAGACGTTCAGGGATATTTGCGGAAAGAATGCCAATAAAGAGGAAAGAGGACAAAAAAGAAATTTGTATTAACTTCTTTAGGTACCGTGGTCATTCGAGGTTGAAGCTCACTGTTACAATTTTTACATGTGGTAAGATACCTATAAGGTAACAATTGTAACAATTAGTGTGATGAGAAAAAAGGTACGGATAAGGTACTCAACCATAATTACGAATGTCGAATATGTCAGTCATATTTACCCCGCATCACCTGCTATCCCCAATACTCTGGTATCAATATTGTACCTTATCAGTTGACATACGTTAGGTACATTACATTACCTAAGGTACATACGGAGCTCCTATATCCATATGTACGTCTCTAACTGTCTTAGACTTACATCATGGATATCTTGCCAGGAAATGAACAGCTTTCAATGCATGTGATGTATGATTTGAATGCAGCCAAATTTTATCCCTCTTTGATGTTGTTATAAAAGGACTCTTATTACTTCAATGCCGTTACATACATGTATGTAGTTGGCCTCTCTGTAAGGCAGGTTACATGCATGTTGATAGGTGGTAGTTACCATATGTAGCCCTAAGGAAGAGCAACCCAAATATACTAGGGCAGGGATAGTTGCCCGTTAGCTGGATTTTCATAGCTGGATGACAGGACGGGCTGCCGAAAACTACCGCCGTTGCTGTGTTAACGATAGCTCCCCACTTAAACACTTGATAAACCCTTGGTAACTAGCACTTATCATACGGTATGAAGAATCACTGATCCAAAAATGAGTGACCAACCTTTTACATGTTGGTTCTTTTTCCTCTTTTTTGATTTTTTTGAGGTTAGAAGATCATTCCAATGTGATGCCCCCAATAATTCTTTTCGTCCTTTTGTATTAACAGTCTACCGTCGTAACTGAAAACCTCAACTTTGGCGTATTTTTTATTCTTCCTCTTTGACCTCGATTCTTATCTCTTATTTCGCATCTTGTCGCATCGCATTCATCATATCATACCCAGTCGATTTAGCCTCGTCATTTTATCTTACCGAAAGCCACCTACCGCCACTAGAAGCACAAGCAACCCTAAAAAATGGAGAACCTCCTATCCCTCGCGTTCGATAATCTCTCATCTTACGATAGCCTTAAGATCCGCAAGGGTCTACGTCAGGTCGAGGGTCTACTAGCTAATATTTGCCTGTCGCGATCGCAGGGTAAAGAACGCCGCGGTTCTGTCATTGCGCAGCAGCAAGATGAGCAGGAACCTCTTCCCCCAAAGACCCTCGATGAAATTACCGACGACCCGGCTTTTTACGAATTCTTCAAACTCCAGGAGGGATTCGAATGGAACGTCGCTATGCGCCTGGTTAATACTCTCGACCGCCTCTTAGCCAGGGGTAGCGACGGTTCCAACGACCTCCTAATACTAAGCGCACTAGATTTAGTTCAAGGTGTCATGTTGACACCCGCCGAGCAAAGCCATCTTCTCGCGCGAGATGCACATGAACGTATGTCTACTTAGGTACTCTTATTCTACTCAGTAACCTCAACCCTAACCTATAATCTTCCCCGATAGCTCCTCCTTGACCTCCTCGAGCCAGACTTCTGTCCAGCAATTCAATCCGCCACTGTCGTAACCCTAGTCACCGCCCTTGTCGACGCGCCACGCAACACGCGTACCTTCGAAGCCCTCGACGGCTTGCTAACCATAACCTCCCTCTTTCGCAACCGATGCACGAGCCGCGACGTCAAGCTCAAGCTCGTCGAGTTCTTGTACTTTTACCTCATGCCCGAGGTCCCCTCCATCCCTAGCGCACGCGCCGCTCAGGAACTCGGCGTCCCACCTTTGCTCCAACGCAGCCCTAGTAAGCTTGCAAAGGCCTTTGCATTTACTGGTGCGGGAAAGGGGGCAGCGGATGGTGCGCGCCCGAAGTCTGCAGAGGATGGAGAGACTAGGACTCAAGAGGAGAAGCAGGCGCTGCTCGGTCGCCATCTGAGCAGCGTACAAGAACTCGTGGAGGACTTGCGACAGAACACACCTTTTGGGGGCGTTGTGATGTAGCGCGAAACTCAGTCCTCGTTTCAAGCTATCAAACTGCTATTACGTTGCAAAATACTTCGTTTTTAGGGAGTTAAGGTGCAATCTACTAAACTAAGTTGGGAGGTCCTTTACCCGGTTCTATTTTTGCCAGGTAGATTTGGTTAGGACAATGGAATACGTGAAAGGCAGACGATAGTAATGTCTAGTGCAATCGCACAATGTTTACGCTCGGCGTTAGGGGTAAAGGCAAGGGAGGCAAGGTGAGGCGTTTGTCTGCAGACTGAAGGGTATCAAGTCGTATTCATTCAGATTAAATTCATATTTTAGGTACTCGTTACAGTTGGAATTAAGGGTAATATACCAAACCTCCATCATATTTCATCAATTACTCATTCATGCCCACTCTTCTTACTTTCTGATTTGGATCCGGCGGAGAGAATTCCTGAGCTCTGTGCCGCTCTGCTTCATCAAAAGTCATCGGTACTGGTGAAGTTACAGGGCTCCCATAAAGCTCATACGCCTCCTGTTTCTCCTCTTTGACAGCCGCAGCACCACTCGCAGTGGAAGCATTTTCCGAAATACTAGATCCGTTATTACCTAGTTCCGCCTGCGTTTCCCTCCGCGTTTCCCCCGGCGTACCAATCTCAACCGGTCGGACGATATCCCCTGGAGCATCCGGGTAACGATTAGCAGCCCTTGCGGTTTGGTTAGTGAACCCGGGACTTGATCTAGACTCGATGCCTTGAACCCTGCTGGGGGTGCTGTTATCCTCGCGGTCCGTATAAGGCCCGGGGACGGCATCAGCTCCAAAATAGGGGTACGCAAGCCCGTCTTCGTGCAGCCGTGGCCTCATGCCCGTCCTACTTGACGGGCTCGTTATATCTGACATGGCAGCACCGGGAGGGATAAAAGGTCCCGTAAGATCCGGCTCGTCGTGCCCGGACCCCACCAGCGTCCCACCGCCGCGGCGCGATTTGGCCACACGCCGGCGGTGGATCCAGAACCATGTCACGCCGCCGATGATAAGCGATGCGCCTACGGCGACACCGACCCCTATACCAACTCTGGCACCCTCCGAGAGCCCCTCGTTGTTGTTAACAACGGTCAGGTTCGCTGCGCAGAGTTGCGCCGTCGACGTCGCGGAGACTAAGCTTGATGTACAGGTGCTGCCAACATCACAACATCCGCCGCCCGTAGAACAGGCGATACATCCTGATGAGACGGGAGTAATTTGAGATTTAGATGATGTAGGAGGATATAAGCATTGACTATTAGAGCCGCAACTCGCCCCGAACGGGCAACACTGGCCACCAAAGCCCCCTTGGCAGAGAAAGGAAGTACTGCTGCATGCTCGTCCGCAGCACGCAGGGGTTACGTTAGTCTGCTCTAGGACCGTCGTTCTGGGCGATGTTGCGACGGTCGTAGTTACGGTTGCGGTGCCGTTGCAAAATAACAAGTCTTCAGCGCACGGCGAACCGCACGACACTCCCAAGCTGCAGCATTTCGGCTCCCAGTTCTGATTCAGAAAACAGTACTGGTCGTTGTCGCAACACCACACCGCACCTATAGGGCCGAGTTCTAGACAGTTGTGTTTGCCTGCCGAGCATTGCGCTACCTGATCCTGACGCTTTGCCTTGCCGGGAAATAGCGGTAACGCGGGGATCGCGGGCATGCCGTCTACGAATTGGCGGGGCCCGAGGCCGGGGCTGTAGATCCCGGTGGATTGTGGGAATAGAGCCGCATTGTCTAGTATAGCTAAGTTCTCGTATGCGGCTGCGCCGACGGTAGTAACAAGGGTTGCGATGAGAAGCATGGCGGCGGCGGTGATGGTAGGATGATAATGGCGCTTCATTGTGTAAGATAGACGGCTGTCAGAGCGACAGCCAGCCTTGTAGACCTATGATCGAGTACACATATAACGAATTTGGCATGTATGTAGATAATTGTACCGATTACACACGCACGTGTACCAAAAAGATTGGAAAAAACTACAGTCTAGAGAATTTAATGGTCAAGAGTAAGAAGAAGAAGAAGTTTATTTCAATACCTTTCATGGCAATATGTATAGCAAACACGACGGACAAAGAGAAAAGTCAGCCAGCGATCACAGCATTTGGATCAATCCGAGCTGGACTGAACAATACGAAAATCGAAGCTGGCCTACCTATCGGCGACCTGCCCACACAGGCTTTGCAGATTTCTTCTCATCTGTGCGGAAGCCCATTGGGCTAGATGCAGAGTGAGATTTTGGGGGTTGGTGGCACCGACAGATAGTCCCGTCATATAAGAGTTAGAGGTAACCAGACGAGTGAGATAGCCTGCAGGATATGGTTACATCGTATCACAATCGGGTTAGCCAACGAGCTGTGATGATGATAGCGTCGAAAGAATATGGCGAATATGGTCTTGGCGAACAGCGAAAACGATCAGTTCCCGAGTTGATGTCACTTGAGTGGTTAAGGGTAGGTAGCTATATAATTACTAGTGGCCGTGATGGATAAAAGAAAATTGTCTTGGGATGATCTAATGCAAGGTACCGTCTCGTTGGCATTGCGACATCTAGGTAATCAATTAAAATGCATGGGAGCGTTAGGTATTTACTAGCTGGGCATTATTCAGCTTATATATTACATTAGGTACCTATAACTATTCCATCTTTAAGAATTAGGTCCCGTACTATGTACGACAACGGGTACGATATAACCCACGCAGCAACTCAAATTAAAGAATCCTAAGATCAAATTTTCAATCTGGAAAGTTAGCTTAGACACTCAGGTCTATTGGATCTTAGGTGTTATTACAAAGGGAATATCCGGTTGAAAGGATAGAAGAATAAATATAATGACAGTAACGTTTTCTGCCTCTCCTTACGCCCCTACACCTTGACGTCCCAACATACCAAAAGATATCTCATACAATAGATGCATCTCCATCCCGTGTTGGCACCTTAATCTTTTCCATTTCTAATAATACGATCGCACATTGGCTTTCACTGTTCACCGCCGTACGACTCTCCCCCTCTCTTCCATAGACCTTATTCACCCCATTACTTCCTGTTACCTTTCCGTTCTGGTTACCGTTACTGCTTGTCGTACTGCCAACATTAAATCTGTTAGACTTAAGACGCCCAATCCGCAAGACTGCTTGCAAAGCAGGGAAACAGCCGCACCATAAGCCGATATGGCTCTCGAGGTTTGTCCAAATTCCTAGGGAGGGAATATTATAAGTTCTGTATGCCAGGCGGTATTAGCTTTAAGAAGCGAGGCTATGGGTTAGGGAGTGTAGTTCGGGAAAGGGTATAACGCACGAGGCCTTAGCGAAGTCCAGCTTCGATATTATGACCACACGCACAGCTCCTATAACTACCGCGGACAGTCCGACACTAAAAACTAATATAATCTGAATCATCTTCTTGGACCACAACATGTTGGCACATATAATCCAGATAGGCAATATAAGAAGAATTGCGTCCAAAACAACGCCCACTATGCCGTGTCCTACCATCATTGTGTTATGGACATTGGGATCGACACAATTAAGTCCTTTTGTCGTCGGAGACTTGAGGATATCCCTATATTGACACGTTAATATTTAGCTAGCTAAATAAGTCTTAATAATTTAAACATGCGACCTACGAAATCGGGTCACACTCGAGGATTCTGTATGTAAACGAGCCGACTGTCTGAGCGAGAATTACTAACGCAACAACCCATGAGATTATGCTAATATTCCCTAGACACCATAGTTTTAGTACCGAGCAATATATCCATTAACCATGGTTCGAATACTTACTATCTCGGATAATTCGAGGCAAGAAAGCAAGAATTGCAAACCTCACCATAGCAACTGTCCAAAAGTAGACGAGTGTCTGATACGTCAACGACTAGAAACCGATGAGTATTAAGGAACATTATATTGCAACCCTATATGAACAGAAAGACGTACCGCGAAGAAATCAGCCTTAGTTTCCTCTGTCGCAGTGCCTATTTGCATGTCTCTACCAAGGAGCTCAGCTTCCGAGTACCATTAGCATCTCAATCTAGCGCCGTGCCATCACGCGTAAGGGACATACCATTAATATCCATCCCAGACTGCACACAAGTAGCATCTCTAACTCTCTTAATCAGTAGATGTTCCTTAAAGCCGCTCAACCGGTAGTCGTTAGTAGGACAGTAGTAGTAGGGCTTACATAGGCGACCCCTGCGAGCGCGTCGTCGAGGCCGGGGGATTTCGTGATCGATATGCGAACGAATAGTCTAATCGCGTATAAAATACTCGAAAATCCAATTAGCCATCCGTTGACGCCGATCTCCGCCTTGCCGTGAGGGTCCGGAATGCCTCTAGACTCCATCTCGGGCCTTAGAATGTAGCGAGCGAGTGTCCTTTGCCCAGAGCCGCCTAAAAGAGACTACATAAAAAGTGAGGCTTCAATCCGAAGCCTAGGGAGAAAAGCAGCTTTGTTACCTGGGTGTATGTATGTATGTATGTAAAGTAGCTAGGATGCAAAGGCGATCCCATCTCTCCTGATCTGTTGAACGGGGCTTGCGTTACGTCTAAATACGGCTACGGCTCGCCCCCCTCGTCGCCCTAGACGAGAGCCATCATCCCAAAAGGGTCGACTAATTCCGTTTGCTCGTTGCATTTTGTTTGTTGGTGATAAGGTGCACGGGAGCTCTGCCGTCTGACCCGCTGTCATTATGTCCGTGAAAACCGGCCCGCGGCCTTGGTCTGGGTGTCTGTGGGTGGAACACCATGAGGCGTGCTAGGTTCGAATCGACATGGTGCCCTCGTGGTAGGTGGATTGAGGGTCCTAGCATTTAGAAGGGAGAATTTGCTTTTTTCAAAGGGCGATGTGTGTTAGTCGAAGCTAGTCCGTCTATCACAAAGGGGACCCTTCAAGCTATCGCTATCACGGAGAATTTCGTGGCGCTCTGTCTTTCGGGGTTTTAAGGATCCGAAACCTCGGACTTGGTAAGCCTTGAAGTGTAACTATCTATATTTTGATGCTGCCATCTCGTATTGTAGGTCTTTGACTTATTAGTTTCCAGATTGAAACATTGGTATAAGTTCGGGTATCAGAGTTTCTGGTGTGAGGATTAATATGTATTGTGCCGCGTCCGCAGGTGGAGATTACTATAACTAGTCGTTGTAGAGAACAGCCTATCGGGCTCGTTACCTTGGTTACAGACGTATAACATGTTATTCTCGTAAACCTAGAGTGGGCGATGGGTCAAGGGCTACTAGTTGGAAGAGATATATTAGATACACATCCCCGCACAGGCACTCATATGTCGATACACGCTACGAAAACACGAGTTCCGTTTTAAGCCTTGTCCATAGAGTTGTGTATGCCTATTTTACTTATTCGTCGCTAGTTGGTCATTCTAGCTTAGGTAGTGTTTGGGATTGTGCGCTCAGATATCCCTTGCGTTATTGTATAAATTTTATCTTAGTCTAGAATCCAGTATAAGCACATCTTAAGTAGGTCAGTGCAGAGCATCGCACACCCGTGATGTGACTTATATGGTCTAGTTCAGGTGTGATAGTTTATATAGGGTGGCTTTTTTTCTAATTCCCAAGATGCCGGATTCTTGTTATTCCCAAATTGTCTACTCGGAGATCATATCACCATGTTGACCCTTACTTCATTCGTCTCTATCATTTTTATGACCATAAATATAGTTTTAGGCCAAATACGATCGAGACGATCCGAAGAATCGTGCGGGACATCTTATGTTAGGAACAACTGGTCCGTCTAGCCGTCCATTGTCTTTGCTAATTGTGACAAGACAGATATACTAGAAGGACACTGGCTAACTAAGTAGTAATCTAAAAGGAGAACACTATCACAAGATCGGAGATTGGACTTCATATCGGCTATAAGATGCCTTCAGTCTAAATCAGGGGAGACATCAGGCACGTTCGCTGGGGTTAAATCTCGATACGATGACTTCGTAGCATTGCATATTAGCCAGGGAGACTACATCCATTGGGTCGTAAGTCCTCGTCTCAATTATTATGTTTAAAGTCGGGAATTAATAGACTCTTAAGGGTCATTTCTTACCGTAAGACTTACTGCCTTCCCATGGCGGCTCCTATGTATCATTAATGTGATCAGATGGCACCGATACTTCTTATGGCTATTTGAACAAGCTCTTCAAAACGAATGTTCATACGAGGGCTCTGTACCGTAGGTATTCCCCTATCAGATAGACTGAATACGGGCTTGTTAACTTGTGAAGATACTGGGGTGAGTGCCATAAATCTTCACCGTAGAGGGAGGGAGATGGCTGATAAATAAGAGCAACAGACTGGACACAAGATGCCGTTGACGAGGCCTCACTCTTAGGCTCGCCGATTTTCGACCCTGAATATGGGTTTGGAGGTAAAAGAAAATAAGGCCTCAAGATCCCTTAGAGAAGATATGCTGAGCGAACATAAGGCAACGGCGATTACATAGAGGACATTAGTGGTTTTCCGGACGAATGGGTAACAGACATAGATATACCTGGCAGGTCAGGAGGCGGTGAGTTATTTCGCCATTGAGCATACACATCTTCAAAGCGGTTGATTTAATATATCAATACAAGGGTGCCTTACGAATGGGCCATTTGCCGAAACCAACGCGTCGATGGGGCCTGGGAGGCATACTGAGTATACTCCTCTTGTATTCGACGAGACTTCAGCCTTTGGTTGATGTTGCGAACACTAAACGCTGATGCGGTCAATTTCGTCTTGGACGCAAGTAGCTATTTCGAATTCGAGCACCGACGGAGGGTCTCGCCCTTGGCGTTCTGGGGGTGTCAGTCCACGGTGGTGGACACCTAGGTATCGGGGGCATGCTTGGCGACGTAAGAAAGCCACAATCGATATCTCCCTTCATATGACTTATCGTATATCACTTAGATGGCGAACACTTGGTCCTCGACGGTCGACCCGATCTTCTGGGTTCATCATTGTGCCATCGATCGTCTATGGGATATCTGGCAGCGAAAAGGTATGTATCACCTGAATTGAGCATCCTTGTTGCTAATTTGAGGAGTAGACTGGGAATCCAGGAGATCGGATATAGGGGGTCCTGATACACAGTGGGCATACCCGTACAACTATTTTGGCGAAAAGCCTTATACGAACGTCACCCTGGACTTCGCAATGAATTTTGGCGACATAGGAGGGATGGTGAATATTCGCGAAGTTATGGACGTACAGGATAGCCCATTCTGTCTTGAATACTCGTAAACATGAAAAGTTAATGGTCTGGAATAAGAGGAAGAGAACGGTTCACGATTAACTCGTGAATAAGCGGAGTTCTCATGTAGGTGAAGAAAAAAAAATTTGGTTGGTAAAGATGTTTCTGATTTGAAGTTCCAAATTGTAATCTAATATATGGTCGGCGTACGTGCAAACCAGATAGATGATAGTTGAGCGGTCGAGCTGTTCTTAGACTGCAGCCGGCAATCCACTAGAAAATGCTGCTTCTTCATCCCACCACTTGAGGAATTCTTGCATCTTCTCGGTTTTTGCTTTAGCAAGTTCTCGTCCGACGTCCGTCTTCATCATGCTCTCAAGTTTTAGTAACTTGTCGTGGAAATGCTGGATAGAATCTGCCATAGACGCTTTAGTCCGAGCACCTGTAAATGTGAAGACTCTTCCGATCCCAATAGCTCCAATAGCATCGAGCCGATCAGCGTCCTGAACAACTGCTAGTTCAGGGTGAGATTTGATGAGATCCTGGACCCGAGCTGGATCCTTGATCTCGCTCGAATAGCTAACGCCTAGACAGACTGTCTGAACCCGGTTCGCAAATTGCTCCGCTGCACCTAGAGATAGAAGGAGCTCGTATACTAGGGTTGAAGCATCTTCACCCGGCTTTAGATATTTCTTGTCTCCTACATCGTGCAGAAGGGCGCTTAAGATGACAACTTGCAGGTCTCGCGTAGTTATGCCGGGCGAGCGATCATGTATGTATTTGGCAAGTCCTACAACACGTTCGATGTGGTTGAAATCATGAGAGCCGTCGTAATTCGACATGTAGGACCTGACGTACTCAGTGACCGAGGTGACGAGGCTTTCTTCTACGGAATGACCCGTTGTAGTCATGATTACGTTCTATCGGGACGCCCGGTTAATGCGCTTCGACTTGTTAGCCCATGTCGATACGCGCTTGTTGATACCCTACGTACATATTCTTCATCCACGGGACAGTTTACTATAGTTGAGATCGTCTGCTCATAATATTTTGTCGGATTTACAAGGACTAATAAGCGCCAGAATCGCGCTAGAGACTGCAACAAGACCCGCAAAAGACTTGTTAGCCGAGTTAACGAACTTCCTAAGAGAGGAATAAACTACCATTAGTTGTTTATCCTTGCTTTGAAAGGAAGGGTGGGAACCGATGGGTAGTGGAAAGTTCCAATCTAGGGACCATCTTGGTGGAGAGTCGGCTCGTGTGGACATGGACGTGGACGTGGGTATGATGGTGGGTTCCAGAGAGGAATCAAGAAATTATTCCAGGTTCTTCATGGTTTTTTTAGTGCGTGATCACCAAACTTGCATCTGCCATTTTGTTGCTTTGCATCGACGCGCTGTGCCAAGGAGAGTCATGTGATTAAGGCTGATCCTCCGGACCATTCAGAGGTTAGGACATGGTTAGGACATCCTGGACGTCCCATGTCGATTATTGCATACCTAGGTAGGTTATGCATAACGCTAATGCACCCACTATGGTATTAAGCGCTATCCGGGATTTTCCCGGCCGCGGATCCAACTTTTTTCCTCCTCCACTTTACTGCACTTTGACCAGGTTCAATTCAAAGTTCCTATTTCTAATTTTCCCCCTCTTTCTTTCTTCTGCAGTAGGGCTGCCAGCATACATGGAGCCCACCATCCCACCAAGATAACAATATTGATAAACAAGCCCGAGATGGACCATTACTTCGGACTTTCACGGCCGCACGGTGGATTTTCCTTGTCATTTATCCCGCCTACCCGCCGGAGCTAGTAGTGACATGACCTGCATGAAGTTCAACCTAGACTCCGTCGCCGTCGCCCGGCTAAGCAGCAACGTAGCTATAGCTAACCGAACTATTTGATATCCGCTAGAGCTTGTTGAAGGTTCTAGACTTACTAAATCCTTCCCGAAAGGTAGGGAATGGTGGGGAAGTGTACTTACCTACCCGATCCTTCTTGCACATCCGTCAATCGCTTTGGAGGTGATAGATGTGATAGAGGTAATAGAGATGACGGAATCCATTTTCTTTTCCCTAGTGGATGATTAATCATTCTAGTAGTGGCCTCTATCTAATTGTGATACGGCTTACTTCATGTTATATTTGATATTATATTGCCAATTCGAATATCATCTTGTCGAATTTCTAGATTAACAACCACCTCTTTGAGTGGACGCCGTCAATTGGCGAAGCTAACCTAAGCTGAGTAGGTGGAATTGCATCATCTCACCAATGAGGCCTTCATGATGGCCTGCAGATGAGAGTGCAGGAAAATCCACGCATTCGTCTACATAGACCACAGACCACATGGATCTAACCATGCTGGTTTGTTGAGTCCGAAGTTGGCTTATTGAACAAACAGGAAGAATATGTCGATGGAGAAGAGCTTTCTTCCTCTCTGATTCGTCTGCTGCAATACCTCGATGTGTGATATGTGACTGGCGAAAACTGGTATTGGCTGCCGGCATGTGGCTATCGTCCAATCATTACAGGGGTTTAGACGCCCAGTCGCCTTTTCCCGACTAGCTTGGCCCTGTTTCCCGTCCAGTTTCTATTTATTCTTCAAAATTGGTACCCTTGTACTTACGCTTCTATCAGTCCCTCCACTCTGGATTAACCGCCAGGCATGCAGTCCGGCACACATCATCTTCGTTGCACCGAAGACTGGAATGGTTTAGGGCGGGAGATGAGTGCTCAAGTGACATTATGTCGAATTAGATGTGTGCTACCGTCCAAACAGAGCCTACGATCCCATCCCTGATGCTGATGGACGGCCCCGCACATCCAGCTGCCGTGGCGGCATCTTGTCCGCACCGCAGGCTGGGAAACAAACCAAACGTGCTGGTCTCGATATTAGGTCGCACCCTTGGCTTTCTCTACATGGCCGCCACTCATATAATACGACACAGCCTGCCTCTGTCGTTTTTTCCTTTTCCTCTCTTTCTTCTTCAGCAAGCACTCAAACACCAAAAGCTAGTTTCTAGTTTCTTCTAATCCCTTTTTTTTCCTTCTTTTTTTGCCTTTCTAATACACAAGAGCTGTGCTCTTACCACTTAATACATACCCAAAAACGAGAAAATCTATACACAACAGTAGTTGCCGGTCAACTATACCCCTAATTCACTACCGCTAAACCCCCCTAATAGAACGAAAAACTAGCTTTTCCTTGCTCAAAAAGCCCCTTGAAAATTATTTAAGAAACGACAATTTTTGCAATAGCATATTAATCACAATGTCGACCATCCAACTGTCATTCTTCTTCGCGTTTCTTCTGGCATCAAGTCCGTCCATCTGCTCGGTTCTTGGGATAACTACGTTGGCCAGATCCCCCTTTCCAAAGACAAGACCTCCAGCAAATCAGGTTCGTGGAAGGGCACTTTCCGATTTCAGGGCAATCTCGAGGCTGGCCAGCGATACTGGTACTACTACATCATTGATGGATACCATGTCTCGCACAACCCCAGTGAGCCGTCGACCGTCGAGCCCACTACCGGCCGAGAATTAAACATCCTTGACGTGCCCAAGGACAAGTCCGGCAAGTCTTCATCAAAGTCCCACAGCTCCAGCAAGAGCTCGTCTAAGCACACATCATCTTCGTCATCATCCAAGGACAAGCACCGGTCTTCCAAGCGCCCTTCTTCCATTGACGTTCCCAAGGGTCGACCTCTCTCCGTCTCGCAGATCGTGGCTCCCAAGCCCATGTCTCCCCACGCAACCCGTCACATCCTAGATGCTGACTACTGCGACGACGAGACCATCGAGGAACTTACCGCACGCTTCGGTAGCGCCGGTTTCGACGAGGAGGACATCGTCACAGACTTCTCCAGCTCTCCCGTCTCCTCATCCGGTTCCAGCCTATCCTACCGCTCGGACAGCTCATCACCAAGCTCATCGCTTTCCGGTTACAGCACACCCGCCTCAGACTGCAGCAACTGCACTTGCGAGCGATACGGAATTACTCGCAAGGGCGACCGCGTCAAGATTGACTGTGGCGGTACCCGATGTGGCTTCAGTGACGACGATTCCTCCTCTTGCTCCAGCGGTGATGAAGAAAACTACGTCCCGCGCAACTCCCGCCGAAACGGCATTGTGGTACGCGCGTGAAGACTTGCACCCCTTGGGGGGTCCCACCAAGCAGCATATAATAATACGTCAGAAGGCCGAAGATACGAGATATCGAGGCTGTTCGTTCATTAACGAGCATAGAGCGGCAAATTTTCTATTCGCTCTGCTCGTCCAGTTGTTCCATTGCATCAGCACGGGTTTTTTTTTGCGGCAGACCCGGTCATAAGCTGGTTCTTATTGATCAAGTCCTGCCGCACCCGATGCGCCCACCCATCAGGGTCGATGCTACGGCCCCCACGATTGAGATTGTCGAGAGACGAAATCCGATTGTGCGATCGTTTCGTATGTTTCCGATAACATATCTGAAGCAGTAGTTTCTCCCCGAGACTAGCCTGCTCTAGCGAAACACAGCGAGACCGTCCGCCGGGGAGCTGAACGGCGACGGCTTTTGGGGATGTTAAAAAGAAGAATTAAATGGAGTGGTCTCGGATTCGGCCTACTATGAAGGTCTGGGCAAGCCACACTGTAAATAATCATTCCTCTACCTTTTAAAAAGGAGAGACCGAAGGATGGATTGGGAAGGCAGAATTTTGTCAATCATAGCTGCCACCGCAAGGTGGATAGAGGACTATTGAATCTATTCATCAAACTTGAAACTACTCTTCACGAACTGCGAATACTGTGACTGCAACTCTGTGACTGACAGTATTGAGTGCCTTGATCAATGAGCTTATATAAAGGTAGTAAAATAGTAAAATTTCAAGTGACATTTCATGAAGCAATGTGGTAGTGGTTAATTTACTCTATGTATCACTCATAGCATGCAAATTAGTAGTAATTAAATAATGGTATATTAATTAAACGAACTCCGGACTAAGTGTTCTGAATGCACAGCATGAGGTCCGTGGCGGCGTGAAGAATATCCGTACTCCTTTCTCCCTACAGTACAACCTCAGCTGACGTCAGAATGATACATACACTAGTACGATCAAAGAGTCGTTACTTCGCGGAAGGGGTGGCAAGGTCAAGCTAGCTCGTGGATAATGAGAATGAGCAACTGAACGCACATAAAGGTATGATAAACGGGAACAATTCACTTTGTATAGGAAGGCAAATAAGGGGTGGATGCAACACATAGTCTGGAACAATGCTATTCAAGGTAGAGGGCCTCTTTATGGTCTCCCAATACTTAAGGAGGTAGGGAACGAATCACATCCGTGTAATTGTCTGCAATTTAAACTACGGCACATCGGGCGGGGGACGGGCATCAAACTTGAGCAAGACCATCTTTGATTCGAATTTTCTAGTTGAGAATCCTACATCTGGAGTCTTCTCTACTGTAACCTTTCTTTTTCTTATTTTCCTCTTCCCTTCTTCTCTAACCCGAAGGGCCGAAGGGGAGTGGCCAATATCAAACCGCACCCAAATGAGACATTTGTCATGATCGTATCGCCTAAGGCTCATGCAAACCCGGCCCTGAAAGAACCCCCCCAAAAAATCTGCACTAATTCCTACCCCCTACCCCTTTACTCTCGCCGATGCTGCTTGCGCAGTTTGAGAATAAACATGATGATGATGATGATGAAAACGCCGAACTCCCTTATGGCCAGTCCCTTCTCCTTGTGTCCAACCGTGGACCCCTATCGACCTAACGCCCATGACTGACCCCTATCAATCAAGATGCAATGAGATGTGGTTGTGTAATATACAGTCGTAGGAGAGAAAGTATCGGTGTGGCTGTAAAATGTGTGGTCATATTCGTCGTGCAAACGGATGAAATATGTATTCGTATGGGAAGAGGCTTTTATAACTCCCTATAGTCACTGGGACGAACTCGGCGTTGTTTGTTTTGGTGTCGTCCTGGGTTCACAGGCTTACGGAAGTAGGCATCGTTGTCATTGTTCGGCGTCGTAAAGTGGGCCTGTGTGGTTGATGGCTCTGGTTGTTATAGCCACCATTCATACCCATGCCATTCATATTACCACCCATGCCAGCACCGTTCATGCCTCCAAAGTTTCCTCCAAACATGCCGTTGCCATTCATGCCTTGGAAAGCTGCCGGGTTCATCATTCCATTCATACCCATCATGGGGTTCATCATGGGGTTCATGCCCATCATCATAGCCATATTCATATTGTTCATATTAGGCTGGCCAAAGCCATTCATAGAGTTCATTGGGTATTGCATCATATTAGGCACCATACTAGGCATGTTGTTCATGCCTGGCTGAATCGTGTTTTGCATATCCTTAGCCTCTTTTGCTCTTTGCATAGCCTTAGGTCCCTTCGGAATCTGGGGTTCTCTAATAAATCATCTGCCGGCCGTTTTCTAGAGGCTACCTCCTGGGGCTTGGGAGTCTCACTAGAACTAGGTGAGTGGGGGTAGGGGTAGACGACTTCTTTGGTGCCTCCGCAGAAGGGGACTTAACAGCTGTGACGGGGGGGTAGGTGACTTAGTCTTCTCTGGAGCAGTCTTCTCTGGAACTGATTGTTGGTCCTTAGGCGAATCTACCTCAGGCGTCCCCTTCTTATCCGATGCCTGGGATGGAGAGTTTACCGCGGTGGGGCTGTTTGATCGCTCCTTAGTTCTAAGTGATTCCTTTTCTTTAAGATAGCTTTGAATCTTATTAGATGTCTCATCATCTAGTTTGAGGTCATCAATTAGCACCCCCTCCGTCTGGCAACCTGGGCAAATGAAGTCGCTCTCAATGAGAGCATTCGTGATGCAATCATTGCAATACGTCTTCTCACAACATGGAGTCTTCATTGGGTCTATGAACATCCTTTTGTCGATGGCGCACAATAGGCCTTTCTCTTCAAGATCCTTATCCCCAGCAGATGCTGCTTTCTGAGCAGCTGACGACGACTTTGTCTTTGCCTGGTACTGCTCCCATGAAGCCTTGTCAGGCTCTGCGATCACGAATTCACCATCTGCATTAACCATGACACCAGCCGGTGGCTTAACCTCCTCGCCGTCTGTACCAGTCTGCTGGAGTGCTGACTTGTCTACAGTCTTTAGGAACGAACGAGGGATTCCTGTAGTTCGTTTAACACGAGGACGGTTGTCAAATTCAGGGTTGTCGTTAGTAGGACAGACTTGAATCCAATGTCCCTTCTGTCCGCATCGATAGCAGATGTAGCCATTTGGGGGTTCATGATCAGGGACATTGGCAGGCTTCTTTGCGCCTGGTTTGTATACTGCAGTTTGACTATCATTTATTAGCATACATATAAAAAAGCGAGTTTTGCTAGCTAACTTACTGAGACATCTCCTCTTGTTGGGCAGTCCACTGGTCTGATTGAGCTTGGAACATGGCCATCATCTTCTCTTCTTCGGTCATTGCTGCGCTCATCTGTGAAAGTCCAATGGTGGCGGGCTTGGCCACCTTAGTCGCGTTCTCGCGTCGTGACGAGTTCTTTGCGCTCGCTGGCATCTTTCCCGAAACATAACGAGCAGCTCGACCTGCGCCGGGTTTCTGAGGCGGAAGTCGGCGAGCAACAACTGTAGTAGATCGAGGTATAATAGTTGTGTCATCGTCGTATTCTATAAGCTAATTAGCACCGTGGTCACATAATCTGGAACGAGAACATACCTTCACTTCCGTCTTCAGAATAGATAGCTAGATCGAAGTCCGTTCCATCACCTAGGCCACTCTTTACGATTATGTCACGTTTGAGTTCGAAAACTGAAATACCAGTGCCATCAAATTCGACACGTGACGGCTCCTTTTGGGACTTGAACTTGAAAAACACGGAGGAAGTCATGATGAAATATAGTACGCCTAAAGCGTGTCACAAGATGTGTAGAAAGGGGAAGAATATCGCGATAGATCGCGAAACGTTGGGCAACGGACAATCCTAAAGAGTTGGATGAAATATATGATGCAATTGATGCAAATCTGTTGTGGGTTGTTCGCAAACTTAGTGAGAGTTTTTGTATTTTTGTTGGTTGTTGAGGAACTTTGCGTGACTATTGTAACTCTCGCTTTCTTTCCTGTTTTCTTCTTCTCAATGACCAACTGGCAAGAAAAAAAAAGTAGATGGGTATCAATTCAGTTTGTACCTGGAAGAACAACGAATGCTCGTGCTCCAGTAAAAGAAAAAATGGAGATGTACAAAGCCAAAGGCGGACTTGACCACCAAATCAGCTCCTGTGATGAAAAGGCAGAAATGCCACCAGAAGTCCACACCACGAACCCCAAAGTACCGTCAAAAATAATCTCGTTAGCCCGAGACCACCAGCCTATCCTACCAGAATTTCACTGATTACAAGTTAGTTCACGACAGATCAGCGAACCATTGCTTGTCCTTTAGGTTGTATATTGTCGTTGCTGGAAGAAGGCGATCGAAGAGACGAGATAATAATGGTTAGTTGATCTTGGTCAGGATCTCGGGTGCACGGTCGCAGAAGGCGGAGACAGCAGCGAGGACTATGGCTTGTCGCGATACTAGAAAATCGTAGCAACAAAACTAATAGCTTGATGCAGAAATGATAATCTAAAAGAAAAAGGTGATGAAGTGATGGAAATGATGGGGTTTTGGGTGGGAAAGAGCAGTTTAAAAAGTAGTGTAAGAAGAGGAAGGAAGCGTTTAGGTTAGGTGATTGTGAATGAAGAGAACTAGCGCGGAAGAGGAGGTGGCCTTAGATGCAGATATATTAGTCAGATTCTTCCGTGCGGTAGCCGTGCTTGTAGAAACTGAGGGATATGAAATTTCTGCACGTGACAAAATATGGCCTTTTTAGCCCCACTTCCGCTATTCCGTCCTTTTCTCATCTCGATTGAGGATCCCGAGCACCAACCGAACCTTTCTAGCATTAAATCTACTTAATCTATTACATACCTAAGGTACCTACATATACACCTACATCAATAGAAGTATGTACGTGCACGTACATATATCCAAGTCAAATTATACAAATCACCAGGTACATTACGTGTATAGGCCAATCAGACATATTACTCGCGTCATAAGGTATTATTGGTGATTTAATTGATAAAAGTATGTATGCTACTAATGATTTTTCCTGGAATGTCCTTCCAACCCCCGGTACCTATGTAGTCTATACCCCATGAACTATCCTAGTAAAGATTAAACACATGAAATATTTTAGTTTTCCGGTAAGAATTTCCCTAGAAATGTCTACTCTAACCAGTGGCTCGAAGGCCTCTACCATTAATCCGAAGCAGTCGCCGTTCTACCTTTCTTCTCGTTCGAGGTGACCTCGTTGGCATGCCTTGCGGTCCTTCGTCCGGTCCGGATGTCCCGGCGCGATGTACAGCAGCAGCATAGGCCAGCATGGATAATAAAGGAAATCAATGTAAATCCAGTCGCTATCCACATAAATGCAAGCATCTTTAATCCAACATCAGCATTGACGTTTAGGTCGGTCTGTGATGTTAAGGCGTATTTAAAAATAAGGGACATAGCTGTGCCAAGGGCGCTAGCGATCAGGACCAGCAGTGTAGAAAGTAAGGCGAGGAAACCCAAAGGACCGCTCCACCATCTCGAGAACACGACAACTGGGGCCAGGCACATCAAAGCAAAGTTCAGAAGCAACCCCGTAAGGAAAAACCCGAACATGATATTTGAGGCGATGCGTAAGATATTCAAGATTTCGTTCACTTCGGCTGGTAACGCGATGGAAGCTCCAGCAAATAACTCGCCAAGTAGGATCTCTACTGGGTTGAACCAATAGAGAGTGGTCGGAGTTGAACAATATGTGATTCCACTAATACTTATGTTAGCTAAGTGTTCTTATAGATATGGGTTTCCACATACTCGGTATTATATCCTTCGCAAAAATTCCAGAGGCCAACCTGATAGAAATCGTGCAGACCTAGAGTCCGCGCGATCGAGTTTTGCAAAGTCAAACTTGTCGGTGCTGATTGGGGAAGAATGTCGGAAAGATCAAGTTTGAAGAAGTAGATGTCACGTAGGACCGGGGAATTTCTCGTATTTCCTATCTCAACCTAGAATATGAGGAGGCAGTTAGTATTATCCAAGTGCAAACGAAGAATCGGGTCCTACCAGAATTAAGAAGATGACGGCCATTATATAGCAGAAGCATGATATCCCAATAGCAACACGGCGTGCTCTAGTTTCTCTCTTTAAGACGGCCGGGTTTTCAATGCTAGGTTGGGGGCTTTCCTTTTGGCCATCGTGAGAAGAAGACGTCGCTGTCGCCGGTCGCTTCGAAAATTAGAGAGAGATCCTAAGGGCATATTCGATAAATCCTATAGTTCAATGTGCGCCGGGTTTCTCCAATCTCCCAGAACTTAGTTCTTAACAGCTTATGTAGATGTAGTTTACCACAGATTTCATAAACTGGTCAGAAGATTTAAGTCAGATTGGTTTGCGGAGAATGGTTGTTGAAAACAACTGACGGGTAAACCGCACGAGATCCCAATGCACGTGAGTACGGATCCGTACATAGGAAGGAAAACAAGGTAACATAAAAATAAAAAACACTTTTGAGTTGTCGTTGAGATCGTCAGCTAGTCAACTAGTCAGCAAGGGCAATGGGGGGGGGAAAGCCTGATCTGAACAGGCGATCATCGCATATGTAATTATTGATTGGTCAACATAATTGATGTCAGAGAAGTACCAAGTAAGTACAACTCCAGTACATTTACTCCTTTTTTGAGGCTTAGAGTTTGGAAGCTTTCCAAGGTAAGGTTAGCCCCACTCAAGGAACTCAAAGGATCCTTGCACATCTTATGTCGACTGCCGGGTAACGGATCTTGCTGCCATTTGCCAAGACACTTTGTGGGCTCTGTAGCAGTGAACCAGATTTTGGGTACCTATCAAAATTTTGAAACATGCCTGAGCTTATTCCACCAATTGTGAAGTTTAGGTACTTATTTGTATGAGTATACGAATATGTAATAAGCGCTTTATTTTAATTCAACTATCCCTGTCATATCCGTGCGATCGCGCTTAATTTCGAATATATCGTATTCTTGCTGCCTATTCAAATAGAGATGTGTTCGAGGCACTTTTTCTGAAGTATCTCGCTAAATATATGCTAAAAGCAGACACTAAAAATGATTTGATACTGATCGACTTGATAATGAAAATCGGGACTTACAAGCTTTAGACCAGGTTTATAGGTTCCGCCCCGTATTTCTCAGCTACCACTGACATCACTCCCTAGCGCCAGCGGAAGTAGAAGCCAGCCACAGACGCGTGTAAACCCTGCCACTTTCCCTGCAATCTGCTTCAGGACAGCTCGTTATCCACCACTCGACAGTTCCGCTTAAGCGGTATCGTATGCAATAGCCTTTATCAAGTAAGGTACATGTAGCTCAGCCTTCCAACTTTTTGCTTGTAATACCACATAAAAGTTAGCTCTGATGTATCTAAAAGTACCTACAGCCCACCAAGTGACTTCAATGTTCCATACCACCAAATGACCTAAGTCACCAGGGGCGGGCACGTTGCTAGAACCCGTTGCCAAAGTAGAGACATTGTCATCTCAACTTTTCAAGTCTTTTTTTTTTTTTTTCTTACTAAGGGTAATTAGAACAAAATTCAATTCTTGCCTCATCACCAATACCCTCAAGTAACTTTCTTCATGTCTAACTACACTTAATCCTTTCCCTACAATCCTTAGGAAGCTATGGCACTACCGTTCGGAGGCCTGGCGCTGTTAGCCACGGTCGCCGGAGTGCTTGGACAAACTACTATCAGTGACGATAGAACTACCATGACCGGCTCGACAGTCTCGTTAACTAAAGTTACAACTCCTACCGATGCATATCAATCTTTTTCCACCCAGATTACTTTGGGTACTGGCCTTGGCTCGATCGAGACCGATGGTACTTCTATAGCTTCCAACAGCACAACAAAGTCTACAATAAGGTCCTCGAAGAGCGAGACGGTAACGTTCCTGACTGGATCTATTGTAACGACAACGGCATTGTCCGGTGAGAATGCCACTTCTTCTACTTCGTCACCTACGCCAGAAGTCACCAATACGCAACCCTGCAATAATTATCCCGAGTTTTGCAGCCGAAAATATAGCAATATTACCCACGTCGCTTGCCACAACTCCCCCTTTATCACGCCAAACAATTTAGCAGCGAACCAGCAGTACGATGTTACGTCTCAGCTCAACGACGGTGTACGGTTTATCCAGGGCCAAATACAATGGCCCACTGGAGGAAACGTGCCTCATTTCTGTCATACGAGCTGCGATATCCTTGACGCTGGTCCGATCACCGACTGGCTCACCCAAGTGAAGAACTGGGTTGCAGCCCATCCTTACGATGTAGTTACCATACTCCTAGGCAATGGAAATTAGTAAATATAACCTTAAACTCATTTGCCGAGACAGCAGCTGACACGCATTATAGTTCGGTTCCCAGTTTATACGTGCCATATATCGAGCAAACCGGTATACTACGGTACATTTACACTCCGCCCTTCGCTCCTATGGCCTTGGATGATTGGCCAACTCTAAGCGAAATGGTTCTAAAAGGACAAAGAGTCGTGATGTTCATGGACTACATGGCAAACCAAACACAATATCCGTGGCTCCTAGACGAGTTCTCGCAACTGTGGGAGACGCCGTTCGACCCGATCGACCAGAAATTCCCCTGTACTGTACAACGGCCACCGAATTTTGGCCGAGAAAGATGCCAAGAACCGGCTATACATGATCAACCACAACCTAAACATTGAGCTTTCCATCCTCGGCGCTGATATGTTAGTGCCCGCCCGGACGGAGCTAAACGTAACGAACAACGTGACAGGAGATGGTAGCCTTGGTCTTTCGGCTAACAACTGCCGCACTGACTGGGGGCGAGCGCCAAACTTCTTGAACGTGGATTACTACAATATGGGAGGTTTTGCAGGGTCCGTCTTCGAAGTGGCTGCTCAGATGAACAACGTCACTTACAACCGCCAGTGCTGCGGGATGAATACGAACGGGGCGGGAAGTCTACTTAGCGGCGAAGTCATATATCCATTGGCAATGCTGATGGCATTTTGGGCGTTACTATGTTAAATAAAGTTTGCATTCATGGAGTCATCGCGTGGGCGGCATATTTTATAGAGGGAGCATATGCTGCGTTCAAGCATGCAACTCGGGCCAATGGCATTGGAAACTGACACGATTTGTCTTTTTGGAATTTAATCTATAATTTAATAGAAGCCCTCTTTCCGTACCGTTTATCAGGTTCACTGTTGCTATTTGCGTAAAGAGAGGTTGCTTTGGGAGTTTTAGGTTACGAATATAGATTCCTATACTTGGGATGTCGCTCGTACTTGTACTAAGGCTTAGAGGCATCATATTTTAACGATAAGCATAGTATGTCTTATAATAAATCATTTAAGACAGTGTCTCCTACATACCATTTTTAGCTTAACCTATTACGAGGTAGTCATATACGTTAGTAAACCGTATAAATAAATGCCTAAAACCCGTCTCAACAATTTCCCATCAGATCTAAACATGTGTAGACCAAGTGCGCAATACGATAACGCATGGGGGTTATAGCGTCAATATTCCTCACCTCTCCATTCATCCTTACTAACAGCTTACTGACACCGCATCATCATGCTTCAATACCATACGCCTTGAGCGCCGTGCCGCCCCAAATCATGCGCTTCTCGTCGTCTTCAAACGAGGCCATCCAGCACAGGCGATCGACAATCTTCTTCCACTTTTGCCAAGCGTCGTCACCTACACCAACCGTGCACACGGGCCAATCGCTCGCGAACATGATGCGGGAGGCGCTGAAGGCAGCGAGCACAACGCTTAGCCAGGGGCTGATCGCGTCGAAGATGTCTTCGGGGGAGCGCTGGCGCAGGGCTTCGGGCATCTCGGCAAAGCCGCCTGATAGCTTCATGTAAGTCCGGCTGCACTTGCTCAGGGTGAAGATGGCGGTGCGCCAGGCGATGAAGGACGGGCTGGTTTGCACGTTGTAGATGCCGAGGTCGGGCTTGCAGAGGTGGTCTGTGGGGGTGTTAGTTTGCTTAGGGCTTACACTATGAGGTGTGGATGAGAAAAGGGGGGGAGTGGGCACGGACTGATTATAAACGTGACTCTCTGGTCCTCGGGAACGCCATCGTGTGCGCGATCGATCATCTCGACGACTTCCTCAAGTTGGGCCCTGCCGCGGTTATGCTGGTCGACACCTAGATCGAACACGAAGCCTCGGCGGCCGAGCAACTTCAAGCTTTCGATGAAGTTATCTTGAAGCATGGTCCCGTTGGGCTTGTCTTGTAGCAGGTATCTGAAGCCCCTGACCTTGGGCCAGCTCTCGCCAGCTTCCTGCTTCACTAGGTCGAGATACTTCTCCATGGCAGCAACGCCGCTGGGTAATGGTGCCCAGGGGATGTAGGCGGTACATAGCGAGGCATCTTCCGCAGTATGGCCCTCGCCCGGCTTTGGTTGGCCGGTAATGATGCGTTTCAGCCAGGAGACCTCTTGGAGTGGGTACTCCCAGCCTTTCTCCCCAGCTTCTAGGTCATTCTTCCGATCCGTCTCTAGGAAGATGAAGCCCTGGGGTGTAGAGCCTTCGGTAGCAGCTCTGTATTCTTCTAGCGAGTGCTGTTTATTCAGCGGATGCTCAGGTGTAGGCCATGCTAAAGTTGAGAGCTCTGATTCGGGATAGAGGTGAATGTGTGCGTCGATGATAGGAATATCGGCAGCCATATTTGAAAATTTTGAGTATTTCCTTGTGTGTATATTTATTTATTTATTTGATCTTCTCTTTAACCTAGATTGATCTATTCGAGTTAACTTTCGAACAGGAGAAAATAGAGATTAGAAGGGTAAAGTTTAAAAATAGTTAATTGTAGTGTAACTAACTAAACAAGCTTCATCTAAAGCTTCACGCGACTGCCTCTCTCTATTCTCTATTTCTCCCAAGCTACTCCTTGCCTTACCTATTGTTGTACCTTACCCCGCCATGACCCCCCTACTGGAAGCCCACTATTTCCCCTGAAATGGTCTGGTCTGGCTATTTAATGGATGTACATTGTATGTATTGCATAGTCGCCCCACATACCACTTCAAATATCGTCCGTCATTCGCTCTAAAACCCGATACTTCACATACTTGGAAGTATATACCTACTATATTGGCGGATGGGTACCGACTGATGTGGTGGTCCGTTACGAAGTTAGGTTAAGCTATGTTGTATCAATTATAACTGGTGGTTTATCACAGGTGTAATGTAAGTGATAAGCATGGGGAAAAGGCGGTATAGCACCGTGGATATAATATTCAACTATATGTTGCATCATTATAATACACTGTGTTGCCTTAATCCTAAAGCGTTAGACGAGCTTCAAAAGATTACTCAATTAGGAAAATTACTATCGCTCGTTGTTTCTGATTCTAAAGACAAAAGTGGCTTAAGGATCTATTTCATAGACAATTTATCAAGAAACTAATTGTCAACCCCCAGGGATTTCTCATAAGTCGGCAGTTTCCTAGCATCCTTCTGCCGTTCAACAACCTGGCTAGCGGTATCTTTCATCGTTCGTATACCCTCTTCCCTAAACTCTAGGACCTTCTTCGTAGCAGGCCGTTTCGTCATGTTGGCGTTCCAGCGGTAATATTCGGGAAATTCCTTCTCTAGATCTAAGCTACCTCCGGGGAATGCGGTGCCGAGGAGAGTATTCCATGACACAAACGAGAGGTCCGCGTATGTACACTTGTCGCCGACGAGCCAGACGGGTTCGTCGGCAGATAGGCCCAGTTTCTGCCTCTGCTTGCGCAGCGAATCGTTTACCACACCCATGATGCGCCTGGCCTCAGCCGCGTAGCGGTCTATTGCCGTCTGTACGTTCTGCTCTATGTGGATGTGCGTGAACCATACTATTCCGCGAGTCAGTAAGTCGAGTTAGATGAATGTTTCCTATGAGGATAGTAAGGATTCTTGGAGTCTTAAAATACGTACCTTTTTGGCCAAACATAGGGCCTTGGCCGCTCATCTGGAACATGAGCCAACTCTGAAGCTGCCACTTCTCCTGAAGCCTGTCGTCTCCATACGTGAGCTTGAGGTCCTTGTCGTAGGTAGCGATGAGATAGTTGATGATGGCGCCAGACTCCCAGAGTGTCACGTTCTTATTCGGGTCGATCATGGCGGGAAGCCGTCCATTAGGATTCAGAGAAGTGTACGGCTCTGATTTGATCTCGCTGTACGGAATCCAGACGATATCATATGGTATACCGAGCTCTTCAGCTACAATGATGGGTTTCCAAGGGTTAGGCCCTTGACCGTGAGGTCCATTGTAGATCTTGATAGGCTGCATGGTGAATGTCAATGTCGAACTAGAATAGCTTAATAGCTTCACAGATTTATAACGGAAGCTAGCTTGTCCTCATCTTATACATGTAGCTTCTCACAGCCTTATATAGTAAATCTCAACCAACATCAAATCTAGGTATCTTCTAACTTTCGAACTTAACATCGGCGCCGAAACTAATAAACCCGCAAAGCCCGTGAACGTGCAGTTGAGTATATAAGATCTCACACTATACTCATGTCTAGCGATGACTCAAAGAAGTAAGGAGACTTCCGAGAACCGGCGATGATGGCGATGATCGTCGGAGATTCACTCTCATGCTATGCAGAACAGGCATCTTTGAGAGCTTTCGCCTATATATGCTGTCCTATGAGCATTGAAATTTGGCGAGGAAGCACGTTCTATCGTAAATCCGATATTTAGTGATTATGACATTTGTCATCTCATAGCGATCCTACGGCCAAATTGGCCGATAGAGAATAATGATGACTTCTTAGCCAATCGAAAGTTATGTGGAGAGTGCAAGGAAGTTAGTATACAGAGATAAATATCGGTTACCTACTAAGGTAAATAGAACAAATAGTCAGGACTGTGTCAGCTTCAAGAACCAGGGGTTTCTTGCACGATACAACCGCGATCATGTAAATGTAACGATTCAATGGCTTAACCATGTATCCTTACGTTGTAATGGCATGTGTGGACATCTTATGATTGATATTAACTGTATTACATGTCTTCTTCCAATGCTAGAGCTATAAATAGGACGATCACAATACGCTCAGTACCGATGTAATATCTTCCCACTAGAGTACATATGCCAATAGCACCCTGGTCTCATTTGAGCCTCTATTTCCTTTGAATGACACCTTTATCACGGCCCAAAGGCATCGTAACGCCACGCTACCTAACCCCAGACGACCCAATGGAGTCCGCACATACCTTACTCAGGGGGCACATACGGGTGGACCAGCATTTCGCTGAAGCGTTCTAGCTTCTCCTTGCCCCGGACTTCCTCCACTAGAAGCGGCATTCTGACCACGTTGAATTCGTCGTATAACTCCTCGATTTGATCCAGATATTTTTTCTGCATTTTCCGTCGGGCATTGCATTGCTCGCAGTTGCTACCTTGTTTGGGAAATAATAGCTGGTTCACCACAATACAATGCGTGTCAATATTGTAGCTAGCTAGCTCCTGAATCATACGTTCCGTCTCGTACAGACTCAAGAATTCAGCTATACAGACGCAGACAAATGTAGTCAGGTTCTCGTCTTTGAATTGTGTATTGACCTCGGAAATCGTCTGGCGAAGACTCTCCAGCTTCTCCATCATCTCGTTCAAGTTCTGTCCATTCGGTAGTGTACCTTGGTTTCCAAGGAAGCCGTTAAGTAAGGGCCCATATTGGGAAGATAGTTGGGAAATCTTAGCGAGAGCTTTCTCGAGAACGGACGGGAACTGGAGGAAACGGAGTGTGTGACCTGTGGGCGCGGTGTCGAAGATGATGACTTCGTACGAGAGAGATTTGACTTGTTTGAGGACCTCTGCAAAGGACATAGCCTCATCTATACCAGGAATCTAAAACGTCATGTTAGCTTGAGTAACATGCAACGTCATGTCATATAGTAGTACTTACTGCAAATGCTAAATCTTGCATCATGCCCCCTACGCCACTAAGCGGATCACTGTTTTCTTCACCCTGTCCGGCTATTAAGTCCTGAATGCTTCCATTAGGGTCGATCTCCATAGCGCTCAAATTAGAGAAACCCTCTATTAATCGCGCTTCCTTGCCGAATTTCTGGGAGAAGGCGTCGGACAAGTTGTGAGCAGGATCAGTCGAGATGAGCAGAACCGAGCGGCGGACTTTAGCAAGTTGTATAGCGAGAGAGCACGAAGTTGTTGTCTTGCCTACACCTCCCTTTCCGCCGAAAAATCCATCGCAGCGTCTTCTGGTCTAGGATAGACTGCAGGGTTGGCTCAAGGCCATCATCAGCGGAGACCACAGCAGTGGACATGTTGGCCGAGGTTGTAAAAGTTGGAGGGGAACTGTGTGTGACGAAGAGGATTCGAGGAGAGTATGAGAAGATGGTGAGTAGTACCTGGCTGTGCGAGTATAAATTACTAGTGTAGATTAAAGAAGTGTAACTAATTGTCGTGGCATAAATTTGGAGGTAGATTCTGGAAGATCAAATGGAATCGCGTCGAGCTTCTGGGCAAATCAAAATTGCCCCGCGATTAATCCCTGAGGGTAGGTACCTGGTAGGTACGTATATTTGGTGGGATGAAGTACCTAAGTACTATTTACAGCGGTCATAGGTACGCCACATACATACATGTATATAAAGGGGCAAATACATCAGGTTACGTATATCTTGACATTGTAATTGTAACTTTACCAAACATTCTTAGCACTCTTACTATCAACATTATTCGCAGACATCGGAATTAGAACTTATAGATGTTTGTAATAATTTAACATATCGTAGCCCAAGATTATTATATTTTAAGAACTATTCTCAAATATTATACTACTTAATCCTCCCTTAACCATGTCAATCATTCGTCTTCTACTGTAAATGACACCGTCATACATTCTATGATGCTAGCAGTCTCATTTATCTCCAGTATTGTGAAGGGCGTTAGGAACGGCTCGTTCAATGCTCTCGGGGACCTTCTCCTGAACCTTCTTAGGTAGAATTGATTCCTCTCCTCCGCCCTTTGCGTGAGTCTTGCTAGTGGAATCCCCAGCGCCCTTGCCCGTGGGATGGATCTTTCGAGACGGTCAGCGGAACTAACTATGAATAAATATTTTAAGAGGTTAGGCAATTGGACTCACGCTGTCGGGAAGTGACTGTTCTACATCCTTGGGTACTTTTTCTTGAATCTTTCCGGGCACTTTGGACTGGCCTGTGGCGTGCGACTTGTCTGCGCTGGACATTCTTGCGGAAGTAATAGAAATAGATCTGGTTCTGAATGGAAACTGTCTTAACCCGGTGAATGTACGTAGTCGAATCGATTGCGAGAACATTGTTTATCAAAAGCTTCTGATAAATATTTTGGAGAGATGTTTGTCGTACTTATAATCCGTTCCTAAACAACAGATGCAGACAGGAGAGTTTATTTTCCTGATGAATCACCAGTATTAATACTCTAACGTGCATGATGACCATACCATTACATATGCTACTATGACGAGTTTCTATGACGGGTTGTAGTCATAGACGTGGTGCTACGAACATCCTAGGAGCATATACACCTAGATTTTAGTGGATGGGTTGAGCTTAAGCTTTGCTAAGCCGGAATTTCACCCATATGAGCTCTTTACAGTGGAACATCCGTGAGCCCATAACCTAGATAATATGTAGATTCATGTAAGATATCAATTTTGATGAATAAATAGTCACTTAACACCGAGACGGGCAGGGCTTCTTGCACATCAATTATCTTCCGCGCGTCATATGATTCTAAAACTTCTATGAACTCTTTATCACGTCATGTATACTATACGACCTTATAGGGCGATTAAGTAGGTTAAAATACTTTCCTATATACTTTCGGTATATTAGGAAAACATACTGAAGGCGAAATCAAGTACATCAAGTCATAATTAGTAACCTAATCTAGGACAGTCTACAAACTTGGTAAACTTGCTAGCACGGAAGAAACCGCTGTCCTGGCTACGACTAACTAAACTATTTCATTAAACATAATAGAATAATCCGGCTAACAATCAATGCCACTCCTTAAACTATTTTGACAATATCCAGATATTATTAACCCTCATTTGCACAGTACAGTGGTGTAGCATTTTGTCCACCTCTCATAAATTTTATTTGAAAAAATATCAGGGGCTCCCACCACGAGCAATCTAGTGAAAACCGTGCATAATTTTTATGATTAGCATTTTCATATTTGATATCCTCGATGAGTTCAACATTGGATCTGTTTATTCGATTTACTATACTCTCAGGTGCGAGGCTTTATGATATTTTGAGCTTCACCAGGTCTATATTAAGGAAATTTAAGTGAGATTACTCTATCATCATTGATTTCTCTTATATGGGTATATTTTTTAAGACACCTACTAATTTACTCTCGTAAAGGTTATGCCATATCCAGCGTTGCATTCTATCAGTTATTTCACCTGCGCATTTGGGCTGAAATAATCCTTCTTTCAAATGACTAATAGTAGTAGAGGCGATGCTACTTTAAATGAAAATGATAATCCTTCATGAGACCGAAGCAACCAGACATTTCTAATTATAAACTCCCCAAAACTCCCTAAAGCAACCCTCATAGAGGACATCGAAAATTTGTTGAGCGAATCAGAGGACTCTCATACAGCGAGAATGTTGCACGGCAGTTCGCTAGCTGCGAATAGCATCCGCCTCATGGGTTATTCGTAAGCGCGTCCGTATATAATGTTAGAGTTGGAGTCCTCTTGTATGACAGGTGGCCCACGGTTACATACCAATGATACGACCCTAAAACCGATTTGATTCAGATTGAATAATTACACTACAAAGGCATGAAAGTAACTGTCAGAAATTACAGACCCCAAGCTAAAATCTTAGATCATTTGACGTACATGGCCAGTATAGTAGGAACCTACATGAATGAAGAAGCTACCCCCAAGTTTCATTGCAGGCCGTTTGTGCAACACATCTACGATGTATTGCCGGTGAATGATCAACTGTCACCGCTGTCGACTCAATTAATAAGGTAGGCTAGCCCTACTATGAATGATTGGGGCATATTCGTGTTTCCTTTTCTTATTATCTACAATCAGCTTCTACAATTCATCTTCCATCGCATCAGTCTATCACTAAGAAGGTCAAAAAATAAAATAATAAACGCCCACAGAAGTAGAAAGCTTGCTATTAAAGCCTCTGGCATATCACGCAATAATTTATGTATTTATTTTCATATTGTTTCAAATCATTAATCTGTTGACTTATATCGAACCGAGACGGGTATAAGCGAATGCCGACACACTTTTTAATACTATACGGAGAGCATTTTAAAATCGACTAAAAAACATGGGGTGGATACATAACGCTCCAAATAACACTGCCACCAATGGACCGACAATAGTGGCCGTCGCAAGCGTTCTATCAGGAGTTTCTTTATGCTTTATATGCCTTAGGGGTTATGTTCGAGGTCGGCTTATACATGCCTTGGGAATAGGTATGTTGCTCATAGTAAAGCTAGACTGAACTAGCATACTGAACTTGTATGCATCTAGATGACTGGATCATCTTCATAACTTGGGTAGGGGTCCTCCAAACGTATCTGCTCTCGGTAATTCCTAACTAAAGATATAACTACCTACCTAGCTTCTAACGTGCGGTTTCACCGTGGTTACAGCAATCCGTATGTATCACTCTCCTTCAAATTGAGTACTATTTGCAGTTGACATGAACTTGGTAGAAACAACATGGGGCTTAGGGATGAAACATGTCGACGATATACCTACCCAAAACATATATCCCTTCGGACAAGTAAGATAGAAGCTCCTATCACATAGCGGTTATATCTAACACTAAACAGTTAGAACTTGCGGGCTTTTCCTTGTAAGCATTAAACTAAGAGGTAGTCGTTGGTATTTTCGACCCCTAATCTAGATATTTAGATATATTCTTAGCATTCTTGGGTTTAAGCTTAGCCTGCTAGTATCTTACTTTCGATTTGTTCCCCAGGGGATGTGCAAGTATGGAGTCACCAGCGTATTAGTTTCTTGCACGCTATTCCACCTATCGTGTCTGATAGTTCAACTCAACCAATGTCATCCGGTATGTTAGCGGGCTCACTCAAATCTGCAATGTGGCTGACTTGGGTAGATCGCAAAGAAATGGGATCCAAATGTCCCAGGGAGATGTATTAACCAGATTCCTTACTACATGGCTTCTTCGGCGTTGGCTATCGTTTTCGATTTCGCTGTGTAAGTACCTTGAATTTTATTCAAGAAATACGGGGAAGGCTCTGACCAGTTATAAGCATGTTTCTTCCATTCCCAGTACTCATTAAAACGAAGATCCAGACACGGAAGAAGGTCATGTTGCTGGGACTTTTCGCCCTTGGCTTCTTTATCACCGGGATCCAGATTATCAGAATCCAATTCTTGAAAGACCTCAGAGACCCCCTTAATTCTGGACCTGTCGTACTATGGTCAACAGTCGAAGCAAACCTAGGTGTAATAATTGCATGCATACCGGTCCTTTCGCCTCTTTTCAAGCAGAGACGTAACAGCTATAATAAGGAAACATCCGAGTCGACGTGGGGGAATACTACAACACCGAACATTACAACGCACTCTTGTAATATTGCTAGGAATCACACCTCCGAGGACGACTTATTCGATACAGAGAATGACAATGATAAACGTCTAACGAACACTGAGAGCCGAGAGCCTATTAATATAGTGGACGGACGCATACTTAGGGAGACAGATATTGTCGTTGTCAACCAACTAGCCCCCGCTCATCTGGCCCCCATACATGATACGGAGCTAGGAGGACCACTGAAGGTTAATTACGAATGCTGGGCGAGGAGTACTAACATGACAATTCACGACGGATTTTCGAGTCATAGCCTCAACCGCATTTAGGTTTGCTTATAAGAGTTACCTAACACGATAGTCTATCGTGTATATCATTTGATTAAATTGATAGAAAAGGTTGGGGTATGGTAATTAGAGCCTAGATATATAGTAATGATAATTTGATATTACCACGGTGCAGAGCCTTAAACTAGTACAAAGTTAAGCCGTGTAAGCATAGCCTCATTGGTGCTACACACCATGTCAATGCGATGCATAGGTATGTCTTACAATGTCTTATACGGCTTCACCGGATGTAACAATTTTATAAATATCTATAAGAACGTGGAAAAGATTGCTAAAGAAACACCTAAAGGTGTGAACTGGTTGCTGGTATATAATTTATCAATTGTCTACACCGAGTAATATGGAGTCGAATTCATTACTCACAGAATAAATATCTCGGAATGAGACTTCAACGCTGCCTAATTGCTTATCTAGGCACACTAAGATTTGGTAAATAATAGAACCGACTTGTCTTTGGTTGTCGACGAGAAGTTTAGTATGATAAAAAAAGCCTTGTTATGTGGAAGTTCTTGGAAACGATGGTCAATAAATGTGAATCTATCAAAGGGAATCTTTCCGCTTATGATTATATGTTAGCTCCAAATAACCTAACCGTACTTATATGACACTCGATAGAATTGGCATTTCATATTAGTACGAAAGGTACCTGTTACCATATGGGAGGTGAAGGAAGATTTTGAACATTTAATACTTGGCTAAATCTGAAATGCATGGTTAACCATCGCACACTTAGGTATTTAACTAGATATAGTCGGACTACGAGCTCACATCTATGAAGCATAACGCCCAAGGATTGCCGTAAAGATGCTGTGTATGATCAGTAAGATTAGCTCACAGATGGTGTCGTTTGTGCAAAAGAATTTCGATGAGGCATTCGTTGCTAGACAAACTGTCACCCATAGGTAGTCTTTTGGAATCATCTAAGGGGTGCAAATCCCCTATTACAAGACGTAGACGAATAGGACACGAGATACCACCAACAATACATATCGAGCTAAGAATTTACTCTCGTTTGAAGGATGAAATAACATTAAGACTGATTCGTATCTATGAATCTATGTAGTCTAAAATAATAAAGGAGAGAAAGGACTAGGACATACCAGCCTTTCGTATCCCTTTCAAGTTCCTTTCGAAGTATCTCACATGAACCAGAGTCAGTAACTTTGACAGAACTAAGAGAATTGAAAGTTTGTTATGGAAATTCGTTGGTAGGTCGTAGCATTCGGTATACCCGTAGGACCCTTTCTTGCAAGCTCCCTCCCTAGATAGAAGACTTAGGTATCATAGTAGTTATATAATCCTCCTATACCGTCCCCATTCCCTCTACTAGATCTAAATGCCCTAATAATACCTGAAGGTACCTCTCAATATAATTCTACCTCTGGTATGAGGAATGCAAGTTCCTGTACAAGTGCCTGTACATGAGGTACCTGGGTAATCTTAGCACCTACCCCGTCTAAGGCTACTCGCATGCACCTTCTTGTGTATGGATGTTACCTAGGCAATAATAGCACCTGCTTTATTTGACATTACCTTTTCAACACACTGCCTGGACTGTCAATGCAGTGCAGCTTCTCTCCTTAGGGCTTGAAATCAGCCATCCCAGCACGTAACTCCACTCGAATCCCCATAAGGTCTCTTCAGTTTCAACCTAGAAGGCCTTGCTCTCTTTCTCTTTCTCTTTTACACTTTCCAAATAGTAGGTGCCTTCCATTATATCCACCTCCATCTACTTAAGTTTCATCTCACCTCCCAGTTTTATTCTTTACTTTCTTTACAATATCAATAACTTCGACATCCTCACCACAGGAGGTCACCAGTCTCTGACAAAGAGACAACGCGAATCAACCAAGTCAATCCTATTTAATTCCCCTCGCTTAGGCCCTGCTACTACACCTACTTGCCTAAGGCACGTAAAGGTAAGTCACGATGTTTCGTTTGGGCGGTGCGGCTACTTGTTTCCTCCGACTTGAAATGTTTGCATCAAGACGCATCGCACTTTACCATCATCCTTCTATCTTTCTACCTTTCTACCCTTCTACTTCCCTTAACACAATCTTTAACCCTTCCAAACTTCCGTCACTCCGGTTTAGCTATATTGCCTCTTACTCCTCTATCCTCTTCACCAACCTTTCCTCTGCCCTGTCATTATCCAACAGGAAGCGCCTACGCTTACTACTACGCCAGCCATACTCTGGTCGAAGCTAGTAAAGCTAGAGAAACCTTTGATCATCTTGAATTTACATCACTCTAACATCCTCTCCTCCTTAATCTTACAGTCGTGTCATCACATTCTACTGTTCAGCCACCACTTATTGGTGCTCTGGGACGTAGGTGAACGTACGTGTTGCACATTCATGTTTCGTCATTTATCTAACTTCATATTTCGCTTATTCCGTATCATATGCTACCTAACTAAAGCTGTTCGGCCAAAATTTTGTTTTTGTCAGCAGTTATACCTACTTATACCCAACCACGTTCTCACTCTTTTATTTTATGAAGTCACGCTAATAAACCCCCTAGGACTTCCTCGAACAGCCGAAATGTCTGGCTGGCACAACGCGACTATCGACCACTCTGGTCCCCAAGATGGCGGAGGCGGTCGAGCCTGCTTCAACTGCGGCCAGGAGGGGTAAGTTGAATTATCGTACTGAATATGCATAGCTAACACTAGATCTAGCCACAACAAGGCTGAATGCCCCAATCCTCGTGTCTTGAAGTGCCGACATTGCAATGAGGACGGTCATACGATCCGTGGCTGCCCCACCGCTCCTCCCCAGGAGTTCACTGGAGAATGCCGATTCTGCAAGAAGGAGGGCCATATGGCCAAGGATTGTCCGGACAAGCCCCCCATGGTCTGCAAAAACTGCCTTCAAGAAGGTAAGACAACTAAATAGCAACCCTAAATACAGAAAACTAAGCATATTGATTCTACTAGGACATACGGCTGCTCTATGCAAGAATCCGCGCAAGATTGACCGCTCGTCTCTTGGTGAGATCCCCGCTGAAGTAGCTTGGGCAAAAATCATGGCAGGAGCCAAGGAGAAGGACCTGGACAAGGTCAAGGAGGGCATCCAGGAGTATCTCAACGCTACCCCAGGCATCACCTACGTCAACCTCGAGCAGGCGTTCCGCTCTCAGTTCATTGAATTGCACCTGATCGCGTTGGAGGACCCCGCACTGCTCGCGACTCACACTCACATGGACCTTCAAGGAAACCTTGACAAGAAGTACCGTGTTCACTATCGCTGGAGTGACAAGCCTCTCCGTCCTCGAGAGGTCCAGCAGTGGCCTCAGTCGGCTGCGGAGAACCTCGAGCGTCTCAAAGATGCTGGCGAAACCGTTGAACGCGGCATACCCAAGTGCACCAACTGCGGCGAGATTGGTCACATTTCGAAGAGATGCCCCCAGGAAAAGATTTGAGAAGGAACACACTGTCATTAAGTGCTTCAATTGCGACCAGTCAGGTCATCGCATCCGCGACTGTGAGTCTGGCTAAGTGTATTCTGTTTGTCGCTTTCTAACACGGATAAGGCCCGGAGCCGCGCAAAAACAAGTATGGCTGTAGAAACTGCGGGTATGTATATGCCTAGTTATCCATATCTTATTAGTCCTGAATCACTAACCATACCTGTTACTATAGCCAAGGAGGTCACATGGCATCGGACTGTGAGTGATTACGTTGCTAACCTCCTACTTTTCGTTGACAAATTTCATAGGCCCCGAGCCTCGCCGAGCTAGAGATGACGTTGAGTGTCGCAAATGTGGCGGAAGTAAGTTGTAAATCATGATTACTTAAATACCTATGAGTGTTACTAACTAGATGCTTCAGCCGGTCACTTTGCCAAAGATTGTCCTCAGGAAGGTGGAGGTCGTAGCCGCGCGTGCTTTAACTGTGGCGAGGAAGGCCACGGTTCTCGAGACTGCCCGAACCCCAAGAAAATCCAGTGCCGCAACTGTGATGAGTTCGGACACATGTCCAAGGAATGCCCCAAGCCCCGCGATTGTAAGTGAAGCCGGATATTTTGCTTACTATCTACCTAGGTAGGCATACTCTATGGAACTACGTGCTAACATCCTAAAAGACAGCCGGGTTAAATGCACAAAGTGCGGTGAGATGGGCCACACTCAAGTTCGATGCAAGATGGAGTCTGCCCCTATCGACGAGCCCACCTTCGACGCGGTTGACGGTAGCGTTGGTTACCCTGGCGGAAATAGCTTCCCGCCAGCCCCAGCTGCACCTGAGACTGGTGCTGGTGACAACTGGGGCTCTAACGACAATGTTAACTGGTAAATGCTACGCGATGATCTAGACTCATTGAGTTTCAGGATCTTGGCTTCTTCGACTCTTCAGTTTACTCTTAATATTTTGCGGATGTTTGTTGACGATGAGTCTGAGAGGTCGGTTTCGCATGATAGCCAATTAGCAGTCATGTACATCAGGTAATTATTGCGAATGAGTTTGACACAGGGATGAATCGCGAGGTCACTACTAAGTTAGTACCATAATGGGTGGTGGTATTTGAGCTGTCTAGCATCTCCTGAGCCCTCTTGCACACGGATAGGATGATTTGCTTTATATTCAGAGCTCAGATAGTCAATACATCATAAAATTCGGTGTGAAATTCAAACAGGAACCTGCCCCCCTCCCCTATTTTAAATCTAAGGTGCCTACCTAGGTAAGTACTTTGTAACGCGTGGCGTTTCAGCCACAGCGAAGCAGCCTATTAGAAGCTTGGAAGCTTGGTCTTTATAGACTTAGGGTGCCCCGCAGCTATTAGGTAGAGGGTAAACTGCCCCTCTGCCCCTCTGCCCCTCCATAAACAATGCGTCGTCAGAAGCTCCTAACATAAAGCTGGTCGAATCGAATCTGCTCTCTTTACAATATTCTCATGACGAACATTATTTTGACAAACTAATAATTATATGGGAATATTAGAAATATTCTGAAAATCGTATTATCAAGCGCCGGAATGTCGATAACAATCGAGAAGATACTCGCTGCTTCTCCCGTGACAGCTCGAGGGCAGCCGACGCAGCTATCGACTGATGCCAAAGGGGAAAGGATAGCTTATGCTGTAGGTACCCTAAAGCCGAGTTAGTATTCATAGTATGGGAGTTATATCTAACATTATATTAGTCCGGGAAATCAATATTTGTTCGATCTATCGACGACCCTTCTACTAGTAAACAATACACTGGTCACACGGCCCAAACGACCGTTGCCAAGTTTTCGCCAAGTGGATTCTACATTGCCAGCGGCGATGTATCGGGCTCGGTTCGAGTATGGGACTCGATAGAGGCTGTGAATACCAAAGGTACCAGCTACTAGATCAAAAGTGTGCTGGTGGTATCCATGTTCAACTAACATAACATTCCAACTTAGGCGAATATCATATTATCTCGGGTCGCATCAATGATATAGCGTGGGATGGCGATTCGCAGCGTATCATTGCGGTCGGCGACGGGCGTGAGCGGTTCGGACACTGCATCACTGCGGACAGTGGTAACAGCGTAGGCGAGGTATCCGGTCATTCTAAAGTCATCAACTCGGTTGCCGTAAGGCAGATGAGGCCCCTCAGAGCCGCTACCGCGAGTGACGACATGGCTATGTGTTTCTTGCACGGTGCCCCGTTCAAGTTTAACTCAAAGTCAACTGGTCTTCATAAAGGATTCGTATTGGGCACGGCCTTCTCACCAGACGGGAACACCCTTGTTACGGTGGGTGCAGATAAGCGAATTCAACTGTACGATGGGAAAACTGGAGAACCTATAAAGTCCATTGGCGAAAACGAACATACGGGAAGCATCTTTGCAGTTAGCTGGTCAAAAGATTCGAAGAGTTTCGTCACAGCCAGCGCCGATCAGACGGTCAAATTATGGGATGTGGAGGCCGGTCAAGTCACACAAACGTGGAAATTCGGAGGAGATGGTGTCAATATTTCAGACCAACAGGTCGGTGTGGTATGGCCACATGGTCGTAGCGATGGCTTGATTATCAGCCTCAGCCTTGGCGGAGATCTAAACTATCTGGTAGAAGGTAACCCGAAACCGATCAAAGTTATTCAGGGACATAACAAGAGCATCACAGCCCTGGGAGTTGGCTCGGATGGCAAAGGTCAAACACTATGGACTGGAAGCTTCGATGGTCGGGTCTGCAGCTGGGATCTCGGCTCTGGAGCCGCCACCGTTGTCGACGGACAGACTCACACAAATCAGGTAACAGAATTCACATCTAGTACTGGGCGAGCATACAGTGTCGGGTGGGACGATACTCTGCGCATAGTCGATGAGTCCGCCAACACCTTTGCCGGCGAGTCGTTAAAACTGTCTGCACAGCCCAAGGGAGTTGCTTCTGCGGATGGACGAGTGTACGTGGCAACCATCGCCGGCGTCGAGATCTATGTCAAGGATCAACTTGCAGACAAGCTAGAAATCTCCGAAGCGCAGCCAACAGCCATCGCCGCCCAGGGATCACTGGTAGCAGTAGGCCTAAGCAATAACGCGGTGCGTCTATATAAGGCGGACTCAGGCAACAAACTTACGCAATCACATGAGGTGAAAAACTCAACAGCGCAAATTTCGACTCTAGCCTTTTCGAAGGACGGCTCGTTGCTTGCCGCGGGCAACACGGCAGGCAAGATATACGCATATCGCACGTCCGGACTGGAGTTGGCGACGGATCGGTGGTCGGCGCACACGGGTCGTGTAACAAGCATCGCATGGAATGAGGCGGGCACGCACGCGGCCAGCGGCGCGCTGGATACTAATGTGTTCGTATGGAGCCTCGCGAAGCCCGGATCACGCGTCAAGGCGCTGAACGCGCACAAGGACGGCGTTAATGGCGTCGCTTGGGTGCATGGCGGGACGAAGGTCGCAAGTACGGGCGAGATGCGGCGATTAAGATTGGAATGTTAGGGGCTGCAATAAGAGATGGGATGACCTTATGAAGTATTGATCATGATCATGATAGCCTATATGAACAGGTAGATATTGAACGAGGCTTGGGATTGTTTATCCAGCTTACTTCTCGTAGATAATGATTTCTCCGAAGTGTTTCTTGATAGACGGTTGAACGTGTAGCCCTTGAACTGTATACGTTTTGAGAAAAATTACCTTCAGAATACAACTACACGCAATAAGCAAGCAATAGACGCACTATTATAGTTAAGTTTAAGCACAGCATAGTGTTGGATACGTTATAAGATACCTATCATTAGAACCAGAGTCTATTCGTAAATGCAATTCGAGTTACCTAGCGGAAACTAAAACAGTCGCAATTGGGGTATCTCCCTTTCCTAGTAAACGCCGTAACTAAATAACCCTAACCATCCGTTGGTGGTTAAATGCAGAACTAACGCTCCGGCATCAAAGCGCTAATGACGTCCCATAGACCGCCGGGCCACTCCGACTCTGGATCGGGGTCCGGGGGCCACTGCTTCTTGGGAGCCGTGAAAATGTCTTCGTTGATGATATCAACGAGCGAACTATTTGACCCGTTAGTACATCCGTGCGCCATGGGGAGAGGTGAGAAGAGTTCTTTGCGAGTACGAAAAGAATTAAAATGAAAATTAACATACCCGATTTTGCCCTGTATCAGGTGCCCCTGACTATCCATCTCCTCGGCAATCTCCAATTGATGGTTGTCCATAAGCGTGGGGTTAGGCACTGCGATCAGCACTGAGTCGAAATCGAGCGCTTCCAGGATACTTCCGGAGCCTAATGGGTAGGAGTATCAGTATAAGAAGTATTTAACTTGGTAATACGGTTGTTATCACAACATACCCGCATGGGTAATAATCAATCCGCGTTCTCGCTTAAGCGTAGGATTAACGTGGCTAGAAGAAGTGAGCTCCATGTATCTCCGAATGTCGTCATGGTAAGGAAAGCCCGTAATCAGCAGTTCGTCGGGGTCGTCGGGGTCAGACTCGGACTCGGGCTCGACAGACAGGAAGTAGTCATAGTCAGGCCCGCATTGGATAGTGAGATGAGTGAATCTGAGGGACTTGAGCTTGGCGATGAAGGCTTCCGAGAGCACTTCCTCGATGAGTAGCTTGAAACTGGCGCTGGCGCCGATGGTGACGAAGGCGTACTTGCGTCTGTTTTGGGGTACCATGATGATGTGTTTGATTTGGCTGGAGGGTAGGGGAGACAAGAAGACTTAATTGAGTGTTAGAGCATGGAAATGTTACATAATCGAGATTTGACAATTAGGTAGGTACCTCCTAAGGCTAAATATCTCGAAAGTTGCAGGGAAGGGACAGAAAGTGATTGGCTACAGGTAGAGTTCTTTACCAGATTAAGCGCTTTTCACCACCAGCTAGCAATGTTTAGTCAGACATGCTTAGGTAATTTCATGGCGCACATGTAAGCAGTGTGGCAACGACAACTGTGGCTAGGTACTCAGGAGTGACCCCTATTTTCTACGCAATAGGTATCTCAACTCTAACATATTATCTAATTTCCAAATTATGACAGCTTTAACCATAAATATTATTTTATATAATGCCAAGGTGCATCGTTTCATCACGGCATATTATATAGATCGAGAGAAATCATAAAGGTGTTGAAGTAAACTCAACAATTTATTCTATGGCGTGACTAATAGATCTACCATGCAGATGTATCAGGCCAAAACAACAGATTTAGCAAATTATTCCCCCCATATCCACCTCGTACAGGTCTCTTAATTGGTGATATGCGGCTGCACACTCGGGGTTTATTTCTTCTTAGGACGAATTTGAATCAGATCGCAGAGCCCCTCAAGTTGCTCAAGGAAGCCTTGGTTCTGCTCATTGAGGGCTTCGTTCTTCTCCTTAAGATCCCTGATCTCCTTGGCAAGACAGTAGTTCTCCTTGGAGAGGCACTCGAAATCCCCTTCTAGCTTAAGGATCTTCGTCTCCAGCTTGGTGATGGCCCGCTTGGCGGCTCTGTCTCCGGACACTAGGCTTTCCGCGAGGTCCTTATTGACCTCTACTAGTCTGTTGTACTTATCGTTCACATTCTGGACACCTCTGGTACTTGGAGAGAGTTGCTCATCGGCTCTGCTGTTGCTGCGACGGGGTCTCCTAGCTTTCATCTTGGCCCTGTTGGCGAGTATCAACTGATTGTGCGCTTGGATCCGCTCTCTAGTGAACTTGCAGATTATCTCCTAGAGAGTGGTTTCTATATTGCCGGTATACATCTTACGTAAAGTTCCGAGAGTACCTAGCTATATTAGTAAAGGCTTTAGATAATGGAAACAATGACATAGTAATCGTGAGTTGCGTAGTGATCAAGCTGAATATAAAGGTATCGTACGTAGGAGACAAGAGTAGAGCGAGGTAATGTTATTAGGATTCTGGATGAGGTATCTAGAACAAAGGACATGTTCCGCATGTATAGACATAGGCCCCCGTCGTTATGTTACAGTTCCACCTCGTGATAGATGTGGCGGGTGGGTATAGTGCCTCGCACAGGCAGCAGCTGGAATTGAGGGTAGGGGGGACATCGTGTTAAAGTTAAGACGAAGATATAGTGCAAGGATGAACTCAAATATTAATAAAATCCCCTTAGCTCATTATATAGTAAGAAACAATTTTTAATCTCCCTGGGAAATACCTCATGGGCTCTTTCTTTCTTTCTTTTGTTTTTTACACCGAATCTAGACCTATTATTGTATTTATCCTTACAAGTCTTCTATGAGAGGCAATGGTCAGTTTATCCAACGCTTCACATATATTGCGCAATCGTAGGCAAAGAAATATTTTTAAGGCAGCGGTAAACGGCGGGGAGGTTTCTTGTAAGGCGTAGATAAACACTAAATGCTCCTCATCTTGCCGTCTTGTATACTTAATATAGCCAAATAGCACTGCGCATAAATCTTTTATTTTGCGTTAGCAACATTACTACATGTCCCTTGTTCTAGATGTTTTGTCTAACAATAAGGAGCAATACCGATCACGATCACGTGGACATTCATTTAACTCCGAGGTACGAAGTACATATGTAAATGTGCTAAGGTTAGGTACGTACCTGGTACTACGCACATGGAATTGAAGACTTGAGAGCCAATCAAAAAAAGCGTTTAAGTTAATTCGAGATCCACCGAATTTTTATCTTTTGCGCATGCAATCGACTACAATTAACTTCAGCTTAGAAAGAAGCCCTTTCCTTTACTCAACCCTCGCAGTTCGAGCGGATGCTGGGACGTAGCCATTGATCGTCATGGCCTCTGGAGTACAGTCGGTGAGATTGTGCCTACGGGCTTTCCGACACCCTCCGACTCCTCGCAAAGTTGCCCGCGAATACCACGAATATACGCTCCGAGACGAGCATTGTCTTCAACACCTATACAATGGAGTCGCGCATCTAAGAAGGAAGAGGATGAGGAAGATGTAGACGAGGAAGATGACGGTAGCGTAGACGTCGCTGAAATGGAAAGATCTCTTCGCGCTGCATTAAGAGACCCCCAATTTGAAGCGTCGACGCGGATCCAGGAACAAATGTTAAATAGTGCCAATTCTATCATGTCAAACGCACAAAAAGTACCTAAACTCAAAAATCCTTTCTGGCATGACGATGAAGAAGATACCGACTTGATTACGGACGAGCGAAATGAGGACGAATTCGACGAGGATGATATTATGAGCATGGCACATGGCAAGTTGGAGGAGTACCGCGAGCATAGAGAATATGCTCGCATTGCTGCTTGGGAGATGCCTCTTCTGTCCAGTGAGTGCTACCATGTTGCGTCTCGACTAAGAAGTAATCTATTAACCCGCAAAATCAGAGCTGGCACGGCCCTTCGAACCACCCACAGCTCAGGAACCTTTGCGATTCCGATACACGAGTTATATGGGTGAATTCCACCCCGCGGAGAATAAAGTGGTTCTTGAATTCTCGCCCAAAGATATGCCACTGGACGAGGCCCAGCAACTAAAGCTGAAGAAGTTACTGGGCCCCCGCTACAATCCAGAAACGGATGTAGCTAAGATGAGCTGTGAGCAATTCGAACACCAAGCGCAGAATAAGCGCTATCTTGGTGACTTAGTCGAGGGTTTAATCGCGCGAGCAAAGGTATATAATTTATTGTACTTAATCCCAACTAACACCGAACATTGCTTACCATATCCTTAAGGACCCCTCCGATATGTTTGAGGACGTTCCTCTCGATACGAGACATCACCCAATTAAGATCAAGCCCAAATTTCCAAAGGAATGGAGGATGACTGATGAGCGGATGAAATTTCTCGAAGACGCGAGGCAGAAGTCGCTATTGCTCGATCAGACGAAAGAGGAAGCCGGCGCCTTGATTGATGGCAAAGAGAAGATCACGCGGTTCTTCAATGTCCCTGAACCTGAAGTTAGAGTCCCTGAATATGCCAAGGCGCAGCTAAATGAACTCTCGCCACGGGGCAGAATAGCGCCAACTAGGCGAGTTTGATATATAATATCATGTAGATAAATGCTAGCTCTGAGGAGTTCGCTGTAAGAATATAAAATACAAAACAAGCTAGGATACTGCTAAGGCAAGTTATCTGATTTTAAGATGACGAGCCTCGTCAATCAGTCACCTATTATGTTGGGGATCTACTTCACTAGTAAAAGTGAAAACAATAATTATAGGAGAGACAAGTCTTTCGATACCCCCTGGGTCCTAAAATACAGTTCGTTACAATTAGAACTTATTATGTTAACAACCCTCTTATAAGCGCCAGGGAGTTGATCTAGATTGAGAATAATACTAATGGCGAAAGTATCTCGTCTTTTCTTCACATCAACAGTTATTATCTCAGCATCGCGGCTGCGGTAACATATTGTCCAGTATATGTACACCCCCAGTCTCGGAGCCTCTTTTCTACAAGATCGGGAGACGCAGCTTCCGGAATCCTCGGCTTCCGGGAACCGAACAAGACAAGCGACTCGGTAAGGATATTTGGGCAGTAGTGGTTAGCTGCAGGTACGGTCTGAAATCTTACGGGAGGCGGTGCATTCACCGAATATGTGTTACTGCGCGTAACGTAGCTCGTCTATATAATACTGTTAGAGGACAAGAGCAATCAGGAGATAGGAGCATGGGGTCCCGTCATTTCGGGACTTGCAAGGCGAGCTGCATAACAGGCGACTTGGTAAGGGAGCGAGCCATTATCCAAACTACTTCTCAAGTATGGATGAACATGGAGTAATTTCGAGTTCTTTAGAGATGGTGTATCATGTTAGACGAGATCGAGATAATCTTGTTACTACAGAGTTCATCTACTAAGGGTAGTTATGCGTACTGTTTCATGTGAAGAATGCCAACCTCGTTATAAGCTGGAATACTCGGCTAGGCTAACGTCTGATAATTTTTGAGGGCATTCCCCAATCCTGTGTCTACCATATTCTTATCCAAAATGTATAACAAGTGAAATCTACCAACTGCGGCTGGTGTCACACAATCACCATTTTCTAAGAGTCTAATGTCGTAAGATACCTATGTAGATATTCATCGATAGTCTCCTTATTAAGAATTATGCGGATAGATCTGATGAGTTCGTACCACATCACATTTACCGGATCCATCGGACCAATCATATTGTACTCCTTTCATTGCAATCTAGAAAATTCCTAGGGGTCTATGTCGAGTATCTCGAATATCACTTGACTAATATCATTATGGATTCCTTGTCCAAACCTGTACATTAATTAGTAAAAATCGAGAGGTTAGTAGGCCAGACCGTCTAAGCCAATTACTAACGAATATGGGTACAATTTCGGCGCTATTAGTAGATTGTGTAAACCAATGGCTGGTATTTTGGTGCGACTGTCTTCCATGTTGCTTGCACCATTTGTTTAAATAAAGTTAGCTGTTAGCTGACAGCTCCACGGAATGTGTGAGAAGGCTTGCCAAGACGGCATTTCGGCAATCATGCAGGGCTTGCAGTTATGTACAGGTCACCAGGATGTTAATCACTATTTAGTGGAGATGTTACTTGAAGCAGTTAATAAGTATCGTATTGCTTTATTTATATGGCAGTATACAAACCCGTTCGAATATTCTAGTATAATTTTTACCTAAACAGGTAATTGTGGATAATTAAAGTCTCCCCAAAAACATGAGATGTGTATTTTCCCATAATATTTTGAGTGTTCTGATACTTCGCTTTTTCAAGTAACATCTCCACTAAATAGTGATTAACATCCTGGTGACCTATATGTATAAGTCCCGCGCGGAAGATCGGCTGCGAACGACGTTCTGCAATGACACCTTGCTTTTTTTTTTGTAAGAAAATTTCAAGTATTAATATTTTTATCTTGTTGAAGGAATATAATGATGTCGTCGTTTTCTATAAAATGTACTACGAATTGAATGATGTGGCGGTACCAAAGCTGACTCGCGTGGTTTGGCATTGCTAGGTACCTACCAAATTACGTTACTTTGAGGCTCACGGCTATTGAGGGTTCAGCAGCTTCATGGTGGCGGTGTCAAAGTCGTGGGGCTGTTGACGATTTTTGCCTTTGTGTGATCGTGCGCCACAACTTTCATATGAAGGTGTGGTCTAGAAGGCATTAGCCACGCGTCGACTAACTTGGCGTGGATGTTAGTAAGTAAATTCGTACGGGAACTTTTCAAGTCTTGTTTTCTCATCTGAAATTCAAGAAGCTAAATATTATAGGTATTTCTCTTAGAACAGATGTAGACACTAGCATCGACTATTCAGGTAGGAGAGTGGAACTGGTGGTCGAAATTTTTTAAAATCGATAAGATTGAGTGTGTCAAGCCACAATCATAGTGCAAACACACCAAACCACCGACGAGTCGCGCCACATATCATGACGTCATGTTAATCAAGGCTATCCTCTAATGGTGAGGTCACAAGCAACAGGTGAGTAGAATCTCAAATTAGAACGTGTACCTATTCTGCTTATCATAATGCATACATATTAAAACGTGTCAGATATTTTTGAATCGAGAAGTGACCTATTACAGACTGCTGGATTTTAGAAAATTAGATACTTAAAATAGTTTTGGGTATAACTACCAGTAAATTATTCGAAGAGGCTACTTGTGGCTACCTAACGACTTAGATACCTACATAATTGATCTAATGAGACTTTATGATGTGTGCTCATAGGTGACTGCCATATCGTATGTACCTAAGGCTATGCAATAAAGTGGAAACTGTGGAATTGTTGCAATTGCAATTCGTTAGGAGGTACCTAGGAACAGAGGAGGTACGTATCCTTGCGTACCTTCCCGTTGCACTAGAATGTGTTTGTTCGGGTCCAGAATGTATGACGCAGCAGTTGAAAGCAAATTCGGTTCTTGTTTCGTTGGATATGCATCATAGTTCCGGGGCCTGCGGCCAAGGAATTCAAGGAACGGCACCTCTTTCCCGTGTACAAAGGCAAACCAAGCCCAAAACAACCCATACACATTTCTGCATTGGATCAATACCGATACCGATCCCAATCCCAATCCATTACGAGACCTTGTGGATATTACTTATTTAAACTGTATTCCCCTCGCCATCTCGATATCCCTTTCCAGTTTTCACTTTTAAATCCAACTAGCTCAAGTCTAAAAACAAAGTCCAAATCGAAAAGTTACGAAGCACAAGCTATCGATATTCCATCACATACCACGAAACATCCCATATACACGCGTTCAAGTCGACCGAAATCACACATCATGCCTTTCACCGCAAGGTAAGAAGCAATTCCCAACCGACGTTTTACAATCATCGGTATTTTTGAATTCCACCTGCTAACCTAGTTTTAGCGATATCTGCAAGATTATTCTTGCCATTCTCCTACCGCCTCTAGGTGTCTTCTTAGAGCGAGGATGTGGTGCCGACTTCTGTATCAACGTTCTGCTCACCATTCTAGGTTACATCCCGGGTATCCTACACGCGCTGTAAGTTCCCGATACACCTCTTTTTTTCTCGGGTAGACGATAGATTGGACGGGTAAACTAACATATTCTTCCTGCAGGTACATTATTCTGAAATATTAAGACGCTCAAGTGGCCTGAGACTTTCCTTAATTTTTCGTAATGCAGCGACAGCATAGCACGGATTTCAACCATAGACGGATATCTGAAGGTTGGACCAATCGCGTGGTAGCGCAGGGGTTCGTGATTTCCCGGAGGCGTTTGCGTGGATCCAGCTATTGCTCTCTGTCTTTCCAGGCTAGTGGCGGGGGTTGCATCGCATGACATGATACCGGATCTTGGCTTTGACAGACGTCACTCGACTTCTCGTCTATGCAATTACGTTCCAGCATTTCAGCTCGCCTCATAATTTCGACGACTCGAATATTTCTGTTTCTTTTACTCTTAATCAAAACCGCGATGGTTTGCAGGAAGGACGGTTTAGGGGGGATGGGCTGAGGTTACGGCTCAACTGAGCATTGAGTTGCTTGCTTGCTTTATGTATTCATGATGATTTTTAGACTCTTATCAGCATTAATGATTATGAATCTCGATACCCCCTAACAATCTGTCCATTTTGCGTTGAGGTACCCCAACCAGAATGCACGTGCTTCATATCGTACCGTAGGCATTTATTATTGAACGTCGTAAGATGAAAGTTAAAACTAAATCGCTACAGTCGAAGATGATAATAAGCATAGATTATATCATCCCCAGATATGGGACGACAATGAGAATTCTAGGTCTATGAAATACTTCTTGCTCAATATGTCAGCAATAATAAAGACTTACTAAGTATTATTTGAATATAGCCTTTTTGAGCCGGAAACTTAACAAAATTATAAATGATGACAGCATCATGTAATAATATAGCGCATAAATAACCTCACTCAATAAGTCAAATTCTGAGTCTGAGACTTCCGTATAAGCACTATATCAGAAGAAGTAGATTATTTGATCAAGTGACTTTGTTTATTACCCTCGACCTATCTTAAACGATAAAACCTAAAAGCCATTGTAAGCATGATTCTATTGTATGATTGGACGGATACTTACGTCGTTTTTGCCTGCGGTCACGACGGCGTCTTCCGAAACTCGAACGCCTCCCACTCCTTCTACGTAGGCAATCGGCGCATCACCCATAACTTTCCTCGCGACGTCGCCCACAGTTGAGTTCTTTTTTACCAGGACGCAATCCCTGAACGCGACCTTTGTGTCTGAACCGGAGCTGAAAGTCGATACGTTTCGTACGGGGAAGACGGGCACAAGACCGAGTATTTCGGCCGCCTTCGAAAGAACCTGGACGACGCCAGTAGACCCATATCGGAACAAGATCATATCTCTATATTCCTCGATAGTGTTCTTATTCTTTTCATCCAGTTCCTTCAATCCCCCACCGTCTGGATCGCCGTCTGCTATCAGATCTTCGCGTGTATCCACAAACTCAGTTCCCTCCGTATACCTTATATAACCTTGCTTAGCCATTTTTCGTAAGAACAGCTCGGCCTTCGCCGAACATGCGACCACCATATTGGGATCCTGCATCTTAGTGATCTTCATGAGATTTGTGTAAGCATCAGCATCGTCGATTTTGTTTAGCGCGATCACCGTGGGGAATTTCTCATCAGTGAATGTGCTGACAACACGATCTACCGTCTCCTCGGTCCAGTGCTCCAGCGGCTCTTTTAGGTTAAGACGGTCTAGAGTGCGTGCCACTACTGCTGCCGTACTTCCATAGCCTGAGAACTGTCCTTGAAGAGTCTCGACAGCAGTAGCCTTGATAGCGACATGTCCTCTTAATAGAACCCCATTTCTCCCACAGATTTCCTTTAATCCAGGCGACGATCTCACCACGTAACCAGGCTATATCCTGGGAGGGGTCATATCCTCGTGTATTTTCGCCCTCAGCATTCGTCCTCCCGCTAGCATCCACAACATGAATTAGAGCATCCGCATGTCGGAGGTCGTCTAGAAACTTATTACCTAGACCTCTGCCCTGATGTGCGCCGGGAACAAGTCCAGCTACGTCGAGAAGCTCTATTGGCACGGAACGGCGGCCATCAACACACGATCCATAGTTAGGCTTGCATTTATCTTGTACACCGAAGCGTTCGCAGGCGCATGCTATTTGGAGATAACCGATGGCTCGTTGCGGGTCAATCGTTGTGAAACTAAAGAAAGCGCATTGTTAGTTAAAGAATAAAGGAGCATTACTGCGGATACATATATCTATCGTCTTCTAGGCTGATGCATAGGTAGATGCTATACACAAGGGATAGGCATACGGATAGTTTCCTATGTGGCATCGCAAATATCAGCGCCGAAATTTGGGTCGATAATGTATAAAACAACACAATATATTTGTTGGATAGGTTCGACCCACCAACTTTAGACGTCGCATCGGTTAAGCTGTTTAGAGTCGTGCTCTTGCCAGCAGAAGGCTTGCCTACAAGGCCGATTAAGGGATCCCGCGGCATTTCGCGCTTCTTAGAGTTCTCAATAAGACGGATTATGGCACTTAGGGGGGGATGCAAGGACGAGGTCGAGGTCAAGATGTGGGGTGATTTGCGCCCGTTGCCCGAGTCTCTGAGAAAATTCAGATAGAGTTTCGGAGGGTAAGACCCGCCGCAATGGCGCCGTAGCTTAGGTACTGCTATAGTTATTTTAGGTATCCGCCTTAGGTACCTGCTTTAGGTACCTAAATACGCGCTATAAATGAGTCAATACTTGTACCTATAAATGTTAAGATAGTAGGAGTTACATTGCATCATTAGCTTGATTTCCTGGACCGTCTACTTCTTTTTCACTCATCGCAAGTTTTAGTCGCTACAAAATGTAAACAAAAATACACTACGTTAATCCTTTTTTAGATATTTGCGCCCTCAACATTCAAAATGCGACGAGGTCACTTTTCGTTAAATGAACTCCCTGCCTGGTCTACTTTAAACGGCGTTAATTTTCTAGATGTTATAGTTGCTAGTATCAATGGCCGGGGCAATGGCCTTGTAGCTAAGAAAGACCTAATCAGTCAGGAGAGTGACTCGGAACCCTTAACCCTTCTGACAATCCCAAAGGAGCTTGTTCTTTCAGCTGAAGGTGTAGAGGAGTATGCTAAAGAGAATAAATATTTCCGACAACTTCTGGATACAGCAGGTCGCCAAGTTAGTATACACCTAGCTTTGAATACAGCGTGATTTATACTGAATATAATGCAGTCAGCTAGAGGAGATATATTACTATTTCTCTTATATCAACTGGTGTTATCTTCCCCTGACTATCAAGCTGGGCTGGGACCATCAACACCCTGGACTCAATATTTCAGTCTCTTACCGTCACATGTGTCGACTCCTACAATGTGGTCTGAGTTAGAGCTTTCCTACTTGAAAGGCACTTCGCTAGATGTAAGCTGCTAATGAGACTTTATAACTCACCTAAAAGTATCTAATACTTAAGTATAAGTTGACACGTTTGGATAGTCAGCGGTAGCGGCCAAACTGACCGTGCTAACTAAGGAGTTCGATGACCTTCGAGAAAATATGGCCACCCTGCCATATTGGAATGACATTCTCTCGATCGACGAATCGATCACCATCCGAGACTGGATCCTTCTTGATGCCCTATATCGGTCTCGCTCGCTAGGGTTACCTAAGTCTGGAGAATCGATGGTGCCTTGCCTCGATTTAGTCAACCATTCTAGTCAGGCCACTGCTTATTTTGATGAGAACAGTGAGGATGAAGTAGTTCTTTATCTACGTAAGGGCGGTTTAGTGCCTGCTGGTAGTGAAATTACTATCGATTATGGTCAAGAAAAGTCACCAGCAGAAATGCTATTCAGCTACGGCTTCATCGACCCAAATTCGGCCGCTAGAAGCATAACGCTACCATTGGAACCATTAGAGGATGACCCGCTTGCGATACCTAAGCTTCATGCTTTCGGTACACCACCGAAACTGAAGTTAGAAGAAGACGAAAGCGGTGTTCCGCACTGGACTGCCCCGTTTGTGTATCTGATGTGCTTGAATGAAGAAGGTGAGGGTGTCCAGTCTTCTAATATCCTATCTATTGCTATTCTAGCGGGCGAGATTACTATTATTATTGGCATAATTAAGCTATTTAAAGATTCTTCTCCTTTAGGATGATCTCAATATGTTAACATTAACTACCAAACACGCAGATGGCCTGCGGTTCAGGGTCTTGCAGGAAACAGACGGCTCTCGCCATTTAAAAATATTCTGGCAAAACATCGATGTTACGGACGTTTCAAATACTATGAAAGACCTCATTCAAGACCACGAATTACGCCAGATATTTGAGCTACGGGCTGTGACCGTTATCATGGGTATTATTCAGCAGCAACTCGAACAACTCATCAGCGCTCAAAACGGAGACTCCGTCGCAGGACGGGCAAGCACAAAAGTCTACCAAGCCATTTCGCAATTGAGGTCACTCGAGACTAGCATCCTCCAAAAGAGTATACAGGCTTTGGATGAGCAGGTAAGACTAAATTCTACAATTTGCCAAGGTGCCTACTCAGGGGTAATCTGAGACTCTATATGTATTTCCAAATTTTATCAACCTAGCCCTTAGGAGATAAGAGTTACCTAACCCACAATGGTTATGATAATTTGCTAATCTGTTCCCAGAGAGACCAGCTCCTCCGGGATGACACTGTGGTCGAATACTTGACGATGATGGGATCTGATCAAAATGACCCTGGCGCCGAAGCCGCCACTGACGAAGAGGACTTCAGCTAATGTACGTCTCCGAATACCGTCCCCATATCTGCCACTTCGGGTTCTATGACAGTCAATATATTGTTCTTGCAGGCAGGGTATGGCCCACACTGGTAGCGCATTTAATGTATTTGCATGGTAAGATTGGGATGCAGCTTGATTGCTATAGACCTAGTCAGCTTCTTGCAGATGTGGCATGACATCATGGTGATAGTACTTTTGATGGGCTAGCTACCTCCTTGGAGAATCAAGAGCAATATCATTGACGTGATCAGCCCGTTCATATCTAAGGGCCGTTGGGCATCAGGAGAAGCTCAAAGCTAAACTTACTTACCGTCGATCAACTGTATAATGATAAGGAGCAATCTATGAAGTGTCACTAGCGGACGTGGAAAGCCCTTTGGGCTTACAATTCGGACCGAGAACCCTGAACCAATCCCAAGTTGCGTACGGTCGGTACTCCCTTTATACAAGCAATTCTAACCGCGTACGAGTCTTGTTCCTTACATGAAGTGGCCCAGCACTCTGTACCATGATCTCCCTCGCCGATTTATCCAGGACGTAGGTGCTTTTAACCGGTGGTGACTTTGCTACAGCCGCACGAGATACCCCCTCCACATCGCATCCCCATGTGGAAAAGAATTGTTCCCTTTAAGATGAACCCCTAAAACGGGCCGTATGTTCTGATATTGTTTGGGCGAAATTTTATCGCCTGACCCTCCTATGCCTATTACCGTGTTCAAATTGATCATGAGCATGGGGTTGGGATGTCTTGTTAGTTCCTTTAACGGCCGGGATCGAATTTCACTCATCTCAGAGCGGCTTTAGATCGACAGAATGCAGGCCCTTTCACAGAAGCCATTTAGATTGTAACTGTATCACAAATCCTGATAGATGAAGTTACTGTAGAAAAAACAAGATCTTTGGCTTATTATATACATATTTGCCGATCGTTTCTTCCGGGGGATTAGGTATAGGGGATAAGTATAGACCGAGCCGCGCATTCTAGATAGAAGGGTTGATCTACCAAGGTGTTAATAGGAGATCACGGCTATTAGGCATTAAGACGAATCATCAAGTTCCCTAATTCTACTGTCCTGTTTTAGAGTAACGGATCGAGAATTTCGAAGTTGATTTAGCAAGCCGGTAGAGATCAAATGTTACTATGGCAGATAGAGGCTAGTGCGATGTCTTTAACATATAGTAGATGACTAAAGATTTTTCTATTATATTCTAGTATGTAGCCTCCAAGTACCATCCAGCTTCTAGTGTTACACTACTTACATTGTTTTGACTTCCAGATATAATACTAAGAGTTGCTAACTACCTAACCGGGTTATTAACATTTGCAGCGTAGCCCTAGTACATTGGCGTCTACTTCAAGCGTCGCACTGCATATAGGTAGGATATAGGAACTGGCCGGCCGACGCAGGGAAGGTGTCTTGGCGGCGGTCACGACCATTCCGAGAGCTGCAGCGATCGAGCAGTGCGACGGGGATGGCGTGGTAGGACTTAAAAACGTGGTTTATATCTATATAAGTACCTCGGTACTGAACGGCGCCGGCCTATAGTTACGGAATTATGCGGGTTCTATAGAAAGCTATACCTCGCTCGTGAACAGCCCACAACAAAGCCTACCATTTTCTACTTAGGTACATATGTATTAACTAGTTGAATAAGGAAGTATTTTGCATTTGTATTTTGGAGTAACTACCTAAAGATAAGTAGATGATTTGCGACCCTCCATAATTAAGTATTTTCGTATTTTAGTTATGATAACACATCTAAACTGTCTACTTCTTGATATAGTTATACACATTTATTATATAGACTTATTATATACATAGGCTAAGAAACATGTGGATCGTCGCCATGTGTGAAATGGCTTCGCGTATCTGCGAAACATGGAAAACCTGGGGTAATTTCCCCAGATAAAAGGGAATGGAGATGGCAGATATTTCGGAATTCCAGAAGCATTGGCCTTGCTGTGCCTCTTAAAACTCGGGGAACTAACTACGATGGTGGCACAAGTGGTGTCATTCTTTCGTTATTTGGTCATGGCGTGCCAAGCTTTAGATTTGAATATCATGGACTAGATTATCTTAGCGGTTTTTTTTTAGGGAATTAGGAACTAAAGAATAGAAAAAGCTCACGAGCCTTTAGTGTCTAATGCATGCAGTTTGTAGTATCCACACCAATATTGGCATCTCTAGCCAACCATTGATGCCTCATTACTCTATCCCTTTCATAGTTACGTGCGTGATGGACCTTTCTTGCATAGCTAGTGCACCAATACCAAGATAGGAAAAGCGTGTGGAGTGAAGGATGATGTAGGTTGTAGGTTGAGTCTCTCAACGTTTTGTCTCTACATACCTCCATGTCAGTAAGCCCGGGATGACTTAGTTAGGTACTTCTAGCTTACGCATCTATGCACCCCGGTTCTTTTCGAGTCGGCATTCAGACGACTCTTTTTTGTTCTAAGCGGAACGCAACAATAACTCGTGTTCAATCTTGACATAACAGGTAGTTATTAAGTACATATATACCTAGGTACATAGGTATATACATGGTAGCATATACTCATTATGTAAATATACCTACCTACCCTTAACATATATAGATATAATATAAGAACTTCCCAAGTTGCCACTTTTAACTTAACTATTAACATATTTATTTAGGTAACTCCGTCAAATATTCTCCTTAATTACGACATTACTTAATCTCCTGTCGGGACAATAATTATACCCCCGGTTCTTTCCCTTTTATACATCATTTCCCTACTATACTGTTCTAGCCTCTCAAGCTAAAGGTTATCGGGCATAAAACTTGATGTAATAGTTTTTAGTTATTGGATGTTGTAACACCTATTCAACTTGTACTTTCCTTGCCCTTCCTGCCCTTCTTTACCCTGAAAAAGTCTTTCCCCTTGTCCCCCCAGATTCATTAGCGCACGCCAATTTAGTACCATACCCCGCTGATCTCTGAAATCCATCTGGAGTAGCGGGCATTGGTGCTTCCGTTTCTCGCCTTTTCCTCCACTAATCTTTCTGTCCCCACGCATCCTTAATCCTCTCTCACCTTTTGCTTTTCCTACTTTTCCATATCTTTCCGCCTATTCCTCCCACCAACAAATAAATCTACTACGCGCCAGCCTATACTACCGACGAATACTAGGTTATACCGAATTTGCGTCCGAGCGGGTTTCATTAGGATACGGCCTCCCCTGGACTTGCACGCGACTAGGCAGCAAGAGATGAGCAATTTTCGCGATACCTGGTAAATTGCTGACATACGCAATCGGCGTTAACGAGAGACCGACCGATACCGATACCTATGGGATGGGGAACTGGGTGTTGGATTTGACGCGAACACATTCTATCGACGGGATCGCCTTGTAACAAAAAATATATTCACCGCCAAAATGCCTGGAATTCTACCTATGAAAGTTATTAAGGTGGGCACCAGCTCACAGAGCCGCATCGCCCAAGCCTGTGATAGGTATGTGAAGCGGATGAGTATATTCTGATATTCTCTGATATCTCTTACTAAGACTATAGTAGGTGCCGAAGTAAGAAGATCCGCTGCGATGGCATCCGTCCCTGTTGCTCACAATGCGCCAACGTCGGATTCGAATGTCGCACTAGCGATAAACTTAGTCGGCGTGCATTTCCTCGAGGTTATACAGAATCGCTTGAAGAACGAGTGAGGCAGTTGGAATCCGAAGTAAGGGAACTGAAGGATTTGTTAGATGAGAAAGACGAAAAGATCGATATGTTGTCAAGAATGCATGATCATCGCCAACCATCTATGGGGGCCGCCGGAAGCCCGAGGGCGACGGAACAGAGAAGGGACCCTAACTCGCCACCAAAAGAAGATACTTTCCGTGTGCAGGCCTCTCCATTATTACTTGGCGTCGAGAATTCAGACTCATATTTCATGGGGCCATCGAGTGGACGTGGTTTTATTGGTAAGTATATCAACTACCTCATGCTAATGAGAAATATCTATCTAACTATATTTCTAGAATCTTTTAAGCGTAAATTGCAGGAAAACGGAAAGCCATGTTCTGACTTCAACCCTGAGGCTTTCCTTCATATCCAAGGATGCTACCCTCTGGTTGCTAAACCGCCCCCTCAGTCCATGAGAGTACCACCTCGCCTATTTTCGGATAGATGTGTAAATGTTTATTTCCAGGAATGGGCGCCACTCTTTCCCGTGCTTCACAAACCGACATTTCTCCGGTTATACGAAGAATTTGTTGCCGATTCGGAGAAGGTGAAAAACAACCATAAGCTCGCGCAACTTTACCTCGTCTTCAGTATCGCCGCTCTTTCAAGTGACGCACCAGATGTAGAGCAGATAACCGCCTGTGAAGCCCAGTGGCAAAAGGCCCTTGACGCAATCATCATGGACAATACCATGATTACACTGCAGTGCTTAGTATTGGCTCTGATCTATTGCACTATCAGAGCCGATTACAAGCGGTTGCAGCACTACAAAGGTGTGGCGGTTGGTCTATCCCATAGATTAGGGTTACATCAAAGCCAGAAAGATTCTCATTCGGTGCTCTTACGATCGAGACACGAAAGAAGGTCTTCTGGACGTTGTATACACTCGATTGGTAAGTCGTTATCTACCCGATGTCGCTTGGCAGTTGACTAATAGCCCTAGCTTTTCTGCTGCCATGCTTGGCCTTCCTAAATTGCTGAAGGAAGATGACATCCACGCCGAGTATCCGTCGGATACTGACGATGAATACGTTACGGAGAAAGGATTCCAACCCACTCTGCCAGGAGAGTATACGAGATTATCGAGTGCTTTAGCGTTGTTCAGAGTTTCTCGAATTCTTGCAAACGTGCTTGAAAAGATATATCCGGCCGCTACATCTTACGAATTATCGTTGCAACAAATTTCAGCGCTGGATGCAGATCTCTCAGATTGGTATGAGAATCTACCTACTCACCTCAGGCTAAACTTTGCCCAAGACAAACCATCAACGGATATCACTGGGAGCAGATCCCCGATTCTGGTATGTAGATGAAAATTTTTACTAGTTAATGAAGTAAAGGCTGACCTTAATAGGCATTGGCATACTACTATGTCCGGGGACTTATTCATCGCCCTGCAGTGGGCTCTACCTTGGGAGTCAAAGCTGCGTCAGCTCTTATTACGGTTGGAGAGTCCAGCAAGCACATCGTGCAGATCATTGAACTCTTAGAGGAGCGAAGTATGTCATTCACATTTTGCCTAAATAAGACAGATGTTCTTGTTCTATGTGGGACGAGCTTACTTTACCAAAGCTTGGAATTGAAACACGAGAGTAAGATTATGAAAGATGTCGAACGACTAGTCAATAGCGTTCTCAAGATGCTATTAAAAACGAAAGCTCCCGGCTCTTACGACTTGAAACGAGTCGCATCGACGCTTGTTACTATCGATGTACCATCTCAATCCACGTCAATGCGGACTAGTCCTGATACGGCCATGGCTGCTCCCCCATCAAGGACATCCCCGTTATTGAATGTCTCGAGGAAGAAATCACCTTATAGTGCTGGCCGACATGCCGGTGCAACTATGAGTGAGACAGACCTGTTATCCCAGCAAGAGAAATTACGTCGTATGGCCATACCCAATACTCAAACTACCCGACAAGAAATACATCGCGCGCAATCACGTGCATCACTCGATATGAGTGCAGAACAGGCAATGCCCCGGCGCGATCACCGATTCTCGATATCCCAAATTCAGCAAACGATGATGCGGATGTCGCCGAGTCACAGATCCAAACAGCGAAATCTAGATTATCTTTCACTTAATGATGCGCAGACTGAGACACAACCTTCGCCGCCGAATCAAACTCGAAACCCCTCACAGCCGTTGGCTCATAGCCAACATCAACGTCCCCAGCCATACAATCCAAATCAAGTAGTTAATAAGGGCGGCTCAAGCGGTGGTGTATCGATATCAGAATGGGAAGCATTGCTTGGCGCAATGGACGGAGGCCAGATTAATGTATATGACGCGATATACGGAGGACCAGCCTTGTCACTTACAGAGACACCAACGAGTGCAGGTACTATGGGTGAATGGTCTCCAGAGTCATGGGACCTTTCTAGCTTCAATATCAACGAAATAACGACCAATCCGGGGGCACCTCAGAGCGTACTCAGCATCAGTGATGATAGTCTCAGCTCCGGGGATGATCTCACATCGAGCGAGATGTACCTTAGGATGGGGAGCGAGGACTACCAAAGCGGGTTGATGGCGCCGCCGCGGACGAGTCATGACAATAACCTTGTTTTGGATGGTCTTGAGTTGAATTTAGGGATCTAATTTCTTGCGAGATGACATGGGCATTTCAAACACCGAAAGGAGGGTAGCCGGCGAATACTCTGTTATCCGCGATCTGTAAGATCCTTTTCCTTGGTACGGGGCGTCGATATAGAGAAGGGATATATTTATATCGCGGGATTGATTACGAGTTGCGTGGTCGTGAGAACCACGCGACGGCGGGACAATGGCTTCTAGGTGTTCATGGCGACCAGAACGCTTTTGGCGTTGTTTTATATGCGGCATTTGGGTTATCTATGGTTGGAGCTTGTGCCTATGGGGTATATTGGTCTATATTGATCTATATTTGGTCTGTTGATCTACTTAACTGTCTACATACCTACGTTACCTTCTTTTTCTATGTACCTTTCCACGCTTGTTGTAAAAGCTAGTTATTTATATATAGGGGGTGCGACGAAGCAGGTCGATCCTACGGGTTAAGTTGATTAGGAAGAAGAGAAAAAAGAAAGATGTGAAGTATTTGCGCGTCTCTTGCATGTGATTATAATGTTCGTATCATACAGGTGTATATACCTAACCTAAGGTATACAGGTTCCGGAGTGGCTAATAAGGAAATAAATGAGAATGTAGGTAAAGCACGTGTCGAGCAATATACTTAGTATACAGTAGATTCAGGCTGAATGATGACGAAGACGCCTCGAATAAATTGAAGCCCTCGTGGAATTGGAGATTATGAAGGTGTACATGTGCATATATTAATTAATATAGTAGGGCTGGTTTGATGTAGGTACGGGTATACCGGTACCTACATATGTAGAAGTACGTAAAAGCCGTTGTTACGGTACGGTAGGAGATACGGATTACCTACCGACTTTAGAAACGGGGATTCGGGATTTAGAAGCTCTTTAGATAAGCTAATCCCGTAATCTGCGGCTACCTGCCTACGAAGTGCGTCTTAGGCGTACCTAATCAGGCGTATTAAATAATATGTACAATCCCTTACATTACATCCGCGCCGCATACTGGCGTTTGCTCGGATTGAGCGGATTGAGCGGATTGAGCGGAAGTTTTGCCCCGCCCTCCGACGCTGTAACCCACCTAAGAGAAAGACCACTTAGGTAGACCATCGGCCGCGTTTCGCTTCTTACAAGTCTTTCGGTAAGGTAAGCTAACTAGACTTACATAGTAGACGCCGGCAATGTTGATTGCATACTTCCCTCTACCTATGCCGTTTTTGTAATGTAAAATTGGATATTCTTCACTGTGTTTCTTTGCTTTCCCTTCCTCGGCAAACGAGCAAATCCCTTTAGACCTAGACATAGATATTGCCATCTTTACCCCCAACTAGTCTCCGAACAACCAATGGCTAGAAAGAACGTCAAGCCAGCTGCCATGTCTAATGAGCAGACACCGTTGTTAAAAAACGATGGCGATATCATCGGGAACGGGACGTTGGGTATGTTTTATCCTGAAGAGAGGATACCGAATATACCCCGAGTTCGCCAAGAACACCGACCCCGTAACCAAGTCTTTGCTAACCGTTCCCGTGTCCGACGAGCAGCAGGTATTCCCGCGCCCCGGTCCCGCGATGCTACCTACCTCCGACCACGGCGTCCGCCGCAGGCTATAGCCCATCGAGGCTACAAGGCTCTGTTTCCCGAAAACACGATGCTGGCGTTCCGGGCCGCTGTCGAGGCCGGCGCGCATGCTATCGAGACCGACCTGCACTTATCCAAGGACGGCGTCGTCGTCTTGATGCATGATCCGAAGCTCAAGCGCTGCTATGGCGACGACTCTAAGTCAAGGACCACGACTGGAGTTACTTAAGCAAACTGCGTACGGTGCGCGAGCCCCCGCAGCCTATGCCGCAGCTCGTCAGCTGCTGGAGTATCTGAATCAGCCTGAGCTACAGCACATTTGGATCATGCTTGACATCAAGGTAAATACCTCGGTTCTTATGTAGAATTACTAGAACCGTGGTGCAAATGTAGAGTGCTTGTCTGATATAGAACTTGTAGAGGGACGACGACCCAGCCATGATCATCCGACGAACAGCGGAAACACTAGATTCGGTGCCGGGGATTCGGCCGTGGCACGAGAGAGTGCTTCCTTGTTGTTGGACTGTAAGCATATATATATTTCCTTGATTCCTCGAGTCGCACTCCTGATCTTTGTAGCTCTGGTGCTAAATCGTAGACAGGCGGAATACGTAAAGCTAAGCAAGGAATTCCTGCCCAAATATTCAGTCGCACATGTAGGCTTCTCAACCACATATGCGCGGGCTCTAGCGAAGCACGAGCCTAGCCTGTCGATCAGTATGCTATACTATTCCCTAGCGCTACCTATTGTCGGCACGCGCTTCATCCGGGACGTGAAAAAGGCGGGACACCCGCTACATTCCTGGACTGTGAACGATGAGGACCGTATGGAGTGGTGTGTGCGCAACGGGCTCGACGGCGTCGTCACGGATGATCCTAAGTTATTCCTTGAGGTGTCTAAACGCGTCGCGGAGGACGAGGCGAAGAACGAGGGTACGGCGGTTCGTAGGAAATTATCTAGCGTGTCCCTGTCTACGCACGCGTGGCGCGTTTTCGAGTGGACGCGGTATATACTCGGCATGTTCATCGTCGTGAATATTTATCTATTCAAATACGGGCTGCCGTGGACGCAGGTGCCGAAGGTGTTGGGGAAGTAATGGTAATCGGCCCTACTGCTATGCGTTCGTATTCAGGAGTCGCTTCGTTGGGTTATGTGTAGACGGTAATGACGGAAAGAGGGAATGCAAGATAGATAGATATTTGAGATGGGATTAGCGATATACGTCGTTATGTTTCGATATGGCAATGGGGGACGAATCTTGTCTCTTGGGTTAATAGTCGAGAGTTGCGTAAGACGTGGGGATTGGAGATGAGAGATATGAAGGGAGAGGGGAAGTGTGTTCGTGATGAATATAATGTTCTTATCTCATTAACAATATGTATAATAGAGTCGCCTATTTACCCCCTTCTCAAAGAAGTTTATTGTTAATATGTCAACTGAAGAGCATATCCTAGGCGGGATGTATACGAATACTTTCGACGATGAAATATTGACGCGTCGTATAATAACTTAGGATAATAGTAAGTTCAATACTTATGGACTGAGAGGCATACTGGTGATATGGTTGATATTGCTACGTAGTCTCTATTGAGCACGACCACATCGTATAGTCAGCATTACCCTTAAGCTAAAGTTGTGTACCTCTTAGCCTTATAGCGATGACCTTTCACGCCCTGTCTTTTGGAAGATAAAGTGGTTTCCTACACTCGGCCCTGGGTGTGTAACGGGCTAGATGAACGACTCGGGAATAGTCTACGCATTATACTTAGACAGACATGGGAACATACGTGAGAAAACATCAAGTTCGCGGGGGAATGTAAGCCTTGAATTAGCCTACTATCTGCATACGTATCTGGGTATCTTGACCGTGAATGCGAAGGAAAACAAGTTATGACGACAAACCCTTCCTCCCACCAGAACCGCAACATCCACTACCGCAACTAACATTCTCTCTAATCCACCAAGTCTAACGACAAGAACGCGAAACCTAACCAACCCGGTTTCCTCCGAAGTCGAGTGCAGTATTAGTCGACGTTCTTAATCCGGACCAAGTCTAATAAGGTGAGCTCTCTACGCCACCATCAGCAGCGTCATCGTCGTCACTAAGCACGATTTTGATTTTCTTGGCGACAGGGCTGGAAAACTCGTCAGCGGCCTTGCGTTTCTCCATGGCCTTGGACGGAATACTAGGCTCGAGCATCCCTTCTTCGTCAGCGTCCTTCGCAGTCGAAACTGCAGCTTGAGGCTGAGGCTGATCTTCTTGGGGGTCGTGGTTAACTCTGGTGGTAACGAGACGCACGGGAAGAAGGCCATCTTGAGCAGGTCCCAAAGACAAGTAGCACGGCTCATAAGGCATGTGTAGGCTAGAACGGTTCAGCGAGGTGGGAGTTTCAGGTTCAGCGTCCTTCAAGAAACCGCGGAGCATGCGATGCAAGACATGCGTGCTACAAAAAAATGAATTAGCAACGGAGTCCGTTGAAGATAGAGAAAGTAAATACGAATTGGTACTGGTATAGATGTATGGATGTTGATAGGGAATGAGAACAGGCCGGGGAAGACTTACCGGACGTTTTCCCCGGTGAGGCCACAGTTATTGACCTTGTTCACCATGTCCGCCACCTTCTGCCATTCGAATATGAGTGCGTTCCTATTATCGTGATTCTTAATCACCAAGGCCGTAATAACGGCCAATGCGGTATGAAGCTCCTTGTCGGCGTCCCAGGATTCAACCATCTTGAACTGCTTCGGTACGGTCTATAAAGCAGTCAGTGGAGGTACTACACTTGGTGCATTCATATTAGAGTATAGGGTTCGGGGTATATAACATTACATTGGGGGTGATGTTAGTTGAGGAAGACATTAAAGGGATACAGTATATGGGATTAGTAGAGTAAGGGTAAGTTATAGTAAGACCAAATAAAAGAGACGTAGATTAATATAAGAAAGTTATAGACCAAAAACTTACCTTTTAGAGATGGATGTTTAGTTTCGCAAGATCCGAGAACACGCATGGGTGATGTGGTTGCTGTGGCTGCGAAAACGAAGGCGTTGAACAACCTATGCGATGCAGAGGAAGTAAGATGCCAACATCTAGAAACACAGAAACAGACGAAGTAGAATGTCAACGAGTGACGAGCACAAGGACAGTGGAAGAAATTTGGAAAGTGGGACAGAAGAGAAGGTAATCCCCAAGTTTAAAAAGTGAAGGTGGTATTGACTGAGGGTACCAAAATAGAGATGAACAGAGTAAAACCTCAGGATCAGTATTTGGTTGATTGGGTGGAAAGCTAAGCCCAATGAAAATTGATGCTGAGCTCTTAGAAGCTATGATACAGGTGACCATGTATATTTTTCGTGGAGCTTGCAGTCGGCGTACCACCTCTGGCAGTCGATGTTAAGAAAACCTCCTCGCCAGGGCCACAGTACCTCCTAGTAGCTTCCCAACCAAGTAGCCCGCATAAATCCCACAGACTATGGTCACAGGCCACTTCTGCCACTCCCGGTCCCAGTCCAAGGGGATAGGAACAGCGCCTAGCCAAGCTCCTACGCAGGCGCCGACGAGGCCCCCAAATGCCTCGTCGAACGGGGCACTGGCACTCAGGATCTCATGCCAGTCGTTGCTCGACACACCACGAGTGTAGAACAACGGGAACAGGCCTAAGACGGACAGATGCGTCGAGCATAAGAATGTATTCTCGATGTGAGTTAAGAAAGGAGCACCAAAGAGAACAAGGACGACATGCAACGCCGACTTGCTATGGCTGACAGTATGAGGGCGACAAGTGTTGTCTAAGAACATTGTTAGTTATGAACGAAGCATTCACGAATAAGGAGAACATACAACTGCTATATTTGGTCCCATGCTCTCTAATCCAACCTTCTTCTTCTCTCCAGGTCGAGCCTTCTTAATTGGCTTTGCAGCATGAGAGCCCACAGGGGGCAGACATACGACGGCGTATGTGACTTGTATGGCTACGACTACGGGAAGAGAACTCGACATGGCTGATACCGGATCTGCCACTAGAGCTCCGAACCGGGCGAAGAACAAGGATATAAGTAGAGCTGGCTGGAGGTGTCTAGCAACCTGTGCCTGCGAGGATGCTATGATCTGAACGGGTTGCGTTTGGACATCTTTATCCTTGTCCTTAGAGATCTCACCAACCTTAGCTTTTTGAGCAGGTAGTGAGATTGCAGCTAAATCTGATGAAGGCATTATGAATTTAGTCAGGTGTAATAAGTCATTGGATGAAGGAAATGTGATGTTTACTAATTATTATGATGAATGAGTGTTTGTTGCCGAAAGCATTTATATACAATTAAACGGCGAAGTTAACTTTAGTCAAGTCGCGCTTCTAAATTAATGCTACCTATTCCAAACGTCTGACGCACGGACTTTGTTACAGTCACGTGTTACGGATAACGTTGCTTATCGCAACTATTAGAGCAATTAGTTAACTAGTGTGTTTTTAAAATGCTACAGGTGTAAGTATGGAGGCTATGATCAATATTAGCATTCATAAAATAAGGGGAATTGTGCTACTTGGTAATTATTATCAAGTATCATGTAACTCTAGCCATTATCAAACATCAATGCATGCTTATTTCAAGGTTCATATTACTAATGAATATGCCTACCTAGATAGCCAATTATTTGACTACTACTTTAAGTTGAAGTTCAAGTTGACATGCTGTCAAATCAGGAGCTAGTCTCATGCTTGGGGATCAAGTTACGAAGCGACAGATCGTAGATGACATCCTCAACTTTCTTAACGTGGTACTTGACGGCATCGACTCGCTTCCGAACGATGTCGTTCTTCAAGTTGAGCAGCTGGAAGCCGGCAAATAGGTCCTTGATGAAGCTGCTGATTCTAACCGTCAGATCGATATCACCCATCGTTACCGAGTTCATAGCTAGCCGGCTGAGCTCCTCGGTGATATCTGTCAGGGCTAGGATGTATTCCTCGATAGTAATGTGAAATGCATCTCTATCCTTGAGATTGACGGGTACTGAATATGAAGAATGAGTACTGGTTACAATGTGACAACTAGGAAGTAAACGTACCTTTCAAAAGCTCCCCGACCTCTCCGATAGTCAGAAGACGGCCAAGCTCGCCTGGGCGCGACTCGGTCCCCAAACCACCCAACCAGCCGGTCAATAAGATGGTGCCAACAACGTTCTGGATACTTCGGGACCATCTGTGGTTGTACCTTTTCTCTTATTAGCTATTTGAGCAATGTAAGGAGAAGGCTGGTGAAGTACTTGTAGTAAGGATAGTTAGACGCAAACTGGGCTAGCTCGCCAACATTTTCGATTTCGGGCTTGATACCATCCTCCTCAACTTGCTTCAGCAGAGGCAGCACTACAATAGGTATCAGCGACGCACGAAACCAATTATAAGTATATCATGTTAATATGTACTCACGCTTAGAGCTGGGAGTCGAATGGATACGGCTGAGAAAGCCTTGGCAGGTTGAGATGTGACGATTGAGAGCAGAGGTGATGTGGTGAAGCTTGTCACCGACTTCGATCTCCTCCTCGCCATGAGCCTTGAGGTAATCGAAAATGGACGGATCGATCAAATTGGAGGGACCGTTGTCAGCCATTTTGAGGTTCGTTGGGTAAAACGTGAAGAGTCAAAGTTTTTTCAATTTAACTATTATGACGATGAGGGGCAGGGGTAAAAAACGGGAAGGCCCAATGATGCTTGCCGTGCTTGCTTTACAATTCAATCAATCGTCCTTGATTATCGCCGAACGGCGTGAAATTATCTATGTTGCTGTTGAAATCGCGTATTCACTTCTTAATAGAGAAAACATGTACACAGCACGTAGACTGCTGTGATTTCAATAATCGAGATATTGAGATACCGTTATAATTTACGGATTACAGCAAACATCCACACGTAATTCAAATTTGACTGTTGGTGCTACGAAAAATTACAAGACTAGAAAACACTTCTGCCGTAACAGTACTAAGCTTCATCGCGCTCGAAATAATCAATTCTACGATACTACAGGTTATCCGAACATTATTATCTTACTGAGCACGTAATATATAAACTACTGAATAAAACTCTTCCTCGCGTCCCTAGGCAAGCTAGAGACTGCAATGAAAAGTGTTCGCGTCGCCTGGAGGCAGTGTAATACCAGGGACACGGTGGGTGCGATCATGGGCAAGCCCAGAGGATGCGCTCCCTCGAGGCAAAAATTAGAATAATCACGATTGAGTTCAAGTAGAACTCTTTCAGAGATTAAACTGAAAAGAACAGATACTACACTTGATCTAAGCCAAAAGGCAAAGAGAGCTAAAGAAGAAAAGAAGAAAATTTCTAAAGCGAGGAGGGGAGGCCAGATATTTATATGTGCTAGAAGGCGGTCAGAAGCGGCAGAATTCCTAGGCAGAAAAGCAATGACCGCCCAGTCATCAGCCCCACTTAAGCAGGCAGTGACGAGCAGCTGCCAAATCCACTGTGCGTGTCCCTCTTAGGGTAAAACGGGAAGCAGCAACATGCTCATGATAGCATTGAAGTCAGCCTTTTTTGACTCACACTGGCCATTACAAAGTAGGTAGTCTCTGTCAAACACTCACTCTTACATTTTTATTACAGGGATCTTCATTTCTCCCTTGCCCTCTCCCTGCATTACAACCTTGTGAAGTACCTAATTGATGTACAGCCCCTGAGAACAACTTGTCCGTACTGGACAATCGAGTCGCGTAGATGCCCATTATATATACCAATAAAATCGATTCCTGGTCGATCCGTAAATCATTTGTATCGTATTATCTTTCCAAAATATTATATTTCCAAAACTCCAGGGTCAACTCATAGAGGTATCAGGCCTAAAAGGATAGGTACCTTCACGAAGCAGTGTGACTTGAAACGACGATTGATTCCAACCACTGCCTCCACCTATCAGTTTAAGCAGGAAGTTCCCTACCATGGTACGCCGATGGTAACTCATGGGCGTTTGCTTCACGAGTATTGGTTACGCCGTATAATCCTAAAGAACTGGGGGTAGTTGCTGGTTTCGGTGTGTTGTCGTCGGAAACTATAAAACCACTCGGAACGCTCTGTTGCGGTTCTTCTTCCCGTTCCGTCTCCAGCGTATGCTTTCGTTTAGAGCGCCAGATCATGAACCACACCCCTCCGATTATAGCAGCAGCTACAGGCAACCCCACGCCTAAGCCTGCACCTAGTGCGGTCGATATATTGGCATTGGCAGATGAACTCCCGCTCTCTGTAGGACCTGCGCTGCCATTCGTAGGTTGTATTGGCGTTGACTCAGTATTTGTCGCTTCGATTGTCAGAAGCCTTGTTGATGTGTCGCTGTCCGTACTAATGACTAGTGTAGAAGACGGCATCGAGTCGATTGTAGTAGTTAATACATCTCGGAGGGGAATCGTAGCAAGAATGGTCGGTAGTGTAGTAATATTGTCGTATGTGAATATAGCGGACTCATCCTTACAACAAGCGAATGATCCAATACCAGTCGACCCATCATCACAGCAGTTGAATCACTTTCACTAATACCGCCACAAGGCCTCACTCACTCCCACCGCTATGTCACCTACGTCTAACACCATGTTATTCGGATAACCCGTATGAAAAGTCGTATCAACACTTACACCACGGACAGACCTGAAAACATGCGGTATCACTCCACAAGTAGTCATACACCCTTCTCGTAGAAATCCACAAGGGTTTCACTTCCGCCTTGACAAACTCCGTTGGACCAACAGATTTCTCCGCGTCGCAGCAAAGCTGAGTGACCCGTCGTGCTATTTTCACATCGACGGCATTCGGAAGAACAGCACCGTCGATTCTATAGCATGTTTGAAACTCACTGGTTTCCGCCAATACTCCATAATTGAGTTTGCCGTTATGTAAAAGACGACTGAGTTGATAGACCTCATGGCGCCGGGACTATCCCATTGCTACACGAAATATTCACTGATTATTCCCGTCTACCCAGAATAAATAGTTATAATGGCGAAGAGTACAAGGAAAATACGATAATACACACAAATGAGGTTGAAGGGTAGTTGAGTTTAATGAAAGATGAATAGATATATGATAATTGGAAATGGCACTTAGGACAGCTTCTGGGGTTTTCTACCTCTGCCATCGTACTTCTTCTATGACTGGCTGCGACTCTGGCCTTAAGGAGGAAGCTAATGTGACAAGCTAGCTGGTTTATCTTTCTGCGTGGATTTTCGAGCCATATTAAGCACGCCAAGTCTCACTCTGTACGGTATTCTCTATTAAAGGATTTTAGCCATTGCAAAGGTGGCGGCGATAAGAGGACGAGGGGCCTATGAAGCGGCCAATCCTTGGTATACCTGATAGGTCAGTGAAGTCGGACGAACTGCATTCAACAGGTTTCAGTCGGGCTGATTCCTCGATAAAGCTAGGTATCCATGAGTGGGAAGAGTTGCCGAACCTATCAAAAGCTTGCCACCCCTTATTTCTACTCTCATCTCGCAGTAGTTGCGTGTACTCTGCATGATTACACACGCCTAGAATTGCGAACCACGCGGTTTGCCAATGCGGATTAGCCCCGGCTATGCTTGAAGAGCATTGTCCATGATCTACTGGATACAGTCTTTCTTTTTTTTTTTTTAGTTAATTACTGACGTCGGGTAGGGACTCCAAGACGGAAGAAATATCAATGCTAGAGCGATACCGGCAATAGCTAGGGTGACTCCATATGAGGGGTTTCCGAATACCCAAGACAACAAAATGGCTGAAAGAAGATGGATTGTGGAAATTAATATTTCTGGCAACCGTCGATCTCTAATAGCAGTTGCTTACTTGCATACGCCTTTGAGTGCTCGCTTCGTTCCCTCTTCGCTTCTGCTATACAAGCTTCCTACTACCCCCTTACCCCCTTAGCTCCCGTTTTATCCCAAGTAAGTATTGTACGCAATATCATCTTGGAAAGGAAGTGGCATATAGCCGCTTTCTGATCCCCTCGTGAGGCAACGAATGAAATGCATCTATAAGCGCCACCACACCGGAGTTGGCCCGAAGATGTCTTGTAGGTACTTACGTGCCTCCTGTCGTGATACACACCGTCTGCATCCATAGAGCGATCCTCGCGGAATTACCAAGGTAGGTCGCCATTTCTCGAACCATAATTTTGAAAGAAAATATATTAAATATATTGAAAAAAAGTTTTGTTTTAAAATTCAAATTAGTAAAGCTATTAGTAATTAAGATAGCTATTACGATGGCATTTAATATGTTAGTTTTATTAATTACAGATTGACTAGTGGAAATTTTGCGCAGTAGGTATATACCAAGTATCTCACTATTTACCTGATCGTGTCATCCCATTCCGCCCTTTTCATCTAGCCTGAAGTTCGCTAATCGGTCTTAGTGTATCTAGGGGATATATATCCTACCTTTGAGCTCAAGGTTTTTTCACTCCTCAACTCATACATCGCTGAGTGTTCTCAATGTATTTGTGTAGGAACCCGACGCTACTGTTGATTTTCCGTAACGGAATCTGTTGACCAAGTCTTTGAAGGACAATTGAAGGCTCGGTAACTTGAGCTTGGGTATGCTGCCAATTATGATGACAAAGAATTGCTCCAGCGAACCCAAGGGGGATCCAACGAAGAAGAAAACAAAGGTTCCATCAGTGTTAGGGTTGGTCGTCTAGAACACGGATAAATAGACCACTACACACCGGCCTATAGCAATGGTCATCGTGATGGCGGACTCGGACATGAGTAGAATGAGTATGACCTTCTTCTGGCGCGTCATGTTTAGTTTTGAGATGAAGATTATAAGGAATATAGCGTAAATGAAGTCTAAGAGGGTAAAGGTGGCTAGATACTAATTAGCCAGATCACCACAAACATAGAAAATGAGAATACGTCTTCGTCGAATACAAGTGATGATCTTTTGTGGAAGCTGCTCTATGTGGCATACTGCAGGAATGCGGGGGTCCCATAACGCTTGAACAGGCTTTGCTTGAACCCATACAAAAATGAAGTTGAGTGCCCCGGGCACGGTCAATGACATGGTGTGGGAAATAATCAAGCGCTTAAACTAATTGCAATTTCCAAAGACATTTAGAGAAGACCATGGCAATAGAGGTTCTAGCGATTGTACCAGCCAGGATGCTGTTAGGTGTCGTGGACTAAGACCATTGAGTCAAATTGACTATGTCAACCATGGTCATTGTTGCCATTAGATGTCCGAGGCTAGTGTGGCAGTCAAGCCTTCGAATATGATCTGACACAGCAAGGCTAGTACCATGATCCAATCGTCCCACCCGATCGAGCGGCTCAATTTCTGTTGTAGGTACACGCGAGGAGTGACGATGGCAGTAGCAAAGCTTGTAAACAGCCATGATACTGCTATGAAAATTATAGCATTCTTACAAAGGCACTCGGGCCTGGGAGCTAGAGGCATGTCTATGATAACTAGTAGCTCGAGAGGCACTAAATCGACTGGGTTTGGTAACAAGGGGTAGAGGAGACTTCAACTTAATTAAGAAAGCGGAGATAGACATTATGGTGAGCCGTCCTATGGGAGTGGATCTATCCGTAATAAGACAATGGGAGCATTAGATCAAGATTGCGAGTCTGAGCAAGGAAACGATAGGAGTGGGAGGGTTTCTACAGCTGAATCGGCATGGCTGTACAATGTATGAGTGGCGGCCTTAAAAATAGGCTCAAGGCTGCAGCAGGTGTTGAAGAGGGCTGCGGCGCTCCTCCTCCTCCCCGTTACCAGTGAGCAGCTTGCATGTGCAGTATGGCCATGCTATTGTTCTCCAACTCTATAAATCTTCAATGATCTTGTTAATGGTCCTCTTAATCATAACCTGCAGCATATCCGTGTTAGTATCCGTGTCTCCCATCTGAGAGGGGCCACGAGATGTTGTAAGCCATCATGGACTGGCACCTCGAGAAATACTGGGAACAAATAATGATCTGCCAGATGCCTCCCAACATCTAGCAGATCCCTAGCCACGGGTATCTCCAGACTCTCAAGAAGTTGTCGTCGCCCGATACCACTAAGTTATAATATCTGAGGAGTACAGATAGCACCTGCTGTGAGGATAACCTCCCGACGACTTTTATGAGATGTGGCTTTTGAGGCATACTCTGCCCAGCGAGCTGAGCGTAGACGCCGAGGACGACATTCCGCGGGCTGTTCAGGTCCAACCGGATACAATTACCTCGGTGCAAATGTGCAGCGAGTCTTTGCGACGATGTACCAGCTGCTCTGGCAAATAGGCTCGAAGCGCCGAGTGTCTATATCCGCTCCCATCGATGGTGAGATCGAGGTTAAAACACCTAGCTAAAGGCGCACCTAGTCGGTTTCCCGCTCCCTCGACTGGTAGACCTAATTTTTCGGCTGACCTTTCGACATGTGAATAAAAGCCACACTGGACTTTATCTATCTACCGCAACGAGACCGTTTCTTCGACCTTCGCGAAATATGGCTCCACGTGAGGCCAGTCCCACGTTGGATGCTTCCCCCCCATCGTCGATAGTACGCTGGCGTGCTACGGGTATAGCTCATGTCATTCCTAGTTTGGGAGTCTGGCGTGCATTTCTTGTTGATAGCGCGGTTGCCATTGGCCACGGCTGCCAGAGGCACTCGTGATAAAAGACGATCCTGATAAGGGGTAAGGTCCTCTATCCAACAGTAGAATAGTCACATGGGCGTCTTCGCCTAGCCGTGCCACCGCCCACAACAAAGTTGTACGTATTTTGACAGACGTCTTCGATACACCTGATAGGGTATGCCGAGCTAAAATGCCACATCTTGCCCTGAAAATATCCAGCAACTAATCTACATAGAGGCACCGGAGGTGATTAGTTTACGTATCACTTAGGAGATACGTGCTGCAACGTATAGAGTATATCTGAATGCACTGAATAGGGGTAGCTTTTTAACGAAGTTAAATAGTGGGGGCGGCTTTGCACAGGGAGGGTGTTATAACAAATTATGGAATTACTAAAAATAAAAGACTTTATTAATAAATAATAAAGATCAATATATTTATAAAAGGTAGGTAGGTAGGTACCTAGGTAAATGTATTAATGTATGGCATATGTACCTAATCTTGGCAGCAGATTGCCTTGCATCAACCTCCCTAGGCTTAAACTGTTAGTTGGGCTTTAGTATTAGATCCTATACTTTGAGGTTGAGAATTGGTTCTTATTGTTCATGTAAAAAGTACGAAAGGTACCTACCTAATTACATAGTAAGGACTATAACGTGACTTAGTCCCAACATAGCAACCTCCCTAGGTTAGGTACCCAGGCTTAAAAGCCTTGCAACTTAAACTATAAAACTTCCATCTCCTCCACCTCCTTTTCCACAACCTGGTAAACGCATCCGCCACCCCATGTCTCGCATCCGCCATTAAACCCTCTTTACGATTCATCATGTTTGAGCATTTTCAATTCCGACATTTGCCTGCGCTCTTTACAGCTGCCGCCCAGTGCTGGGGCACCATTTGGCCTATCCTTAGCGGCAGCACCCGCAGCGTTATGCTGCATTACGGATTAGATCACCGTGTTGCTGATGTGCCCGAGACTTGGGTTGTCTGGCACGTCGGTAATGCGCGCACTGCCTGCCTTGGAATTCTCATGTTTATATTTTATTTCCAGCGCCGCTATGATGTGCTGGATATCTTTTTAATCGTTAGCGGCGGTTACCTGGGGCTCGCTGACTGTTACCTCCTGTGGAATGAAGGGCTTGGGTCTATGGGGGTTTTTCGCCTGCTGAGCTCTTCGGTATTTGCTGCCTTGGGGGCTGCCGGATTCACACAGGGTGCAAGGTCCTAGGCGACCAACAAGGCTGCAAGGGACTAAGCAAGCCTCCCTTCCATACGCATCCCTTTCATACTACCCACCAATGGATGGCTTCACGTAAATTGTACATAAGCCACAGATGAAAAAGGATCAAAGGGGCGGCCGCAGGGAAATCCCTTAGTGCTAGGTACTTCGAATGTACACGTACAGTCCCTTTTGCAAGCATAATGTACAGTAAACGCTGGGAGGATGGTGGACACACAAAAAGTCGAATAGATGGCAAGATACAGGATATCCCTTATTTCCTTGTAATGCAGCATGTGGCTTTCAGTCAAAGCGGTTGATGGAGGCCACCTGGGTACGAACCCAAGCTCCCTTTGAACAAGAGAAACCTCCCTTTCAATAGGCTTTCAATAGGAGAAATTGAAGGCGTGATGTGTGAATCTCTAACACCAACCTATGTGGGCAGGTTCTCGTCTGTTTCAAAATATGAATCGCCTTAAAACTTCTATCTTTCTTTCTTTAGGATTCCCCAAACAACCGAGGCCTGGCTACAATACTCACCGCCATGCAAGCGGCACCAGCCACCCGGCCATCTACAGTGAATTCTCACGCCGACCCGGAAAACATCACCGGCGGACCGTATAGAGGAGCGCACAGCACCCCCAAAATCCATGTCGTCATCCAAAAGCCCGAAACCGACGAATTGGCGGGAGAGGAAGAGTTCAAGGCCTCGTGGCGCCTTTGGGTCATTATCATTGTTATCATGGTTCTGTCCTTGACCTCAGGTCTTGATTCAACAATTATCACCACCTCCTTGCCGACCATCGCCCGCGATATTGGCGGCGCCAGACAATACGTCTGGGTAGCACAATTCTACCTTTCGCCACCACGATACCTCTGCCTTTTTATGGCCAGATCGCCAACATCTTTGGACGACGCAACCCTTTATTCGTAGCGATCGCTCTGTTTGCCCTCGGAAGTGGTATCGGGGGCGGCGCGACGAACGTGGCCATGCTGATCGCCGGCCGTGTCGTACAGGGTTTCGGGACTGGTGGCATCGCTGTCCTCCCGGAGATTATTATCTGTGACCTGATCCCTCCTCGCTCCCGCGGGCCGTGGCTCAGCATCACCATGTCGGGAGCCGCTATTGGGACTACGCTTGGCCCCATTATCGGCGGAACACTTGCTGAGAGGAACTGGCGCTGGATCTTCTGGCTCAACCTCCCCATCTCAGCAGTGAGTTGCATTGTGATATTCTTCGCCTTAAACGTACAGTATACGCGAAGCCCGACCTGGAAGAGCGCTCTCGCCCGTGTCGACTTCTTTGGAACAGCCATCTTTGTCCCCTCCTTGGTTTCGCTATACTTCGGCCTCATCATGGGCGGCACTACGGGCTATCCTTGGTCGTCGTGGCGTATAATAATGCCTATCGTTCTGGGTATCGCTGGCTGGATTGCCTTTCATTTTCACCAAGCTTCCCGATTCTGTCGCGAGCCTACTATGCCACCGCATCTGTTCAAATCCCGCACATCGGTTGCAAGTTTTCTCCTCATCTTCTTAGCATCTATTACCCTCCAGGCCGTCAACTACTTTCTACCCGTCTATTTCCAGGGTGTCAAGGGTACCTCGGCCCTTCAGTCTGGCGTGAATTACTTGCCATTCGCTCTCGCCATTATTCCTTTTGGTATCATATCTGGGGTTATCCTTTCGAAGACCGGCAGATACAAGATATTGCACTGGGCTGGCTTTTCCCTGAGTGCTATTGGTCTTGGGTTATTTTCCACGTTCCGCGCCGACTCCACCGTGGGGGCCTGGATTGGATATCAGGTGCTTGTGTCCGGAGGTGCTGGCTTCATCTTCACAGCAACGCTGCCCTCTACGCTTGCAGCCTTGCCGGAGTCGTACGTGGCGACTGCGACAGGCACGTACGCATTCGTGAGGTCCCTGGGCTTTGTCTGGGGTGTCACCATGTCTTCCATTGTGTTCAACGGCCAGGTTAATGATAATTTGGACATTATCGATAATGTCGACCTACGAAGACTGCTAGCTGACGGTGCCGCATATACTTTTGCCGCCGGTAGCAGCGATGCCGACTCCGGCGTTAGAAATCTGCCTGACCCAAGCAGAAGTCAGGTAATTGAGGTGTACGAGAGGTCCCTAAGTGTCGTATGGTTGGCATTTGTTGGTATCTCGTGCTTGGGCTTTCTTGCTACCTTTATTGAAAAACATATTGAACTACGTGAAAGCAACGAGACAGAGTTTGGTCTCAAAAAGAGCACAAATACGCCTGATCTTGTAAAGGCTGAAGATGGTATCCTATCAACGGCCAAGACAGAAAAGGCTGCTCCTTGAGCAAGAGAATGATAGACCAGAACATGATTCAGCATTAAAATACCCAACAGAGTAGAATATCCCGAGTCTAGCTAAACGTCATTATGATACAGGTTTAATAATAGATAATAGAGGCAATTTCCAAGATTGTTTTCATACCAACGCGGCTTGGTGTCTAAGATTGACTCGGGATGGATTTTCAAAAGGGCACCTAACACTACGTAAGGCCTGGGAAAAGAATAGCGAAGAACCTACGTTGTCTTGTCTAGAAACCATCCCCAGCCATTTTTCGTTGGGGAGTAGACACCTTGATGGCCAATTGCTCCCTGATATAGATTCTAGCATTTGTATACTTGTCTCTCGATGGGCGGGTCGTACCGAGACCTGCTTCAACATATCCCATCTAACTTACCAGCATACCTAACACCTAATACCTAATGATAGTCTAAATTACTACTGTGACATGTGCTCATGTCAAGAAGTTCCTAGTTATAACCAATACATTCCCCTCAATCCCTCTTCATGTAGCCGACTGCTTCTTCTGTGGACACGACCCAAGCCGATACGGGGAGAACAACGTCGAGAAGGTCTCGATTCACTTGTGCGTTGGGATCCCAGACCGCATCCTCGACCACCGTGACGATGAAGTCTTCATCAGTTCCCTGTAAGGCTGTACCCAATACGACGCCACTAGTTCCAATACCACCGAGAATAAGAGACTTGACGCCTAGATGTTCTCGTAAAAATGGTAAAAGGCTTTTATTGATGAAGGCGGACCTGGGTCCAGGAAGTCTGTGAGATACGCTCTCAAGTGGGCCAGCGATATTTCCAGGCGGAGGAGCAAAGTCGGCGTACTCCTCGACCAGTTCAGGATTGGCCTCGATTGCGGGCTTGTTGACTGTGAACCACTGCTCGTATATCTTGCTCGTAGGCGGGGGGTCGATGCTGGTATCTATGAGGCAGTGTATGATGGGCACTTTGTTCTTGCGCGCCGTCGCGAGAAGTAGGTTGACAGAGTCAATGAGTGCCTGCCTTTCTGGACTTGCCATCATGTCGACAAGCATATTCAGGTAGTCCATGACCAGCAGCGCCGTTTGGGAAGACCCGTAGTAAGCTGGCTGGTTCGGCCTGGTCGTCTCGTTCCTTGGCATATTTTCCCTTGGTAGGGGTGGTGACGGAGACAGACTTGGGATGTTGTGGGAAGGGAATGATGGTGTGCCCCAACCACTGACGCGCCTAAGTAGGCGGAGAGGGCGCCGAGGATAATGTAGGCTGCGCATGGCAAAATTGCGGAATAAGTCTCATGAGTAGATGGAGGGATTGGGAGGGGGCGTGGTAGTAATATCGTAGGACAGGGTGAATCTCTACGAGCTGGAACGGGATATTTATTGGTAGATACTGCATGCCCAGATGTCCCTAAACTCGTCATACACACCTTTGCTCGGAAGGGAGGGTATAGAACAAAGCGAGCCGTGTTTGCATCCGTTTTATACCTAAGCTTAGCGCCACATTGCCCTTGCTTCGTCCAATGTTATATATTGAATTAAAGCTACCTAATTTAGTAATAATATTAAATATAAGAAGTTGATCTAATGTTGTACTACATTAGTTTTTCATGCAGATAAGAATAAAGGGGTTGGCTTCCTTGAGAGCAATAAGAAGACTTAACACTTCATCATCCTCATATTGACTATATGAACATATTCATCCAGTATCAACCAACTTCACTGACATATCTATCAAATAGCAAGGAATGGTTTTAATGACTCTAATTTTCTTCTTAATTTATACTTCTTAATCGTAGCTTCTGTATATTATACTGGCAATCAATATTTATAATCCCCCCTATTACCAGTGGATACTTACCGAATCACGAATTCTGCCAGGTGGTAAGAAATACGACAGCTGTCAAAGCCCACAGTAAGCAGCTTCAATTATGTGCCTCAATTATGGAAGTATGTAGTTAGAGATTTGTCTCACTCTTACCTCATCCCATCTAAATCATCCAGAGCTCGATATATCAGAAATGGCTCCATCACCTCTACCAGAATTCGTATACAAGATTGTGCCTTCGGCACCTCCATCGCCAATCCCATCCGAGTATCCCCTTTCGGAGCTCGACCAGAAAGATGGTTTTGTCCATTTGAGTATTGGTTCGCAAGTAAGTGTTGAGAACTGTATATGAAATCGCAGACTACCTACCTCCTCTTCCTTGCGCATCTACCTACCCATATTTAATATATTATGTATACCCTTAATAACCGTACCGCACTTCATGCTTACACCATTTACCAGATTCCCATAACGGCAGACCTCTTCTTCAAAGAGACAACGTCCATCTGGGTTCTTAAGCTCCGGTTTGCTCCCAAGTTTCACTCTGCGACTACGTGGGAGATTGAAGGATGCCCGCATCTCTACGGCAATTTTGGCGTTGAGGACGTCGATAGTGTTAAACAGCTCACGCGAGTAGATGGTGAGAGCTGGAAGGAATCGTTGAAGAAGGAGAGTGGCTGGCTGGTCTAAATCCCCCCCTTGCAAGTCACATGGCTACCAATGCTCGGAATATAGGTTAAGACAAGAATACCGAGTATCGTAGTTATAACATTACGACTCAAGGAGTTATACTAGAATATACTAATTACTATTAAGGATCGCGACTATATCATCTATTTACAACGCTCCGGGCACTATTCCACCATAAGTTGACATGTCCAAAGAGAGCATGCTAATCAAACGAGGGCAAGCAGAATTCTCAACGACACAAACGCTGAGAGAAGATTTAGTCGCGTATTATACAATTTCCCCGCGTAACACAATCCACGTGTCCTAACGCAATCCTAAAACAGGCCTCCTCATCAAGAAGGCGTTTCCTCCAAAGCTACCAACTTGGGTAGAAGAGGAGAGATGGATCCTTCGTAATACAGGGGTAGACAGCGATACACTCGATATCTTTCTTGGTGAATGCGTCTAGCACGTCGAGGAACTTGTGTAAGACCTGCTGCTCCTATGCCTGCACGTCATTCCATACTTCCGCAACTGGATGAGTGGGCTCACGAGCATCACCATTTCCGCTGAGACTATTGCACCTCTCTTTGTACGCTTGGGAGAAGCTGTCGAAGTCCTTGTACTTCATCTTGAATTTGCCGTTGCGGAACTCGCTCAGTTCTACCAAGATGCCTACTTCTCTGCCTTTGATGTATCCCAATTCTCCACGATACAGGTCACTCACATCAATGTACACTCTCTTCAGGTTTCTAAATCGAAGCAGCATTGATAGACGTGCTTGGTCGGCCTCGGATTGTTTGAATATCTGAGCGCGGATCGACACGTTCATGGCCAAGGTAACTTCTTCCAACTGGTCTTCGTAAGCGGTTTGTAGCACCGAGGGATATCGAACACAAAATCCCATGCCAGCTTTGCTTCTTAGTGCATCACTTGATCGACTTGAGAACTGGATGACGGAGTCAAGCAGATCTCCTCTCAGAGGGAATACATCAACGAAATTGAGAGCGAGCCGGGGCGCTTTTTTTCGTTGATGGAGCAGAATGATATATCGGCTGACGATTGCGTGACTTTCCGTATTCACTAGGAAGAGCGGCCAGAAGAAATCTCGCAAGTCTCGTACAATGGAAGGATCGGGATCGGGATCGCCTATATTATCTATCGTGTGCGCTGTGAAAAAAAGATAGGGGGGCCTATGCTGAGTATACCAAAAGCGGTTGAAGTCGGGGTATTTGTGTCTGAACGCGTCTGCAGCCTGCTCGGCGGCCATTATCCAGACCATCTCTCGGATCTCAGCAGGAAATTCCTGAAGCGGGAAGGATACCGCGTCGCTAGGACATTCTGACGTATCATTGTCTATCGTGGAGGAATCTGTCATACTGATATACTTAAGATACAGTTAAACAAATTGAGATGCTGTTGAATGCACCGTAGGATTGTACGAGAACGTCGAGATGCAAATAAATATAAGATTCAGTAGTGTTTTTTTTTTTAATAAAAAATAAAAAAAAAAGGAAAGAGAAAAGAGAGATTAAACATGTATAGTGGAACATGTAACCATAGTGATGGTACCTTCTAATGGTACCTTCTGAAAGGCCGTAGATCATAGTGATATGCAGCTAAGGTTGCCTAGGTAGTTAAGTTATACTTATTCCCAAACTCTTTTCTCTAATTGATTATTTTATCAAAACCTCCAAACTCCGCCATGAGCCATACTCCATGCTGAGAACCAAAATTTTGAACCAAGCCCTTCGGCGTCGAGCCCCCAAGTCTCCCAAGTCTTCCAAGTCGCAAATTACTGGCTACCTACCTAATATTCCTGATTCCCAACAGCTCTTTACCCGTGATTCAATAATTGTCGCAGTCTATCGTCGACCGTCCGCCCTAATTCCCTCAGTCCTTCTGAATGCGCCATTTTCGGAAGAGCTTGTTTCTTTGCCGCCCATCGTCAGCGAGGTCATCTTCGTCTGTAGGGGAGGATGGAGAGCAGTCCCCGTTAGTAGATACCTCCATGCGGTCGATGCTCTCGGCCCCATCCTTAGACGAATGTCCAATGCTTCCGTTCGTGCCTGTACGTTTCAGGTCACCTACGTCAACAGCACTATCAGCTGTAGGAAGGATCACGACCGAACTATTCGAGTGTTTTTGGCTCGTGTTCTGACCGATTCTACCGTGAGCGATGGTACGCTTATGCTTCGCTAGGAAGGACCTATGCGTCCGGTTCAGTGTTTTCGACGGATCAATATCCTCGGCTGAAATACAAGCCCCTGGACTAACGTTTGCGTCTGGGTGACGCAGAGAAGTGGTATATTCAGCGAATGCATCCGGAAAGCCAGTATCGTAGTTGCGACTTGTCCGTCGACTGCTGCTTGAGTCCGACATGGTGACAGAATAGTCTATAGCTTTGTCTTAGTTCTATGTACCGTAGAGAACGAGACCTTGTATCCAATGAAAGACGTAAGTTTTATGACCGAGTCTTATGTACGCACACGGTCACCCCGATTTAAGCTTTATTTCGTGATGTGGGGAAGGCCGAAGACTTTCAATAGGTAGGGATTGAGGCACGAGGAAAAGAGTAGAAACAACAGGAGAAGACAAGATCGTAGATTTGTTAGATCGGGTGGTACGAGGTGGCATAACAATGGAATCAAGCTCCTTGAGCGATGGTGATGAATATCATCATAATAAATATCTAATCCGCTTCATCGTCCTACCCCTGGCTACTCTCTACTCTCGGATCGCATGGGGTTCAAGTTGTATACCATGTCCTCGACAAGACAGGTTCGGACGGAATAACGTCGATAAGCGAAGACAAGCGAATTGGCTCATTTGGAAATATAATTGGACAGCGTCACTTGACGTAGTTGAAGATTTCGGGCGGCTTTGTTCTAGTATTTTGGTAGTATCTTGATGATATTTTGGCAGCCTACCGAACTGCGCCCCAGCTGACGAATATGATTAAATGGATAGAAATGCTTGCTCACCTGAAAGGAGGTAACCTGAAAGCAATGCTGAGATTCCAGCCGGGGCTGACACCAATGCCAAGAAAGAATGACAGGGTTCGGCTCTTTGTATTGGAAATTGCTTGGCAAGCAATCAACCGCGCGCTTGAGTAATTCCAGAAGATGGAGACAGTAGGGGTCTTATTAATTTGGTGCCGTTATCCGGTCCACGTTCGGGTTGTCAGGAGAAATATTGTTACACTTCTCGAGACATAGAATTCGGTACGATTTAGGAGAAAGTTGTAAAGTTGTAAAGTCGGTAAGAAAGATATAGGAATCGGACAAGGGGGGGAGGACAGGAACTCGGGTTAAAAATATATATGAAATATGTAAGACGGAATATGCGAGTTCGGATATAAGTACGCCACGCCGAGGAAGTTAATGTAGGTAAACGTATGTAGGAAAATGTAGGTTAGGTATTATCGAAGTTAAATGCAATAAGTAATCGTGGATAATACGGCATAAATTAGGTAAGAGGTATGTATATGTAGCCACTTGCGTATGCTTTGACCTTAAAACATAGTGTATGTGTTTAGGTGCGTCCTTGCAGGTAACTTTAATGCAGGTCTCTCTTTTGTTCGATAGGTGAGGGTGAGAGTTGTCTCGGATTTTAAGGTTTTTTTTGGGTTTTGACTTAGGTATCTGCTAAAGGCTGAGGTGGTAACTTAAGTGTGTATTTAAACACAGACTTCCATGACGAATTCCACTACGCCAACCTTGTGGCGATCATAAATATAAGGAATAGGGAATGCATGTGGGCAGACGGGAATCCGATGCCGTGGTACGGATAATCGGAACGCCAATACATACCTACCTAGGTATACATACCTAAATACCAATGAGTTGACCAAAGTGACGATGATGATGACCAGATGTACATTGACCAACAATCGCCACGGCAATCACGGCAGCCTAGCGGTGGCCACGCAAACAGACGAACAGAAGAATAGTCTGACGATCTGGCTAGAACCTATCCTGTCAGGACCACCCACGCGATTAAAAATCATTGAAACCTTTCTGCGTGTCTCAGCATGTTGATGAAATGGGTTAGTGGATTAATGTAAGAAGCTGGAGTTGGTAGGACTCGATTGACTGGTCCACTGCTTTTTGCATCTTTAACCTTTAACTCCTTAACGCTTCAAGGGCGCTTTCCTAAACGTCAAGTCTAATAATAGGTAATACAGGTAATTAATGGGTTTATGAAAGAGCGACTGCCGGGATCCGATTCAACTGATGGGGTTTAATGGGGGCAGAGTTCAAATCATACAGCCTCATTTAGGTTAGTTATCGTTTATTGGACTAATAAATCCACGTGATACGACAGGGATAATCCATTGCGTTCCACAATAGAAATGGTACTACCACCCAACCCACCTAAGGCGCCTATGACCGAATTGTTCGAGCGCAAGTCTAGAAAGAAAAAAGAATACTATTTGACTAATCCACGAACATAACAGTCGCTTAATATATGGCCAGTAAATAAATCTCCGAAATTAGGAAAATGAGGGTCTATGATTAATAAAGGCCGAGGCAACATTCTACTCTGAATAACCCCTATTAGCAGCCTCATTGACTACTTACCTGGGTAGTAAAATTGCAACTAAAATCTAAATCTAAATGATAATTACTTGGCTAGGTCTTAGACATCAAAGACAACAATGCATGCAATAACAATTGGGGATTGACCCAAAGATGTGATGCATTTTTTATCTTTCAAAGTGCCAACCAGTTAGAGTAGCGCTTTGGCCAATGGAAGTTGGACTAAGGATCAGTACACATTCCTAACATTCCTAAAGTTGAAAATATATTTCTATAGTTAGAGGCTATATTCTATAGAGGCTATAGAGGCTATAAGACTACCTGATTTAGGGCTACAAAGCCATAAAAGTGCCTACTTTCAAATCCAAGCTTAAGAAATACTCTCACACAGAAAAGTTGAATAGTATGCATTATATTGACCACTATAAACATGTAAATTTCAACGTTAAGTGTTAGGATGATAACTCTATTATAAGATTTACATCTTCTCACATAATATACCTCTTTACGCAGATATTGAATGTTTTCACCATGTTCCAAGTAGTGTCTCTTTTATTTCTCAAACAAAATAGTCTTCCCTATGATCTAGTCACGGTTCACTAAATATGCATGTAGAGATTCTAAAGACTATCTCTACATACGCGAACTATACGAGAAATATAAAGGCTTTCAGTGTGGATAAGCATGGTAGTATTCCATTCTAGTTCCTATAGATTAGGCGTTTTCTCAAGTTGAATAGACTTTGGGACCAGTAGCTAGTGATCCAATGAGGATAGGCCGAGCTAAGTAACGTCGAGTTGACTTTTCCTCAGTATCGTATACTTGGCCGTTCCAGCAAGATCAACAGCCTTCCCTTTACAGTTAATTACATTAAAACTAATATTAATGCTTAGAGCTGGTGTCAGGAGATGGTGATGCCCAGGTAATTGGTGTCATATACAGATTGAGTGCCTAAGTTAGGCAGGTAGACGAAGTAAATAGTGTATTGATCTAGTAACGCCTGGCTTCTACTCTCTCACAAGGGCGCCGTGCGCCCCTTGTGTAGTAGATAGACCCCTGAAGATAGCCAACAGCGACTAGAACTATAATATATTTTAAAGAAGCTATCCCGAAAGCTTGCACAGTTCATAGTCTACTTAGTGCAAAGGACTACGGTGGCTATAATTATAGCGCCTATGCCAAGTCGGATTAATTTTTATCAGACTTGTAGTAACGGTATACTGTAATCTAAGCTCGTAAAGAGTCATTAGTTTGATGTAACCTAATCATCCAATACTCACTCTCAACGTAGGAGACAGAAAGGCGTGATATGGAACGGCTTAGAGCGAATCAGCGGCGCCTCAGCAGGCGACCCCCGAACACCAACGTTGCACCAAACACGAGCTCACCTAAAGGACCAACGAGAACAGTTAGAACATCATCATGTGTGCCGTTTAAGGTGTGATTTGAAGGGTGTCAGGAAACCAATGTAATGCATATAGATAATGCGTATATTAGTCTTTAGATAGCCTTGCATACCGTATACCCCTAAATAGGTCAGCGGGGGGTAGTCTTTCCCCCTCGCCCCGACCTTAAATATACGAACCAACCAACCAACGTAAGAAACCCTCAGAGAAAAAAAAAATAAACTAGATTCTGAACATTTATATATCCTCGGTAGAATACCAATACTGGGCCATTTTTCGTTCAATTAATAAATCATCGGAGTCGGTTATTGAGATTTGAGATCGCGAGTAGATTTAGATAGACGTCTAAGATATATAATTCTTCGTGTAACCACGGGGTAATCTCACCACCAGGCTTGCATCATGGCACCCTCTAACAGCTATCTAAGATCTTAATGAGGACGCCTCTAATTCCCGTATATATCCTTGTAATACTATAAGCAGTTCCACAACAAACAGTTGAAGGAGTTTGCGAGATTACTTGCATATAACTTCGGTATGACCTGCCTATTTCCAGCATATTATAATGATCATATCTCAAGAAAAGCTATCAGGCTTCAATATCTCGCTTAAATTTCTCCCCTTTATTAAATCTATGGAATATAAATAATAACACTGCCCCGTGGATTATTGTATACGATCGGTCATCCCTCTCTATACCTCGTTATATAATTCTATACGCACTCCTCCTACTCCAAATCAACATAATGACTACTATTCAGGAGGTAAAACCAGTAAACCTGGATACCCAACCCCTATTATTCCCAGACGACCCACGAGAACGGCTCTTATCGAGTATACGAGGGTCTCAAGTGACTATCCCCGATTTGCAATCAATAATCAGCCACTGGCCCCAAAGAAACCATCCAGAAATTGAAAAGCTAGATAAATACGTCCAAGAGACAATTGCAAGGTGACTACCTGGTATACCCTACTCTTCAATCATTTACTAATTCACTTATCGTAGTATTTCGTCCTCTTCAAGTGATAATTCCCGGCTCCGTAAATTGAGAGCAACTGATATAACCACCTTCACCGCTGCGTGGTGGCCGTACGCATCGTATGAGGCGTTGGAAACTGGTGCGTGCTTGGCTATCTGGGTAAGGGGCACAGAACTACCATCACACTAATTCTGATTAACTAACATTTCTGAAAGCTCTTTGCTTGGGACGATGGTATACCAGACACCCAAATTGCAGACTTATAATTTGTCTCTTACTAAATGACTTATCTAGAGACGGACTCCGAGGAGCTTTCGACTATCATCAATGACTGGAATACGGCTTCTACATTCCGACAGAGAACTATCGACTACGTACATCACAGTCTATCTAAGATTCCGAAGCCGAAGCCAACTGAAACCGAACCCCTAATCACCTGTGGTGGGCCAATCGGACAAGCCATATTAAAGTCCTGTAACGACCGTACGTATATTTCCCTACTACATCTTGCTACTATATCATGATCTCACCAAGGTCTAGGCCAGATCAACATGTTTCTCAACGAGATGTTGTACTATATCAATATGTGCGGAGAAGAACAAAAAGTTCAACTAGCTCGCCGTCTTCCTACTATTGAAGAATACGCACGGTATCGTTCGGGTACAGGCGGTGTGCTGATTTGCCTCGCCATTATTGAGTAACATGCATCTACATCCGTTTAACTTAGGAAGGAAGCTAAACAAGTCTTATAGATATGCTTGGGGGATGACATTACCTCCGGAACTATTTGATGATGATGCTATGCGACAACTTTGGAATGAAACAAATGTTATTGTATACACGTATGTCGGTTATAATTCTCACCATCTACGCAAATATTTTTTTCCCTTCGTAGACTAACATTTTAAGGACGAACGACTTATTGTCTTTGAGGAAGGAAGTGGTCAGTGAACCTACCCGGCTTGAGGCTATTTACATTTCTAACGTATAAATGCACAATAGGAGCAATCACAAGTCGATTCGCTAATCCCTCTATTATATCTGCAACTAGGGTCTGTACAAGCAGCTGTCAACCAGGCTGTAGACATGATACGTTCATCGGTCCAGCGATTTGAATCCGCAGAGGAACAGCTCCTACAGCGATACTCGTCTATGCCCGAAATCCAAGAAGATGTCCGTAAATTCATCGATGGCTGCAAATACGCCGTTACAGCTAATCTCAGCTGGAGGTACGTGCTAATGTCCCCCTTTCCTAAGATATCGCTAACATATTCTTTTTAAACTAGTCTTACCACGGGAAGATACAAATTGTACTGCGAGTCTATGAGTGGTGGGATACACATAACGCTTTGAGTCTATTTTAGGATCTGGGCATTCGGTAGATGATGAACGAAAGATGGCGTGGTATAGATCTTTGTATCGAGCAATATTATCGTATGATGATATTGCCGTCCTTTCTTGAATTTTGCTATTGTTTCGTATTTTGAAAGCTTACCTCAAATCAAACAATCTACTTATCATCTAGGTAGTCATTGTTATAATATTTCAATGCCAAATCTGTGCAGTGGAGTCAGTAAGGAAAGTGATAACATTTCCTCGTTGTGGAACATGTCTGAGGTGTCATATTACTAGGACAAAGACGACTACGCCTCGTAATAATGACTTAATATCGCACGCCTCTATACCGCTACAAGTTTTCAATAGTAGCTAATCATATAGATAACAAAACTTAACTTATCATTTGTTGAAGGCATCTTCCCGAGATATAACGAATGGAGTAGTGGTAGACAGCCTCTGCTAGAGGTGTATATAGAACTCACCTGCATAAGCCAGTCGCTTCTGATATGCAACTGCTTCGATGTAGGAAACTCTTAAAACCTCAAACTTCCCCTGTTATTCACGTCTCACTCTTAGAATATCACATAAATCACAATTTTCACCCTCAACATCATATATGGCTTCCCCTGAAAATCAAAGCCCGCAAGAGAAGTATGGGCTCTCCTGTCCCTTCGGGGGTTCCTTTTATATCTGCCTATCTAGCCAGGCTCGCTTTCTTGGGTGTTGTGAAACGGATCCATGCTCCAATGGAGGCCAGTGTCTACTTGGTGAGCTCCGCCCAGCCAGCTACGTCAGCTATCCAGGCCACCATCAGAATTGCGTCGCCCCTTATGACGAACGTGAGTGGTATACATGCGATTTTGCAGCGCCTAGGTTTATGGGTTGCGTACGTAACGAACAGTTTTCTTCCTCTCCTTAACCCCGTTGCCCTCTCCTAGGGGTCAAAGTCCACATGCTTCAGGTAGTTGAGGACCTATCATACTTAGATTGGACGCAAAAATCGAAACTTGAAACCCTAAAAGCCTAGCAAGTTTACCTGTTATATATACCATCTACTTGACGATTTTCCGATCAACTAGCAAAGTATAGCCTAAGCCTAATATGCGAATCGCACTTGAATATATTACAAGCCTCTTTGAGTGTCGTAGCTCTAGATTCGAATCCTAGACTTAGGGAAAATACACCCAAGCCTCCAGTAATGAATGTTTTCAGCTGTGCAGGCATCACTTTTACATAAAATTATATTAGTCTTACTAACGTCTTTTTTATAGTGTTTGCAGAACCCATGCGATCAAGGTTGTCCGGATTGGGATCTAATTCCTGCACAACTCGACGACGACCCAAACATCGCAGCACCATTTCTTCCTTCGCCGCGTGATTCGTCAGCGGAAACGGGACGCATAATTGGATTTAGTATAATGGGCGTAGCGATAGCTCTCTTAGTCCTTGTAGTCGTGCTCTTGAAGTTCCAGAGAAAGATGAGGAGAAAAATAATGAATATATGGGAGTCCTTTAAGAGACATCGTCGCTCTAATAACGATCAAAGTAACACGGCGTATGATGATTTGGAACCAAGTAGGTTTGCTTAACTTGCAATACGTTTTGACGTGTTTAGTAATTATTAGATAGATATTTTAGATCACAGCTCGTCTAAACCAGAGTCGGAACCATCGTCGACCTCCTCTAGTGGCACTGCTCATACACACAGAACGTATGGGCCGCTCAGGGTTGTGAACCCGTAACCGTTTATGTATCCGGGGGCTTGTCTGGTGCTTCTAAACCGTAACTTACGGACTTACACGAAAACCGTCGAACAGATTGATTCTCCTGTCTTAGGTACTTTTGGCACTTAACTAAGTCCTACGTACCAATACTTCAGAGAATCCGGTAGCCACATATGTTTCATTTTATACGTAATAACATCTGTCTTCATGAATAGAATATTTACCTAGGTATATTTCTAAGACAAGTAACTCTAGTCTTTACTCGTACTTACGCTTGGTGGTACATCGTCGTCTCCTGTACCCCAGCTCGTGCTCTCCTTATCGCCCAACGTGAGTTCCAATGTACCGCCCTCGAGGAAGAAGCTGTGCGTGAGGTAATTCTTCGTGTATTCCTCCCCGTCAAGCTTTGCGCTTTGTATGTAAATATTCTTGTACGCGATGTCAAAGTTACTGGTCTTGATCGTTGCTGTATTACCTGTTATGCGATTGGTGATCGAGACGGACGGAAAGAAAGGGGCCGTAATAAAATAAATGTCCTGTCCAGGATTTGGAAATATACCCATCATCGCCAAGGCTACGAATGAACCCATGGCGCCTGAATCGTCATTTCCGGGGATGCCTGCCGTTGTGGTGTTGAACTGGCTGGGTATATAGTAGTGGACTCGCTCGGTCGATTTACCAGGGCGACCAGCGTAATGGTATTGGAATATGGTTAAAAATGCTTGTTCGTCACCGACATAAAGGATACCGCTCTCGTGAAGATAGTCCAAACGATTGACAAATGTATCGGGTCCGCCAAGGGTGGTGATTAGGGTTGCCATATCGTGAGGGGCGAAGAAAGTGTAAAGCCAGGGGCTACCCTCATATGTCTCATGGCCACCCGGGTTGAGGTAGCAAGAGTCAAATGACATAACAGAAGAGCAAAGCGTCGGGTCCTGGTATCCAAAGGTACCATTTAAATACCTTGGTTGTAGATAACCAGTAAAGCCGGTGTCCGTACCGTTTATATCCGAGGCCTGATCGGCATTGTATAAGTTGACCCAATTCCCAGACCGCTTGGTATACTTCTCGTAATCATCTTGCTTGCCTAGCGCCTTCGCCATTTCTGCGATACAAAAGTCGTTGTAAGCATACTCCACAGTTCTGGATATACTTCTTGTGAATAGGCCATTGCCGTACGGGTCGAAGTCATCTGCGGGAATGTAACCATACTTCTTCCAACTATACAACCCGCCACGACCTTCGTAGTCCCACACCGGCGGTTCATCTTCTGCATCCTTTACCAATGCCTCATACCCAGTGTCCCAGTCAACACCTTGTGTAATGTTCTTGAGAAACGCATCTACCAGCACGATATCAGCGTTAGACCCTCCTTGAGTCCATCCTTTACAGAGGGACATTCGGCAGTCCGGTAACCACCCTTCGTGACGGTAAATATCGATGAGAGAGCGAATCATCAGAGTTTGGGAATAGGGGTCCACTAGGGTAATGAAGGGGTGAATAGATCGAAAACTATCCCATATACAGTACCATGAGTCGTAGTACGGTTCGTCGCTTTCCCAGAGGTAGTTTTCACCGGTATAATCCTGGGGACTCAACATTGCCCTGTATACACCACTCCAGAAGATTGTCTGCAAAGAGGTGTCTTCAAAGCCAGTGGTGTCGATACTTAAGACTGAGAGTTTATCTTTCCAAACATCTTCTGCGGCGGCTAAAGTTTTTGAGAAGCTGAAGTCTGGCACCTCTGCCTCGGCGGACCCGCAAGCTTGCTCAACACTCTTGAATGAAAGCCCGACCCGAACCGTGATTGTGGTGCCTGTTTCAACCTCATTGAGCCAAGTGTAGGCTCCTGCTGGCAGGGGAGGGGAATTATTGTCCTGTCCCAATACGATATTCTTGGGATCACTACCAGCCCTAGTGTTCATGAACACCCCCGTATCGCGTATAGAAACTCCTTGAGGAAAGTCGGCACAGAAATGCAGCGTATATGTACCGGTTCCAAAGCTAGGCAGGAAGGTTCCGTTCCCAGAGATCCTACCGGTATCTGGATCGACAGATACACTACCATTGAGGCGAGTATTGGGCAAATCTGTCAGATCGAAAATGAACAGAGGGCTTAAGGGTGCGTCTACAGAAGCATTTCCTGTAGCATTGCCGAAGAATGTGAAATCGTAAAGAGCCGTGTGGTTTGTAGCTGTAATCTCGGCCCTTATACCAGAGATGAGATCAATTGTGAAATAGCCAGGACGAGCTAAAACACTCCCATCAACAACTTGGACACTGCGCTGGGTCTTAGGGAAAATGCATCCGTTTACGTCGTCATTCGCGCAGCCTGGATAAACGAAGACTGGGAAATTTCCAAGTGATGAAGCACCACCAGTGCCCGAGTCGTGCATATGAGAGAAGCCTGTAACTGGGCTTCCATTTGAGGCATACCCTCCCTGGTTATCGCTTGTGACATCCGCAACTGCTTTCGCCATTCCTAGGATTCTATTAGAAATGCTGGGTATACATTAGATAGACATCGTGGTTATTGATCCTGCTTACCAAATGGCAAGGTTGCTCCGGCAAAGACATGACCTATAGTAATGATTAGCTAGGTGGTCTGTATTGACAACAGAATATAAGCGAGCTCACCTCCATTACGAGTGCCGATTAGAGGATCTACGAAGTCATAACCACTAACAGAGCTATTAGTATCCCGGCGAGATAGGTTTGCAGAAGTCGTTTGGCATAATGTAGCCACAATGAAAGACTGTATAAGTAATTGAATGTTCATCTTGGGAGGCAGCTATATTCTCACTGAGCCCAGTTGAACATACATTAATTATTGGAATACTAGGTATTCATAGCTGTGATAGCTATGTAAATGGGGAGGAAAGAGAAGCTCGGAATACAAAGGAAGAGCAGCCGATAATACATAAAAAGCATGTCACATGGTAGATCTGAGTGACATCGCATGTCAAGGCGGGGTGTAAATACCCCGGATTCAGAATAGCATCCCGTATACTCGGCTATGACCAGAGTTCCATCGTTGGCCACAGCAGCATGGCAAACTCATTCAGGATCGCCATCCCTTCGATTGAACTAAGCCTTTTCCGTTGCAGCTAGGAAATGTACCTACTAAGATAATATATTGGAGGCGGTCTGATATTATCGAATTACCTTCATGGTTTGGTAACTTTCATTACTCTCACGTAAAAGACGTTGGGTTGCAACAATAGGAAAGGCCCGAGGAGGTAAGGGTCTAAGTTGGAAGAAAGTGTAACCAATGCGGCTCGAATCAATTTGGATTGAGCTTGCGAGACATTTGTCTAGGATTGTACTGCTCCAATTGTCTTAGGTACTATGTTGAGAGTTGAAATGATATCTAACTATAGAAGAGATTAGTTAAAAAATAATAATTCATTGTGCTTGTTTCGTGATGTTATAATTCACATTTTATAATTTATTTAATAATTGTAACGTTAAGGTAGAGATAATCTAGGTAGTATATACCCAGGTTACATACCTATAGGTACCTAAGGAGATAGGATATATTAATGTTTGTGTGATTTGAAGGTGAAGGAGTGAAAGATGAAAGAGTGAGCTGCAACTAATGCTCGGATCCACATTATGTACTAACCCCTGTCGATTGGAGACTAAAGCGGGAATACTCCAAACCACCGAAGCTTCTAATTGGTTAAATTTGCTCCCCGCGAAAAGCTGCTAAGATTTCCTTCCTATCGATCAAGAAAAATTTCCAGCTCGATTTTTTAATTTTTTAATCGGTCAATTGATACGATTTGAAAATTGATCCATTGAGATCCAACGCCCACCCACTACAAAAAAAAAATCCCCCCATCCTGACGACCTCGTACGTCGTGATCAAGTCGGTCGCTTAATTAATTAAATAACTGCGCGTGTTTCCTCGAGAACGCGAAGAGACAAGATGGGGTCGACGAAGCCAGAGAAGGAGAAGAAGGAAAAGAAGGACAAGAAGCGCAGCGAGGCTGACGGCGTGACAAAGTCTAAGAAAGACAAGAAGGACAAGAAAGATAAGAAAGAGAAGCTTAAGACTGTCGTCAATGCTGCCCTCGACGACCAATCAGAAGTTGACACCTCGGCGTCTGTCACCGTCGTGAAGGATGGCGAGGAGAAGGTTGCTAAGGTCCTGGCTCCCGTAGTGGGTGCTTTGGTACCCTTTGCGAAGCCATTGGCGGACGAGAAAGGCACCAAGAAGATTATGAAGACCGTGCGGAAAGGTATGTCTATCTTAAATCTTCGTCTTTTGCTACTGCTGCTAGCTGTAGCATATTTCTCCATGCATTTCTTATCAGATTAATGAACAACTAAGCGCTAACGCGATTTTAAATATAGCTGCGAAGCACAAGACCCTTAAGCGTGGCGTGAAGGAAGTTGTCAAGTCGCTGCGCAAGTCTCCTGCTAGCGGACCAGGCAACACCTCATTCCCGGGCGTCGTTATCCTGGCCGGCGACATCAGCCCTATGGATGTTATTAGCCATATCCCCGTGCTGTGTGAGGACGTCAACGTGCCGTATATCTTCGTCACGTCGCGTGCCGAGCTAGGCGCCGCCGGCAGCACCAAGCGACCCACCAGTGTTGTCATGGTCACCGAGAAGCGGACCGGAGGCAAGAAGGACAAGGCCGACGAGAAGATAGCCGAGGAGGATGTTGAGGACTTCGCCGAGGCGTACAAGGACCTGGTCAAGCTAGTCGAGAAGGAGAGCAAGCAACTCAAGCTCACGTAGGCTTGGCTTCACTTTACTGCGGTTGTTATCTCTGCCTCTCGGGGGTTGTTTGTATGAGAGATCACCATTCGACGTGGCCATTTTATTAGCTAGCCAGCCTAGGAATATCGGCTTTGGTGGTCCGTAGTCGTGGGCGTTCTTCGCTGTCCTTTCAAGCATCCAAGGGCATCTTCGGATCAAAATGTACGTACTGTTTCGGTTGGCTACATAGGCGTAGCCTCTGGCGTTGGGGAAAACACTTCATATTTGCGTTCGGATCAATTAATATTGGTTCAAATGAAATTGGCTCTTTCCGAGTCGTGATTAAAGTGTTTACAATATTTGACTAACTAGGGATCTACGTGTTACTCAAATCTACAATTCACAAGTAAGGCTGATGGGAGTGATATAAGATGATTATTCGTGAACATTTATTGATTCATTTATTATACAACTAGTGATAGCTCGCAGACTCCATACGGCTTCCTAGCATATTATCAACCCGTAAGGAAACTAATAAACACAAGTCCTTCCAACTTTGCTAATTTAGTCGAAAGGGTTGGTTCGGGTGCCCCACCAGGTGAGGAATAGAGACAAACCAACAGTCTCGAGGATCTTTGATGTAGCACCGACCGCGACAGTGTCAATAGGTCGCTTCTCAGTCAAGAGCTGTGCAAGGTACTGTTATGATGTTAGTATAAGACCTCTGACATCTGAGTAGTAGGATAGACATACTGTAGGGGCGGATGTAGCCGCGAAGATAAGAGCACCTAGGTAAGCGGCGCCCTTGTAGCTAAGAGTGCCGGTTGCGTTGATGAGGGCACCGATACCATATGATTGCAGGGCGGAGCCGACTAGAGAAGTTCCTATGGCGGCAGCGGTCGACGCGGCTTCTTTTGATCGGATGAACTCCTCTTTAGTGTTGGCAGCCTTGGCTCGCTGGTAGGTCTGGCCGAATAGCGGGGATAAAACTGCTAGTTCAATGCCGTGGTTGAAGACGGTGCCGAGGGCGATGGCCGAAGGCTTGACAGGAGGAAGGTCTGAATGTTGGTGTTTGTTAGCCTTTATAAACCCATAACTAATAGCTGATAGATGGTCACGCCTTAAGAGATCTGAAGGCTCTTGAGACGTCTATGAGACCAAATAACTGTATTTCCTCAGAAAGCAATGCGATAAGGTGCGTGTTACTTACAGTGAAGAGACATGATGGTTGTGTTCAGATAGATATTACTATTTGATAATTAGATGTAATCGTAAAATGATGTTTAAATTCGAATTATCGTCTGTAGATGACTAGTAGATATCGCTGGTAAAGTTCTTAATGATTTATGAGTAAAGAAGAAGGGGGGACGTTGAGAAAAGGTCTTCTTATAACGTCAAGCTACGGCACTGATGACGAAAACAACATTTTCCATCAGATGGCGTACATAACTAGGAACTAGGAACTTGGTATAATCCGAGGCTCTAGTTGTAATGTACCATTACGCTACTTCCAAGGCTACATGGATCCCGGTTTCGTAACCGCAAAAGTGAAATCTAAAGTCTCTCTTCCTCCAAGTACTGTAAGCCTCTCAAGCACCGAAGTCTCGGTTCGGCGTTCAACATGACGTAATAGACATTTTTTTGATGTCGTTGATGCCACCAGGTTATTGATTGGGTCGTGGGGCTTAAATGGATCATGAGTCGTGAACCTAAGAATGGTCGATCTAAGCTCATTAATTTGTGGCTGGAGCTTTACTATAATGTTGTAAGTTTCTGGTCTAGGTATTAGTTACAAAAATTGAAGTTTTTTTCTTTCTCAAATTGGTGTTTTCTTACCTGTTATTCTCAGTATACTATTCCCACAACTAAAAGCATATCTCCTACTAAATCTCCAATGGTACCGAGATATAAATACATATATGCATGTATGTACATAATAATTAAACAAATCGAAGTCTCCAAATTTGCGGGTTACGGGTAGGTAGGTACGGTTGTATTCCACATCTAGGCTATGTACATATGTACCTAATACTAGTACATTGCTCTTCAACCAGGTGCTAAATACACATAACCTAATTGGAGGTTACAACTACATTCCCGACCCACGAGGTTACATTCCATGGCCATGGATACCTAGACCGGAGTACTATCTCCTTGGTGGGTAACAAGAAGACCCGCTTTCTCGGCTGTGGCTTAAATGTTACCGGAAACAAATAGATGGAATCTCTTTGTCAGCCTTAACCGTCATAGCTTCCGAAGTTCACGAAATGATGACGATGTGAATTAAACAAATACCCCATTTTGCAAACCAATTAAGTCTCTATTCATCATTCCGCGCTGTTGTAACCGCATCGGACTAGGATACGTCCCCAAATCTTCTCATGTTGCCTTGCTACAGAACCATCTTCTTCCGCAGTCTCCCGCAGTCTCTCGCTTCCTTAGAAAAAAAATGTACACTTATTATATTAACGCCATAACGTAACGTAGACCTGTACAACGAAGCACGTAATGGTAGAAAGTTCCTTGGAATGCTAGCTCGGTATATCGAGTCCCCTCTCCGCCCAATACCAATTAACACCCGCTATGTTCTTTTGCCTTCAAAGGTTTTTTTCATTTCATTGTCTTCACGTCATCATATGCTGTCCGTCTTCTCCACCCCGTAATGCAAGTAATGCTCTAACATCAGAAACGTACTGCAATCCCTCTAGAAGAGGGACCAGATGCAATAAATCATTATCCGTAGGGTCACTGATCCAACCTTGAATGGGAATCGCATTATCTGCAGATGTAAATACTCTAGTTAGTAGGCTAATAGCAAACAAACTTTGATATTGAGTGTTCAGGGGATATCCTACCTTGGTGGAACATGTAGCTTAAGGGGCTATTGTCTAGTATCATGACCTTGCTCAGGTCTGGTTCTATCGAGCTCAGATCCTTGATAAATGCGCCGTGCCTGAATGTGCAATGCTGCCGGTAGTATCTCCCCGAAAAGAACTTCCTCTCCGATTCCAACCAGTCGATGACCGGGTCTGCGTATTCCTGTACCGATGCTGTGAAGACAACGAGATTGAACCATTTACAAACCTTCGCAGACCACGGTTAGCATAAGAGTCTAGTGTTATCGATAAATTAATATTCTCACCTTTCGAAGAAACTCGTCGCAGTGCGGCCGCTTATGAACATAGTATAGAATAGGATGCTGAGGTCCAAGAGCCTGCTGGCCTCCACTTCCAACATACGTCGTATTCAGCCGCACTTCAACCATGTGTCCTGAACCCATTCTACCTCCCTTCGACATGCTGTGTATTAACGTCTCGTCCAGATCTAATATCAACGTTTTCTGTTGCTTCGGGTCGAGGGGCTCGTAGGGTACGTATGAAGGTTGCCGACGGGGTATTAACGGTCTAGGGGGGGCAGGAGTCTTAGGATATCTCGTCAAAGCCGCGATAGGCGAAGTAGGAGACTTCAGTTGAGCAGATAAATCTGCTGAAGCGTCGCCGCTGCTAGTGCTACCACTGGCACTTGTAGACTGGGCCTTCCTATGTTTTCGTTGCCGCATAGCATCATCGTTATTTAACTTAATCCTTATCGATCTCCTTGCTGGTGAGCCCTCTTCGGCGGGATCAAGAGACTTAGACCGAATATGGCGACCGGAAGAACCGGAGCTGCGGCGGACACCTTGATTCCTGCTAACCATATCCGATTCCGACTCTGACGATAGACCCGAGGATGAAGTTCCCGATGAAGGTACCGGTCGGGAGGCTGCGAAAGCATACTTTCCTCGAGAGCCTTGGCTACCACGCTTAGATGAGACTTGCTTCTCTTCATTAAGCGCGACGGTCTCATGATAGTTGGCTGCTAGTTTGCGCGCATCGCCTCCGTAGATACCGAAAAGATTCCCGAATTGTCGCAAGGGGGCAAACTCCCCCCGTTCATCATAAAAGCAAGCGACGAGGTAAACTCCCGGTGCGGCGATGGTAGACAGGACCAAACGGATAGAGTTTATCAGACTACTTGCTATGCGCCCGGGGATAACATGCCACGAATAATAGCGGATATTTGCCTCCTTGGCATCGCTTTTTTCTAATAAGGGAGTCTTCTCGTCTGCGCCGAGAAAATTGCCTAGGTGGTTTTCTCTGCTGAATGTATTATCGTTCGGTTCGGAAGTGGTTGCGCATTTCTCTTGGGGCGATGATTCATCTGAAGGCGTTGGGTTGTCATCAGACTGAGCGACAGCTAAGCCGATGTGGCTAAGGGAATTTGATCGCGAAGGGGCGGGACTCGAGGTCGGGGAGACGCGCGCTGATATTATATTGAGGGAGTTCATCTTCCGGTTGACCTGCAAGCCATGAAGAACCGATTATGCCCGCTAAATAACAAGCAAGATTCGCAGTTTATTATAACGGCTAAATATTTGGTGAAGGCGACGGCGGAATGTGGAAAAAAAGGGACAATATAATTCAAAGTCGGTCGGCCGGGCTGAATTGCCCGAGTCGCGTTTGCTCCCGTGTTGGGGCTGGTAGACGAGAGAATTTGTCTGTATGCTCTAAAAATCTGTGGATGTATTGTACAAAAAAAAGAAGAAAAAAAAGTCCCAAGGATTCTGATGAGAGTGATTGGGGTTAAAATTTTTTTTCTCTTTTCCCTTTTCAAACCTCGGTTGGAATATGATGGTTGAGAGAGAGAGAGCTACGCGCAATAGTAATGGTGAAATCTACCTGCGTTTTCCAAATATTTCATTCCTGCTAGGTAATAGAATAGGGTATGATACGTATTATCAAGCTTTGTCGCTGTGGTAGGTCAGATTCAATAAACATGCAAGTCGCGAAATGTTGCAAGTATTACAAAGTGTCGTCTTTGTTCAGCCAAAAAGAGCTCTAGAAGCCTCACTCTAAAAGATTAGGGAGGTAAAAGATAGGGCCAGTCTTAAGGGAGTTTATTGCGATAGAGTCTCTTTGAGCATTACAGCTGCGCCGGGGGGGGAAGGGACCCAACAGAACAGAACTATTGGAGCCTTTCTATTGGAGCCAAGACCATCACTGGACCACCACCGTACCACTGGAAATTAGTGACATTGTCCCGCTAACGCATTACTAGGTACATCCTCTTAGCATTATAGGTACCTACCTAGATACATTTTTAAAGAGCAAATTAGCTATCACGTGTTGAATATCCGTGTCCACAATGCAACCAACCCCGCCATGCGACAAGATACCCTAGTAAATGCCCTGCACGTACGGGAGGTACGTTCAAATTGTACGTATTGGAGATGTATGAATGTAGATCTAGTCCATCTTCTAGTACGTACCTTTTTTTTTCTTTCTTCTTTATGATCGTCGTTGACTCACAATTCTCGTAAAAGACTCCATATCGATAATTTAGCAAATATTTGCAATTATCTTCTACTACAGACAACTCGATACAAACCAGTTATTGTGTCTTCATCTAATTTACCTACCAAAACCTTTAAATTCTAAATTTTTACTTCCCAACAAGATTTAGACGTTGCCGATTGCGCTCTATTTGCGCCGACCAATACTATCCTCAAGATTGCCGCACTAGTTATTGAAGCTTCGCATACAGCCAGATACCCCTCCTAAACAACTCTTAGACCACGAGAAATGGCACCTCCTAAGGGGGGCTATGCGCCCAACTTGGACAAGTTTCTCGATACGTTAAAGAGTCGACCGGTAGATGCTTCTGTGGAATTTTTGATATCGTAAGAGCGAAATTTTATGCCGTGCCGTCTGAGGTTGGGACTGATATATGCGGCGTAGCCTTCTGAAGCGACGGCAGATACGAGGCTCCGAATCTTGCGCAATAGCTACAGCACATATACTACTTCAAGTCGTCGCTAAGGATAAATGGTCCGACGTTGATCAGCTCATCGGGCGCATCCAGTTAATTGGCAGGAAACTTGTTACAGCGCAACCTCACGAGCTAGTTATTGGCAACGTTGTGAAGCGAGTTCTGGGATTAATACGAGATGAAGCCTCAGAAGATCGAAACGACGCGGGGTAGCGACTCGCCTACTGACAGAACTCCTACTTTACCTCCCGCAATAGAGCCTATTCCCATCTCAAAATCAACTCGACTTCCCTCACTAGTCGCCCTTGGGTCCTTTGCTCGCACGCAGTCGATGTTCAATCTTCTCTCAGATCCAGACTTTATCCCCTCGCCGGGTTCCACGCCGAAGCTGGGTTCGGGGGCTTCGACGCCACAGGGATTTCCACAATCTACAAACATACAAGCACTTAGGTCTGAAGTGATTGACGGAATCGAAGAAATTATGGATGAGATAAGGCAGGTTGATGAACAGGTCCAAGCCTACGCCGAGATTATCATCCACCCAGGAGATTACATTTTAGTTCACCAACCTTCAAGAACAGTTCAGAAATTTCTTCTACGAGCCGCATCGAAAAGGAAGTTTACGGTATTTCTCGTTGTCGACCCATCCACAGCCTCTACCGACGATGACCCGTATACCTCCCTACGAAAATCTCTGTCCTCCTCTGGATCGACTGTAGTTAATATCATGAATGTCGGCCTTATGGCTTACATGTCGAAGGTCAACAAAGTCATTCTCGGAGCTCGGGCGATTACAAAGAAGGGCGGAGTTATTGTAGACTCCGGCGCTGCAGTCATCGCTCGTGCTGCTCGAGAGCAAGGCCGGACAGTCATTGTCCTAGGCGGCGTCTATAAGCTCAGTCCTGATAATCGTTTCCATCACGAAGGGCTTGTTGAATGGGGGAGCCCTTCTAAGTATGTTAACTTTGCAGACGGTGAAATGGTTAGTCAAGTGAGAGTTAGGAATGCTATCGCCGAGTTCATTCCTACCGACCTTGTCAACACGTATATTACGAACTTGTAAGTGATTTCTTCAAAATATGAGTAGTTACAAGCCCAGCAATTATTAACTCTTCATCATAGGGGTGCGCACTCTAAAGACCACTTGCATGGTCTTATAGCCGACCATTATAAGGAGGAGGACATCAACTTTGACCTCTTTGGAAGAATCCAGAGATGATTTAGATGATAGTCATATAGGCGATGTGGAGGTGGATGTTTCTAGCAGGAAATATTTCCCCGAGTAAGATCGGCATCTATCTCTAAGATGCAAAGCTCATTCCAATACCCCGGTAGTTTGACTCATCTTTGAGGCAGCCTTGTGTAGGCAATCGTGTGTAATCGTGGTGGCCGCGTCACCTTTACCGCAATAACAGGTAGCTTCGGATGCGAGTGCAGGGATTCTTAGCGAGCAAACGCTGACGGAACAGTTCAATAGAACGTGGGGTGGGTTGATTGACAGAAGCTTGGCCCTCCTCCACTCGGGATCGAGCGAATCTCATTCAAGGATTCGTCTCCAGGGCTGAACAGCTCAGCCGCCAATTAAAACACGGACCGGACCTAATTGTCTCTCTTAGAAGGATTTGAATACCTAGGTCGGTCTCGTAGATAAATAAAAAGTATCCTCAAGCCCACCATCGGATGGCTTTGATTACCTTGTTTGCTTTTAAAAGTGCTTATACGTTACACTTATACACTTATACTCATATAAGAAATATTACGAGGTACCTAACCTACTTATACATCATCCGAGTCCTTAGCAGGTAACACTATTAAACCTACCTAAGCACTTACCTATTATTCAAAGTACCTACCTAACCGTAGGTACATAAGCTTTACATACCTAAGCTCCCATCAAAGCTTCAATAATAGATATCTTCCCTTCTACAACAACACCATATTTCTCTATCAGCGAACTCACGATGGACGACGTTCCGCCACCTCCGTATACCGAAACTGACATTCATTCACATTCAAGTCGTTCACCTGTCGCTCAACCTGGGGCGAACGACGATAATGTCTCTGTTACTACATCATCCCATAGTACTACAATCTACACCCCACCGGAAACTCCGCGAGAGTCGCACCTCAACTTCCCTGGAAGTGATGATCGTCATACAATAGCCTCTGCTCATTCTTACTTCGAGTCGCGCTCTACTATCAGAGGTGCGACCGGCAAACCCTTCGTGATTTCATTAGCTATCACAGAGGATGCCTCTCCAGATGATTTCCCATACCCGGGCTGGGCAAGAGAACATGACACTACCGAGCAAGACTGGCAGACATTTCTTAACTATCTCTTGCCTGATCATGTCTCGCGGACGAACTCGAATGTAATCGAGCGTAAATTACAGGCTGAGGATGAGAAGCAATCGTCAAATACCAGCAGAAGCATTGCCGAGGCGCAACTAGGCCAAATTAAATCATCTACTAATTTGGCGACGCAAACTTCGCATGACGTCGATGCCATGATCCGAGAATGGAATGATGGCTTTTTTGGCCCTAGAGGTGTGACTATTGAACGAACTACGCCTCAACCCCCCAGCACATCGCGGACACCCGCTACCCAACAAATTCCCCCTGTCGAACCCCAGCCTCAGCCTCAACCCCAACCCCAGGGGCAATCTTCCAGATCATGGTGGAACCCATTCCGACCCCTCGAGGCAAATGGCCGGGGCCTCCGTATGGGGCGTCTTACCATTGATAATGATCGCGTCTCGTTCGGCGACTCGTTCGAAGTAGATCGCAACGGCGTTCGTTGGGGCGGTCAACCTGCTGATGGCAGCTCCCCCTTTGATGGCTCAGGAACCCGTGACTTTCCTGCCGGACCCGGTCCTTTTGGTGGTTTCCAGCAAGGAAGAGGTTTTGGCGAACACGGCATAGGGCGTGGCGGTGGCCGAGGGCGCTGGTGGCGAGATCGCCCTGACCATGGTCACCAGGGATCGCCGCGATCGCTCACCCAGTTTAAGCTCTAGCGGTTCTTCCTCGTCTGACTCAGATTCAGGGTCTAGTATCGGCAGCCTCCCTGATTGCGACGATTTAAACGACTCTCAGCTTCCTTATGCCAAGCAATCGATCCGCACATGGCTCGATCACCCGGAGCAGCCCGTGACCAAGGGGATGCTCAAGGCGTTGCGGTCCGAAATCAAGGCCGCGAAGAATGCTCCTCCACCAGCTGACGACCCGACATGGGAGGTTAATAAGCAGGCGACGCGCCGAGAGGTACAAGCGTTGCTCGCGCGATTTCAAAACTTGAAGCGGGAGCAAAAGCGACGCGCGAGAGCACTGCGTAAGGAGAAGAGGGAGCAGAAGAAAGCAGAAGCAGAGCGGGAGCGCAGGGAGCGAAGAAGGGCAAGAAGCGAGAGCGGAGACATTTACAGCGCGACGTCAGAAGCGCCGAGCGCGAGATGGAAGGACGTTCTAGACGCGGTCCTGGTACTGCTAGCTGTTCCCACCCTTTCCCACCGGTACTCGGTGACATGCCTATTCCTGCTATGCCTAGCGTGCCTAGCCACGTCCCTAGTAATCACCCAATGAACGTACCAAGCTTTCCATTCGGAGGTCCCGGTTTCCCCTTCGGTCGCGGCGGCAGAGGGCGAGGCGGACCCTTCGGTGGCCACCATCCGCGCCCCTGGGAAGCGCACGTCCAACACGCAAAGCAGCAGGCCGAGCAAGCGAGAGATCTTGCAACAACAAGCAAACCAAGCTAGAGATCTCGCGCAGCAACAAGCTAATCAAGCTAAAGCTCACGCACAACAGCAAGCAAACCAAGCTAGAGCTCATGCACAAGCAGAGGCGAACATGGCACGGGCTGAAGCGCAGAGGACAGCGAGTGCAGCTCGCGCCCAAGCTGCAGCCACGGCGGCTGCCGCTATGTGGGCGTCTGTTCCAAGGGGGTACTCTCCCTGGGGTTCAGCGCCGCCGCCGCCTCCTCCTCCGCCGCCAGCATCAGCACCGACGAACGATAAGCTCCGGGCAGCAGACACCCTAGACGCACAGATCATGGACAAAGTACGTTCGCTAAGGGCGCTACGCGAGACGATCGAGCGGGAACAGACAGAGGCGGCGCTACGTGGGGGAGAAGAACGAGGCGAGGACAAGAAGAGCACGAGTAAGGAGGTAGAAGCCTCGGTCCTGGAAGATGACATTGAGAGGCTACAACAGGATGTTGAGAGGTTGCGGTTTGAAGGCTTGCAGTTACAGGCCGACGAAGAGCTTGCGAGGAGGTTGCAGGAGGAAGAGCATCAACGCGGATAGATGAAACAAGAGATGGGGCGTTAAATAGGCTAGAGGGGCTAAACTTTTCAATAGATATTGCAATACGCCCTAGGTATGGATGGGCAGGATTAAGGGTATATCGACATGAGGATACGGAGCCAAGCTATTGATGAAAGGTGTTGGGAGTTTGCTAGCTATGGTTATGGTATAATTTCCTAGGGACTCGAGATTTCGGTCAAATAACGACACTTATGTAGAACAAGTTTCAAGAGACGATGATTTCACCAGTAAACAAATATAATCTCATAGAATGTTTTATTTTCTGCTTCAGTACCCATGTCTTATGCGTAAAAACATGAAGTGTCTCTAGGATAACAACATAACTCTTAAGGGAAACCTATACTGGCCCTTTTCCGAACCAGGAGCAAATGCTTTTCAACTGATGCCATGCCATGCCATGCCAAGTCACAAGCAAAACCAGACCCCAAAAGAACCTCTACGACTCCTTCAAAGAGCCAAGTTCATATTTCCTTGCTGTACGGCCATAGCCTCCTTAACCCGCCCCAACTTCTTCACACACAAGGACACGGACACTCCCTCTAAGAATGCTTACTCTCGTCCTTCTCCACCAACGCCTGGACGCCCAGCGCGCGCCCAACCTTGACCTTGCGCTTAGTCTCCTTGGGGCGATTCGACGGGGCGGCGGCGGTCTTCTTATCGTCGGCCTTGCCGACGTCGCCGACGGGATCGCCCTCGTCGAGGGGCTCGTCGCTGGCCTTGTCGTTGTTGTCGTCGTCGTCGAGCTGGGCGTCGCGGATCTGCTCGCGGATGGAGGACAGGTCGAGGCGCATGCAGTGGGCGTCCTCGCCGTCGGCGTAGTACTTGGGCTCCGTCTTCTCTTGGTCGAAGCCTAGGGTCTTGGTGTAGAGGTGGATGGCGGCTTTGTTGGAGACGCGCACGTGTAGGCTTACGTATTGCGCGCCGAAGGTTTCGACCATGGCTAGTTCTGGTGTGGGAGGGTTTGTTAGGATATTGGTCTTTTATATCCGGGTGGGTAGGTAGGTAGGTAGGTAAAACATAGGCATGGGATAGGAAGGGAGGGGAGGGGACGAGGGAGGGGACTTACGGCTTTGCCTCTGAGCTTCTCGGCGATGCCCAGGCGGCGGTGGGTGCGCATGACGGATAGCGAGAGGTGATGTGGCCGTGTTGGACGCCGTCGGAGGGCTCTTCCTCCATCTTAGCAAGGACGTAACCTACGATCTTGGGGTAGTCGTAAGGGGTCTTCTTAGGTCGCGAGACGTCGACGGCGACGTAGCTGAGCTGAGGCCATGATAGGGCGTGGTATAGGTAATATTTCATGAAGTAATTCTCGGGTAAGTTTTCCAAGTTCGCATGTTGGATTAGCGGGATGTCCCGCGCCTCAAGGCGCCTAATATCCATTGTGTATCTGTTGAAGTAATTGATTGTTTTGTGCCCTTGTCCCTTGTTATAAAGAAATAGCTCCGGTAATCGACGGTTGGTCGTCTATATGTAGTGTAGTTTAGTTGGTACGTACATTAAGGTGAAAGCATGAAAGTGAGCTGTACCTAGGAGGTAGCTTATGATTAAGAGTCGCACAACTACATGTAAAGCTTTAATATTATCGATAGTGATAGAGTTTGGCGGGGTTACTTCCGTTTGTACTAATATTCTTAACAATACCAGGTATTTTCTTTCTATTGAATAAGATCCTTAAATGCATATACAGCTTTATCTTGCTCCACGCATCTGCCCCTCCATTTCGATTCGGCCATTTCTACTTTGAAGTAAACTTATACCAGATGCTCGAAACCAGAATATATCGGCAGCAGAAGTAAAGCATATAGGTACCTAAGGAGTATAAAATTTTTTTTTATCAGCACCAAATCACATCTTCAAATATGCCTTCAGACGACCTGTTTGATGATATTCTGAACCTAGAAGAGCAGTATTACAAGGAAGGCTACGACGAGGGCTACAAGGATGGTGCTGAAGCCGGCCGGATCGAAGGCCGCTCTGTTGGTTTGAAGACGGGTTTTGAGAAATTCTTAGAAGCCGGCCGGTTGCAAGGCAAAGCTATAGTCTGGCAAAGCCGGTTACCCAACCAACAGGAGCCATCTACACTTAATAGCAGTTCACAGCAAGAACCGGCGCAGACTGGGCTATCATCTAGTTCTCAAGATGAGAAAGACCCCGAACCAAAAAGGCTGCCACCTCTCACCAGCAACCCGCGACTAGAAAAGAACATTACTATGCTGTATGGCATACTGGAGCCTGGAACGTTGTCAACTAAGAATGATGACGAGTCAGTCAATGACTTTGACAGCAGGCTGAAGGGCGCCCAGTCCAGAGTCAAGATGATCGAACGAGCTATCGGTGAAGGAGCCGGTGATAAAGGCTCAGCCACCAGGAACCGCCAGCCGGTCCAGAAGAACGAGAATATCGAGGACATCGGGAGGATACCGCAGAGGACGGAAGTCGTAATGGGCAATATATGAATGCCTTAAATCGGTGATTAAAGGGGCGGATTAGCTACTAGTATCTTCGTATAAGAAGCTTATACCATGGCATCTAGAATTAGGCACACGCCAACAAAACAGTTAGACCGGCTATAAACTCGGATGAACCATTAATTTCAGAGGCATCATCATCGCTGAAGAGTCTATAAACCGTGAAAGAATCTGATATTAGGAGCTGGCTCTTCTCATATTTACAACTTGCTCCACCGTACACATAGCAGACATGTCTAAGTCTATTTGAAACTCCGGCAAGGGTATCTGCGCAGCACATTAGCCATCTCTCTCATCTCATAATGCTCTACCAATCTACAATCAACAGGGTTACTTACGATTCAGGGTACGAGTTCTCATTCAGCGCGTAGTCATGCACCTTCCAGGTACCATCACTCTGCTTCCTCTCACCGCTCGGCAGCGGCGGCAGCCCGTTCACGAACAAGGTCTGCCTAGCCGCATCCTTGCTCTTCTCAAAGTACGCCGCAAGGCCGCCCGTCTTGCCGTCCTCCTTCGCGGCGACGAGCTGCTTCTGGCCCGCCTCGCCGATGAGTTCCTGCTTGGGGGCGGCGGCGCTGCCGACGGTAAGCAGGGCCACGGCGTCGCCCTGCGTGACGAAGCTCAGCTTCGGGTACGCGCGCCGCGAATCCCGCTTCCAGTACGGGTTGTCCGCGATGTCACCCGCCGGTATCGTCACCGGATCATCGTAGTTTAACGGGTCCTGGCCACCCGGCGTCGGGTTTCGGTAGTATGGGTTAAGCGGGATACCGTTCGAGCGGTTCGGGTCGACAGCAAAGGCGCGCCGGATGCGCTCCCATATACCGGTAGACTGGAGGGTTTGTTTCTAGAGACATGGTCGTTAACAAATAATGCCCCCCGGAGTTGCTAATTACCGTCAATTCGACAGACAAAGGGGCATTTACATACTTGGCTAATGCTCACTTCCTACACCTACAGCTTTCGCAACTGCATTGGAGGCCATCGTAGCTGTTTAGGAGGGGAGAGATGTACTCGGGTATTGTCGCTTGGTTGTTGAAGTGAGCTTATTTCGAGACGAGATGGTTCTGGTTAGGGATTTGCCGAGGAATTACCGGTTGGATTACTTTTACGTCAATTCTGCTTGGTCGACAAGTCGGTAAACACGCTTGTACCTGAGTACCTACCTAAGAAGAAATAGCCCATATTGGGACTTTGGAATTATAACGAAAGTGCTTAGGAGTAAGTTATGTTCTATACTTGATAAATATTGTTGAATAATCGTTTTGGATTATTACAGTTATTACGTCTTTTATTATCATCCTAATAAGACCACATGCATGTCGGCCTCATGTCCTTGACTTTGTTAAGCACTTGGCGTATGATATAGAATACTTCCGTAGAAATTATAAGCCAGATGTATACGAACTCATCTTTTAGTATGATATCGATTTAGAAATAAAAGAGAATTTGGATATTCGTAGCTCTTGCGCTCCAGTCTATTTATAGTAGGTATACAAGGTTTTGTCTACACACGACAGATTAACCTCCGTTGTCTATAATCCACGAGACCCATCTATTCGTCGGCGAACTCCTGGCGACCGGCCTTAGAGTTGAGGTAGTGGTTTCTGTAAATGGTGTTAGTCTATTCGAAGAGCCATTTATTTGTGCTATGAGGGTTCAAAATAGCATACCGGTCGGTGGCCCATGACATGGCGTAGTAGAAGAAGACCAATGGGGGAGCGACGTAGAGGACCTGTGCGCTGAATCGTCGCCAGGTGTTGAAGACGGCGGCGTGCGCTGCACCGGCGAACGGGTTTTGCCTGTTTGCGCTTAGGGTGTAGCTGATGATACCTTTTTGCGGCATGCCACCTATAATCCTCCTCGTTAGTATATCGTTCTAGCGTCCGTAATCTGCGTAGTATCCGGTTGATTCTCGATAGATAGTCCATTGTCCTAGTAGCACCACCCATCCATCCATCTTTTTTATAGACCCATTCCAACTCTTTCTAACATTTATACCGATCCCAGCTCAAATTCGAATATGGTTCACTCACCGAAGCTGCCCCAGCCGCCTAGGAACCTATAATATCAGAGTCAGCATGTCAGCGAGAAATAGATTCCATAAGTACAGCGTGTTCAGCTAGCTCGTTGCGAAAGCTAGGATCCAGAACGGAACAAAAAAGACGCAGCCCAGTCTCGAAGAAAACTCACTTTCCATGCCTGCCGATAGGGCCCTCGCCACCAGCCATAAGAGCTTGAGTAGGTCGCATCGTGAATATCGGATTCAATTGACACGCGAGTGGTTCAATTGCGGGAGGTAGAAGGTGAGGAATAGAGTTTCGGTTGAAATTCGCGGCGTCAAAATTGAAGATGTTACCGAGCCGAGTTCTATTGGCAGTCACACTGGTCCATCAAGCTAAGATGCATCGCCTCATGTGGCTTGACTTCCCGGATAACCTTAGCTCCGATTAAGAGGTAAGTAACTGTTAATCAAAGCCCCTCCAAAAAAAGTCTAGTGCACAGACCATTTTGTTCCCGTCCAATCCGCCCACTAACATCGTAACGATTTCTCAAGCCGGGAGCTCCATCCAATATCCTCCAGACCTCGGGGAAGCTTAGAAGAAAACCAGCGTATCACGAACGAAACGAAACGCGAAGCACCCAAATCCGCAGCAATGGAATACGGTCTCAGGCAGATATATCGGTTTGCGATCCCCGCGATTGGTGCCTCCGCCCTACTTCAGGCCTCTATATATGACGTCCGCGGCGGCTCGAGGGCCGTCATCTTCGACAGAATACAGGGAGTCAAAGAGACCGTCATCAACGAGGGCACCCACTTCCTAGTACCATGGCTACAGCGCAGTATTATCTTCGATGTTCGCACCAAGCCCAGGAATATCGCTACTACGACCGGAAGCAAGGATCTGCAAATGGTCAGCTTAACGCTGAGAGTGTTGCATCGACCTGATGTCAAGTCTCTACCCAAAATATACCAAGTACGTTCTTCTTTGCCTACCTAAAGCTCCTACCCTACGACCCTACGGAAGACGGAGACAGTGCAACAGGAATTATAGAAGCAACAGCCAAAGCTAACCCAACTCCCCCCCAGAACCTCGGCACCGACTACGACGAGCGTGTGCTCCCCTCCATCGGCAACGAAGTCCTCAAGTCCATCGTCGCACAATTCGACGCCGCAGAGCTAATCACCCAGCGCGAAGCCGTATCGCAGCGGATCCGGACGGACCTGATGAAGCGCGCTTCCGAGTTCAACATTGCGCTCGAGGACGTGTCCATCACCCACATGACCTTCGGCAAGGAATTCACCAAGGCCGTCGAGCAGAAGCAGATCGCCCAGCAGGACGCCGAGCGCGCCCGCTTCATCGTCGAGAAGGCCGAACAGGAGCGCCAGGCCAACGTCATCCGCGCCGAGGGAGAGGCTGAGAGTGCCGAGACCATCTCCAGGGCCATCGCCAAGTCCGGCGACGGTCTCATCCAGATCCGTAAGATCGAGGCCAGTCGCGAGATCGCTCAGACCCTGGCTTCGAATCCGAATGTTTCGTATCTACCGGGCAGCAGCAAGCAAGGGGGCAGCAGCGGGCAATTCCTACTTTCGATGGGAAAGGCATGAGGTGGGCTAGGAGAAGATATCAAAAATAAAAATAAAAATTCAAGGCCATATGTATATTAGCAATGAACTGCCCGATTCTCCACTTCGGGATACGAATAATGTGTTACAACTAGTAAAAGCCCTCAGTTTGTTGTTGATTAAATGTTTATTCATGTCTACGTTACTTGTCCTATCTAGACGAATCTATTAACGCAACGTAATAAGCCCTGAACAAATAACACAAGCTAAACAAAACTACCAGCGCCGCGGAGTATAGGTAATCAAGCAACCCTTAAAAATATTACGTAGAACGGGCTAGTTCCTCTATTAGATGCCTTACTTCTTTGCTCCTACTACCGTCCATGCTTCATCTGGGGGAACGATCTCTCCATCTTGTAGAGACCAACCTTTCATTCTCAAATCCTTCCACTCATCCCGCACCTTTAGTCTGACCACTCACCCGCAGCTCTAGCATCTTCTGCGCTGTCGTGCCCCTCTGGTGTAGTCTCATCCGCTTCCTTCTGGATCTTCTGGTTTAACAATGTTTGCATCAACATCCTGAGGCCGTTTCTATGTGGTAAGCCCCGCTTATGCGGAAATAGCAGGACTGAGTCAACACAGGTATGGTGGATAATTCGAGAGGCATTTAAATCGTTCTCGAGACCATGTCCTACAAGAGGGGTCTCAGGAGATATAAGCGAAAATAGGAGGTCTCGTGCCGCCTTAGGGGATGGCACGAGTTTAAGTTTTGGCTTGTGCTCAGACGTAGTGAAATTCGGTTTATGATCGTCTCCTGGAGACCATCGTTCGGCAGAAACCATATCCTCAGAAGTCACCCCAGAATAACGAGTATTCAGATCCAAAACTTCCCCGAATGGCTGAACAAGGATATCTAACAACAGTTCGTAGCTAGGCCAAGACACTGCCGTCAGTCGGATGAGCTCAAGCCCATAAACGGTGTAACCCATCTCGCAGTCGAAGCACACGGCTCTGTCCGAAGGGATATCCGGATTAGGGGGGGTCACGGCAAAGTTAAGCAGACTCGCAAGCCGGTGGGGATTTGTTGTTTTGAAGACGTGAGTAAGTGCTGTAGTACATCCTCCTGAGTCATCATCGACATTTTGGTGGCAACAACGATATTTCTTCTGGCTTTTCGCCAACTTGCCAGCTCCTCGCTCCGTATAATAAATCTTACCCATGATATGTGCAAGAACCGTTGGATGTCAAAGCTTCAAAGCTTCTCCCCTACGACCCGGAAAGACTTGGAACCGTCGTGTGCATCTGTCGCACACCTCCACGTTACCGGAAGTCTCGACGCTCTCTTTGGCTTTTTCGATGTCCTCGGCTGACGGGATGGAAGCCACATACCCATACTTCTCGAGGCCATCAAGAGGCCAGACCAGTCTATGCAAGAAATCAACCTCCTGAGTCGGTGTTAATCCAGTAACGATGGGTTCAGGCGCAGCTGGTGTATTCACTCCATCCTGTGCGTTATCATCTTTAGTAGCTAACATCCTTTCCTCTTTCCATTGGACAACGGTCATGCGCTTATATGCCATAATTTTGTTTCTGATGGCGTTGGCATATATCTGGAATCGCTTGATCGCTATCTCTTGCTCGTCATCAAGCGTCTTCACGACTAATTCCTGGTCGGAAAGAACCAGCTTCAATGCTCCTTTGTCGGTATCCTTTTTCAACCCAGTGTTTAAGCGGACGTATTGTTCATGTAGAGCCTTAACGAGTTTCAAGCGGGTGTCGTGCTTAGCTGGTGATGACTTGAGGAGGCGGGGATTTAATGCTTCTGGTTTCTTAAGTGTTGCGTTAGGTACTGGTTTGGATGACTGCCCCGTAGAGGAAGGTGTTAGGGTGTTGTGCGCGCGTGTAGAGTTTGACGAACTTTTAAATTCTTGAGCTTTAGAAGAATAGCTACCAACCAAGCCTTCATTTTGTCTACTATCGGCCTGGTTGGCTTCTCCAGCTGATATATGGCGCCGGTCTGTAGTAAGCAGAGGTTTGGATATTTTATCAACTGCGGGTTCGTTCTGAAGAGACATAGCCCCTTGAGGTCTCTTAATCTGAGACTGTGCCAACGTAGATTTCCCGGATGCTGTAGGTGACCGCTCCTTTGTTTCTAGATGTGACGATGATGACGATGTTGAGTCCAATTTAAGTCTTTTTCTCGGCAAGGCTTGATCTGAAGATGGTGTAGCGGTTGCATGGACGGGCGACTGCTCTGAGCTTTTGATAGTGGCAGCTATATTGGCATCTTTGGTATGCTTAAAAAGGCACTGAAAAGCATTACAAGCATCCCCTGCCGGACAAGGTAAATTCTTAAGTGCCGCGAGAGAGCCAGCCATTATGAAAACACGCCAGGATTCTACACGATCAGGTGGCGGATGAACAGATCAAAGACGAGATAGTGAGATGGTGAGATGGTGAGATAAGACAATAAAGTCGATGAGTCAAGGATGAAAGCAAAGTGGTGATTCCCGATATGATTGAGACGGGGAATCAACACCTGTGAGTTGTCACTTGCGGCTGTTCTATCCGAGTCTCTCTCCAAATGATTGACACGTTAAACGCGAGAAACTCCTCCAGAGAACAAGACTTAATACGCGTGTAGCCGGTTATGAAATAAATATCTCTGTCGTTAACAATAGGATATTTAGGATGACCGATCCAAAATCTCTTAGTTCTACATATCTAGAAGGCAGAGAGCTACCTAATGATATTTTTCGGACTTTCATCAGAATTGGAAACTTAAACATTCAAATTCAAGGCAGTGAAATACAAAGTAGAACGTCGTTGCCTTTGAAAAAAAAATGGGGCATCTTATGTAAGGTTACACGGTCAATTAGTGCCAATCAAACTTTATTTGCGACCTTAATGAAGACCTTCATTTATGCATTATATAATACGGAATATATCTTCTCGAAAATCTGTTGGAAAAGACAATTGCTTCTATATTCTCCATAAACAGGTTTGAGGTCAAAATAAATTACCAGGTAGGTATCTATAATCGCTTACCGGTCTTATTCCAATTTTATTGTCCCGTACTTTCTAAAATGTTAGAAATTATTTCCCAATCTCAAGCTAGAAGCTTACGGTACGTATCATTATATCTCTAATCCGAAGTCCTTACGTCAGCCTTTAGAAGCCTAGATTCTACACGTACACCAACACGTTCCAGCACTAAGCCCTGCGTGATTCCACTATGTTATGTACTTGGTACATAGATAGTTATATGGACATAGGTAATGTCCGAGTGAAACGGATTAGCAGTCGGAATACAAGGACCACCGATGGCTAGGTACTATTTTAGGACACACGGACAATTTCATCTGACCGAAGGCGTTTCCTGGTTTAATTACTTGTTACTTTACAACTAGATCTTTAAATTTTAGAAACTTTGTCCACCATTGCTTCACAAAAACGAATGTTTAGACAATAAATAAATACATTTATTAACTAACTATGGAATATACTGGTGGTAGTTTGGAAGCAGATCACCTCTGCGTGGTTGTTCATGGGGTATGTCGGTATTATTGGATCCCTGCTAAACACTCCTTGTGTACTACGTCGTACGATACAAAAATATATAAAAAGTGCATTTATATATGCACGTCATTACTGACAATCTTACCAATCTTATAGCTCTGGGGTAACCCGAACCATATGAGATCGGTTGCGAAAGCGCTGAGAGACGCCTATCCCGAAGAAAAACTCTACATCCTAGTCGCTGAACGAAATGCTGGCAGCTTTACCTACGACGGCATCGAACTTGGAGGCGAGCGCGTATGCCTCGAGATTGAAGAAGAGCTGGAAAAGATTAAAAGTAAGGGCGGCAAGATAACAAAGCTTAGTATTGTTGGATACTCTTTAGGAGGCCTCGTTGCTCGCTATGCCGTTGGACTACTCGAGATGAGAGACGTGTTTCGACAGATTGAGCCGGTGGTACGCACAGTCTTCCTAGTCGCGTTAGGATCTCGCTTTTACTTACTTCTGACGCCTAGAACTTCGTAACATTCGCTTCGCCGCATCTCGGTGTCCGATCTCCTCTAAAGGGATGGCTTAACACCGTTTGGAACGTCCTGGGCGCACGTATATTATGTATGTCTGGAAGACAATTGTTCATAATTGACGACTTCCGTGACACCGGCCGACCATTGCTCGAGGTACTTGCCGATCCCGAATCGATCTTCATATCAGGATTAAAGAGATTTAAGCGACGAACGCTTTATGCGAATGTGGTTAATGACAGGAGTGCGGTGTATTACACTACATGCATAGCTAAGACGGACCCATATACAGATCTGAGTAAAGTCAAGGCCAATTTTGTTAAGGGCTACGAAGACATTATACTAGACCCTCTAAATCCAGTAACGCCTCTGGTTTCCAAGAGCGCCGGTAAAACGATGGCCGACATCACCGCGGGTAGCCCAGGGAATCTACGGAGGATGTTGTTTATGTCTGCGCTAGTTGTCTTTCTTCCAGTCGGCATTGTCGCGTTAATAGTCAACTCGATCGTACAAACGTTCCGTAGCTCGAAGCGCATTCGATTACACGAATCGGGGCTCGCAGGTATTCAAATCAAGGACTACCGAAGTCCAATTTGGATTAAGGACCTCCGTGGAACCGTGGAAGATGTCTATGAAAGCCTTAATAACTTGCAAGGGGAGTCGTACCTACGGGCATCGGACGACGAGCGCGACGATGGTCAACTGAATAAGGCCGAGACAGAGATCATAGCCCTGGAACGGAAAAAATCACACCCGCAGTTCCCAACTTTAGCTCTAGCACCTTCTCAGTTTTTGATGATCGATGAGCTAGACAAGGTTGGCTGGCGCAAATATCCTGTCTGGATTCACCAAGACCGGCATAGTCATGCTGCTATTATCGTACGGTCCGACACACCTCGATTTAAGGAAGGTCTTGTCGTACTTCAACACTGGCTTAGTGGGGAGTTCCTGATCTAATTTGTAGCTCATGATTTGTTCAAGTACCTAGACTACTAGATTATACTAACATAAGGCGTTCAATGGAGAGTGGAGTTGTGGGTGTATATTGTGATGGAATAGGCTTTTGGGCGGATATAAAGGAAGCGTTCGTCAAATTAAATTACGTTGATTTCTTGAATAGATTATGTAGAATTCTCAACTTAGCCTTTCAGCTAATGAAGTCTTGATTATCGTTTCGGTGTGTTCCCGACGCTTCTGTTAGAGTGTACCGAGACACAGATCACCAAACAACTAGGTTTTTTGAGACAAGCCCTCAAAATATACCCCGTAGAGGGTTTATGCCTTGCATCTAGAATTCTTTCCATCGAATTTCTTTGAGTCGTGGGTGTGATAATACTGTGAGTACCGACCGACCGAGACACTAAATGTGCTAATCTTCCCCCTACTCAGATCTTAGTGTATCTCAGATACGGCTTAACCTCCCTCACATTACCAAACTTCTTCTTGGCATCCTCGGTGCTCACGCTAGGTGGTACGATGACGTCGTCCTCGAGATGCCAGTCAACAGGTGTCGTAACACCCTTCTTATCACCAGTCTGCAGCGAGTCGATGACGCGCAGGACTTCGGCGGTATTACGACCCGTGCTAGCGGGGTACATCATAGTAAGTCTAATTTTCTTCTGAGGGTCAATGACAAATACGGAGCGAATCGTGAAGGCGATGCCCTTCTCATCGATATTGCTTAGGTCTTGAGCGTCTACCATGTCGTACAGGAATGCGACATGGCGGTCGGCATCGGCGATAATGGGAAACTGAAGGTTGGTGGAAGACAACTCATTGATGTCGGCGATCCAGCGCTCGTGAGATGACAAGTCGTTGGCGCTTAAACCGATCATTTTAACACCGCGGCGTTCAAAGTCGGGGGCGAGTCGGGCGAACGCGCCGAGCTCAGTCGTACATACTGGTGTAAAATCGGCTGGATGTGAAAATAGGATGGCCCAAGAACCACCGAGCCATTGGTGAAAGTCAATATCTCCATGTGTTGTCTTGGCTTGGAAATTGGGCGCCTCGCTGCCGAGCCGTAGACGAGGCTGCTCCGATGGTATAGTTGATGAGGCCAAGAAACGGCGTGAGACTGGTCGTTGAGCCCAGGATCTCAGGACGACTGGAGATGTCGTAGCTTTAGGGAAAGCTAGACGTGGGGTTTGCGAAACAGCGCGGAATGCGCTTCGAGCTAGGAAAGTTGCCATAATGCTAATGGAAATTTTAGTGATGGAACTGACTCACTTGTTGTGGGAGATAGGTAAGAATTCCTGTTTCCAAATGTCAAGTAATGTAGAGTATATCCATAATTAAATTTCAAATTTCGCAATCATAAAGAGGTCTTGATGACTTAATGTTGAGACGAGGTAATCGCCTTGCGCAATGGAGGGGCAGCGGGGCACTACATAGGACATCAAGCTTATATGGGTCCAACCCTTGCCTAATAAGGGCTAGTATTAAGCTGAAATGCAGGGACCAGCCTGCGAGCCGGCAGAGCTACCGAACCTTTTGCAGGAACTACAACATTGGAACTGCAATACCTTGATGCATTTGATGCATCAATGTGCTGAATGCAATTACGCAGCATTCTAAGACCCACCTAAAACATTAAGTACCTGTTAGATTGAAGGCTGCGATATAGTTCTCGATCAAAGCATAGGGCTAGCATCTAAAGGCATGGGAATTCATCGAGTGTGTCAAGATACTTCCCTTATATTTTTAACTCAATGCCTCCTCGACCGGTAGTATCGCCACCGCGACGGATTACGAGATCCTCACTCGCGCGCTTTAGGTATGGCGACAACGGCCCCAGTAGCAAAGAGAACTTGACTCCTACCCCTGCGGATATCGAAGATATAGTCCCAAATACAGCGGCTATCCGGAAGCGAAAGCGAACCACTACTCTCCTCGAAGCCTCGTCGACTTCGCCGCGACGCACGGTCAAGAAAGAAGAAGAAACCGAGACAAAGGTGACAGCACCCGCAGCAAGTAAACGTCAACGAAAGCCAGCTCGGAAAGCCGTCAACGCGGATACCGGAGAGACAACAGTCAGCGCGCCCTCAGATTGGGAAGAAATATACGATGCTGTCAAGGCGATGCGATCCCCGGGCGGCGTAGCGGCCAATGCAGCAGTCGATACGATGGGCTGTGAGCGACTCGCGGATACTACAATCAGCCCACGCGACCAACGTTTCCAGACCTTGATCGCGCTTATGCTATCATCACAAACTAAGGATACAACTAACGCTGTCGCCATGAAGCGACTGCAGACCGAGCTTCCCCCGCATGCTCCCGGTGCTCCTCCAGGCCTTAATCTCGAGAACGTCCTTGCGGCAGACCCGGATCTGATCAACAAGTTGATCTGGGCTGTCGGCTTCCACAATAACAAGACCAAGTATATAAAACAGACCGCGCCGATCCTACGCGATCAGTGGGGTGGCGATATCCCAAATACGATCGAGGGCCTGGTTGCGCTACCGGGCGTCGGCCCTAAGATGGGATATCTCTGCCTGTCGGCGGCATGGGATCGTACCGAGGGAATCGGCGTCGATGTTCATGTACATCGTATTACAAACATGTGGGGATGGCATACAACTAAGAACCCCGAAGAAACGCGACTTGCGCTGCAGAGTTGGTTACCGCGTGATCGCTGGCGTGAAATAAACTGGTTACTCGTCGGGTTTGGACAGACTGTTTGTCTGCCTGTTGGAAGGCGATGCGGCGACTGCGACTTGGGTCTACGCGGCCTGTGTAAAGCTGCCGAAAAGAAGAAGGTCCTTGAAGGGAGGAAGATCCGAGAAAGTACTCAGGTTAAGAAGCTTGAAGATGATGGATCGGTAGTAAAATTGAAGAGTTAAAAGAGGAAGAAGTACTAGAAAAGGACATCGTTGTAAACGAGGCTGTAAAAGATGAAGAGAAGGAAACAATGTCCGTAGATCAGCTCGAAGGCAGCCCGGAGCCCAGTCCGGAACAAAGAAGCACCATACTAAAACGGCAACAGAAATCAAATAAAGCATAGCACGTGGAGTTATTGTATAGGTCAATCACAATGTAGGATATCACGAGGCATTCAGGGAAAATGTAATTAATGGGTGGGAAATCAAATATTCGTCAGGGAGGTCTTGACTCCAAATAGGAGAAAGTCTCATAATTGCTTAATCATGTATGTACAAATATTGCCGAAAACTGAGAATAGGCTCCGTCATAGGAGACTCGTGGATTCATACAAGCCGACTCCTTCTGGAAAACTCGAAATGAACTCTAGGGAGTCCGGCTTGTTCCGCCTGCGCCGTCGCAGGCCTAAAATGAAATACAAACTGCCCTAAGCCAATGCCCGGACGCCATGCTCATAGAAGAGTAGTAAAATAGGATGCTGACCAAACCGAATCGTAGGCCGCTTCTTATCGCGTGCAGCTAACGGGTGTCGTGTGTGGTAGAGAGACGGGGGTTGGATGAAGAGAAGATGGGAGCGCGGGCTCGCGGTCGGACTCCCGGCGGGGAACGACGGCGTCGTCTAGCTGTCATGCGAGACGATCGAGGGGCGGACCGGTCCTTATACTCCCCGGATGACCTGCGTCCGCTCGGACTCGAGCTGAGCCGCGTTTCGCTCGTGCGATTCTTTCTTGCACTGCATTTGTCATTTGGAGTTAGCACACGTGAATCTGAAGGGGGACATGAACCACCACCGCATTCCTCCTCGAGAAGACCAGAGTCTACGAGATACTCGGCCAGCCCGACCAGCCACCACTCTGTGGCCCAGTCTTCGCTGTCGCTGGATTCTGAGGGAGTTGGGCTCATGCTTACGTCTTCTAATCCGCTGCACTTGTGATCCTCTAGTAACCGGTGCTTCGCGCAGAAGTGTCCATCGCAGAAACCGCAGTCGCCGACGATTCGCTGGGCGGCGGACCTGCATTCCTTGAAGTTGCAGCGGGGCTTCTGGGGCGCCATATTGTTGATAATGATGGTGGTTGTGGTGGCGGTGGGGATAACTTGTTCTAGTTGTTTGTAGTCGACGATGTTTGGGGGTAATGAGGATGATTGCTTGTCTATAACCGGTACGAGACGGAAAAGATAAAAAGTTTATTTCCTCGTCTTTGTTGTTTTTTGGTATTACTGATCAGCGGGATTGCCGAGTTGGGAATAGGTGGAATGAGAACCAAGGGAGAATGGCTCGAGAGCGGGCTAACGGTCGAATGTCAGAAAGATGATCCCCTTTAAATAAAAGAACTCGGATGATGGCAAATGTGGTGGAGAAGACGCCTTGACCAGGCGAAAAGGAGGAATAATAAATAGAGGCTGAATTGGATAGGTTCGCACGTACACGAGTGTGTGGTTAAAGGTAGTGTGTATGTATTGCGTGTGTATTGTGTGTGTATTATGTGTATTACAGGTGAATGAACCTCGGGCCGTGATGGGTCACTTACAGAGTCGGGCTCAGATCGTAAAGCTTGGCACCTATCAAAGGAGGTTCCCTATTAGTATTTTCCGAGTGATTAGGTTAAGATAAAAGTGAGTGAATGTATGTAAATGTAAATGTAAATGTAAGAGAGGAAGATAAGATGAAGTTGATGATTGCAATAGCAACAAGGGAAGAAAGTCGCTTCTGCTTCTGACACAGTGAATGACTCCTTACTTGTGGCGGCGAGAATGGAACCGTTTGGAATGAGCTAGTGAGGTGGAAAGACGAAAAGGATGAGGCGAACGGGTTCCTTGTTGGATTTGTGATCGTCAGTTTGCCTGGTCATAAGCCAACGAACCAGGGACTCCAGGGACTCCAGTCAACTAGCGGACAAGTCTGCAGGTATCAATTCTGATGACGACTATTCCGCGCAAGGCTCCGAAAACGGGAGGCAAGCCGATTAGGTATAAAATCTAACAGTCTAAGTGGGATATGCCGTAGGGATGCACGTATCAGCGAAATAGGGGGCAGGGGGAGGAGGGGGATGATTACGGACAAGGACAAGGAGGACTGACAAGGACCGGGGGGGATCCATTTGGAGATGGAGAAAGCATACATCCCCATCTTGATTACGGGATTACACAGACAAGTCATCACAGTACCTTAATTCGGGAATTCGGCGTAAAAAAAAAAACATAGACCATGACAACTCCTACGTACATAAGTGGTGATGACTACCTTAACCCTTTCCAACTAATAAGTTAATAAGTTCGAAACTCTGATGGATACACGTTAGGCCATGACCGATATTAAATTTTTATTAATAAGTTGCCTGACCTGACATACATTTACCATACCAACAACCTTTATTTAAAAAAAAAGCCACGGGAGAACAAATAAATAAATACCTAGATATGAAAAAATGAAAACAAGCACTGCCGGAATTCCCTATATTGTATCTCACGCCATACGGGTGATAAAACCCACCGAGAAACCCGCCGGATATCGGGCAACTTTGTATCTAGCGTAGCACGCCGCCTCCGGATCTATTGCATCTACATACTACATACTATATACATGACAGGGAAGACAGAACGTGTGTCGCTAACTGAGACCTTCTTCATCTACGTGATCAGACGAGTAAATAGATAAATATGCATCCCTTCCACCGCAATGCTTACTATGTAGGTAGGTTAGTTAAAGAGACCAGTTTCCATTCGCCGGGCTTGTTTCTCGAGACCTCGCCTCTCAGACTGCCACATGTCCGCCCATTCTACATATTATTATTTTTAATATTTTTATTTTATTTTCACTTTAATTTCGTTATACCTCATTCAGTACGAGGTGGTTGGGTTTGTTCGTTGTCGCGTTGTTGTTGTCGTGTCAGAGTGGAACATGCAATGCCGCTTGATCAACTTGGCAACTGAAACCTAGCCAGACGGATTGCTCGCGGGAGCGCACCCCGAAATCTTTCAAATGTTGACAACGACTCGTCTACATAGTGGAGCGCGAACGACGTTGGCGCTGGCGTTGGTTAATTGAACTCTATCGACTCGTACATTCATACAAGGTAGTCAGTCAGTCAGTCAGTCGTATTAGAGGGGAGTGAGGCTGGGATACTGATAACCGCCTCCGGATCTAACCTCTATGTTACTAGCTAAATACGAACACGCGAGGCTAGATTTCGTGCTACGGACTACCGTTATCGTCTATAGTGAGACTAATAGTAATCATTATAAAGTGTTCCGCGCCACACAGACGTTGAAATGACTATCTATCTACCTATCTAAGGTATGTATTCAGGTATTATGCTGACTGACTGAACTAAACTGAACTGACTCCTACATATCTCGTGTACACTACGTCCGTATATGTATGATGCCGATCCAGATCACCCAACCGGTCCGGCCAAGATGTAAGACAATTGGCCACCAAGACGCCTACACACTACACATCGACAAACCCTATCGAGCTATGTAACGATTGAATAAATTCGTTTCCGCGTATTTTATATGTATACCTAGGTAGGTACCTACCTACTTACCTACTTACCTATACTCTCGTTCCCCATAGTATGTACATAGGTATATATTTATCTCTGCAGCTTAGGCGCTTTCTGCGGGAACCCATCGATCATGTGGTGGATATTTGCGGAGAATTGGAGCCACGCTGCGATGCAAGCAGGGTCTCGAATGATGACGGCGCAGGGGTCTCTTTTTACATATACATACATACACATGTGCATATTGGTACTTTAGGGGCTCTCTCCATGAATATCAAATGCCTGACTTGGCTTGGACCCCATGCATGATGGCTTCTTTTACCTGCTCTAGCCTCTAGGATCTAGACCGCCTATCTAAACCTATCCGAGATACGTATATACTAGGCTAGTGGCTTCTTTAGTATCCGTCTCTTTTGACTCTCTTCCCGAATTTGTGAGCTATCGGTCGTCCGCCAACGATTTCCTTGAAATAGAGTATTCATATGGAACAGTACTCTTTTTGTGTGAGACCTTCCAATGTCGACGAGAAGCGCATGGCATATTCGTGGCCCATTTACATGTTAGTGCCCGTTTCATGAAAGAGACCCTAGGTTGGCTAATTAGCAATGTCACAATCGCCTTGAACTACGGACTCGCTAGGAGAGTCTCTTACAATAACGTTTAACATAGAACCAGGGACTTTTTGCTTAGCAGAACTTCAATGTAACTGGTGTAAGGCCTTTTACACGCTGGAAAATACGCCTCATTATCAATCGAGCGAAAATTAATAAACTGTTCACTATCAAAGGACAATATTCATAAACTGCTTAGACTAAAAGCTAGGGATACACTTTGCGACTTATTTTTTCATGACTCGTCAGACCCATTTTCATAAGATTCCAAGTCGGCTCTATAGGTAAGGTAAAAAGATATTGACTCAAGTATCGTTTTTTATTCCTTCATGGTCACGACGCAACGAATGCAGTCGCCCGCCTTCATCGTCTCAAACGCGGTGTTAATGTGGTCTAAATCTTCGCGGTGAGTGATAAACTCATCCACCTTTAGCTTACCTCCTAGATAATCACTGACAAGGCCGGGAAGTTGAGATCGGCCCTTGACACCGCCAAAAGCGCAACCTTTCCATACACGACCGGTGACTAGCTGGAATGCTATGCAAAGTGTCAGTTTCTAGGCGAAGCTTCTGGTAAGAAAAAAAAAAAAGGATTGAAACTTACGTCGAGTTGAAATCTCTTGACCGGCAGCAGCGACGCCGATGATGATACTCTGACCCCAACCCTTATGGCAAGCTTCTAATGCTGCTCGCATCACGCCAACGTTGCCGGTACAGTCAAAGGTGTAGTCGCAACCACCATCGGTCATCTCGATGAGCTTATCTTGAATCGTTTGTCCATCCAACTTGGTAGGGTTAACAAAGTCGGTAGCTCCGAACTTCTTAGCCCATTCTTCCTTGGATGGGTTCACATCAACGACGATAATTTTACCCGCCTTCTGGGCGACAGCACCCTGGACAACCGAAAGACCGACGCAACCAGCTCCGAATACCGCGATGTTTGAACCCTCTTCAACGTTTGCCGTGATTCTCGCAGCACCGTAACCGGTAGTGATACCGCAGCCTAGCAGGCAAGTCCGGTCCATAGGAGCATCTTGTTGAACAGCAACGACGGAGATGTCGGCTACGACGGTGTATTGAGAGAAAGTCGAGGTCCCCATGAAGTGGAGAAGTTTTTTGTCCCTTGCAAGTGAAGCGTGAGGTACCGTCCGGAAGGACACCTTTACCCTGGGTCGCCCGAATCTTGCCGCAAAGATTCGTCTTGCCAGACTTGCAGAACTTACATTCCTTACATTCAGGAGTGCTTTTGATCGATATTAGCCTAAGAGATGACTGACGCAAGGAGGGTAGGGCTAAGCCTACTAGAGTGCGACAACATGGTCACCCGGCTTTACGTTAGTGACGCCCTCGCCGACAGATTCGACAATACCGGCTCCCTCATGTCCCAGAACGATAGGGAATGCGCCTTCTGGGTCCTTGCCAGATAACGTGTAGGCATCTACTCCACTGTTTAACGGGACATTCGGACTTGATTCGGGATGAAGACTTGGCAAGATATACCTGTATGACAAACTCCCGTATAGACGATCTGAATTCGGACTTCGTGGGCTTGGGGCGGCGCAACTTCAATCTCCTCGATACTGAGGGGTTTGCCAGCTTCCCAGGCGACGGCAGCCTTACACTTGATGGTCTATCGTATAGAAGGAAGCAGTCAGCTTTAGATATCTCTGCTAACAGTGGATGACGTAGACAATAATGTATGCTATACAGCATATATATATATAGCAGTTTGGTGTATTCTAAACGGATACGTAGGATATACTACGCGTATGCCGCGGGGTAAAAGGGGACGCGGTCATAAGAATAAGAACTTGAACCGGATATAGGGGAGAAGGGAGAAAGGGAGAAAGATACGAACCTTACCAACGGTATCAGCCATAATGATGTGAAGTTGGATATGGTGAAAAACAAAGAATTATTGTAATTGAATCTTTTGGTTTTGAAGAATTTGTAAGAAAAAAGAAAAGTCCTTGAGCTATCAACTTTTATAATGGATTGCTCAGCTACCTCTTGGGTTACTTGTTTGATGCGGAGTTTTCTTGCTCGAAGCCTCTTTGACCCCACCACTGGTTATTCTTCAGGTGGGGGAGTCGGCACGGCAGTGAGGAGAGAGTGAGACTAGGCGAGATGCCCAGATAAAGGAAAAGATAAAAAACTTTAGGTTAGGCTGTTTTGTTACCTTGCAATTACCTTGCAATTACCTTGCATCTTGATGTCACTCCTGCGATCATCATGACCACCATGTATGAGGTATGAGGTATGAGTCTATTAGTATCGCATTGATACCGACATTGATACCGACTCCTAACACTGCACACCTGCATTCCCGACATATCTACTTTCGATATGCTCCAACTCATTCTGCGTAGAGATTATGCGATATCGTCAACCGGCATGTTTAAGAAAAACGGGAAACGGGGGAATTATGGACAAAACTCGGCATGTACATCATAGCCTTAGAGAAAGACGTTAGCTCGTTCTTGCACCATATCTTGGTGAAGATAAATGAGTCAATCGTTTTGGCATGTTGCATGTTGCGCGCCTATCTCATCAAAATGCATCAAGGTGTTCGGTGCATTGCTGTAATATCCGGTTGGTCATTGTATTATATATGATAAGTCAGATATTGAATATGGATGTACGTAATAGTGTCCCCTTTCTAGTCAATTCTAGTTTGGAGTAACTTGAATGCTGTAAAATTCAATATCAACAAGGCTGATAAAATGCAGTACAGATGAAGATAGGAATGAATGGCATGGAGAAGTGCGATTTATATCAATATCTCAGATGAGAACCCGGAGGACTCTGTAAGTGAGTACCGATTGTACAGTATCAAATCATTCACGCACTGTACATAAAATAGAGAACCATCCATGGATCCATTCCTAAGAGATAGGTACAAAGGTACATATATATGGTCTGTGCTTATGTAACAGCGGGCAAGGACAGCTCTTGCTTGAGTTTGTATGCGCTAAGTACGAAGTACCGCGTTCTTGAAGCTTCAGAGCGTCGCGACGTAAATTTTTGTTTGGCTCACGTTCTCCCATACCAGCTCTCATAGCTCCGAATACCAACACCCAATACGCCAACGATAAGTATTTTCAATTCAATTTACGATTTGATAGCGCTGATAGCCTCATGGGGTATCTTCGCTAGAGTTAATGTTAATATTTGTTTATGGTGCTATTCTAAAGGCATTTCGAAGTAGCTATCGAGCTTCACATTCGTCAAGATGGCGTTCCGATTTGCAGGCTTAAACTCATCGCCCTCTACGCCGGAAAGAGGCTCTCGAAAACCTTCATCTGGCTTCGGGTTCTCTGCAGATCATCCATCAACGACTCCCATCGGCCCTCCACCTTCATCTACCGCATCCTTTACCCCCGCCGGCGACCCGTCTCCATCATTCTTGCAAAGTTCCATTGGGGCCATGTCAGGCGCCTCAAGTACGTCAAGTAACATCAGGGCCCCGAATTTTGGAAAACCAAATCTTTCCCAATCCAAGTCGCACTCTAGAAAACGTAGCAATGCGCCCCTAGGAAGGTCAATTCAGGGCTCTACTTCAAGGCAGCCGTCTGGCTTGAGCAGAGAATATCACAGGGAGGGGTTGGAGGAGGATGAAGATGAAGATGAAGATGACGAAGAGGATACTAAGCGAGGGAAGGTAGGAGGGCGGACTTACGGCATGTTACTTGACGATTCGACTGATGGCGAAGATACCGAGCCTGATAATACGGATCCCTTAGAAGATGATGAGGGTTCGGAAGTGGACGCTATGGAGGAGGGAGAAGATGAATATGATGTGGAACAAGACCTACTAAGGGAAATAGCCGGCACTGGGCCGTATGGCGATCTACTATCTGATGGCGATCCGGACCTGATGATGCTCACAACGGCCGCTGCGGACGAACGCATTAGCAAGGAAGCCGAAGACATATTTCGCGCTTCTTCTATGCGCTCCATTAACGCCCGAAAGCGGGAGTTAAAGTATGCGGCCCTTGCGAAGGATCTCTATAGCCAATCCCCATTTGCAGTTGTGTCCGAGCCGGACAACGTCATCATACAAACTGAAGAGCTCGTCAATCGTCTCTATGATGAAGGCGTGGGTCCTGAAGACGACGAGGAGAGACTGGACGATACCTTAGCTCAAGCCTGTGTTAGACTGGTTAATGAGATATGGGCCCCTCACGTAGAAGAGCTCCCCAAAATCGACGATGAACACGAGGCTAAGGTAGGGCCGAGTTCCTACGCCCCGAATTTCGAGAAAGCCTTCTACCTAGCTGTACTGGTTTTTCAGATTCATCATACACCAGCAAGGAGAGACGATTTTGGAGATATCAAAAATATAGCCTTGCCCGCTGTTCTTTTCAACTGGCAACGTGCAGAACACGATATCCACCCGGATCAAGTAAATAGCGTCCTACAACATCGCCCTTCACCCGCGGCCCATGGGGTTTTCTGGCCAGTCGTTTTTAACGCTCTCGTGCGTGGTGACATATCTGGGGTAGTGCAACTTCTCAGAAAGGCCGGCTGGGAATCTCCTAAGAAATCCCCTCGCGGTGAAGCAGTTTACAGTGGCCAAGTCTTATCGAATATCAAACGTGTTGTCGAAGATCTATGCGTAGTGATGGAAATATGTCCTGCGATGAGCAATGATAGTTGGGATATCCAAAGTAGTGACTGGACTTTGTTCCGTCTAAAGGCTAAGGCAGCTAAAGAAGCACTCATTGGGTTCACTGAAGGCAAAGAACGAGCTCTTTCCTCGAGTCGATTTGGTGAATCCGACTTTGCCGATTCTGTAGACGGACGACAATCACTCTCGGGGCTTGCTCGAAGGGCAGAAAGCAGAATCCCCTGGGATATCTATGAAAATCTTCAGTCCCTTTATGCGATTCTCATAGGAGAACCGGAGGCTATTCTTGCAGCCGCGGAAGACTGGTGCGAAGCCACGATTGGTCTATTCGGATGGTGGGATAATGGCCACAATAAGCGGAATCTTGGCCTATCTCATTCAAGATCACTTCAATTACCCAGCCAATCTGAGGCAGGTGATGATTTCCTTGATCGTCTTGCTCTTTCCCTTCACACTGCTATGGAGGCTGATTTCCACTTCAATTCCGCCGACCCCGTTGAAGTAGCAGTTGCCTCTGCGTTTGAGAGCAACGTTGAAGGGGTTATCGGATTCCTAAGATTATGGTCACTCCCAATCGCGTCGACGGTAGCCGAAGTTGCCTCGTTAGGCCGATGGCTCCCTCCTCAAGAGCCACAAAATCTTATTAACATGCAAGATTTTGATATGGAAGAATTGGAGGTTTTAGGAATGAATCAGAGCACAGGGCCCGACGAGAAAGACGGAATCAAAGATACCACTCTAGTCCACTATGCTCGTAGCCTGAAAGATCGCAAGTATATAGCGGGCACTGGTCTGCATGGTAAGGTCTCACGGGATGGATGGGAAATGGGAGTCCAGGTTGTTGGCCGAATGGACTCCCCCGAGCGGTCTGAGCAGTTAGTACAGGAATTGCTCCAGAGTGTTCTTAGTACCATCAACGAGTTTTCTCGTGAGACCGTCGACAAGATATGGCGGCTGCTGAACGAACTTGGAATGATCAACTTTGCAGAAGACACAGCTGAGGTATGTACACGCCAATATACTAACGACAATATTATACTAACGCATGCTAGACTTTCGGAGATATTTTAGCAAAAGATACCTTCCGCTTTGGAGAAGCTCTATGGTATTACTCCTTAGCTCATCGGCCCGGCAAAGTTCGCGATGTCCTGAATACATTAATGTCCATTTCACTGGTGGAATCTACAACGTATCCGCCGGAAAGTGAGCTAGACAGTACGCTGAAACAGCTGCTAAAGGAGCGCAAAGCGACATTAGAGAATTTTGCGAAGCAAGATCTCGAAGCAGCAGAACTTCTTGGTAAGATGCTCAGCGGGTATGCCACGCTCAGGAAGTTCTACGAGGCTTCGTGACGGAGACAGCAAGACAACCCCCAAATCCTTAGTGCGTCGCCAACAAGCCGCCACTGCCTGGTAGCTGTCATTGCTAGTGCTGATGACAATATTCGAGGAGGCTTGTACGATGACTCGCGCGACGCAGTTGTCAGCGAAGATTTCTTGTTGGCACTACTCGGAGAGGCATCCATCTTTGTGGGCCAATCATCACCCGTGATTACTCTTGATCAAATCGATACACTTCTTAAAGCGATCGAAGACATTCAAACCGTTGGATCCCGGGTTTACGATGCTTCCGAAGAGTTTTTTAAACTGGTCCTCGCATCGGGTCATGGAAAAGGGTCTACACCTGCAGACCTTCTCAAGCAGTCTACTTCTTCCTTGGGTGGTAGTTTTATGATGACTGGCAGTTCGATGATGGCATCCCAGCTTCATCAGTCTGTAATGAAAAGCGGTGTCATCAAGGGCCCTATCAAGCGGGCATGGGATTGGAGAACAGGGGTGTTCTCGGCTAGCAGTTCTGGAGATGTACTTAAACAGGTCAGACTGGGTTTAACAAGAGACCTAGCAAACCTGTGGTTAGAACAGGCGGATAGTGTCATCTTGTAAAAAGTTCGCAGGATGATTTGATCGTAATAGGAATCGTCATAATTGGCAAAGCATGTAGGTTGGTGCACGGAGGCGTTAGGAGAATATGGTGATTAGCGAATAGGGTAGCACTGTCCTAGAAGAAATGACCAACGAAAATGCTAATCTGCCTGGTGAGCAGAAAGTAGGAATGATGAGTTATCAGAATATTATTGAGAACTTATTACATCAGCTTTGAAGCACCTCAGGTGCCAGTCCGATATATCCTTAATAGGTAATTTGAATGTAACCTTCATCCCCTCACTTCCCAGGGTAGAAATTGGCATACCCAAACTATTAGGCTCGATGAGGGAAATGGAGGATGAACTGGTGCGTAATTGGACACTCCTCGTTTTACGACGCCTCGTCTATGCATACCACTCCACACTTATATCAGAGAGAGAGGGGGAGTAATGGGTTATCACTATGCGTTTCAATGGTTTGACCTCGGCCTTTGGCTGTTCGGCGTTACTACTTGATGTTCAACATCTATATAGATATATATTACCCTCTTCATCTTTCTTATATCAAGTTTGGTTAGAAACAATATATTCAAGCTCTAGTTGAAGCGAAGAGATCGGACAGCTGACAAACACACCAAACCTGAATAAACTATAGGGTTAATATACCAGTAAGAAACAATGGGTTTCTCAGAGGAAGCAATTAGTGAGCTCCGCTCTATCATAGAGCAGAGTCTTATCAGCGGCGGCGAGTCAACTGCCTCTACCGTGTTCCCGGGACAGTCGCCGTCGTCGTGGACCGAGACGGGAACGAACTATTTGCCCACTCGGCTGGCAAGCGGGGTATTATATCCAACGAAGCCATGACGCTGGATAATATATTCTACCTAGCGAGCTGCACCAAACTAATTGCAGGGCTTGCCTGTATGCAACTTGTCGAAAAGGGGGAGCTGAATCTAGACGACGCGGCGCAAGTCGAGGAGCTATGCCCAGAGCTGAAAGATATCAAAGTTCTTAAAGATGATGGAACTTTCGAAGAGAAGAAAAGAGGAATTACCCTGAAAATGTTGTTGACTCATACCTCGGGTTTTTCGTACTCATTCTTCAACGAGACATTGAGGGATTGGAGTCTTCCTGTTGGTATTGATGAGTTCTCTGGTGATATTAAGGATATCCTAAAGATCCCTTTGCGATTTCAACCGGGCGAGAAAATGGGGATATGGAGTAAGTATACCCCCATTAGACCCGTCTACCTACCCAATATGATTATATAAATGTATCGAAACTAATTTCAATAGATTGGTATAGACTGGGCTGGAATAGTCCTTACAAAGGAAGACTGGGTTAACCCTGAATGAGTACATTCAAAAGAACATATGCCAACCACTCGGTCTGGAGAACGTTAACATGATACCGACGCAATCCATGAGAGACAAGTTAGCTCATATGCACCAAAGGCTACACGACGGCAAGCTCATTCCTCGAGACCACCTGCTCCGGCGACCCCTGCTCGTCTCAACCGCCCAAGAGATCGCCGACACCTTCAACAGCGGCGGAGCCGGTCTCTTCGCCAAGCCCCAGGAATACACCCGTAAGCCCTAACCTCAACCCCCCTAACCCAATCCCTCCACCACGCAATGCCTTAAACCAGGGAAACTAACCCGCCCCACAGGCGTCCTAGCAGTCCTCCTCAACGACGGCACCTGCCCCAAGACCGGCGCCAAGATCCTCGAGAAAGCCACCGTAGAGCAGATGTTCACGAACCAGATCCCCGAGTTCCCCGACTTCGGGCGCCAGGGCATCGTGGCCGCGAAGCCGCACCTGACGAACGCGGCCGGGGACTTGTACCCGGTGCCCGGGAACGCGCCGCAGGGCTGGGGCTTGACCTTCATGCTGAGCGGCGCCAGCCCGCTGACGGGCAGGTCGGCCAAGACTGGGTTCTGGGCCGGGCTGCCGAATCTGTACTGGTGGGCGGACCGCGAGCACGACGTTGCCGGCATGGTGTGCACGCAGATTATGCCGGCTTTTGACCCGGCCGTGCTTGGGCTGTGGTTCCAGCTCGAGGCGGCTGTGTACAAGCATTTGAAGCTTGCTAAAGCGTAGTGAATGAGAATCATCTGCGGCGGGATTGTTAGGGTTAGAGGTTCAAGTTTCATAAGGTCTAAGTATGAACTAATTACTCGAAGGAGGGGCTTGAATAGGGGGGTCGTAAAGTAGGGCTATGTAACTCGCTTCATGTTATGTATCAAGGTCTCGTCTGAAGAGTCTTGATGCTGGCTTACAAAGACTGTATATAATGATATCTCCAAACGAACTAACTAAATGATTTAGACGAGGGGTTGGCCAAGTCAACCAGCTTGGCTGAAGTGGAAATTTTTCTATACTAAATAGAGCACATTTAAATTTGCAATCGGCGAATAGTCCCCGGATTCTAATGTATGACTCCGAGGACACATACTAAGTACTAAAACGGCTAGAAATTTATCAGTTCACGTTAGGACCAAGAATAATAACGGTGAAAACTTCATAAGAAAAGTGGCTTAGTTTTAATTGTGTTGTAAGTCTGAACTGAAGTCCTAACGAAGGTTTCCCCTTTATTTGAGGGTTCTCTGGCCAGTATTCCACCCAATGTATGCTTAGGAAAGCATGTCAGGCCTTAACTGCTGTAGATGATATGCCAAAGATGCTTAATATCTGTAGATGAGATAGGAATCGATTGTAGCCGGATTAATGTCATGGCCCATATTGTGATTTCTCCAAACTATGGGACATTCTCCATAGCGTCTCCAATGGCTTTGGTCTTTCCCCCTCTAATCCCCTTTAATATGCGCCCTAACTGCCTCTGTAAGTCGTATAGCTATAAGGAGACAGCAACAGTGGCACGTGATAATGCTGGCCTTTTTCGACGGTGACCGAGACCAGAACTTCGGGGAAGAAAGTGTTCCCCTCGCCAAAGTAGCTTCCGGTATCGAAGCGTAGAGTCCAAGTGGACTTAGTTTCCACCTCGCCTAGCACGTCATCTAGAGTGTAAGTAGGTACATCTCCTGATGAGTGGATGTTGGAATATGGTAGCCACGCCTTGATGCGGCCATCGTCATCGGTCTGAGATTCGAAAGTCTTAAGAGGAGCATGTCCGCCTTCCAACTTGACGCGGACCCCCTTGGCTGGCTTGCCTACGGAGGTGTCCAGAATATGGCAGGTGATGATGTCTTTGTCGTTTGCCATTGGGGGTGGTGATGACTTAGACTTATATTAAAAATGTTTAGACTGAGATAGTCTGATGTTTGCTTCCGACTTGACCGCAGGTGAAATGTCCCTACTTGTACTCGAGAGCCACGAAATTCAGGAGGTCCTATTAGACGGTGAGTCTAGTAGATAGGGGGTAGGACAAACGAGGCGAAGCGGTTCGGCGGGGCTGTGATATGCGGCCTCTTTCCTCTGAACCGAACAAAATACTTAAGAGAAAATGTATAATACCCAGAATGGTAAATGGTAAATGGTGTCCGGGAATATGAGAATGTGAGAATGTGGTATGTGAATAAGGAAGATTAAACCTGAGGTAATTGGACCTAAGGTAAGGTAAAGGCAGGGTTGTAAAAGGTTGTGAGGGGAGGTTGTAACGCTACTGACAACTAAAATTCCTAATGCAGCTTTGTTTTTAGACCTGATTGCTCAGGATGTATCAGGCAGCTGCCAGGTATGCCAGGTATACCCCGCTAGTAATAGCCCCCACCGTGGGGTGAGATACGTACCGTAAAATCTACCTAAGGCACTCCTAATGTTTCTTTATTTAGAAGCAAAACGTAATACAGTGTTACTTACACTTTACACACATTATAGATTTCCCCCCCCCTATTTTCATTTCATCTTGCCACAACTGTGGTTTGTATCTTACAAGGACAAGCCCACATGATACATGACTAGCTGCAGCTTGAAAGAAATAAGTTGAGGGCTTAAGCCTCAAGTGCGACATCACAGCCTCTAAATAATCCCTAAACAAAATTATCGGTGGGACGACGCTTGCTTGACTACACTAGAGAATATCGTCTGTCGGTTTGATTTGATATCTAATTATAGACCAGCGAGACATTTAAGTAGTGTAACGCTTCTGCACAAACCATATGTAAGTAAGACATGACGGCATTCTCCTATTCTCCTCACTCGCATCTACATACATACATATACTCCAGTAACATTGTGGAATGTGGTCTAAGGAGGGCAGTGCATTCATCGATAACATTAGATAGATTAAGCGGTGAAGAGTATAACATTCTATGATTCTTCAGATGTTGATAACCGAGTAGCAAGTGAGAGTTACATCACGCTAAATCTATCTACTACACTTATGCTAAGCGGCATTCCATTATTCCCAAGTTGCTACGGCATTCCCACACTTTAACCATTTTCAGTCCTGCCTTCTCGAACAGCTCTCGGAATTCCGAAGGCGTTCTCTCTTTACCGTTCATCAAAGACATCATGGCTATGTCGAAGGCGAACCCGTGATGAACATGGATACCGTAATTGGCTAATAGGGGCTTAGGGGCTGGCTTGATATACGGGTCTCCTATTGTTTCAGTCAAAGTAATATCGGCAACAAGTAGCCGCGAGTCTGGACTCATGGACTTGGCTGTATTCAGAAGAATCTCGACGCAAGCCTCGTCATTCCAGTCATGTCTGTTTCTGCGTCAGTCCTGTCTATCTTTAACGTGGAGTCTACGGGTTGTCTTACAGAACATGGCGCATCCAGTATATGTCGGCTTCCTTGATGGGATTCGGCTTGAAAAAATCGTGCGCCACAAACTGTACCCGTCCCGACTCTAGAGCTTCGGGGAACTCCTTTTTCCATATTGAAGAACCTTGCTCAACCGCGGTCGGAAGGTCTTGTACGACAAAACGCAATTCTGGATACAGGCGGGCTAGCTGAAGATCAAAACTAGATATGCCGTGTTAGCCGACCCTATGTGAGAAGAGACTTCGTGTAGTCCGTCAACCTTCAGGGATAACTTACCGACACCGCCTCCAACGTCAACAACTAAACCGTTTCTCAATTCCTTCCAGGGGAAGTCATATAAGGTTGCACTACCTAAGCTCTTACTGTTGCCAGCTAAGTACAAGTTGTAGGTTTGCGCGTCATCCTTCGGGACCAACTCTTCACCAGGTAATGCTTCTACTTTTTGATACGGACCTCTCGCAGCGCCAGGACTTGCTTTATCCAGTGCCGCTCGCGAACGAGGAACTTTCTCGTTCATCCACGTGAAGAATGGAAGTTCTGTGCCTACGGCTAATGGCCAGGCTGCGAGTTCCGGCTCATGACTCGGTCCTCGGATAGGGTCCTTAAGTGCCTCTGGAAGTGCGGAAGAAGCTGCGTATCCCATGGAACTGAGTGTTATTATCAGCTTTGCGTCGGAATACGTTAGTCGCCCGACCGTCAAGATCCGCTCACCTGCATTTGACTTGCCCTAGCAGCTTTTCGTCGTTGGCTAAAGCTTGCGAGATCCTATTATTTGCGAACTTACCCGGCGCAACCTCGCGAAAAATATGCTGCGTAGCCAGGGCTCGCAGTATACGACCTTGGTCCTGTTAGTGGAGCTTGTTGCAAAGGTGCAAATCAAAGCAGAAAGGGCGTGTATTCAGTAGGAGCTCACCGAGCTTGTTCTTCTCGAGCCCAGTTGACTTAGCTAAGTCCTCGACAGATACTCCGTCCGCATCGCCCTTATCTAATAGGATTGCGACATTGTGTTCAACTGCTATGTGAAGTGCGCGAACCTCGAAATACAACTCTGCAAAGTCTACTAAGCGCAGATGAGGCTCGGCTACGAGCTCTTCGATCGAGCCCAGTGCTGCAATGACGGTTCGTTGCGCGTCATAAGCCTCGCGCCCAGGTATTGCGAAGGTAGTTTCCGAGGCCGGTATAGCGTCCGGTGCTGGATTCTCCCATTCGGCGATTAGTATTTCTGATGCGTCTTGGATGAGCTTTACTACTTGTCGTAGAGCCGTAGCCCGTGATGATACATCGTTGTAAGACATTATGAAGGAAAATTTACTAATGCTCTCTTATCAGGAGCTTCGTTCTTGGCTTTACCTCACCATGGAATGGCAGGTCCTTATGTATCGTGGCATAAGCGTGGGCATAACCCAATTAACTACCAGCTACTCCAAAATGCTTGGTGATACCCTCCGAATTGCCGGTGGAGATCTGATATGACTGCATCTATGGCATGCATCATTTATATACCCCGGCATCCTAATTGAGGCCAAGACGAGAACCATATTGGATGGTTATGTCGTAGTGTCCGCTTTAAATGGGCTGTCCTTCTCCCCTCAGGAAAATGGGACGTGGGGAAACCCTGTCAGTGAGAGATAGTATAATGAGGTACGTGAGGGGACACTTTTGCCTATTAGATGCTTTCGTGCTTACGAATGCGAGTGTAATACTTTTCTCAGATCTCGACCATGCCGAGGATAAGCCCACAGAACCACATAGTACTACGTAGCAATTTCTTATATTATCATATTATTATTGTAGTAAGTAGTGGGAATAAACTTCAACATGTTCAATTATAGAATAGGGTGTTGCTGTAGACTACGATAGATGTTACAGTTCTAGAAGTGTACTTTATGATGAAGCGTGGGATACTATGACGATACTGTGATTTGGGCGGTGCCATTTTACACCTCATTGAGATATAATAGCTTAATATATTTTCGCTTATCTTCCTATAGGTACCTAGAAAAAGAAGCCAAGAACAAACAACTAATGTAGGTAGGATTCAAGCGTATGGTATCATAAGTCGGAATATAAAGGGGTTAAAGAACCCCAAAGTAACACTCTTCGGAATGAACAACATATATTTTTAAGATCTGTCTGTGAATTTTGATACCAGATAAGAATTATGAGGCAGATAGAAAATGAGTAGTTGTATACTACAATGAGTTCAATCAGTCAATCGGAGACAATTATCATCATTCAGTCCCGCTCGGTCCCGGGTAGCCTTCGGAACCGCTTAACGCTATTCGGTGCCGACGCTATAGACTGAAGTCATGAAGCGATCGAGATATTACCTATCGTAAGGAGAAATAGCGGACATCGGATGATTGTTATTATTCGTTCTCCGAAGAAATAGTAGCAATAGTAACGAAAATCTATAATGCTCTCCAGTGTCCCATAGCCCAGTCTCTGTTATGTGAAACTGGGCTGCCTCATTACCCCTGAGAGGTGGTTAAGGGGATACACTGAGCTCTCGTCGAATATAAATACCATGAGCTAAACACTAGTCATGTCATTAGAAACATTCTTTTATTTGTATCGTATTAAATTTATCTCCACTAGATAAGTATCCAAGATGAGCAATCTTTACGACGTTATCATCGCGGGCGCAGGCCCAGTTGGACTCTTCTTAGCCTGTGAGCTAGCGATGGCAGATGTGTCTGTACTGATGCTAGAACGCGAGCCCGAACCCAACTCTCCTTCGAAGATTGGACCACCGGGTATGCGAGCGTTAAACACAGCATCTATGGAGGCGTTCTACCGACGCGGACTACTAGACAAAGTCACACCTCCAAGCAAGCGACCGCCAAACTTCCAGAAGAAACCCGGGTTTCAGTTCGCTGGCCACTTTGCTGGCATATGGCTAAACGCCAATAGACTCGACTTAACACGATTCAAATACCGCATCCCGGGACCAGCACTTGATCTCAGTCTTAATCCTGCGTCGATAGCAGGGATCGAGGCTGTACTAGCACCGCGGGCTGAGAGCCTCGGGGTCACTATACTAAGAGGGAAGAACGTCACGGGGGTCTCACAAGATGAGGATGCCGTCACAGTGAAAGCAGGAGATCAGGAATTCTACGCGAAATGGCTCGTTGGATGCGACGGGGGACGAAGCACGGTACGTAAGGCCGCAGGCTTCGAGTTCGTCGGGACAGAACCAACATTTACCGGCTTCGCTGTTCAAGCCGACCTAGACCAGCCCGAGAAACTGAAGATAGGCTTCAACCCGACCGAAGACGGCATGTATGTCATGATGAGAGCGGGTAACTTCCATCTGCTAGACTTCGACGGCGGCTTCTTCGACCGCACGCAAAACGTCACGGAGGAACATATCCAGGACGTTGTCGGCCGCGTAACCGGCACAGACGTCAAGATCGCAAAGCTCCACCACGCCTCCTCCTTCACCGACCGATGCAAGCAAGCAGCTAGATACCGCAACGGCCGCGTTCTCCTAGCCGGCGACGCCGCGCACATTCACTCGCCGCTCGGCGGACAGGGCCTGAATCTAGGTCTAGGAGATGCCGTCAACCTAGGCTGGAAGCTAGCCGCGACAGTCCGGGCTTCCAGGTCCCGTTACGGACCGGTGGATCTCAGTCTCCTCGATACGTACGAGCAAGAGCGGCGTCCATTTGCGGCGTGGGTGCTAGAATGGACGCGCGCGCAGGTGACGGTTCTGAAACCTGGGCCGCACGGCGCTGCTCTTCGCCAGCTCGTGAGCGATCTAATCGACACGGATGATGGCCATAACTTGTTCCTCGGCCGGGTCTGGGGCTTGTCTCAGCGGCATGATCTCGGCGATCCGCATCCTTTAGTTGGTGCTAGCGCTCCGGATTTCGAGTTTAGCGATGGGTCAAGGCTGGGGCCTAAGTTGGAGGGAGCGCGAGGTCTTATTGTCGACTTTGGTGATGATGTAAGGCTCAAGAAGCTGGCTGGGGGGTATAAAGCTAGGGTCGATTACGTGTCGATTACGTTGCTATTAGTGCCAGGGACCAGTTGGGTCTTAGTGCCTTGTTGGTTCGACCCGATGGTATTGTTGCTTGGGTGACCGAGGAGAGTCTCGATATTGAGGGGGCTAAGGCTGCTTTGGCGCGTTGGTTCTGATTTGGTACATAAAGGGGGAAGTCGTGGGGAGATATAATGTATTATTTATCAATATCAATCTTATATATAATTTATAACGGATGTTTTCTTGTTCTCGGGACGATAATACGCTCTAATTTTCTTTAACGTGTTGTCTGTTAACACAATATACATCCATCATTTCCATAGTATATCTCTTAATCTTTTGTCTTAGGTACCGAATTTACGGAAATGTCGCCTTCGTGAGTAGCCTCGATCAATGGGCGAACCTGAAATCCTTTCTTTTACTTCCTTGGTCCGTAGTAGTTTCGAGATAATGTATTTGCTCCTATAATTATGTTAATTTCTTCACCGTATTATCTTCGTACGCGCAATTCTTACCTCGCGAGTCATTGCATTCCAGTCTCTGTCTCTTTGCTTGTTACGGTATACATAATAGACCTTTATAAGTGCATATATGACTATGTTTGCTGCGCAAATTGCGACGAGCTGCTTGTTTCCGCGGCGGTCTGTCATTATTCACATTAGTTGGGACCTGGGCTCGGAATATTAAAGGGGGTGGGATTACAGACATTCGGGTTTATCATCGGCACGGTAGATGTTTGAATATGCAATACCAGAGACCTGGACAAACATACTGTTATAGTAATTAGCTTAATTTTCTGGTAGGTATGATATAGCACTTACTTGTAGGCTGCGGCAGAGACTGTGCGTGCTCTCACAGTATTCGAATTCCGGCTACACCAACCGACTTGTATAGCGTGGGCTGTATTACTTATTAGCAAGTACAAATATGTAACGATATGGGCTTATACATACGATATGGATATGAAAGTAAAATTATCACTATAGCATATCTCGCCCACGGAGATGTATTACTCGGTATCACAGCCAGGGCGATGATGTTAGGCAAAATCCAAATCTGCGCAAGCATACCCATGAACGATCTCTCATTCCACACCTCGGAGAGGTATGTTAAGGTAAGCATCTTAATAGAAAATTAGCCTCTGTTAGACTATTGAGACTTTTAAAGAGGTGGATGATATGCGAGGGATAACTCACCGTGAAGATTCCTATAACTTGACTAGGAATCGAAAGCAGATTTGAGTTGAACGTATCGAAACCAAGATCTCGGAGCGTTAGGGTTAGATATTGATCTGGGGGACCGACTGGAATTCCGAACACAAGTCCGGCAATGTAAATTGGCCAAAGGTCATAATCGCATAGAGATCTCCATAATCTTTTTAAGTCAACCGCTTGACGGTTATGCATGTCACCTTTAGAAGGGTCATCTCTCAATATACGATTGACCATTATAACCTCTTCGCGTTCATTGAACCAGCCTTTCGGTCGATACCATGCTTTAGTCTGTGTAGGCGATGGTGCCATCATAAACCAGGACCACACTCCGACGGAGAGGGTGAAGAGGCCTTCAATCAGGAATAGCCATCTCCACCCTTCTTGTCCGTGGTGGCCACGGAGTCGAAGGATACCAAAAGCTAGAATAGGCGCAACAATATCGACTACCTTTAGAGTTGTCCAAAATAGGGCCAGGCGAAAAGGCAATTCGCTTCCCTTAAAGAAATAGGACTAAATCCGAACAATGTTAGATTTTGTTACGACGGCTTGCCTCTAAGACGTAAGAAGAACCAACTTACCAGGTATAAGACAATGTCTGGAATGAAGCCACCTTGTAACAAACCAAGTAGGACACGACATGTAAGAAAAGTCTCCCTGCTGTTCAGCCAAAATTGAGAAGCTGCCACAATAGACCACAAAACCATGATTGTAGGTATCCATCGATCGGGACCTATACTGTATATTAATAGAGGCTTTAAGCCAGACGAGTATATGCTTGTACTTACCTACTTTCTTGCTTACCAACTGTGATGGAAGTTCGGCGCACAAGAATGCTAATCTAAAGACAGTATTTCCCAAGTTATAGTCTATATAGATATTCAGTTATTAAGACGTAGCTCCCATACATAATAGACACAGTACTTACCATTCGTAGACAAGCCTAAGTCTTCTAAGAAATTATCCGTATTCGCTTGTGACAAGTTTCCACGATCAAGGTCTAACGCAAAGAATGCAATGCATGCCCACAACGTGATTTTCCAGTCAAGTTTGTTGATGAGTGGCAACTCCTCAGCCCACGTCCACCTCGCGCTCGGGTCGAACCGGTGTAAGTTCTCGTACTTTTCAGTTGGCTGAAAGTACTTCGCTTTCTCCGGGTCGTCGAAAACGGAAGGCTGCGTCGCAATCTCGTCCAAGTTTTGCTGCTGCTTCTTCCTGCGAAATAGAGTCATAATAGGGAGTACCGGAGGCTCCGTCTTCTGTAATTCTTGGTGCATAAGAATCCGCTCCTTTACGGCGGTCGGATCTTCACCATGCTTTTTTTCGGAACCCGACAGCGACTCAGGTCGGATAACGACTGCGTCCTTTAAATCTGCCATGGTATATGAATAGCTGGACAACGACCAGTGTTTTCACGTCTGAACCGAATCCAGAGATTCGGAAATTCTGTAGTACGTCTCGGATAACGGCCATCCTTATAGTACTTCTGGTGCTTGAAGCTGGCGCGTGGACGAGACCTTGGCGTGATCTCGCCATTCGCCTCTTCCTCTTTTAGGAATTACTGGCCGTCGCATTGGCTGGGCTCGGCTGAAAATTGTGACGCAGTACAGGAGTTTTTGGAGACAGATGAGGAAAGTTTCTCGGGTAGATTTGGAAAGCGTGAGCACGTCATGTATAGGTTCTGATCACGAATATGATCAAAGCTTGTCAATACAACTACAAACTACCAACCAATCCTCACCCTATTAACCCGCTAAGGGCTCGGCGTAGTAACATCTCCGTGGTCCTAGCATATCCAGCTCCTTGGAATCGGGTTTGTGAGTAGATCAAGTCAAAATTAGCGAATAGAAATATCCCCGATGGTGTTCGCCGCATCTATGCAAGTATCAATTCTGACGCTATTTGGCAACCCCCACGTGTCTCTTAGATCCTTCACTTATACACTATGGATTAAAATATTTAAGATGAATGAGTAATGGCAAGTTATACTTTTATACTTATTAAAGCGCTACTTACACTTACTTAACTAGAAAGCTACCGAGTTATAATCATGGATTTTGGCTTACTTAAACTCTAAGTCAAGTCGATATCCACGAATTAGTCGAACTAGTCATATTTCCCTTTGCATGAACTAATTCCGTGACAAAGAGACATATCAAGCTTTCACTCCGGGTGTAAGTTATCCACTATAGAGATGGTGCGAACTGTAGGGCCGACTACATGTGGAGTCTACCGACACGATCTACATGGTGAAATTAAATAGGATACTATGAATGTTGAAGTTAACTTAACAGCACCAAATTTTTATAATATGTATATTGTGTGATATAACTTAGGTAACTTGTAGTATATTTTAGCTATATCAAACTGGCTTCTCAAAGCAATCCTACTAAAGATCTTCGCTATACATTAGGGACATTAAAAGAATTTGTTATAAATGATAAATATTCTAGTCATTACAACGTTTAAATAAATCCTATAAACTTACATTTTACTTCTACTTCCGAAAATTGCCACCCAGTGTAATTTTGGTAATGATAGGTCTAACAATAGTAAACAATGGGGTAGATATAACTATTTAGATACGAACATACGCTTCTGTTGTGTAGGTAAATAACTAAAGCCGACTATAAGTGCTTTACGGTGGCTAGTCACTAATATGCTTCAAGTCTCCCTTGCCCGCGTAAGCTGTGTGATATATCTGCGTTTCGTCTGGTCATAAATTGATAAGGTCTGTTTCGACCAAGTTATTTACTTGATCCGTATATGCAAGTATCTAACTACCTAGGTAGTTAACTTTTTTTTCAGTTAGATATACCCCTATTATTTTGGGAATATGTAAAATCGGAGTTTGTACTATTATTGTAAAACCTCCGAGGAAGTTCGTATTTAGGAAATTCTATTATCTTTTGACTCAACTTGAATAGTCTGGCTTCAATAAGTATTTGATCATACAATAAATATCACATTTTTGTTCCAAGTCTCCAGATTTATCTATATCATTTTTTTAGAGTTATAATAATTAATAATTTATGTTTAAAAAATCTCGGGTCCAATCACACCGAATGAAATCCAAATATATCAAATAGGATGTGCAGAACGAACTATAGCTTAGTAATACATCTAAAACAGAGCGGGGGATAACTCCAAGATCGTAGTGGGGGGTAGCTTAATGTTCCGATATGTAACTTTATTAATTACATGTTTGGTATAACTATAAGATCTTTGTGTACTTAAACCTATACCAGAAAAGCAAATTTCATGTAGGAGGGGACAATGAGTATAAAGCTCGTCCAGTAATAAAACAAACTGTCAAAATAAACACTTCTCTCGCTTATTCTTCTCTTCCCCCCCAAGTTCCAACTGCTACTAAGATATCCAACCAAAATGTCAGCCCCTCCTAACCTTCCGAAGATGACCTATCGGTTCCTTGGCCGATCAGGTCTCCAGGTCTCAGCGATCTCCCTAGGCGGCTGGCTCACCTATGGCGGACACGTCGATAACGGTATGCTATTCGGAGAGGCATATATAGAACAGTATAGTGCTAACTAGAACCGTAGAAAATACTTTCACTTGCATGAAAGCTGCTTATGATAGCGGTATTAACTTCTTCGATTGCGCCGAGGGCTACGCGGGTAGGGAAACAATCTTAAAAATTCGACAGTCCGATTCGGATCCGTGGGCTGACGTAGCAAAATAGGGGGCAAGTCGGAGGAGGTGATGGGCGAAGCAATCAAGAAGTTTGGCTGGAAACGCAACGACCTCGTGATATCGACGAAGGTACTGAAGTAACATGCCGACCCCCTAAGACTACCTGGCCACTAACACCGTTACCAAGATATATTGGGGCAACGCGTTTGGTGACAATCCCGTTAATAATAAGGGGCTTAGCCGGAAGCATATCATCGAGGGTATGAACGCCTCGTTATCTCGTCTAGGTCTCGAATACGTAGACCTAATCTACGCGCATCGTCCGGATAGACTTACGCCGATGGAGGAGACGGTACGCGCCTTTAACCACTTGATCAACACCGGCAAAGCGTTTTACTGGGGCACCTCGGAATGGAGCGCCGATGAGATCGCCCAGGCATGGCGCTATGCCGACAAATTAGGTCTCATAGGCCCTGTTATGGAACAGCCATTATACAACATGCTAGATCGCGAGAAGGTGGAGAAAGAATATGCTCATCTGTACCGAGAGGTTGGGCTTGGACTGACGGTGTTTTCGCCGCTGAAAACGGGCATCCTCTCTGGCAAGTACAAGAACGGAATCCCCCCTGATTCGAGATATGCTCAAGAGTCGGTCGAGTTTATCGCGGGGTTCTGGAAGCGGACAGGCAAGGAGAAGTGGGAGGGTATCATCGAGCAGGTGAAGAAACTAGAGCCCATCGCGACTCAACTCGGCGTTAAGCAAAGCCAGTTAGCTTTGGCGTGGGTGCTCAAAAATCCGAACGTGAGCTCCGCCATCACCGGCGCGAGTAGTGCTGAGCAAGTATACGAGAACGTGCAAGCCGTCGAGGTTGTGGACAAGCTAACCCCAGAGATTATGGCGAAGATCGACGAAATCTTAGAGAATAAGCCTCCTGCCATTATTGAAAGGTTTTAGGCGGTAGCTTGTATGCTGCTAGCTATCGGCAAGATTGGAGGTAGTCTAAGAAAGTAATAAATAGAGATGACGATCTCTATGGAACGTAACGACTATCCCCGGCCTCGCTAGCTGCTAGAAGCTTATCATGGATATCGAAAAAGTCGTCTTCGATAACTTGACCGAGTAGATAGACATTAATCTTTACTATGAGCAAATGTAGAACGCTCTAATACGGCTATAACCAGTTCCAAGCAGACATCAATCAGATCCCGACCCTTCCCAACGAGGACGAACCACCCAGATTGTCCCTATTCTATACAACCGGGCATACCAACGTGATGAGTCGCCGTCTAATATATCTCTTTTAATAACCACAATAATTTCGTTAGATAACCTGGGTGGCCCATATGCCGCCCAAAACTCCGTTGCCCTACACAGAAATAGTATCCTTCTAAGCCTTCCATTCTTTAATCATAGAGTTAATGCGGAGGTAAGACCGCTCTCGGGGGCGGCTCCGGTATGTTGGATGTCGGAGCGGGTGTTGTAGATTGCGTCTGATCCGCTCCCTGTTGTAATTCTTCGTATGTTGGTGGTCTGCTGGTACCAGGCCCGTCTGTGGCTATAGCACCCGGTAATGGTTGCAATGGACTTAATTCTACGTCGTCTGTGTTATCGGGTCGTTTTTGTGCGGGGGTGTAGGCTGGTGGCGCTTCACCCAACTCATTTAGACCTTCCTCTCTACTACCAATGTTCGATCCTAGTCCACGTCTCCCTCCTCTTGTCCGACGCTCGGCAGGTGCCCTCGATCTCGAACGGTTGCCCATGGCTTCTAGATCTCGTTCTAAAGCGCTGGTGCCGTATAACATGCGGAGCTTCCTTCGGCGGCGATATCGGTAACACATGAGAAGCGTCCCAACACCGACGAATATGATGATTGGGACAAGTACCCAAGAAAACGGGTATGTTGCGAATATATTGCCTGAGCCGCTGTCGTCTTGATCCATTTTCGGGACCTATTCGAGTGTATCGCGCGACTTAGATCAGAAGCTACTTTAGCTCGTGGCTCGAATTAATTATACGTTGGATTAGGCGTAGTAACGTAGGGGGAAGATTTAAAAGCGATGTTTAAATGATCAGATGTTGTTGACGAAATATTCGTATGCCAAGTGCGACGCGCAGAGAGCGGAGTTTCTTTGTAGCACCGAGGGGTGATGGAAGGTGGTGATTTCATCTAAGATCCATCGGATTGATTGGCTTCGTACAGTGTCGACCTCGCAACGCTATGCTTAAGAATACATCACACGAGAGAGAGAAGATCCGCAAAAGTGTACCTCGTACCGTTGGTGGTGACTCGAATTCATCTGATAGTTTAGTGAGTACGATGTAAATCGGGGTGCGATAAAGAGACGGGCGGCTTGAGTGACGAAGGGATGAATCCTCTTCGGCTAGTTAACAGTTAACCCCTTAGATACCTAATGCAACCAAATTTCTTCCGAAGAGGTTACAATTATTCTAAGTTATGTAGGTTGGCGCAAGGTGTAAACTGCGAGGGAATGAATGTTCAAAGACGTAAAGACGTAAATACGCCGATAGGTGATCCGGTAAGTTCGGATCATTGATCTGACAACCGGCGCTTCCATGTTTCTAAGATTTGGAGGCTTTGTCCCTACGTTAACGTCAAGCTAAAACCTGCGCTAATCCTTTACTCTCATGCAGCTCTAGCTTACTACATGAGGTACCTAATGTCACCTATGTCGTACCTATGTACCAACATATACTCCGTATGCATACTTAAGATCCATACTATACTTGGATTTTTCTAATTATTAAAAGTATGTCATTGTCATTTTCGTGGTAGGGGATCAAACTGTTCTTTGATTTGTTAGACTTATTCTGTTCGGTTAAAGACATTAGAACAATCTAAACGTTGACATCAATGGTTGAGTTGACGATTGATTAGCGTACGTACTTAAATGCTATGTAAGGACGTACATGCTTGCCCAGAACCGCCCTAAACTTTATTTATTTAAGGAACTCATGTCAGCTCTAAAGTCTAGTGTGGGTCTATATTCGCAGCCGGAAGTTTCATCCATTCCATCTAGGTTAGACTTTTAGTGTCCGTAAGCACGAGAAACAACACTTTTCGGAATCTATCAATCTTGATTATTACGTGATAAAGCAATTATATTATCACCTAGACACCAAGTTGGCAACCTAGCCTAGTGCTCTCAAGCTGCGATAAAAATAAAGTAGAAGAATCTCGGCCGAGGAGCGCGACTCTTACTATACCGCAACGAACAAGAGAACTTGGAAGACTAAGCACACACACGATGGTCCGCGCTATTAAAGGTCTTTTCCCTTCCTTTAATTTTATTATATTCTTTACTTGCTAATATATAGGTATTTAGGGACTTTGGTCGAGTGCGAGCCCTCAATTAAATCTATCATTGTCAGTATCGATAGCAAGAACAATGAGTACATAATCGAGGATCTTGACGAATCTCACCTTGTAATCAAAGATAATATGGTGGCTCAGTTGAAGATGGAACTCGAAAAGGTATAGTTAGATTTTCTTCAAACTCTTAGCTTAGGCTACTAACACACATCTTAGCGATTGAAGGAGAACGTCCCCGATGTAGAGGATGACTCCGATTCGGACCGGGATGTTCAATAAAAGGGAATTCAATAGCTACATACTTAGGTAGACACCCCTATAAAACATCGACAAAAGTAAAATCTTATATAATTCGCTTCGTACACAGCAGTCTATCAATTTAAAAGACGCCAAGTCTCTTTCTGCCAGTTGTAATTGGGTCTATACTCGGTGCGCTTTGAAACCATCCGAAGCACCTGTCAATATCAATCTATAGCTTCTCAAACCTCGGCCTAGTCCTCCTTAGTCCAGACAGCAACGCGGTTTTGAAGTCGTTAGACTGAAGCATCGCCTGGTTCCACAGGCTTGTGTATCTCAAGTCTATTCCAGTTAGTTATCACACTACTATATATATTGAAGGCGGACTTACTATCTGCAACTGTGTTGTCCCTTGCGTGGTTCAACAGCTCTTTCGTGCCCTGGACAGCAACCGGACTCTTCGATGCTATGAATGATGCGAGCATGCTAGCTGCCTCGATAGCCTTTGCTTTAGTTTCCAGCACCTGACTCACGAATCCAACAGCAAGAGCCTCTTCAGCACCAAAACCCCGAGCCGTCAAGCAAACATCCTTAACCCACGAGAAGCTTGAGACGATCTTGGGTAGCCTTGCGAGAGTACCTATGTCTGCAGCCATACCGATGTCTACTTCCTTGACAGAAAATCTAGTATCTCTCGAACAGATTCTAACGTCTGCGCAGCAGGCTATATCGATAGCCAAGCCGATAGATACACCGTTCATTACACAGATAACAGCTATTACATTGTTAGTTGGCGATGATCTTAATTTTGTGGGCGAAAAATGATGTTTACATACGCTTCTCGCATTTCTCTATCTGGTTTATGCAGTCTTGGAACTCAGAAATCTGGCGTCGAAGTTTCGTTGCCTGCCTAGCAGCATCTGGTTGTTGATCGCGATTCCCTAGGAGGCCTCCCTGATCCACGGCTTGCACATCTAGACCAGCAGTAAATGCTCGGTCGCCGACTGCAGAAAGTATTATAGCGCGTACACCTGGATCACGAGATAACTTTGCGAATATCCTTCCAAGCTCCACCCACATATCTGGTGTGAATGCATTTAGCTTGGATGGGCGATTGATCTTAACGTGAGCCACATATTCGGATGGCGACGAGATAATAAAGGTCTAAAATCCGAATAACTTTCCCTTTCTGATTGAGCCATGATTTAAAACTTGGGGTTTATGAAATGGGAGTCGATATAAGTAAACGCTTGGGCGATATAAAATAGGTATCTTTGGAAATGTGAGGAGTTGAAACTGATTCTTTTCTACCTACATATCTCTTATGTAAATCGTCCCAGCTTTATGACTTGTCCTACTTGTCTTACAGCCCCGACTTGCCGAGGCACCTCTTATGGACCCTGTTTTGAATTGCATATGTACCGTTACATGTTAGTATGCACCTGTCGCGAAGTCTTCCAGCCACATTTCATTGATCCTTGTTTGTATTTCAGTCTTATCGATATATCCTTATCACATCTTATCACATCAAGCTAAGGTACAACTTAGTTTAGATTGTCGGTGGGAAATTGTCTAATTGACCGATTCCTAAGGAAAAAAAAAAAGTTAATTGGTTTCTCAACTCAGTTATACGTTTTTTCTTCCTTAACAGAAGCACACGACACATTTGTTGACGATGGCGGCAGAGGTCGCGCCACTTCAGCAGCTGAAGCTTCCTTCGGGACCTTCTCAAATTACTGCAGAACAGCGATATTGGAAATCATTTAAGAACCAACTTGTGATTCCATCGCCGACACAATACCCCATCACCCACATCACCGTTCCCGCGATTAATCCAGCTGCGATTGGTACTTCCAGTAATGATTATTTCGCTGTTACAACGGGAACCCGCGTCCAGATTTACTCGATAAGAACGAGGAAGCTGGTTAAGACGATTACTCGTTTTGGAGACATTGCGCGAAGCGGAGATGTACGACGGGATGGTCGTATATTGGTGGCCGGAGACGATACGGGCAAGATTCAAGTCTTTGACGTCGGGTCGCGGGCTATTCTCAAGACGTGGGCTCAACATAAACAGCCAGTATGGACAACGAAATTCTCCCCGGCCGATCTCACAACTCTCATGAGTACGAGCGACGATAAAACAGTGAGATTATGGGATCTTCCTAGCCAAGAAAGTACATCAACGTTCGTAGGTCATGCCGACTACGTGCGCAGCGGCAGTTTCATGCCCGGGACTATGTCAAACATGCTTGTATCCGGTAGTTACGATTCTACAGTGAAGCTATGGGATCCACGAACACCGGGCACAGCCGTCATGACATTTAAACATGCTGCACCTATAGAAGACGTGTTACCTCTTCCCTCGGGAACTACTGTTCTCGCATCGTCCGAGAACCAGATCTCCGTTCTCGACCTCGTGGCTGCGAAACCGCAACACATAATATCCAATCACCAGAAGACCGTTACTTCTCTATCCCTTGCCTCAAACGGCCGTCGTTTAGTGTCCGGAGGTCTAGATGGCCATGTCAAGATCTTCGAGACAACGGGCTGGAACGTCGTCGCGGGCGCCAAGTACCCCTCTCCAATTTTGGCTGTCAGGGTCATTACTTCCGGCGCCAACGACGATGACCGACATCTAGCAGTCGGCATGCAGTCCGGTGTTCTATCACTGCGCACACGGCTCACAGGACCCGAAGCGACCCGCGAGCGCGAGCGTGAGAAGGAGATGGCTGCGCTGCTCTCCGGGAATATCGACTCGCATGACAAAGTCAAGAACAAGCGGAAGCGCCGCCACGGCCAGCTAAGCATCTTGACATGATCGGAGAGGGCGCCGACGTCGTCATCGCCAATGATCTCTCGCGGCCCAAGCGCGAGACGCCCTGGCAGAAAGACCTACGACACGGCCGGTTCGCTGCGGCCCTAGACCGTGTGCTCGACCCAAGCGCTAAGGACCACAGCCCGCTAATGGTGCTCACGCTGTTGATCGCGCTTCGCCATCGCAGCGCCCTACGCGAAGCCCTTGAGGGCCGCGACGAGGCCACCGTCCAGCCCGTCCTAAAATGGGTGCAAACGCACATCATCGACCCACGCTACGTCAGCATGTGTACCGACGTCGCTATGCATCTACTCGATTTGTACTCCGAATTCGTCGGCGGCAGCGCCGAGCTCCAGGCCAGCTTCAAGACGCTACACCGCAGGGTGCGGCTTGAAGTCGAGAGGGCGCAGGTGGCGACTCAGACGAGCGGGATGCTGGGGACCTTGCTGGTGAGCAGCTTGGATTAATGCACTCGGTTCTATCGAAGAGAAAGAAACGGATCGGTGGGTGAGAAAGCGGTATTGGGGAAAAGGAAAAGAAACAGTCTCGAGACGGTGGTTCTTTTTTGCATGGCGATGGCGTTTCAGGCCGAAAACTAAGGGTATTTTTCGATTGAGGCCATTTCAGGATCGGACTTGATATCTGGTACGAACGAAGGAAGCTCGCCCGTCGGGCGTTGTAAAACTCGCGTTGGTAGTATAAACAAAAAGAAATATAGCTTTGTATTGGGGATTTTATACTACGGTTAAGACCGATTGAATTGCGAGTTCCAGTAACACGAGTTGAAAACAAATTGCGTATCGTCGAATTCCAGCTGATCCGCCTGAACAATTGGTCATATCACGGCAACTCAAAGCAACGCATAGAAGATGTAAAAAATCTTTTGAATCATTCGTATATTCCAGTGGTACCTATCAAAATCGGTCCTACCAAGTAAAGCTGCCTCTGAACTTCCTAACCTAGCTTCTAACTACGTCAACTAGGTTGCGTATGAGTCTAAAATGAGATTTAGACCATTTTCCATTCGGCCCTCCACAATATTTTCCACACGCCGAAGCCCTCCCTTTCCGCACGTCCATCTTGTCTATGTGATCACAACCAAACGCGATTATCCTCCCTCCAATACATTAGACACCCCCCAAGATACCGGACAGAGACTAGAAAGGGAAATGTAAAAACGGCAAAAGCAAGTAACCAGCACCCGCCTCCTTTGCTTCAAACACATTATACATATTATACAACGCCTTCTTTCGAATTCGTAAATCTTCGTATCATCAATATCTTCCATGCCGTCGTGCTCGGCCCGTGCCGATATCAATCCTACTCATTTCTTCCATGAGTGCCCATTCTTCGTTGCCCCCGCGCCCCGGAGTTGGCCCCAAGCCGCCACTCATCATCGGTACCTTGGCTGGAATTGGCGGGCCGGTGCCGAATCCCGAGCGAGCGGCGCCTGAACCATGGTTCTCATAATCGAAAGTGCTAGCACGAACAAGCGCTCGAGGAGGCGTACTGTTCCGCTGGTGAGGCGTTGAAGGGCCAAGTGGATTAGGCCCTGAGGAAATTGGTGCCGGTAAGGCTGATGCCCGTTGCGCTTTCTTTTGTAAGCGATTTCGCCCCGTGCTCACAGGAGGAGAAGGGCTAGGATCAGAAGGGATATATGTCGGCGGCGCAGCTATTGCCGACTGAGGTCGTGTACTAGTACGGGGTGGCCGGCGACCAGAGGGTGGCATCGGCTGCGCGCCAGCAGGCACTGGACGTGAACGTGCCTCCGCAGGCTCAACAGGTTTCTTTGGCTCTGGTTCCGGCGCCCAAGTGTCCATAGGCAAGTGATCTGAGGGATCAACTTCCCGTCCATCCGGTGTCACTATCTTTCCATCTGCATTGGTGTATTCTCCGTCTTTTGTCGACGCCACGGTAGGGTTGAGGGCGTCATAAGAGTCTGGGCCGAAAGGAACCCCTGACAGTCGGCGACCATCAGATGGGGGAGGCGCCGGACTAACTGACTTGCGTTTGATCGTGTGGTTAGCAGGGGGGAGAGACTCGAGACCCCTCGAACCTCGAACCTGAGGTTGGTCCCGAAGGTGCGGTAGGTCCGCCAGCATAATTCACTAGGCTTCTATCATAGACCCTCGAGCTGCTTGGGTGGTGGGCATTAGAGGAATGCTGAATAGCGTAATTCGAGGGAGGTTCGCTCTGCTGTCTACCTCGGGTTGGAGTAGCCATAGGGGGTGGTTGGGTATATCGACGCGCTTGCTTTCTTTCTTGCTGGGCACGATCCGAGATCTCGCGCGCCATAGCTGGATCAACCCCCGGAACTAGCGTTGGAGGTACAGAGGGGATATCATAATCGTTTGGCGCATGCACTTGACTATTTTCTAGTTCACTTGGATAATTCAGAGTATGATCCATCTGCCTCGAATACCTTGGCACCAAAGCGAGTGCTTGGGAATAATCCTCAGCAGGTATGGGCGATGGTGATTGGTTGTAGCTACTAGGGTCGTATTGCTCTTGAGATGAGATAGGGGAAGGGCTATAATGTCCAGAAGGTGCACTATCACGCCCGTTTAACGTCAACGGCGCAGGACTAGAAGCTTGGTGGTACTCCTGCTCATCGTACTGGTGCGTTCTAGATCCGCCACCTCGGGATCTTGCGCTTGGTGGTGTCCAGGATTCCGGAACATCCTCTACCGTCGGTTGCATTGATCGGTAGTGAGCTTCGTATGCTGGGTCGTAAGAGTAATGGCGCGACTGGCGGTTGGCATCGGCCTCACGGTATGGTACCATGCTTTGCATATCCGGAGCCGACTCGTACGGGCGGTACGTAGGTCGGCCAGGATAAGACGACGGCGCCGCTGAAGGCACTGAATATCGGTGAGCTTCATTCCGTAGGACATCGTGTCTCATATGTGGGACGGCTTTATGCTGTAACATGTCGAAGCTGCCACGGGTAACTAGTTCTTGTGAACCTACACTTGAGTTCCTAACTCGGTGGGCCGGTGGGGGCGGAGGACAATCATCGAGCTCAATCGATTGCCGAGGGTGGTGGACTTGCGGCGAAGACTCGTAAGTCTGCTGACCATGGGCGAAAGACGACCTAGTCTCTACTTCATATGACCGACCATAAGCAGAGTCCGAGTAACGTGGTTGTTCATTATCTTGCGGAGGGAGCTTGTAGTTCTTATCCAGCGGTCGGTGGGGTGGCATTGAGTACTGACTCTTGCTGAGATGTGTTAAAGCGTACTGATCGGGCTGAGTGCTGGGTCTGCTTGAGGGTGATGTACCATATTCGATAGCCTGTAATGGCGCATGGCTTGGAATAAAAGATGGGGGGGTTGGCTGTGGTCGGGATGGAGTATGCACTTGGTCTACCACTGATGGTGAAGGTGCTTGACCCGTGACAGGATCCGAGGGCAACGGACGTCGTTTCACTACCGTCTTCTGGGATCCGCCGGCAGATTCTGCGTCGAGATTCGGGGTTACGCCGTTTGGTTTTACCATTGCCTTTTCAGCTTTTGGACGGCTATCGTAGAAAGTGGTCTCGATTCTGACCTCACCCGCATATTTGCCTCTACAATTCAAGCTATGCCACTGGTCACTCTGTCCACCTCCCCGTACAATTATATCGCGTAGGTCAATCCACGTTTCGCCTATTAACTCCGTCTTCCTATCGTCGTTGAATACGGATAGCTTTAACTGATAGTAATCGGGCGAGTCGTGAACTACGAATCGAAGCTCCTGGTCCCTACAACGAATCCAAGATGTTAGTCAGGACGTATAATTTAGGTAATTAGTAGCATGTTAAATACGCACCATTTGGGAGTCTGGCCACCTCGAATATCTGTGGTTGTCTTCTTAGCTTCTTTCGCCAGCCGCGCGGCGCAGTAGGGATCTTGTTTCCCAATGGTCTTCCTGTTTGGAAGATTCTTTGCACGATCAACAATGAGTACAAGAGTTCCAATCTCAGGCCCATCGACGCTCATGTCGGAGAAGATACCGGCTGTATGCATGCCATTTAATGGGTTAGGCATTTTCGGTTTAGTAGCCATCTTTCAAGAGGTTGAAGTTATTAAGCAACTCTCATTGGAAGACTGAAGTCGAATTAAAAATCCCGATCCCGATCCAATTGACACAATCGACAGTACCGAAGGTTAGATTTAAAAGGTTGCGAGTTACGGTTGTCTCGGTTACCCGGCGGGTGCCTTTGTTGATTCTTCCGAGTAGGTAGACCTCGTATAATCCGTACGTTCAACTGATAATAACAAAATCAAAACGAGAGTCGGTGTTGAACGACCGGAAGAAGAGTAAAAAAAATTAATTTTGAGACCAATGAACGAGAGAACCAAATAAGCATTCAATACTATGAAGTAGAGACCCAATTAGACAATGACAACGGAAGCAGGAGAATGCAGAAGAGGATAATGACTTGCAGGTTTGCAGCCGGGCTAGAAGATACCCATACCTTGTCGAGGGTGGGCAAGTGGCCTGCAGCCTGCAATTGGAGTGGCTGGTGACGAAAATAATGAGGTTGGGGCTTTTGGTTGGTCAAAAATGTCTGACCCGTTCCTGCTGTAGCAGTTCTAGCAGTTTTCGTGCTGCCGGGGAACTCCACAGCTGAGAAAAAAACCCCGCCTCCCTAAAAAGATATACCCCTGTACCCTGGGTTAAGACTTAAGACTTTAAAGACTTCAGGGCGTACAAGATGACAGGGGCCTTGTTTAGTGGAACTGGAGCCAATAGAGACGCTAGATTAGGGTAAGGTGTGTGTCAGGGAAGTATTTCCTTGGTTCGATCGCCTTATCTCTTATTCGTCGACTCTTTCTTATTTTTCGAGTTATTGAAGAAAATAAAAGATGTCTTATGGTTCTTAAACAGGACTTTTTTTTAAATTGTTTCTCAGAGTACGACGTTGGGGGTTTCTCCGTTTTTAGGAAATATTGATGCCTACCCTGCACAGCCTAGACGCGCAATCCACGAGGCTCTGCACTGTGCCGAGGCGCCTAAATGACGCGACCATAAATATTTTCCGACGGCTCAGATTCAATCCCGCATCGACGGTCGAGAATCATATGAGCTGATCTTAATGATCGTTTCGTACACGCCTTACACATATACGACAGACATAACCATAAACCCCAAATCTATTTCATTAAGTTATATATGTGGTGAGAGAATTATACATATCGATTAGCCAAGTTAATTGAAGTGTTTTATTTATACTTAGGTATGTACCTACCCATGAAATATAATCATTCTTCACATGTTGCTACGCTTTCAGTTAATGTCTTTAACCCAGCCAAGTGGTACTATCTTCCGAACTAACTATCGGGACTACGTCAGAATGCGTAATGGTCAAAATGCTAGTTAAAAACTAAAGCGCATATCAAATAGTACATGTTGTGTATATGTGGAATGCTGTGGGCTGTGTTAAACCAATCAGACTCGAAGAGTAACAGCAATGAAAAGTGAATCTTCAAAGACATAACTTACACCACATGCAAACTTCGAAGTTGCAAATTTTAATGCATGAGCTAATGCATTCGAATATCATGGTACGTGTTATTTAAATGTTTACTGTAATGATATGTCGACATAATTCCAATTCACCCCAATATTTTAATTCGAGCTGCTAAAACCAATACACACTTATATATTCCTCGCTTATACGAACAACCACATTATACCCCTATATCCCTTACATATGAGGCGGTCCTTTGCGTTTTGCTTAGCCTCTTCGGAGACCTTTGGATTGTTGATTGCTCTACAACGATAGTTAGTAGTTGGCTCGCCATCTTAGACAAACCCACTTACGCCTTTAAACCACCGGCGACATTCCCAGGGTTCTTATTACCGTCATCACCGCCATTCTCAGCCTTCGGTACTATAGGAATAATCAGAAAGTGGCCCAAACTAGGATGCATATCGGACTGGAACCATACCGTGCCCACCATTAAACTCATTTTCGAGAACTTGCTTGGAATGTTCCTTAGCATCCTGGCTGGTGTTAGGGTTGTTCAAGTTGGCCTTGTGACCGCCGGCGATTTGCGCTTCAGTAGGCATGATGGATAATTGTAGATGGGTGACGCGTTATATGCTAATACAGTCAATGCTTGCTAGCTAATAAGTTGTGTGTGTTGCTACTCTTTTAGAAAGGAATCCAACTCCTCTTTATACACATTTCTTCAACTCTTACTTAGACTTACTTCCTATAGTTAACTATCCTTTATGACATATCAAGCCGCTGACGCTTATACTCTAGTTAATTACCACTTATACAGCGTAGACGGTTGAGTCATGACGACAATGACAACGTGTAGTTTAGAGTCGTATAATCACCAGTCAAGCCACTTTAGGTTACTTAGGCCTAGGTCGGAAAGATTATCCTAATCCGCACTCAAACATGATCGGTCAGAAGATTTACAGAGCTGAATCTAGGGTCTGGCATACGTTAGGTACATAACAGTATAAATCGAAAACCCCGGGATTTGTGACATCGATCAGAAACGTCAAGTATCGGTCAGTATTATTGAAGTCAATCACGACATAAGATTTATCTATGTACCCCAAGAGGTGATCGTCAGGGACCGCGGAAAGTCTGCTCCGTCACGGGTTCAAAAACTAAACGATTGGACTATGAATTGTCGTGAGCAAGCCTTACTATCTACCGTTAAATCCCAGGTTAGATCCACATGAACCTCCACAGTGCAGCTTAAATCACGATTCAGCCTCAAATGCTAGTAACGATAACGCTATCCGTCGCCTGACGATTATATTAACTACTACCCAATACCATATGAGGCGCTACATCGATGCTAGGTCACAGGAGGAAAGAGTAGTTATTGACGACACCAGGTAATTATCTTTGGAACCATCTCTAGACTCTCACATCTTCAAGGATTATGTAGGGGATACCCCCTGCTTAATATGAACAATATAATTGCTCGAAAAAATACCTTGTTAAGCATCGACAATATTTCAGCGGTGTCGACATACACCAGATTTTGTGAAGCCTTGAAGAGCCCAAACAACCACAGATCCCCTTAAGGTCAATTCAGACCCCACTATCTAGATACGATGCCAAACGACCCCTGAGAAGATGTGGACTGCAAACCATCAAGATTACAGGCACCTAACGCAATGTACCGTGAACGCAGTCGATTAATACCCAATCGTTGTTACGGCTAGTTCCATGTCGTTAAACCGTGCCCCCTTTTTTTGCGAAAGTACACTCGTCAACTGCGATTTACGATTGGACCAAGATAGGGGTTCCGAGTTACTATGCAGTATATGCTATTGAGTGGACAAAATGTAAAATCAACTGGGGCGACCCGATATCAACCCTGAGAGAGGTATGCATGAACTCCAGACCGGTTATGCTGCCGGCTGCCGGCTGCCGTAACGACCCAGTTGTCGAGACGGCGGTCTAGACCAATATGCATATACCGACTCGTAAAGCATTATTGAATGGTCAACGTTGACGGGGAATCAATAAATGTAAGGATCACAGTGATCCATAGATATTAAGATAGAGTATTGTGATTCTTCGTTCCAGTACTATCCTTTAAATTTATAGGCTTTATCCATCTTGTAGATATTAATTGACGGTGTATGGTATAACGGTGGCGCGGATATGTTTGTAAGACTCTTGTTGAACATAATCTCTAGTCGTTACACTCAAGCCTTCGAAATGTACAACCTACCTTAAGTTCTAGGAGTTACGGTGTGGCTTGATAGGATACGATTACTTAATGCGGGACATGTCCCGCTTTTAGCTTTGGAGAATCGCTCATCTGATTGGCAATGCATCTACCTACCAGGTAACTTCTAAGCATCCATTCATACACTACATACAACCAACTACATAACTGACCATTTACTAAACCCAGTAATTAGTTCGCCATTATCGATACTCCATACCGATATCCCAAGATGTCATCTAACCAACCTTTATCTCAGCCACCGACTATTAACTACGTGGCTGGTTTCCTACTCGTCGGGCTTGCTTGGGGATTTACGACGCCCTTCATTCGCCGTGCGGCCAAAGATCATAACCCACCGGCTCATCCGACATTAGCAAGGGACGACGTAAAAGCAAGCCGGGTCAAGAGTAAACTTTACGGGGCTTTTTTTGCCGTCCTTGACCTACTAAAGAACCCGAGATATGCTGTTCCACTATTGATCAACTTGACCGGGAGTGTTTGGTTCTTCCTCCTCATCGGCCAAGCAGGTAAGTTCGACTGATTCCATCTTAACGCTGCTGGCGTTTTGATATACTAACATCTCGCCTCAGAATTGAGTTTGACGGTCCCAATCGTAAACACATTGGCCTTCTTATTCACAGTACTTGGCGATTGGTGGGTTGACAGGAAGGTTATAAGCAGAGGTAGGTCATTATTATCATAACATTGAGAGACTTATTTACTGACTATACATTAGATACGTGGATCGGAATGATCTTGTCTTTATGTGGCATTGCGTTATGCGTCCGGAGTAAAACTAGCTGATAGTTTTTGCTCACATTTAGATCAGACGCTATTGATAGCTCCCTAAAAACGATGATATCGGAGCATCAGAAAAGTTTTCGGGTTCTAGTAAGAATCGGACTTAAAATAACAAGATGAAATCAGATCGAAATACAGATTATTGATATGACCTATCGTGGGGGTTCGAACGTATTGTACGTCTACGAACCTTGGTATGGGTACAGGTGTCACTATCATACAAACGAACTCATGATGACCCTCAACTCTATGCCAAGAATAAACGCCGGCTTTCTTCTGCAATGAGTCAGCTCGCGCTCATACATGTTTCATGCAAGCCTTAGATGCGTATGTTGTGCTACGGGAAGAGCGCATCGCACGTTATCAATATTGATTCTGGTGAAACGATCACTAGTCGAAAGGTCGCAATGGTTTTCAGCATGGCGTCTCATGTAGAGCATACTCACAGATAAGGCGTATAGGGTCCTAAGTCATCTCTTGCTATAAATAAGCCTAAATGAAGAGAGTGGTGCGAAGGAAATACCGTAACTACCTCAGTCAATAAATTTAAAGCTATCCACATACCAAAGACTCATAAGTCAAGCACCACAGTATGTCAAATCGTGCAAAAATCTCTATACAAGCCGGAAATATTCTATTAACATACTGACCTCTTTCAGCATATAAACTCAAGGCTACTTAAGTGCAATATGAGATTAAATAGACCTTCAAGTCAGGATGTACGTGTTAGGTCTTCATTTCTTCCGGCCTGTTTCGCTATAATGTAGAGGGGGAGAATGACAGAGTTCCTTTCAACCTTTCAGGAGCTTCACGCGAGCTATAATCACTATGAAGACCTAAGTGATAAAGAAATATCTTTACTAAAGGACAGTCGTGCAACCGCCCGCTTTTACTCGAGTCAACCCCCATAGTACCCACATTCTCAAGTCTTCAAGTCGAATTGATGGTAATTTATAGGAATAAGAAACAAAAATCCATATGTATGATCCTAGAACCTACCTATGTGATTAAGACAGTATAGACAATTGGTCAATATAAACCACCTATGGAAGTTTAGCTTTCTTGAATGAGGTTTAAGTCACCGTGCTTGAGTCGTATCATTGACTACGTCAGACCCAAGGCGATGATGCAAGTAAAGTGAATATAATATATTAGAAGCAGTGAAACTGTGACAATAAGCTCAGCTGGCGCTTGTATTCATGATGGCAGGGTAACATTAAGCAAGGCTTAACACATCAATGTAGAGCGACCGGCCTTTAACAGAATGTTAGCAATGCCTAGTCTGGCGCAAAAGAAGTGAGATATAAGCAATCTGACTTCTCACATGTCCATCATACTTCTAGGCAGTAAGAATAGTATGTATGTTTCCTTTAGGAAGATTAATGTTGAACCATCTCGGATCGTGCATATAAATATCGAGGCACGAGACATATCGAAGCCACAACATATGCAGGTATGTAATAATAGGAACCATTAATGCTCGATGGCTGCATGAATTCAAGAGCAATAAACGGAATTAACCTGCGCTGTCCCGAGGCCGAACGATTTAGGAAATGTACACGGCAGAAGTATTTAATTTGTAACTCCGGGGGCCAGCGGTAGTTGACTCTAGCGAGAAGAAATACCCTTGTGCAACTTACCCCTTTTGTATTTCAAAAGTACCTCCTATCTCTTGAAGGAGTTCAAAATCTTCCCCTTTTATCTCGCCTTTTCGGGGCCAATCCTACCATACGAACACATACGAACAGATCGGCAGTAAGGGGATAATAATAACCTAGCGCGATCGCGCTTGGCTTTTTGTCCTTCTCCAATGACGCACGTTAAAATCTCTTTGATCGACTAGAAACCACAGGGATGTTGACAGACATTCTCCATATTACTTGCAACCTTGCACGAGTTAGTCAGGTCCATAATGGTTCAATAGTGGTTCATAATGGTCCTTGTAAAGAACAATCCCATAGGGGAACTAAGAATGTCTTATCACGTTTCGACAAAGCCTGGTTATCACGTTAGTTTAAGTCAATTTAGGATATTTATTCTTTAAAAACTCAGGGACCTCCTCTTAGGTATTCAATTTTAGAAGGTACCTTTCCCACGTTAAGAAGACTTCGTAAAATCAACTTCTTCCCATCTACGTTAACTCGACTTAATTAATAACTTAATTACCTTATAGACTCAACTTTACCTAGTCTATTTACCTTATAGTCGTTAGAATGCGTATTTCTTCCCTCTTAACAACGGTAGCCGGCGCTACTTCTGCGTCCGCGGCTGTGATGCAAATTGCTGCCACCGCCGCACCCTGGAGATGGACTGTAACAGGATGGAGTGCTGGTTGCGCGAGAGAATGTCATTATGGTAAAGACCCCTGTTGCCCTCGATAACCTTATATTCCTTACTTACTCGTTTGTTTAGACTTCAACGTGACCGGCACCGCAAGTTCTTCGTCGAGGCCAGCAAGACCTTCGTTTAAGGCGTACTGTAGCGGAGAAGGCGAGGGTGCCAACTATAGGGCCTGCACAGCACTCGAGGAAACTGAGACCGACTACCTTGTCCTTGCGAAACTTCTCCCGAGTAACGGTACTGCCAACGGAACATCGCACAAGCCTCAGATCCAAGTGAGCGTAAAGTTCACCGACCTGGATGTCTCATCGACGTGGTGGAACTACACTGGAAAGGCCGTGGCGTCGTACAACCAATTCGTAGCGCCGCTTATGAACTTCACGATCACTCCCGATACCATTTACGGTGTAGCGTAACAGCGGGGAGTTTTAGGGTAGTGCATGGTGATGTGTCAGGTACGACATCTTGGCATACTTGATATCGGGTCATCGACGTGGTCCAGGAAGCAAACACTTGTGTCGCGAACGTGAACGATTCATTGGCGATAACGGCGGATAACCTATTGACCGAGATGATCTCGATGGTCGGTCGCGAATCACCCTCGCATAGTGGTCCGGTTTATTCAGTTTCCTATGCTAAAATGAGTCAAGAAATACGCCCTTAATAGAACTCAACTACCCGAACCTGAACGTTGGATCAAACCCACATATGCCTTACTAAAAGGATCATCTTGAACGTCGATCACAAGATGAGATTGGGGAGGGACCATCAATTGGTGATCTATACTTAGCCCTTTCGGCTTGTATGTCTCGCGAGAGTGAGGTCATACTCCTAGACTATAGTTATTCTTATACATAGGTTAGACAAGACGTATGTTGATTGCCTATGTCATGATAACTTGATTGACTAGACATATCAACTTATAATACTAATCATTAATAATTATAAAACCTTATGTTCTTCAAATAACTAGCCAGTTTTACGTAAAGGCATTTGTGCAATGGTCTGTCTTTGTAATTTCCGGACATACCGAGTCCTAGATTGAATGTAATTGTTTCGTTGGGCATATAACATTGCAATGATGATACCTCAGTTAGGCAGCCTGATAAAAATTCACAAAGCCTTAAAAATTGAATGCTGCCTTAAATGTGACCCATGGACAATCGCCTTTACGTAATCTTACTTACGTTAAACGTTACGCAAGTGACTGTGGCGGTGGCTTTGCCAAGGATGCCAAGTCTAAGGAACATGAAATTACATCAGTGTGTACCAGTCGGCGTTTTTCCCCTCCCCCACCGAACTTCCATCTATACGCAGCTTTAGCCCGCGTTTCCAAGCTTTCCACTCAACTCCCATCCTAACAATTTACATCTAAGAGGTAGCCTAACTTCAGAAACATAATTTGAGCCTCTGGGAGGTCCTCGGTTATTATCTATAGCTGCCTACCTTACCAACCTTACCAACCTTCGAACTAAGAGCTCCTAACCGACTTATTCGAAATTACATATTCATATATTAGAACCCCCTTAAAGTCAACGCTTCACCATCGTGTTCTGTCGATAAATCTTCTAGTCCAATCAACAGCAATTTTCGCTAGCCTTTGAAGATCAGTTCTATTAGTCATGAACGTTCTTAAGCTTCAGAGGTAAACCATCACACACAATAATCCCTACTTTAGAGCTTGCGAAACTGACGGTGGCTAGGAAATTTCCTCAATTTGAACAAGGCGACATATTCGGCCTTACCGATGCCTTCCGCAGGCTAGACGTCGACGATAAGGGCTATATTGACGAGGCTACCGCTATCAAGGCCACCCAGCAAAGCGAACGACAGCCTTACGATGTCGTTAGACAGGCTTTAAGAGAAGTTGAGCTCGACGCTTCCCGAAGAGTTGAACTCGAAGACTATGTCGGCGTAAGTCACACTCGGTTACACGGACGATTCTAAGCCTCCAGTTCTAATATGTATATATCTAGTTAATCGCTAAACTACGCGAATCCTCCCCTGCGCAACGGCGTATGAACACTGGGGGTGCTGCGCCGGTTGCTCCTGCTGGCATTGTATCTCAAAGAACAGGCGGACAAGGGCATTCCTCCAAAGGAAGCATCGGCAAGATTCACGTTCAAGGCTCCAGTGCTAATGTCACTCATACCATCAACGAAGATGAACGAACCGAATTTACCCGCCACATCAATGCTGTCTTAGCCGGCGACCCTGACATAGGGAGTCGATTGCCCTTCCCGACCGACACTTTTGAGATGTTCGACGAGTGCAAAGACGGTTTGGTGCTGGCCAAGCTTATCAATGACAGCGTTCCCGACACCATCGACGAGCGTGTACTAAATGTCCCTGGTAGGAAGGTCAAAAAGTTGAACACGTTCCATATGACAGAGAACAACAATATTGTCATAGAGTCTGCGAAAGGTATCGGCTGCTCAGTCGTCAATATTGGTAGCGGTGATATCATCGAAGTTCGAGAACATCTCATTCTAGGTCTAATCTGGCAGGTTATCCGGAGAGGTCTCTTAGGCAAGATTGATATTAAACTTCACCCTGAGCTCTATAGACTGCTTGAAGAAGACGAGACGCTGGAGCAGTTTCTACGCTTACCTCCCGAGCAAATCCTCCTACGATGGTTCAACTATCATCTTAACGCAGCTGGCTGGCATCGCCGAGTTAACAATTTCTCGAGCGACGTAAAGGATGGAGAGAACTATGCAGTTCTTCTGGCGCAAATTGGAAAAGATTGCGGTTGTAGCAGAGCTCCTCTTCAAACGCGTGATCTATTACAACGAGCAGAGGAGGTACTAGTCGACGCCGACAAGCTGAGATGCAGAAAGTTCTTGACACCGAGCTCCCTCGTAGCAGGAAACCCTAAGCTCAACCTAGCTTTTGTTGCCAATTTGTTCAACACTCATCCCGCCCTAGACCCGATTACCGAGGAAGAAAAGCAGCAGGTGGAAGACTTTGATGCCGAAGGTGAACGAGAAGCCAGAGTATTCACATTGTGGTTGAACAGTCTAGATGTGCAACCCGCTGTGGTCTCCTTCTTCGATGACCTTTGTGACGGCACCGTTCTACTTCAGGCCTACGACAAGGTTATCAAGGGCTCGGTGAATTGGAGACATGTGAACAAGAGGGCGGCAAGCGGCGCCGAGTTGATGAGGTTCAAAGCCGTCGAGAACACTAATTACGCCGTTGAACTCGGCAAGCAGAATGGCTTCTCGCTAGTTGGTATTCAAGGAGCGGACATCACAGATGGAAATAAAATGCTCACACTGGGCCTTGTCTGGCAACTCATGCGAAAGGATATTACTCTTACACTTTCGGCTCTAGCGCAACGTCTTGGGAAACGGGAGATGACCGATGCAGAGATGGTAAGATGGGCGAATGACATGTCCCGAAAAGGCGGCCGGAATTCAGCAGTTCGGTCATTCAAAGACCCCGCTATTGGCAGTGGTATCTTCTTCTTAGACGTTCTAAACGGTATGAAGAGCAGTTATGTTGACTACGATCTTGTCACACCCGGACGAACCGATGAAGAAGCATACTTAAATGCTAAGCTTAGCATTAGCATTGCCAGAAAGATGGGAGCAACAATCTGGCTAGTCCCCGAAGACATCTGCCAGGTCCGGAGCAGATTGGTTACTACTTTCATTGGTAAGACTACCCAGTTTATAAACCTTTTAAGTGTAGTAGCAGTGACTAACTAATAATTACAGGCTCACTTATGGCGACTCACGAGAAGATGCAGTAGATTGAGGCTTTTTAATTCTCCTGCGAAAGAAGTGTGCAAGGGGCCTAGGTTACTTCGGATACAAAAAGTTGGAGGATTTGACGACGATATGTGTTAGTTAGCTTATTGAATGGCTTGTTAGCCTTGCCTAAATTCCGAATACAGTTTTCACCCAATTATCTCGTATCAACCAGAAAAATGAATATATCGCATTATGAGTGATTTCTTTCGGGATTCGGAATTGGTAAGCTTGAGAAGAAGGTACCTATAATAAGTCACTAGTTCGTAGGACTTTGAAGGAGGAGGAGGGCACATGCACATTCTTACGTTAGATTAATTTATAGTTGTTACACCTTTTCCAGGAGGCAGGTAATGATGTAGCGCAAGATGTACCTAAGGTATGTAGTGTAACATTGTAACATTGTAACGGTGCAACAACACCCCGCCATTTTGTCCATAAGAACTCATCGGTATGGGAAGATTTACAATCTCATTACGTCGAATGTTCACGATTCCTATTATCCGATGCTCTTTCAGCCTTGTTCTCCCTTTCCCTTTAAGAATGGAGGAATGAAGATAAAGACTCCATTTTTATGTCGAATTCCCGCAATAATTGTTGACAACTGAGCCTTCTCCATTATCTTATATGGAACCGCATCTTGTAGAAAATATTATACCTCGGCGTATTAAAGGATCAATCTGGAAGAGTGAGATCGACACCGAACGGCAGCGACCGTACCAATTTCAATGTCATCAGACTCCAACCGGGTTCGACGGAATCTTTCGTTGCTCAAATCTTAGTGGATTCGTCCGGTTGTACCGGCCGTGCTTTAAGCTAGGTGGCGATTCTCGATACGATTGATCCGAGCGTACGAGATAATGGGAATCTAACCTATCTAACCTTATAAATAAATCATCTCACTCCGAGCTTCAATTGATACCTAATATAAAATCTGTCAATTTCTTTCAGCCTCCCACCTATCAGCGTACTCCTCCTATTGGCTGTGTTGGGTTATTAAGGCTTATGGTCGATTGATATTAGTCAACTCCATTTCGTCATTAAAAAAAGGAGGCTAGATATTGTGGTTCAATCCCATTGCCTTCTTTCAAATATGTCCACTGAAGAGCTACATGCGACTTCACAGAGCCGGGATCATCTTGCAACGGATACAGATATCCATAGCGTACATTCAAGGCGCGAGACACAGCATCCAGTTGCCTTAGCCGAGGCACTAAAAGCTGTACATCGCATCCCAGATACCCCATCAGATAGTAACAGCGATTCGGGCATTGAAGCTACGGACACACATCCACAATCAGTGTTATTACGACGCAAACCAGAATCTGATTCCTATGATAATTCAGCCTCGGAAACTCCTGAAATCTTACACTTAGAGAGCCCAGGACTAAAGGACAAGTCGAGTTCTGAACAGCTTCTTCATGGCTTACCTAAATATACTTCTACAAGCAAGGGGAAGAAAGCCTACGTGGTAGCCAGCGACGATGCGGAACTTCGTGAGATATTAAGACGGGGTTTAGAAAGAGCAAGTCGACACATTTCCAGTACTAATACACTTTGCTTATGAACAGCACTAACATTGGATAGTTACAGGAGAAAGAAAAGGAATTGCCGGGACGACGCGAAAAGCTACGAGATATGGTCTTCACGAGGCAATTCTCGGCCTTCGACAGGCAAAATCAGGATGCAGCAAACAGCCCGTTTCATGGCTTTTATGTTCTCTTCTGGATTTCAGTATTTTTCTTGATAGTGAAGATGGCTGCTGATAACTGGAGGAAGACCGGGAACCCCCTCGGTACCAATGAGATTATGAAGGCCATGTTTAAAAGAGATGGTGAGTTAGCTTTGATCCTTGATACTTCGGAATATAAAACGATTGAATACCTAACTAACCAATATAGTTATCGTACTTTTATTCTCCGACGGCATCATGTGTGCTCTGACGGGAGTGAGCTGGGTAATCCAACGCCTAGTCTTCCTCGACTATATTGATTGGAAAAGGTCTGGTTGGATATTGCAAAACGTAAGTTCTTGTTGCGGCTTTTACAAATGAACTTCCTCTAACCCATAGTCCTCTAGATCTGGCAAACCCTGTTTATCGCGAGTGCGGTTGGCCTGACTCTTGTGAGAGATTGGCCTTGGACACGTAAGTAAGCTTCCTACTCAGGATGGAGCGCATATACTAATTATTTTTATTACTAAAGATACCGTATTCTTTGTTCTTCATGGTCTTGTCATGTTGATGAAACAACATTCATATGCGTTCTATAATGGTCACCTTTCATCCCTTTACAAGAAACGACAGGTTGGTGCTTATAATCTAATATTCGTCTAAGTGATCCAGCAAGAATGACCAAGCTACTAACTCCTCGATTTATTTAGAGTCTACTCCTTAAATTGAAACAGCTGGAGAATATATCACCCGTGACATCGCCTTCGCAAACGAGGCCAAGAGTTTCAGCTCTCTCTACATCGCATCTCGCTCATCCACCATCGGCGGATGAGTACCGTGAGAGGCGGGTTTCGTTATCAAAGACTGGATCTACTGACCAGAATAATATGGAGAGCATCTCCTGCGCTATTGAAGCGGCAGAGCCGCTCGACATAGAGCAGATTCATGTGTTCGAAAGACTCATTAAGTGGGAAGTTGACGCTCTCGCAGACGAACTCAGGGGCAAAGCGAAGCATCCTACACATTATTATCCAAATAACCTTACCTTCTTAAACCACTACGAATATATCGTATTACCCACTGTCGTTTACGAATTGCAGTACCCCAGGTCCGAGAGGATCAACTGGTATTACGTGGCTGAAAAAACTTGTGCTCTTTTCGGTGTCATATTCGTCATGATCATGATTTCTCAAGCGTTTATTTATCCTGTTGTAATGAGAACGATCCATATGAAGGAAATTGGCTTGACAACTACGCAAAGATTCCGCGAATTTCCATGGATACTGAGCGACCTTGCCTTTCCCTTCATGATGGAGTATATGGTAAGTCCTATGGCTATGGTTGACTTTATATTACCTTGTTGTGCTTCCGCTGACTCTTTGCTATTAGTTAGCTTGGTATCTCATCTGGGAGACGGTTCTTAACATCCTTGCAGAACTCACGTTTTTTGCGGACCGAAGCTTCTACGATACATGGTGGAACAGTGGTATGTTGCCATTTATTCTTCATTCGGTTATAATTAGTATATATCTGTAATACTAACATGGAAATAGTCTCATGGGATCAGTATGCTCGCGACTGGAACCGACCGGTCCACAACTTTCTCTTGCGACACGTGTATCACAGCTCGATATCATCTATGCGTGTAAATAAACACACTGCGACGCTCATTACCTTCTTCCTCTCGGCTTGCGTTCACGAGCTCGTCATGTGGTGTATCTTCAAGAAACTACGCGGGTACCTGCTCATCCTCCAGATGTCCCAGCTCCCGCTTGTGCGGCTCAGCCGGACAAAGTGGCTTCGCGGCCAGCCAACAGTTGGAAATATCATATTCTGGGTTGGTATTTTTACAGGACCGAGTTTGCTATGTAGTTTGTATCTGATTCTTTGAATGAATGATTGGGTGCTTGGCGCTTTGGGGGATATGGGTAGAGGAGAGAGGCAAACAAGCGAATGGGAGGGTGAGCTGTTCTGAAGAGGAATTTTAGGGCTTTTGGAGTTTAGAGCGTTACATACCAAAGACAGCGTGTTGGATCGAGGTCACGATTATGGTAAAGTAGGTGATAAATAGTGTGTAAAACATTGGTTATCTTGTAAATTACTAGAGTTCTATTGTAACTGATATTTCAATATTTGCCTTGTACTGCTTGTATTATTCAATGATTAACTAGTAGATCATTCACTAGTCCCAACTTGCAAATGACATTTATGGTGGACCAACCGGAAGCTCTCCAAAAAGTAGCTAACCTAGTCACTTGGGTTTAATGATGGGAGGTATTGCAGGGCGAACACTAAGTTTGACCTATAGGAGAGATATCGAGAGACCCCAGCTTTCATGTCTGCATGCATACGACCATTTGTGGTCTTATATTCTATAGTCCCATGCAGCTCTTATGCAACACACGGCAAGTTTTGCAATTTTGGTGGTAAGAATACGCCACAGATCATTCCTGACCAGATGGTAAGCAATGTGTTCATTGTGTTACAAGTTTGTTGGAAGAACAGCGTGGTCAACGTGGGCTACGTAAGAGTAAACCGAATCTACGTATGATGAGCAACACCATGCAATGTAGATGCAGTGGTAGACGCAGTAGTGTTCCTCAATCTGGGTGCTTGCTTTAAACCGGCTTGGTGGTTTGGATAATTCGTAGCCAATCGAACCTGTAAATATACCTAATGTTTCGCAGCAAATAGAAACAAAAGTTGGGATTAGAAGATGAGATGCATGTAAATACCCATCTGGAGGTAACTGCGAGTTGGGTGGTGTTCTTTCAATGTGATACGAACTTAAACAGTAAGAACGTTCACGGAAGTACTTACCGTACAATTTCATTGACAGGTAGCAAATTACGTCATTGTATCACTAGGTATGTACACTAGGGTAGGTATGTACAGTATGCATTTCTCCATTTTCTCCACACTGTGGTCAAAGCATACCTAACAAGCTGTTCTTCCGAGAATGATCCGTCTCCTTTGAAAAACAAATTTTATTTGTCGGCCAACCACTAACAACCTCAACTATCTGACGAACTCCATTCATCACAGGGTTGCTGGGGAGCTACTTCAACACCCCCCAACACGCGATATTTCTTCAAATCAAATTTCTACCTTCTACCATCAAGGTTGATTTTTTATCTCTACACATCTAATCCTCTCCAGAGCTTCTCTCAGTTTTCTTTCTCGTTAATTATTTACTCTTCATCAAGCCTTTATAATGTCTCGAGGAGGTACTACTCTCTACGTGACTGGCTTTAGCCATGGCACGCGTGCTCGCGACCTCGCCTACGAATTCGAACGGTATGTCCCATTATCCTCGTCGGTGAATCGATCGACCGTCCTACGGATGCGGTGTCCGATGTCACCTGCCTTCTCCTCGTCCTCACCCCGACCTCGCTTCGTCGTTCTCGGCTTCGTTCGAGTCCTCGATTCGTCTTCTTAACCTACGCTTCTACCCTCCGTGTCCATCTCAGCCTCCCATCTCCCTCGATCGAGCGGTCGTATAGCATCATCTTGAGATGCATCGTTCCACGTCTCTTGACCATCGCGATGGGATTTCGAAGCTTCATGCAATCGATGCAAATCATTAATCATTTTGGGAAAGTCTTCACTTTGTTGCGGGGATTGCTGACATCAAATCTATCTAGCTATGGCCGTCTTGTCCGTTGTGACATTCCAGCCCCTAGATCTGCTAGCAGCAGATTGTAAGTTGAGCTCCTAATTGGTAATTGTCGCATGACCTAATCCGGAATAACAGGTTCGCCTTTGTGGAGTATGAGGATCGTCGTGACGCTGATGATGCGTATCACGAGATGCATAATAAGCGTATCGGCCGTGATGATCTTCTAAAGATTGAGGTAAGCTATCCTTACGGCTATGGCCCAATTCCTTTAGACGCGGTCAGCTAACGAGTATATAGTGGGCCCGCACTCCTCCGTCCGCATCTTGGCGTTTCGACAGTGGTCGTGACCGCGACAGCAGACGTGACCGTGGAGGCCGATCTCCTCGTCGCGGCCGTTCGCCTTCCCCTCGCCGCAGCACACGCGACTATTCTCCCAGGAAGGACGACCGCCGTGACCGAGACCGTGATCGCGACTATGATCGTGAACGCCGTGATACCCGCGACCGTTCTCGTTCCCCGGATCCTCGGTACAAATCCCCGTCTAGCTCACCTAAGGTCCCTGCGAAGTCGGAGCTTACACCCTTACCTAGTGACCGCGATCGTGATGACCGAGACGACCGCGACCGCCGTGATAACGGCACAAACGGTGATGATCGTAAAGGTATTTCATGACCGCACCTGTAAGAAACTTATAGCTAACATTGAATCTAGCTGTCGACAGTCCTCCTCCTCAACACGACGACTTGGACGTTGCGGAGTGATAAGTATACCTGGTCATCTTACCTCTTCAGCAGTGGGTTGCATCTGCAACGTGTGAAATAAAAACTCTCCTTTGTTGCACGGGTGTTTGGCTTTGCGTTTTTACACTGGCTTTCGCTCATATTCTAGTTCCGATTCAATCGACTGGCCCATGATCCTGTGTACAACTGGCGGAGAGGCTGAATTCCGAGATGATGCATTTGATACTACCGAGAAGATTTAGGTTCCCTCGAGAGGAGCGATAATCGTATGGTCAAGGCAGTTGTTAGGTAGCAAAGGATGCGCCTAGAGGGACGTGTTCCTAATCAATTAGTTTAGAGCAAATTCACTTATTTCCTGTGCATCATTAGTGAAAAATGAGTTTCGTTAATTTTTACAGATTTGTGTTGTTAATGGTAATCTACGTATGTTGGAAGGTCATCAGACTTTGTTCCAGCAGTTTTGCAGGTCAATTGGCCGTGTTTGATGCTAGAAGAATTAGATACTTTGAGAGAACATGCTTCTATCACGACAAATGATTATAATAAAAAATGATTGCTTTTAATTTTGTCCACCTAATGTATACGGGATAGCTGTGGTAGAGTTGAGTTTCATCAATCAGAAAGAAGCTTTCAATATTCGTACCTGTGATATTTACCTAATGCACGCTATTTAAGGAGTTCATTAATTTGAACGTTGCTTCGTGTTATAGGTAGATGTCGGGGAACAATAGCCAACCAAGTGATGAGTATTTAGATGAAGATCCTATGGATTTTAGTTCTTCGACATGGAATGGCTACGGGCTGCATCTTGGTTATGCCGAGTCACGTCATATATGATACAGTGTAGTATCCCGCGCAGAAAATCTCCAAAGCTGGCATGGACTTGATTGATACGTAGGTATGTATTGGATTGTCTTCGGCTTTATCTAGGCTTTGTGGGGAAGCCCTCTCGAGGTACAAACAAAGGAAGGGAACGGGAAGAAAGGGGGCTCACTTTAGTATGTCTGTAATATACAGAACTAATGCACGAAGCATCCAAGTTAATGCCAGTACCCTTTTTGAAAAAAAAAAAAAAAAAAAAAAAATCAATTTGTATTCTGTACCTACTGCTCCTTTCTGAATACTCCTCTTTTTCTTTACCGCTCCTCTATAATAAATACCTATTAGGTACATCTTAGCACGTATGTAGATCAGACAGCCTTATTATGCTCTAAGTCTTGAGAATATTTTTACGTACCTAGCACATTTTTACTCAAGTGAGATACCTACTATTTTTAAACATGTACCTAGATTCGAATAAATGATAAATATCGAAATATCTATAGGTAACAAATGACAACTTATAGGTCACTTAACTCATAGGTCACTTGAAGCTTAGTAGTTAGGTAATCTCAGGTGAGCCCGGCGGGTGACCGGCTCCCCCCCTAAAACTAATTTTCTCAAAGCTCCGACTAGCCGATTTTATTACTTTTGAACCTATCGAACCTATTATAAGGTCCCATCTTACCTTAAAACTTATGCATCTACGTACTCTACCTACCTACCTAGGTAGTAGCTACGTTCTACCATTCATCCCTCATAGCTAAATTTTCTAGCTCTATTCTTATTTTTCACTTCTCCTCTCTTTTGGTCCTCTTTTAAACCTCACTCTTCAAGTAACACGTTGCATACTCATATTTAGCCCACTCCCCTTTATAAAGTAATATCAAACTTGAGCATATATCTAGGAGGCAAACGATCATGAGTACTCTATGTACTTTGGTCAATTCGATGATCTGACCCGACGATACGTACAGCGATATCCTTGCGCAAAGCGAAGGGTACTTCGAAATTCCGCGCAGTTACCAACGTTACCTATGCCCGCGATAGCCCGTCCTACAAGCTCGACTATGTCGCCCGAATCGTCAAGAGCCTTTCGATAAAACTTGCATTGTTGTTGGTGTAGTCGTGTTCAAAGACTACCTAGGTATCTTTAGTTCCCGGTATACATGCCCAAGCATCAGCTGCGCGCAAACTTTTCGGCCTCCTACCTCAGCCCCGTGCGAACCCTCCGCCGCCTGTCTCTCGTTATTACGTCGCTCGACTTCTCCCGCGTTCGTTTGGTCGAAGTTCCAACATGGTCGCTGTACGTCTATCTTACTTTTACAACGACCCACCTTTGCGCTGGGATGAGTCTCATCCGGTAGCTGACTCAAATCCTCTAGAGCTCGGAAGATATCAAGGCCAATGATGCCAGAGAGAACAGAAACTCCCAATTTAAGGACTTCTTCTCTCAACCGGTGACCGCTGCTTTCTGCGCCGGTGGTGTTGCTGGTGCCGTATCGCGAACCGTCGTATCTCCTCTCGAGCGCCTGAAGATCCTCTTTCAGGTGCAAAGCGCCGGCCACAATGAATACAAGCTATCGGTAGGCAAGGCGCTTGCTAAGATGTGGAAGGAAGAGGGCTGGAGAGGTTTTATGGCTGGTAACGGAACCAATTGCGTTCGCATCGTCCCTTATTCCGCAGTGCAATTCGGCAGCTATAACCTTTACAAAAGGGTACGTTAGCTACCAGAGCAAATTGGTTTATTACAACCCAGTCGAGGCTTCATACATCAAAACAATTGTAGGATAGTCTGGCTAACACTTGCTATAGCACTTCTTCGAGAAGTACCCAAACGCTCCTTTAGCTCCTCTCGAGAGGCTTGTGTGTGGCGGCATAGCGGGCATCACCTCAGTTTTCTTTACATATCCGCTCGATATCGTACGGACTCGATTATCAATCCAATCGGCGTCGTTTGCCGCGCTCAGCAATACCCCAAAAGACAAGCTCCCGGGTATGTGGTCTACAATGGCTGTGATGTATAAGCAAGAAGGCGGCGTGGCTGCTTTATACCGCGGTATAATACCTACAGTCGCAGGAGTAGCGCCATATGTAAGTTTTAATATGCGTCTTACAGGTGTGATCTGTTCAATATGGCACGATAAGACTAATGGTTTCTTAGGTAGGGCTGAATTTCATGACATATGAATTCGTCCGCAAGTATCTAACACCCGAGGGTGATGAAAACCCCAGCGCAGCACGGAAGCTGCTGGCCGGCGCCGTATCAGGCGCCGTTGCTCAAACATGCACTTATCCATTGTGAGTATGTCTTCCATCTTTCGAGTTCTGGTTGTCTAACATGTGCATAGTGATGTCTTGCGGCGAAGATTTCAAATCAACACCATGTCTGGAATGGGCTACAAATACAAGTCGATAGGAGACGCTGTTAGGGTAATAATATCCCAGGAAGGACCAAAGGGCCTATATAAGGGTCTCATTCCAAACTTACTCAAGGTCGCCCCTAGTATGGCCGCCAACTGGCTTAGCTTTGAAGTCACTCGAGACTTTTTGGTCGGCTTAAAGCCAGAACCAGCGGATCTATAACCGAGAAGACGCATGGCAGTAGCCGATTCCTTTCACCCGTACTGGATTATATCCAGGTTGTACTTGACTACTTCCAGATGTGCACCATTTATGCGTGCGGGATTTCTAGTGGGATGCCATTGATGCACCACGGTAAAGAAGAGCTGCAGCATGCAGGTCAGTGGACCGGACGCGTTAAACAGGGAAAGGTAGATAAACAGATATAGAGAGCACAAAGACCCCGTTTAGTTAGTAGAGAAGGCTATGAACTCTGACAGGATAGACCCCGAGCAGCCTCATGTTGTATATGTATTAAAAAAATAATTACCTATAGGAGGAAAGCGAGATGAGCCTCTTTTGAAGACATAGCTTTAGGGTGATAGTTTCATAGAAGAAATAAAATTCTGGAATTAATTAGAAACTGGTCTTGTGTTATGATCTCACTGTCGTGGAATACCTACATGTAGGTATGAAGAATACAATAGTTACCTCTTGAGGTATCTTAGGTAAGGATCTCAGTGCATCTGAGCTGATAAGATTTGTATTTCTTATCAAGAACCTTCATAAAATAAATATTTCATGATAACACTGTTTAACTACATAATGCTGGCTATTAGCTAGGTACGTACCTCTTTGGCTCGTATCCATACTCCCCTACCAACCCTAACTGCCGCTCGTTACCGCCCACCCACACAATCCACTCCATCTTTGCGATTTCGAACTTTTCTGCGGCCCACCTGAAATTATTTCCCTTCTTCAGTCACTACTAACCCACAGCACCACAGCTTTTTTCTTCCCCATCGACTCTCTTTTCAATTACAAAAGAGTCACCGTCAAGATGGGTACGTTAAATATTTATTTGGAGATCTCTATGCGAGTGGGAGTGTGAGAGATTGGTTACAGCATTGTGCCCTTCTCTCATACTTTCTGCGAACAAACGGGAAATCATCCTCTGGGATGCACCCAATAGAGCATATTTGAACCCAAAAGCTGACGATGGCTTTTTTTTCTCTAAATAGGTATTGATCTCGACCGCCACCACGTGCGCAGCACCCACCGAAAGGCGCCCAAGAGCGACAATGTCTACCTTAAGCTCTTGGTGAAGCTGTACCGCTTCCTAGCCCGTAAGTTATCTCTTCCAATTCTTAATAACTTTTGCAATGAACTACCAATGCATCTTAATTTCTGCAATTACGAGACTGACATTATTCGATCATATAGGCCGAACGGACTCGGACTTCAACAAGGTCGTCCTTCGCCGCCTTTTCATGTCCCGCATCAACCGACCCCCCGTCTCCCTTTCTCGCGTCAAGAGCCAGATCCCTAAGGAAGATGAGGGCAAGATCGTCGTTGTTGTTGGCACCGTCACCGACGACAACCGTCTCCTCACGGTCCCCAAGGTTTCCATCGCCGCTCTGCGATTTACCGCCACTGCCCGTGCCCGCATTCTTGCCGCCGGTGGTGAGGCATTGACCCTCGACCAGCTGGCTCTCCGTGCCCCTACCGGCAGCAACACCCTGCTGCTCCGCGGCCCCAAGAACGCCCGTGAGGCAGTTAAGCATTTCGGCTTCGGCCCCCACAAGCACAAGGTAGGTGGCCTAGATTTAATCATAATCATTTTTAGCATGCTCACAAATTTTACAGAAGCCGTACCTCGAGTCCAAGGGCCGCAAGTTCGAGAAGGCCCGTGGTCGCAGACGGTCAAGGGGTTTCAAGGTCTAAGAAAAAATTGGTGTGGGTTAGGTCTTGTGTTGCGTCTCTTCCGATATACCATGAATACAGTTCTCAACTGGAAGAGGGTTACGCTACTTCAAGAGTGGTTTATGCATGGCTCGGCGTGATACGGGATTTCAGAATCAATTCATACAGAATTGAGATGCTTTGCCACTTTTCTGATAACAATCGTACGCTTTTTCTAACCAATTATTGTGACTGACGAATCCATGATATTTTAATGAGACTAAAACATTGCTACTGCGGAGAATATTATTAAATATCGAGTAACTGCGTAGATTCCAGAGCATTATATTCTCATTATGTTCACAGAATGCTTAAAAAAACAATCATGGGGAATTGTGAAAGACAGGCATCACCTGACCGCGTGTTCGAGGCGTGATGCTAATAATTCGATATCTTCATACTGTGTTTCGTCATAGTCAATTCCAACCTACTTCTTACTATACACATTAAAAGTTAATATCAATCTAATACTTCATCATCTTTATTTATCTTAATTAAAGTGTCGGCTAATATTAGTTCCTTGATCTTCCTTTTGAAGCGCTTCAGGTGTATGAAATGTGTGGGCGCTATTCACTGGTATTGGTATGGCAATAACCTCATTTTATACTTGTTTTAATACTAGACACTAATTGCAACCAACAACGTAGAGGCCAGCACAGATTCGCGAGCTATTTCAACATGATGGTATGCCCGTGGATGATGCGCCAGATGATGAAGATGATGCAGCGCCAAGGCAAAGTTACAATTTTGCCCCCGGCTACCATGGCGTCGTTTACCGCGCCGATGTACCAGATTGGGGTGCCGGTTCTCGAAGGCAGCATGCCAATGCCTCTGATGAGGCCGTAAGAGAGCAGCATACCGAAGTTGGGGATAATGACATTGTTTCAAGCCCCAAGACTATTAGCTATAAGTTACAAAGCATGAAATGGGGATTGATCCCTTTCTGGACCAAGCGCAATCCGGATTATGGTTCCATGATGAAGACAATCAACTGCCGAGACGATTCTCTCGCACAAAGCGGTGGTATGTGGAGCACAATGAAAGCTCGAAAGCGATGTATAGTTGTTGCGGAAGGCTTCTACGAATGGCTGAAGAAGGATGGTAGTAAAGACAAGATTCCGCATTTTGTTAAGCGGAAGGACGGTAAGCTAATGTGTTTCGCTGGGTTATGGGATGTGGTGCAATACGAAAGTGAGTGTTCAAGTTTGTAATAATAGAATAAATGGCGCTAACTGGTATTTAGATAACGAGCAGAAGCTTTACACCTATACAATCATCACTACAGATTCAAACAAGCAACTCAACTTCCTTCATGACCGCATGCCGGTTATTCTAGATAATGGGTCTCAAGATATCCGAACCTGGTTAGATCCTAAGCGGTCCGAGTGGTCGAAAGAGCTGCAGGCTCTGTTGAAACCTTTCGAAGGAGAGTTAGAAGTCTATCCCGTTAGCAAGGACGTGGGTAAAGTTAGTAACAACTCACCTAACTTTGTCATACCTATCGACAGCAAGGAGAATAAGTCTAATATCGCGAACTTCTTCGCCAAGGGTGCCGCAAAGAAGAATGCAGCGAAACAGCAGCCACAGGTCACAGTTAAGAAGGAAGAGGGGTTCGTCACCGAAAACTCAACTAAAATAAAAGAGGAAAACCGGCCTACGACTGGCTTCAAAAGAGAAGCTGAAGATGAATCAGCTGGCAGGGAGCCTCCGAAGAAAGTGGCTATGACTATGTCGTCCTAACACCAAATAAGACACCATCGCCACGAAAGGGGGCGAAACAAAAGATTAGCGCCACCAGTAATGGAACCAAGAGCCCGAGTAAGGCGAAACAACCTGGTACGCAAAAGATTACGAAATTCTTTGCGAATAGCTCTTGATAAAGCAGCTTAAGATATTCGAGACTGGCTAGTGGTGGTCTATGTATTAGCGTCATAAACTGGCTTGTGATATACGTCTCAGTGCATCAAACATGCCCTACATTGACGATATACCGGCCGTCAGTGCCTTGGTATGTATCTATATGTGCAAGAATTTCAATTTCAATTACTAGATAAGGGGTACATCAACCGTACGGTGTACAATGATGACAAAACGAGCGTACCTCGCTACGACCTATCCTTAGAGGTACATCGTGCGAAACGACATCCATACTTTCTGCTTCATCTGCGTAAAATCTCTTACGACACCACCACAGCCCCAGAGAGGGTCATATCCAAATACATTTAGCAGGTAAATACGGAGGGGCCGGGTACGGTATATGAGTGGAAGTTGTTGTAGATATTGGCAGTGTCTACATACGAAATAATGTCAGCCACCAAGACATATATTATTTGAAGCATAGGGACAACTTACATCCAGGGTCGGTAGCCTTGAATGCACCGGGGATCTTGACGGTAGGGCTGGGCGAGCCGCTTCCGCCGCCGCTGACCTTGATCTGGCCACAACCGACGTACCATTGCGGGGTGGAGCCGGGGTTGTGGATAGCGAGGGACTGGATTCGGAGGAGATACTCTCCGTTCGCGATACACTTAGGAACCGTGTAAGAGTAGGTGTCTGTTCTAAGATTAGCCGAGTCATCCTGAGCAACAAGCTAAACCTGTTCGTACCCTTCATGGTCCAGCTGGCCTGACCACCATTAAAGACAGGTGCCCAATCGTTGATCTTGAACCAGTCTCCGCTGCCATCGTATTCCGCGGCAGTGCCTGGGGCCTTCGATAAGTATAGGGAGATGGGACCCTGGTGGTAAACAGCCGTGTCAAGCGTGAAGGTGAACGGGTCACCGGCGTTCAACTCGAGAGTGCTAGTGTTACCGCCGGTGGCACCGCCGACGTTGCATCGGAGGTCGGGGAAGACAGGTCTATTGTTATATCTCAGCACAAAGTTACTGCTGAATTTGATGGGAGTTACTAACCGGTAACGGGAGAGTTGTAGTTAGTGTTTCGCCGAACGTACTCGTACGGGACACCCTTGGCAGTTCCCTTCGCCAATGTCTGGTGGAAAATGTAGTGGGCCGACGCGCCCTGAGCAGCCAGAGCGGCGGTGGCGATAAGAGCGACAACGTTCTTCATTATGGTTTAGGAGAGCTGATCCGACTATCTTTTTTTTTTTTCTTTTCTCGAGGCTGAAAGCGTCCGGGGGTGTAAGTAGAGCAGAACAGAGCAGCTGGCGGAGCCTGCTGCGTAGGCGCCCTAGGCCGTCCTTAAAAACGAAAAATCCACACGATCTCCCCCCCTTCGGCAGTTCGCTCGCCCTCCGTCTAGGGCCAACCCCAGATTCTTCGATATGAAGCGGGCCGCGGCTCCAGTGGTCGGCACGGGATAATGGCTAAGCACCTCAGCGAGGCCTGGCCAGGGCGATGGGCCCGTGTCTGGGCTGCAAGCTAGGGGGGCGTCATAGGAGCAAGTCGTTAATAAGATAGATTAAACGACCTGGCGCGAGAGCTTCCATGGTTGGTCGTCGTGGCTTATTCCGGCGCCGAGCAATTTACGCCCTAAATAGGTTGTTTATATGCACGATGTGGTCACGGAAAGCAGTATGGTTCGGCACTGGGACCCCCGGAGAAGCGGATGCGAGATCTGGCTAGCAGGGGTTGTAGTCGATGCTTAATTTTTGGATTGAGTCTTGTGATCTGAACCTACGACTGTGGAAGAAGGGAAAAAGGGGGGAGGGGGTTCTTGATTTTGCCCCTATTTGCTCACACTCTAAGTGGTGACTTACTTGCCTTATATACTTGCCTTATAGGTAATAAGTAAGGGAAGTTGAGATTGGCATTAGGGATTCCATAGGTCAATATTAATCTATCTCTAAGGATAGGACATAATCTGGTTCTATATCTAGATGAGTAGGAACTTCACCTGCGTGATGGTTCATTGATCGTCCTCGGCGTTTAGCATTCCAAATACCAAGACTACACCCCTGGGAGGCTCTATTATACGTCCAGATATCTCCAATCCAATCACTTTCAGAGACAGATATCTTTAAACCGCTCTCACGCTCCTGGCGGGCGGAAGGTATGGATCACATTCTTTTCTGACTCTGCTCTGTGAGCGATATAATACATCCACAGTCAGCTGGGAATTGTCGCAATGCTCAAGGTGTTTGACGAAAGCGTGGGTGGTATCAGTCATCATGACCAAAGGATCGTGAAACTCCGTTCTCGTAATATCGAAGATATGATAACTAATACAGACACCGCAGAAGATGTGGCAAGGTTTTGATGGCACGTATGTATATGAGGAAGGCAGCGTATACTTATATTCCTATGCAGGCCTTAGAAAATATATTGGTATACTTGGCTCCCTATTGCCGAATACCACCAAGATTACACAGATAAGACTAACTAATTGTATTGGGACGTTACTCAAGAAGTGTCTTTACCAATGGTGTTGAGGGTATTCCTAACGCTTCTTTCTAGAAAGTTTCCCAGAATGGAAATTTGTAGAGACGGGGCTCAAACGCCGAGCCTATCTTGTCCAAAGGGAGGACTAGGCCGCTAGGAGCATGCTCGGGATGTCTTGAGCCCATGTGGCCCCCTTTTCTCGGCCTGGTCATCTGTATGTAAACATGCAGCAGCAAGAATGAGCCAGGAATATACCAACAAAGTCAACACATTCTTAGATGAAGTGCAGTCTCGTGACGGTAGCCTCAATCGGCCCTTACAACCGGAGTGAAACTCATGTAGGTTAGTTAGTTCCGGGAGAGTTGGCCGAATCTGGGTGATTTCGGGGCGGAAAAGCGATGGGACATGCTGGGTTCGATGCTTACGAGATTATGAGAAGGATTTTTGGAATCAGAGGCGGAATATAGGCTGAGAAGGGGCAAGTAGTAAACAATAAAATCGCCGATGACAAACCGGGAAAGTATCTCGTCTACGTATATTTATCCAAATCAATATCCAATTAACCTTATACTTGGCTAGGGACGGGTCACTAACCGAACCCCTGTAGACTCGTGGCGCTAAAGACAGAAGAGCCGTGAAGAAGTGAAGAAGTTTGGAACATTATTTGGTGTAGGTACGTACTAACCTAGTACCTGTATTAGAGGTATATAATGTACCTAGGTACTGTACCTACAGCACTTACAAGAACCTTAGATGTCCAAGCTCGAAATTCGGGAGGCGGAGAAGGGAGCGGGGTTTTAAAGGTGAACACTGTGGACTGTGGGGGAATAACCTTAACGGGCTAAGCGGGCCTAATAATCCTCTAATATCCTCTAAAATCAATGGGGCTACGCTGGAATCACGGGCCTAAGCAGCAGAGCAGTTACCTCCAAATGTGGGGGAACCATCAGCCCTTTTCGCATCGAATTACTCCGTAGCGCCGCCAAGACGGGGGGGTTCTACAATGTACATAGCACCTAAATCATCAACTATGTAAAAATCTGCTCAAATTGGGGGAGGGAAGGATAATAACGTTGTAACCGTAAAACTAATAAAACTACCTAATAACCTTCCTTTTTTATCTCCAACTTCACTGGTGCGCCCACTCTAATGCTTGACCCATTCCATGACAATTCCCCGTCATGTTATTGGACCACGGCTACACGTTCCAGATGTTTATTCAGATTGTTCATCTGTCCCTGACAGAAGCTTATCCCGGTCTTGTTTAGCTGCCGTCGATCTCTCATCCCGTTACACATCCGACTTGGCCTACTTGATATTTGTTGAACTTGCTTTATTTCACTTTTCTTGGCCGAGCTAGCTTGGGTACCTTGTTTACTCGAGATTGTGTTTTTCATATCCTTCTCTACCTACCTACCTACGTGTGTACCAAATATACCAAGTAGTACGTATACCAAGTATCCCAATCTCAGGCTCAATGAGTTGTCAAGTCGCGTATCTTCTTTTTCATTTCTTTTTCACTTTACCTCCGTGAATTCAATATCGCCAGGATTATTCCTGGGCGCTTCTGGCTTGCAACCCTAGGCGTTTATCGCCTATTCTAACCAGTCGGCTTGCGTTTCACTCCTCTTCCCGGCTTTGAAATAATATATGAGCCTTCATTATAGGCCGCTGGCATAATCTGTGCTATACCCTTTTCTATACGAACCCTCTCCGGCACCGTCCTCCGTAATCCTGTCGGTGCTTTAGCCAGGTCTTTCGACTTTACCAGCAGTTACAGTATGTTTTGTCTTGCAGATCATGTCCTATCACGTCTTCTTCCCGGAAAACCGGGCGAGCGATTTGTGTCTTGGCTTCACAGATCCCACGACGTGATGCCATTTATTAGTCGCCTCAAATCCTCTTTTCTATAGTTCACTAGCCACGTCTCCCCAGGTCTTGGATGCTTGGCCAGCGACCTCAATATGCCATCCTTCTCACGTATTGCGACTGCTGTTCTAGCAGCCGCTGTCAGTAAGTCCAAGCCATCTACCTCCCTCGACATGTGAGAATATATGCTAAATATTCCCAGCTTTCGGGACTACTCTTGCTCAAGACCTAGTTAAATACACAGACCCAGACACGGGGATCGAGTTTGGCACATGGGCTCAGGGTGACCAGACGTTTGGTCTTGCACTACCCGAGGATGCATTAACCAAGAACGCCGATGAGTACATTGGTATACTGGTATGTAGATATAACTAGGTACCTTGGCAACACTATACTAACCTTTCATTTTCTTTAGCAATGCTCTACGGGTTGGTGTGGTATCTCCCATGGAGAGTCGGGACAGATGACGCAGGCCTTGCTGCTCATTGCTTGGCCGTATAAAGACCAAGTCCTCACATCTTTCCGATTCGCAACTGGGTACAACCTCCCAGGAGTTTATACCGGAAACGCAACCCTGACTCAGATCTCATCGAAGGTGACCGAAACTGGCTTCGAGGTTATTTATCGATGCCAGAACTGCTTCGCTTGGGATCAGGAAGGTTCCAGCGGTCACGTTGAAACCAGTGGTGGACTACTCGTCGTAGGACGAGCCTCGGCAAAGACTGTTCCTACTAACCCCGAGTGCCCTGCCAACATCAAATTTGTGCAACATGAAGCCTTCGGACAGTTTGGTGCTCCCTTGGATGGTATTGCGAATGCGAAGTACCCCGAATGGGCTGCATTGGCAACGAAGGACGTCCCCGGCGAATGCGCTCCTAGTGATCCCGGCAGCCCACCACCGACGGGTCGTGTCTGTGCTAAGGAGATGGCCGGTCAATCGTTCGACTACATCGTGGTCGGTGCTGGAGCCGGCGGTATCCCCATAGCCGACCGATTAAGCGAGAAGGGTTACAGTGTTCTGTTGGTTGAGAAGGGGCCGCCGTCCGCAGGAAGATGGGGCGGAAATATGAAGCCTCTCTGGCTCGAGAAGACGGATCTTACGCGATTCGACGTTCCGGGTCTTTGCAACCAAATTTGGGTTGATTCAGATGGTGTCGCTTGCTTAGATACCGATCAAATGGCTGGATGTGTCCTCGGTGGAGGCACAGCTGTTAACGCTGGCTTATGGTGGAGGGTAAGTTACTTTGGTCGTGGCTTTGAAGCCTATATGCTGACACTCTTTAGGCAAACCCGAAGGATTGGGACGAGAACTTCCCTGCTGGGTGGCATAACTCGGATCTCAAGGCTGCCACAGACCGAGCATTCCAGCGCATTCCTGGAACCACAAGGCCCTCTCAGGATGGTGAACTATATATGCACCAGGGAGTCGACGTTATCTCTAGCGGGTTAGAGAAGGCGGGATGGAAGAATGTGCCCGTCCCTAACGACGCCCCGACTCAGAAGAACCATACTTTTGGTGCTACAACATATATGTTCTCTAACGGTGAGAGAGGTGGCCCCATGGCTACTTACCTGGTTACCGCCGCCAAGCGTGATAACTTCGCGCTTTGGATGAACACTCCTGTTAGGAGAGCTCTTAGGACAGGCGGCCATATTACCGGAGTTGAGCTAGACTGCACTGTAGAAGGAGGCGGGTACGGTACCGTCAACGTTACCGCGAATACTGGGCGCGTTATCGTTTCGGCTGGGACGTTCGGCTCGGCTAAGTTCCTTCTTAGGAGTAAGTGATATGGCATTTATTCATACTTAGAATAACGTGCTAATCTTGTTAGGTGGTATTGGTCCGGCCGATCAACTTGATATCGTTGCTGCTTCAGCTTCAGATGGTAAATCGTTCATTGGAAAAGAGGATTGGATTGATCTGCCAGTCGGTCATAACCTAATGGACCATGTCAACGTAAGTGAGCATCGGAAGGAATGGATGAGCTTCTCTCTAATTCAGTCAAAAACAGACCGATACCTACTTCACCCACCCAGATGTCGTATTCTATGACTTCTACGAGGCATGGGACACACCGATTCCCGCGGACAAGCAGAAGTATCTCGGTAAGCATGATAGTCTATGATATGGCCTTGGACATCTATTTACCTTTTATAGCCAACCGTACCGGTATTCTAGCACAAGCTGCTCCTAACATCGGGCCTGTGGTATGTATACCTAGGTTAATAACTCTATTTTTTAGCAGTGTTTCTAATTGAACCGCTAGTTTTGGGACGAAATCGAAGGCGAGGATGGCGTAGTCCGTCAACTCCAATGGACGGCTCGTGTCGAAGGTTCCGAGCTGACGAACACCACCAGTATGTCTCCACGCAATGGAAACCCGTAAGAAAACGTCACTAATGTTGCACAGACACGATGATTATGAGTCAATATCTCGGAAGAGGTCAGACTTCTCGCGGTCGCATGACAATCAACGCCGGCCTGAGCACGGTTGTCTCAACCCCGCCCTATCTCCGAGACCCGAATGACAAGGCAGCTGTTATCAAGGGTATTGAGAACCTACGAAACGCTCTAAGCACCGTGAAGGATCTCGAATTCCGACTCCCGGCCACAAACCAAACCACAACGTCCTATGTTGACGCCATTGAGGTGACGTCCGCTAAGCGTCGCTCAAACCATTGGATGGGTTAGTATCGCCAAGCTGTTTCCATATTGACATTCCTGCTAATATTTAATAGGTACTGCTAAGTTAGGACCGGACGATGGCCGCGAGGCGAGTGGCACGTCTGTCGTTGATCTTAACACCAAGGTCTACGGTACCGACAACCTCTTCGTCGTTGATGGATCAATCTTCCCCGGTATGGTGACCGGAAACCCTTCAGCTATGATCGTGACCGCGGCAGAATTCGCCGCCGAGAAGATCTCGGCTCTGTCGCCGAAGGGCCCTACAAAAGCGCCCCAGAACACCGGAGGACAGATCATTACCCTGCCATAGACTTAAGTAATCTTAGGATTGACAGCTATATACGCTAGGACAAAATTCTTGTACATATATTTCTACTTCCCGGAATGTCTCCGAGGCAATCCTAAAATTATATATACATACATATACGTGCGAATTCCCTATAGAAAGCCCTTGGCCTTGACGTGTATAAAGTGAACCTGAATTATATAATGTTATTATGAAAACAGGCTCTCGAAGAAGTTAGCGTCAAAGCCCTGGAATGTCCATTCATCCATGTCTGCCGTAAGGCCAGGTAATTGATCTGGAGGCTCAAATTGCATCAAGGAGAAATTAGCATCTTCTCCGAGAGAGGCCAAAAAGCTCGGAGAGGCTTCCGGGAGTTGCTGTAAACTGGGGTCTATTAGGGTGTTATTAAGGTTGTTATTCGCATATATATTTCCGGATATGGTTGAGTCCCGAAGACGATTCCGTTCTATATATCCCTTGTTACTGTAGCCGATTGGTGCTGGTGTGGTATCGGGACCATTCTGCTGGAACTGAGGCCGTTCCTGTTGTATCCGCCTACTGACTGGGTTGATATTAATGGTTCCCAGATACGGGATTTCAAGGCGCACAGGAGCGTCGAGGCTACTAGAGCTATCGGCTATCACATCGACATTCGTTAGGGGTAATAAGCGTGTGATTATGTCGGAGGTCTCGCGCGATAGCTTGTCGTCATCTCGCTCTGCTACCTCCTGCAAGACATCTCGGACCGCGAGGACTAGTTTGCGGTCGGCATTGCGTTGGTAGCTTGTTTCGGGGTCGCGTGATCGCAGCTTCGGATCCAGGTAGCCTAGGAGTAGCGTCATGGAGGCCGTTAACGCGCCGTAGTCTGTGTGTCGACAGGCTCCGGATGCGTCGGTGAGATGGCGGAATACGAGGTAGGCTTCAAGAACCTTGCGCGAGGCATGGAGGCATGTTTTCTTGCTGTAGTCCCAGCGGCGTTCTTTGGGATCGCGGATGCTGTTTAATGAGTTAATGATTACTCTAGTAAGGGATCCAGTCGGTCCAATGAAGCAATAACAACTCCTGGCGTAGAATAGTAAGGGAAAGAAATTCTTATAGTTACGTACAAGTACGGTAGTGAAGTAGAGTGAGCAGGTGGTGGTGATGATTCATCTGCATCATTACATGCATGTGGGCATTTACCAGATCTTTTGATGATGCGGTGGCTGTATCGGGAGGTTGTACCGGCAACCACCAGTCTGCGCTGACTAGTAACAAGGAGTTAGCTATTATTCCTTTAGGGGAGGTAGGGGGCTCATGGATATCTCAAGAATAATAAAAAGGGAAAAGGGGGTTGGGGAGGTGGGAGATCAAGGGTAAAAACTCCATACTGGAATTAGCAGCAGCCTCAAGGCTGCGGTCGATAGCTTGTGTTGTGCGAAAGCTAGCCTCCGTAGCTGCAGCCCCTTTTCCATTATAGCTCGCATTCCGCTTAATGATGGCGCCGCTGATGACGCAGTGCAGTTTGCTAAGCTTATCTGATGGAAGGTCGTCATCTATTCGCCCAGGAATAGCAAAGGAATCGTCTTCGCTGGCGGCGGGAAGGCCGAGGAGTAGAGACAAGTAGCGATCAGAGAAGTTCATGCGATGCCATAACGCACTACCTCGGGAGCGAGTTGCTGGGTTCGATCGCGGGTCGATCGACTTCAGTGGCTTATCATCTGGCCATCTAGCCGCACCCATGAGCTGGGCGACAGCGATGGGCGCCGGAGGGATAGCCAGGATTTACGTAAATTACCCACGTTGGCACTACAAAGATTAGCATTGTTAATAATCAGGGGCTTATTCTCATCCTATAAGATAACAAGACATGTCGGGGAATCTACTGAAAGATTAATAAGTGCTCCCAAGAGGAAGAGGGAGAACTTACAGCTGGACTTGGTAGACGAAGTTTTGGCGCACCAGATAACCCACAGGGAGAGAAAACATGGCATATGTAGTAGGTAACTTACTGATATAATGAAATCAGAGCGAGAATCTCGAGACCTTCAACAGAGCCGACAAGGTCATCATTAGAAGCAACAAGGTCCGAAACTGCGTTGACGTATCTGCCTATCTGAGCCCGGATCGGCTCTCTCGAGATGAGATTTTTCGGAAAGTTGTGGGTAGATATTCTCTGTACGCAGAGGGTAAGCTGCATCAAGCGCTTCGCCAACAAGGCCGGGTGGCTCGACACAGGCGGTACTTCCGAGACGATAGATGGAGGCTCATATAGACCCTGGTAGCCGTTGAAATATGCTACGACGAATGCCGCACCGGGGCCTACCGCTAGTATAGCATCGATGTCGTGCTGGCATGGGAACGTCGCATAGAGGGTCTCCGATATATGGGCATATTTGGCAGGGAGGGTGGATACTAGTTCGACCTGCGTCGATGTTGGGGCCGGCACAAAAGACGTCTGGATGGAAGCGCTGGATCTATTGTCTTCTCGCAGAGCGTCGAAGATACCTATTACGGGGGGATGCTCGGCCGCAGACGGACGAAGCATAACGGGTGACGAATCTGGTTCATCTTCGACCGAGACGGAGGAGGTAAAGGGTTCGCCCGCTTGGCTAGGAGTATAAGAATGAGACGCAGTATGCTCCACGAGTCTCTCTAATAAACCCTCTACCCTACTTAGTCGCTGTGATAGCCCCTTATCTGAAGCTGGGGGCTGCTCGTCCGGAAACTCCTGGCTTAAGCAGGCCGTCCCTCGGACCTCACAACCAGTGCATATAGCAGCTGTAGCCGACGAATATTGGCAACGAGTCTTCCTTCTTCTACCTTTCCGGTGGGAGTATGTTTAGCATCATCTGGTAACTTTGTGTACCCAGGGAGAGAAACTTACATTCCCAACAACTATGCGTTCCCTTCCGAATCTTTCTTCTTTTCGCACTGGATTCGCCCCCACCCGAGCTTCGCGTCGCAGGATGAACCATTTGTATTTGATTTTGAGAGTAGATGAAGGCCTAAGATTAGCCGCTTTTTTTGTAGTATTTTTTTGTTCCTCGTGAATTCGAGTCGTGGATATAGCACTCTACCCAGACACCTAAGGTATCTATGCCCGAGAAGTTCCGTAACAACCCCACAAGGATTGCAATCAAGTAAAGGGAAAAGTTGGTTTACACGCATACACTTAGAGTAGCATACTATAGAGAAAATACTAGTTTAATTCTTGAAAGACATGTATTCTTCCTTTTGCTCGATAGGAAGAGACGTCTACCTGACCCTGAACTTGATGCCAAGAGGATTCGGCCGAATCCGAATCTACGGACAAATTTGTCAGCTAGTCATATAGATGTAATTGATTGCTAAGTTATTTACGACGAGTGGCTCTAGGAGGAGGCGCAGTTCCAAGATAGGAATAGACATGGCACAAATGGGTATAGCACGTGAATTAATTACTCTTTTGAGTAGATAAAATACTTACCTAACGTTATCTTGCCTTTTTCTCACCACTTTGTTAGTATATCTCTCTACTTCTCCTTACACAAGTTTAAGTACATTTACGGAACGCAGCACAGCGCAGCATATTGCGCTGAATAGACAAGACTATGAGAAATCACACCATGGTAGAAAACTAAGTCCGGAGAGGAATGAGGAATGAGGAATGAGGAATGTTACTTGTGAATACGGGAAGCAGCATCTGTACCTTAGTGATGCAAGTTGTCTCTCGACCGCAAGAGACGAGACCAATTTTTGATCTGTCATCTGTCGGATACTTGCTTCTATGACCAGATCTCTCCGAAATCAGGCACTTCGACCTACATACTATCTATTGACCGAAGCCTGATATGATTGTTTGCGTGAAACTATAGCGGCCAAGCGTTGGTGGCACCCGGCTTGACAACCGGCCAAAAGGTCCTCCTGTAAGCTACCGGTTTATGGACCACGAAATCTCCGTTGAGGGTAGTTGCAGAGCAAGGCACGATTCCAAGCCTTTAAACACTCTCTTCCTCGGTATGACTTATAAGAGAGGTCTATTCGATAAGTCTTCACTCGTGACATAACACGTCCCCGCCGCCCGATCCGTCCCAAGTTGCTGCAACTAGGCACGCAACATAGCACATGAAAGCATCTAACCGTCATATCTATCAGCGTATACGAATATACAAAATATTGATGCCGAGGATGATGATTGAAAATAGCAGGTCCAGTTTGGTCAATGGAAACTCAGCATGTGCGACAAAACGAATTCTAGCCCTCCGGCGATGAGCATTGAATGTGCTTTAGCTCGGCGGGATCGAACATCAGATGACGTGGCTGGGGCTTTGGTCGTCTCCCGGGTCACACAGAGTTATAGAATCGGTTGTTGTCAGACGGTCCGTCCAATCGCACATGCTTCGGAGAAATTCCCTTGTGTTAGGTACCAGGACAGCCGCATTTGACGGGTGTTTAGGGGACTCCTTAGTTCGTAGACGAGGCTACCTACCGCAATGATTTTAATATTCTATGTCGATCTCGTGCCGATTTCTTTTTCCTATCTTCTGCTACGAGAATTGGCATTATTGATTCGTAGACGGAGTCTGACACCCTTCACTTGAGACTAGAACATTTGTTTAGCCGGAACTCAAGTTCGATGTCAACACCCGTACTATGTATATTTTGATGGTTGATGGTAAATGACCGAAACCGCCAAGAAAACTTGTTTTCGAGCATACTATGTAAGCTCATTCATTCAACGTTGACTCCCCCGGTCTGCATATGACATGAGGCTGCTCTTTAAATACGGACTTCGGATTTATCTCTGAGCATCTGATTGATGCTTTCTTACGCAAGCAACTAAACGGTAGAGTTTAGTCACAACTGAAAAAAGCTGGTAGCGAAGACGAATTCAAAACGTAGATGCAACAGCAGCCCATGGTCCCATATGAAACTGATAGCATCTCGATTCGGCTGTTCGCTTCGCAAGCAGCGGGTATTTGCAGTAGTGGAGAAGGCTTCAGATCCGCACAAGGGGTTTTGGTTAACCGGATCACGAGGCCAGCATTTGCATTATGTAGTTAATAAATAGAAAAAAAAAGACTTGGGTCTTAGGTGTAAGTGGTGGATGTAAGTTTGATGGATTTACAAAGGGTATTAATAAGATACCAGATAAGACGAAAGCTCACATTTTCTTTTAATACGGCTGTTATCTTATATCACATGCTAGATCCTAGGAGGTTTAGGTACCTAGCTGCTGGACCCTGTTAGAACCGCTGAACTTGCACTGAAACAACCAAAAGGTCTCTCCACTAAGCGTCTCAGTAATTCTTAATATGACACAGTCCTTTAAACTCAATTAAAAACTCAAAAGTCCCCCAAACATGTAGTCTCAAATTCGAGTTTCGATCAATCAAACTACCTGAGTTTAAAGAAATATGATTTTTTTGACAGTCCGATGACGTATATTTTTAATAGTAGTACTTTTAGTTCAGTTAGTTCCCACCGCAACGATCTCAGCGCTTGTCCATGTCGTTCGTATCAGATGAACTAATGGAGCACTAACAACCCCTACATATCTACATGCTAGGTACCTAGGTAGGTACCTTTTTGCAGTGCTTGACTTATAAACACCTTAGTCCGTACAATCAATAGAATAGGTATGGATATGTAGCATACGCTCATCCACGTTTTATATCAAGTAACTACCTGGGTAAGTGGCTTAGATTTTTTTCACCCCGCTTAGGAAGACCATCGTGTTATGTTCTATTCTAAAGTAATAACCAAAGCCTCATCGGTGAATAACATAAAACCCTCAAACGCTATCGGTGAGCAGCGGTTTCGCCTTATGATGCTCGGTACATACCGACGGGGTCGAGGGCTGAGTGCATACATACCTACATATATAATACCCTGTTGTCGGCCAAGCCATAATCCGGTCTTGGAATGCGGCTCGAAGATCTTAGCGGCCAGCAACCTTCCAGCGTCAAACACCGCATAATGGTTTCAGGCCCATTAGGGAGAGTCTCAGTTCGTCGATCATATCGCAATACTAATTTGGGTACTGATCATATCAACTTTTTATATTTTTACTCACAATAAGCCTATAATATATCTATATTCTCATTTATATTCCGACTTCTATGTACAATAATATACATACGCACACGCACACACACCGCACAGATTCGTTTGTCAGCTCGATCAGATCTATTTGTTAAAAGTATTAGCGCATCCACACAAAGGCCATTCTAGGAAAGCCCCGCCTCGACGACTTCATGATAATCACAGGTTTTATACGTTTATAGCTTCACCTTGGTTGTGGCTTAGAGGCCTTAAATAAGAATACGGGGTGAATGTAGCAACCCCTTGTAACGGACGCACTGAAAGAAAACTGCATTTCTAAAATATATTCCTACGTAGACTCATCAAAGCTGTAAACAAAGTTGACTGATAGAGCAACTTAGACGGAGGATCGTTCTAGATATTCTGGAAATGGTTATCTAGGTAGTTTATGCTTTGCTAGATTTCGCTCGGATTTTCTTTCATCTATATATAGGTATATATATATTTGACAATATTACATCGTTTCGTCTATTCATCTCGCATATAATATCGTCTTCATTTATTCTACACCACTATATGGTTAATCTTCAGCGAACTTGATTATCTTCAGCATTTCATTCAAGGGTACCCCAGTCAGGCTAGACCCTGTGAAGATCACGGAGAAGCGATTTCAAATGGAACGTTTGACGCCATGATCTACAACACGTCGATCTGACACATGAGTGGCCTCCAAAACGATTTACACGTCGTTCCTAAACCCTAGAGAACTACCATCTGGCTTATCCCGTCCTGTAAGCCCCACATTACTATACGGCTTTCGAAAAAAAAAAAGAGATGCAGACGAGACCCTTGACGACCATAGAGATTTCGAGAACTAATTCGTGATTTTACTATAGGGTATGCGGAACAACTTCACCAACTGACGGCGCATTGCATATATCAAGATATCCACGTAAGCTCATAGAGTTAGTAACTTTGCTCTAAAATAATACCCTTTCATCCTATAGTGATCGTCTGTTAGCCATGTTAACTGTGACAGGCATCTTCTTGTCTAGCTTATTCGTCCATTAACATATCAACAGCTTCTGATCGGCCTCCGCCTCGGACTCAGTACAAGCTTTCGTTCTAGCCTCCTAACGATTTGAGCCCAAACTCGGAGACAAGCATCTGTTTCTTTTTCGGATACCCCAAGTTACACCACCCCCAAGAGGTTGTCATATTCAGCTACTCCCCTATGTCCCACACAGCAGTGGCACAGCCTTGCTCCTCTCTTACTAGAACGGCCATATCACCCGTGGACATACCACCCGTGTATATCGTCCTATCTTTGCTCTGGTATCTCTATCCGACTCCCCTGCGTCCCCCCCTCAGCGGCAGCACCTGTTCCTGTCTCGTTTCTGACACCTCCAAAGTGACCACACTTCTTATCCATATTTGACCTTGAGAGTTTCTAGACCGGCCGAGAAAAGAGGCTCTCAACTTATCTATTACTGATATCTATTACTGACTCTCAAGTACCGAGAATAAATATTACTGAGAGTAAATCGGGCCTGCAACTAGTTTGACGTTTCAGGCAAGCTCCATCAGATAACAGGGGGCCTAATAGTACTCTTGTCGCTTTTTTTTTTTTTTTCTTTTTTTTTTTTCCTTCGGTTCCCCCATAATCCGACTGGAATCCCTTTACTAGGAAAATCTTCGTCTTAGTGGCCACGCAAGCAAAGCACACCACCCTTTCTTATTTCTTCGAACGCAAAGTTACATCCATCGTTTCAATCAATTACAGCTCATCAGTTTCTTTTAGCGTCGATCTGTGTCGATAACTCTATTACTCCTACTGAACCCTGGTTACACCTTCCCCGGACAACAAAAGCTTAGGATCCCCCACATCGTACATATCGTACACACATCGTACACAGTTTATCTAAATTTGACCAGGTCACTTGCTCTTACCTTCCTACAATTATATCGGAAGAAGGAGCAACCTGCTAATAACATTTTCGTGACATCATCTCCTCTTTACGCTAGAGGAAAGGAAATCACTACCGTGTTGTTGTACGGGACCAACACAGTCAGGCATATCAGGCATATCAGGCACCTTCCTACCAAGCTTGCACATAGGTTAGGCTGCTATTTTAGCAACTTATAGGGCGTGAGGAAAGTTATTCATCACCTTGTAAATGGGGTATTCGATTCCTGGACACTAAAATCCCTTATTGGGTATACAATATTTTCGTGGGAATGGCGGATGACGACAAGTTACGAATTCCAACTACACGAACAATATATTTCATATGTGGTTTTGAGCCGAAACTCAATTAACATACGCACGGCTTCAACCAAGAGCTGGCCTCGTGTTAATTAAAATTGCTGGACGATTATCCAAACGGACTGGGAATTGTTGTCAAGGTTCTTGTGGTTCACTCTATAATTACCAGCAGGGCTGGCAACAAGTCCCTCTATAACTTCTCAGTATAACGTTATATACAGCTCAACCTCGTGGACTGGAGCCAGAACATCAGAGAAGGATATATTTTGAGCTGGCATTCCTGGCTGCTTGCAGTATGGATGTTACCTCATTGCTAAACTCATCCTCATCCTCGTCTTCATCCTCATCGGTAAAGGAGAAACAGCCGCAAAGGAGGATGTGCAGGACACCGTGGACCATGGCGCCAGCTCAGTGCCAGAAACGACGGAGGCGACAGAGAAGACGGCAGTCCATCCATCCTCTCCGCGCACTTCATCCCAGGAGAAGGCCCCTATACACGGAACGAGATTACCATGTCGAAGCAGGACACCATGGAACGCCGATGGATACGCACTCCCACTGACACTAGACACTAAATCGACTCGGCCGACAGTACATTCAACATCAAATACTACGTCGCCTGCAGGATCCGGTAGCCCCAGATCGCCACGACACAAGTTTTCCGAGAGTAGTAGTAGCCTCTCCTCTTCGTCGACTCAATCATCCCACTCGAGAATTTCATCTATGTCTACGGTTGGTGGAGTCCAACACACTCAATCCGACCGCGCCGAGCTTACGATTCCCAAGATATGGTCTCCAGGTACGAACCAGAAACCAGCAAATGAAGAAATCATTTCCCCGCCTTCAATTCGTACAGAAGCACCAGTCTTAGCTCCAATACGATCTAGCTCACCATCCGATACCATGTTAATGTCGAGAGGCTGGGTGACCGTAAATCGGACTCATAAACAAGACGCAACCATGTGAGTAGACATTCTTGGTTTTTTTTTTTTTTCTTTTTTTTTTTTTATAATTCAATAGCCATTCAAGACAAGTTACTTTAAGTTTAAGTTACTCTTTATTGGTCTATTGATCAGACGGAAATCGTCAAACCGATACCCGAGTTAAGTGTCATGGGTCGAATTTAGGGGGTCAATCAACAGTCACTTTTAGTTTGTGCAACGATTTGCTGGACCTGCACTTAGTCCTACACATACAGGCTTATCTACCTTCAAAATCCTCATTATCATGCCCAGTTAGACCTATTATGTCCTTCAGTTCATCTCAAGTACTAAGTTTCTCAACTTAAAACTACCTTTGTTCATACTATCATTTAATCTCAACATGATGCTGTTTGAACATCTGTCGAGATACCACATGTTCTCTTTTCCTAAGGTCTTGTTGATCACATCTCCTTCAAATTTATATATAAGCCAAGGGCTTATTGTCCAGCTTCGGTCACTTATAGTATTTTCTATCTGCTAACACTACCTTAGCACCAAAGATACTAAGCCTGATCTTGATCATCTCGACCCTTCTGATTCTGCCAAAGCACATAAAAGGGCTATCTCGGCGCCTGATTTCAATATCACAGAAGGGATTGATCGATCCTTTCCTCCAATCTCTGTGGCGATCCAGCGTCCTCTATCGCCTCCGCATCGTATTGACCTTCGCCCTTGCAATCAATCGGCCCGCGCTATGGAGCCGGTTTCCCCTCCTCCACCAGCATTCGCTAATCATCTTTCCCAGGATGGACGTGGCCTGTATGTATCAGCAGGATTGCGACACGGGATCTTCACTCCGCAAGGCCATTTCGCATATCTTCGGGCGGAACAAGACATGCACTAGAAACATACCTCCAAAGGTTTGGGTTCACTACTGTCGCAAGCATTATCAACGAAGTCGATATCGTAATGGACCGGAATGGGCCGACACCCAGTGTGAGTTGGTACAGAGGCAGATCCGTCGTGTCCAGGAATGGAGTGACGAAAATAGGCGAACTGGACAACCGGGAATAATAAAGGACTGGTCATTGTCTATGAGGAAGAGGGAGAAGACTCGTATCCAGGAAAAGTCCGCCAAAAAGCGTTCTCATCGCGAAGATAGTGATGACGAAGAAGACGATTTACCTGACAGTGCTGTCTTGAACGGCACTGCCGTGCCTGATTGGCTACGTACCAGGTGTGGTAGTGGTTATACCACGGCCGAAATCGAGGAAATTGTAACTCGCATGCGAAATGAGATAAAAGAGGCGCAGAGCACTCAGATTCCTGACATAGAGATTCTCCCAAACATCTCCATGGAAATCCCGGATGACACGAAACCCAAGACGATGACTAGGCAGAAAAGTAGCCCTAGTAGTCAAATCCACAAACGCTCTCAGTCAGTTGGCGTCGCTCTTCGGCCCGAGCCACGCCCGATGATGCGTCGCGTAAGCCAACCCGCGTATGTCCGACACGAAGATGTGCACCTACATCCTGGTGAGAAGCGTCAGCGTATATCCGGCACGCTCCCGTACGGTGCTTCTCATACATTCATGAATTCGAGGCCACCCGAGCATCCTACCCTTGCCTCGTCACGACCCATCCATCCTCTTCCTCATCGCCAAGGCTTTGGCAATATCCCAGAGAGCCGTGCTGAAGAGCTATATTACCATCACGATCCCTCCAGAGCCCCAGAATACGGCTTCAATCGTTGGCCTAATTTAGGTCCTCAGCGGAATCAAGTTCAACCAATGGGTGCAGCACCAGGAATTAGCGGCCACCAGCGGTCTTTTTCCGAAGCCGGCAACGTTCATCCTAACATTCCTTTCCCGCCTCCTTTTGGTAATGCTCCAATGTCGGCTAGCTATCCATCAGATCCGTCATCTTATGGTAGAGGCACAATACCTCCGGCGCAATATCCGCCTCAATATCCGCCTCAATACCCACCTCAATACCCACCTCAATATCAACCTCAATATCAACCTCAATACCCACCTCAATATCAATCACAATATCAACCACAATATCAACCTAACCAACCTCTACCAACCCTAACTATTATGATGGTCGGCCAGTACCGAATCAGCGAGGCCCTGGTCTCTACACCCACCCCCTCCGCCAACTTCGGGGCCGGGTCGTCCTCCCCTCGACCTCGGCTATAGACATATACGTCACCAGAGCACACCATCAGTTAGCTCTACCAACACTCCCCAGGGGCCTACTGGTGGATACGAGCATTCCACTAGTATCCGTCCGCAAGCCCCACACGATCAATTACCTCCACATCATCACCGCCAACCTTCCTACGCGCAACCTCACCAGAATCCTCCTCGCCCTGTAGTCCAAGAATCTGACCGGGATAGAGAAAAACTCGACGAGAGTCGCTAGCCAATGCTTTACACTTTTATCATGTACTAATAATACCCAAAAGCCCAGTCCCGGGTCAGCGTCTTTCACTGCATTTTCCGCGCCTTGCGTTTTCACTTTGCCCTTGCGGATGATATCCATTTACTCGACCAAAAGGAACCAAAAACATCTACGTTATAGAAGAAGCGGCCTGGAATATTAGACTGGATACCCCCTCTTTCGATCATTTCACAGATTACGACTGGAGGCATGGAACCAAACAACACGAAGTGGGCTAGGTGCCCCCCTCCCCCCTCAAGGCGTATAAAGCCTATGAATTACAGCGATATCGTTTCCTCAGGTTTGCTTCTGAAAAGCACAATTGTATTGCGGGAGACAAAATAAATCTCTATTTATGGTGTTGAACCATAGGTAGTAGCGTATCATAGGAACTACTCGGGATCGGCTCGGTAAAATATTATGCCCAGGCGTCTCAGGCTGGGTGTCCCTGTTTAGCTATGCCGTTTGTCCCTATAATCAGCAGCTAACAGCGATGAAGTTGTCTTCGTACCCATAGACGGGCAGACACTGAAGGTGTGCTTAGATAGTTGAGCCTTCGTTTATGAATGCGATGAATTTCTTAAGACGTCGTATTCGACAGTAGTAGTAGAAATAAGAAATGGATATTCCGTTGCCCATTCGTAAAAAGCATCTTGTCACCATTAAAGCATCGGTGTGCTTCAATAAGCCAGTTGAAAAATAACAAATGATAGTTTAAACCGGAGCTCTTTTGGGAATGTATGTTACTTGTGCTAGGTACCTGTTTGATGCTGCGAACCTATGGCTCCTCTGATTGGTCCATTTTTGCAAAATCTTCTCCAATCAGGAAAGCCTCAAAAAATTATATGGTCGCAACATGCAATCACACAAAAAAACCTATCCAGAAAACATTAATATTATATATAAAGTTATATGAAAATATAAATTAATTATATTCGGAGCCTGATATTAATCGCCCACATCAACACGTTTGCTTCAGTAAAGTACCTATGTATGGAAACGTATTCATATATCTACAATATATCATGATCCCCCACGTTACCAGTCCTTTAGTAGCAGAATGATGCGAAAGAATAAAGGGATTTCATTCTCTCGCTCCTCCCCCCCTCCCCCCCTTTATAAAGAGGAGGGCTGCAACGCGTTTGGATTTGTCTGAGTGGCAGATGATAAACGTTGAACGTCTGAACTAATTCTATCGTTGAAACCGTAAAGATTCTTGAGTTCCAGGCTACGTTAAAATTATGACCTACTGTTATTCTTTAAAGGATTATATATCCCCGTTTCCATCCATAGTTGCTAAGGGACGAGGCTAAGTTGCTGTATCCAGGCCAACGAAGTCAAACTATGACTACGTGCACAGCCAATTTCACATAAAAATGAAGGAACGAATGGAATATTTCCATACATGTCACGAACATAGGTAAACACGACTGTGTTCTTTCTCTCAGGAACTGTATAAGCACAACTGGGAATTGACCAACAAACACTTTGAGGTGGGTGCCTACATAATAGCTCTACAAATATCTTCTCCGCTGGTAATTCACAAAATTGATAAGCATTTGTCCTTACCTCGGGTGCATTGTCTCGTTTAACGGCTTGACGCAGGTTTCAGATCAGTCTCTAGTGTTTATCGCACGGCCACAGGTTCGGCGGGTTACTTAAAAACTCGACATCGCATCAGTGCTACTTCTACACCGTTTGAGCAACTCAAATTTTGGGACATAGCAACAACATAGGAAAAACCCAGTTGCTTTGTGTCGAAGACATGCCCGGATTGCATATAGCAAACGGGGCTGAACCCACAGACTCACTACCCGCGTTTGTATTCGATATCGACGGTGTGTTTATAAGGGGCGAGAAGTTGATCCCAGGAGCTCGCGAAACTATTCGGTTACTGCAGAGACGCAAAGATCCTTTCATCTTCCTAACGAATGGCGGCGGACATACGGAACAAAGCCGAGTTGAGAAATTGGGCCAACGGCTGGGCCTCACTCTCGATGTGGAACAGTTCGTACAGTCGCATACTCCTTACTACGATCTCGTGCCTGAGTATGGCGACAAGACAGTTCTGGTCCTTGGAGCCCAGGGCGATCAGATTCGGGATCTAGCCCACAAATACGGCTTCAAAAAGGTCCTCACGTCATCTGATATCATGGCCGAACGTCCACTCATCCACCCGTTCCCGGAGATGACTAAAGATCATCACGAAAAGTACGGGCGTAACAACACATACTGGACACCACGCCGATATCAGCCATCATGTTCTGGTCTTCGTCGCGTGACTTAATCCTAGACTTACAGATCATCACCGATCTTCTGCTATCGCGCGGCGGCTTCATCGGCACGAAATCGCCTAAAAACGGTGATACTTCTCTCCCTAACAACGGGTACCAGCAGGACGACCAGCCCAAGCTCTTCTTCTGCAATCCGGATTTCCAATGGAGCACCGAGTACCCCGACCCGCGGCTCGCGCAAGGCGCCGCGCTGGCGGCGCTCAAGGGCCTCTGGGACGAGATAACGGGCGGGAAAGGCGACCTGCTGTACTCGATCATCGGCAAGCCGACGGAGCCCACATACGTCTATGCGGAGAAGGTGCTGCAGGAGTACGGCAAGAAGTTGCATCCCTCCCTCGAGATCGGCACCGTGTACATGATCGGCGATAACCCGCGGAGCGATATCGCCGGCGCGAACGACTTCGAGTCCCGGTGCGGGTATAAGTGGAAGAGCGTGCTTGTTGAGACGGGCATCTATGTCCCTGGCTCGGTGCCCGCGTATCAGCCCGATCACACGGCAAAGGATGTCAAGGAAGCGGTGCAGTGGGTACTGCGGAAGGAGAAGCTTGCTAATGGAGCTGAGTAGGGATATTGGCATGGCATTTCGGGGCGGTGGTCTGGAGTTATTGCCGGAGTTATGGTCCTAGCATTTGCGGCTTCTTTTCAGAACCGAGCGGCATTTACCCTAGGCATATGAGAGGGCAGGACAAAAGGGGGGGCTACTTGATGTTTCTCCCGTGTGTGAATGCTTTCGTTTGGGACTCTGATAGGAGTAGAGTAGGCGATACTATCTAGACTAGATCCCATTTTTTCTGTTTGTTGCATAGGCGAAAGACGCGAACTTGCACTTCGCGGTCTTCGATACTAGCGATTTTTGTACACAATGTAATGAGATAGTTTTTTTTTTTTTTGAGAATTGATTTTTTGTCTTGTTCTCATGTATACGAGAGTGCAGTCGGTCTTTGGATCTAGATCATATTGCTATGAATATCTTGGTGTTGACTGGAGCTTGAAAGTTAATAGGTATAAGGGAAGAGCTTAACTATTAACAAAGAGCCATTATCAGTATCTCTAGTGGATAAATAGGGGCTTCATTTACTTTGGATAGCAATCTCTAGCGACTTCAAGCTATGGAAACCCCACGGGAGAATCAAGTACGATGGTTCATGAATGTGTGGCATTTTTCAACAGGATCCACATTTCGATATCCATGTGTAATCGAAATAGAACTACAAGTCGTCGGCTAGTGCCGTGAACATGTATGCTTGATGGTACGATGTTATGTATGTATAAGCCGGGGGGACCTGGGAGAGGTTCGAAAATAGAAGTTCGGTGTCACAATGATACCTAACAATATATCAACGTGAAAAACTGCAAGCCTAACCACCCAACGCCACGGACCTATCTACGTGTTTTTCCTTTGTACAAGATGTCCTGGGGTGGTATCGAGGTAAGCCCCTTGGTAGACGTTATTGGACACCCATATACATTCTTAACAACTTTGTAGAGAATTGCTCTGGGCTATGGTTAAAGGAATGTACAGGTAGATACCGTAGCAGCCCCTTAAACGAAAATTACCAGGCATGATATATCCCCAAATGTGCCATAAATGTAAGTATGCTGTACCAATGACTTGCTGGGAGACAATAATACTGATAAATATTTCTAACTCAACTTCCTAGATATTTTCGTACGACGTGTAGGTGGCCACATAATGTAAGTAGCAATTGAAAAAGCGGTCAAATTGCCGATCCGAGAGCTCATGGTATAAACTGGGACGGCTTATGTGTTTTTAAAGTATCACGAGGTGGACTCTAAATAATAATTCTGGAAAACATAGTAATTGTAAGTTGTATCTTGAAGTTACCCATGTGGTATCATACTCTTTCAATAATTATTAGCTTTACTGCACGATATGATTAAGTTGTTAACTACGAAACCTTTCATGATAATTACCTAATTATTTCGACCCAAAAAATCCTCGGACTAATAAAGATAATGATTCAAGCAAGTTAACCCTTACAATTAAGTTATTTCTTAAGCCAAAGAGGTAAGTTGAACATTTAGGTAGTTATAGTTATCATTGTTATAGAACTACTACACAATGTACCATCATGAATGGATATCACGTCAGTAGTTATATCTAGTTCATATGTAGTGATATGTATATACTAGTTATAGATTGATAAGATAGGTAATCAAACCATGTGACGGAAGAGGACGTACATAAGTTAAGGATATGACGATATGTGCGTTGAAGCTCAAAGAGGGGCAAAGGGGCTTGACAGGGGGTGGACTAGGCTAGGCTGATGTGACAAGGGCGGTGAATGATTAAGCTTGCAGATAATTATGGGGGATTTTACTGAACTTAACCCAACTGTGCCTTGCGCCATTGCCCGAATCGATGAGTGATGGGATGTACATGCATGATGTACACGCGACCTTTTTTAGTACATAGCACATGCCGTTTACTGTCCGATTAAGAAGACCGATTAAGAAAATGAGATTATAGGGTCATCATCTGTCCAACGCACTCAGTAAAATTTTGATGAATTTTTAACCAAGATGGGACAATATGGGCTTTTAACGATTTATATTTAAACATTTTAGTCTTGGTTTCTTCAGATGAACTGTCTCTAAACCTAGGTATTTTTTCTTTTTCTTCGCAACGTGTAAGAAGAAACAGTCGGGGTGAAACAAAGTTACATGCAGGGTTAGTATTTGCGAACGATTCAGCCACGTGCAGATAAGCGATAAACGATAAACCAGCTGGCAGGTATAGTTTTGTCAAGTGCAAAAACTTCGGGGGTAAGAACGGTTTGGTACCTAGCTCGATTAGGGCCACCTTGATCAAAATTCAAAAGAAAAAAAAAACCTTGGTTTGGAAACTTGCCCGGCCTAGGGAAGAACAAGACAAGCTGAGCCCCTCTTCTAGACGCGACGACTCTCTATTAGCCATACATAATCATATCGCCAATGACCTCCAAAATCTAAACATTTCGATATTGACGCGCTTGGGCGATAGATTCAATCAACATCCTCCTTCACGGACGTTCACGGCATCCTCCGAAAAGACGAACCGAACACATTACAACAACCCTGGCTGAAAGCCTCGCTACCTCGGCGCGGCAGCAGCCACTACCATCGCGCCCATGTGGTGGTTTTTTCGCATCGTCTCCAGCTCCGTCTTCCTGTTGACCATCGTATTATCTATACCTATCTCCTTCGATGTAGGTGGACGTGATAGCGGCTTGGCCTATAGCCTGTCGCTTTTCGGTTTCTACCTGGTATACAGCGCTGTTAAGCTCGCCACCCCCGAAAACTCGCGCATAGGTTGGGTTGTTTCTAGGTTTCTTCAATCTTCTCAGTGGATTGTCATTCCGACCCTCTTGATATGGTCTCTGCACAATTTTGCTGTTGATGCTAACAGCACCGACTGGGTATCGAGAACAATCGGTGGATTTGGTGGTCAAAAACCCTCTGCAACCTGGACCGATTGGATCTTCGGCAACGGCGGGTTTGTAGAATCGGTCACTCTTGGTACTTGGGATAAGACGTTGTGTTATTCAAGTCCTGTATTCCAACTTGCCGAAGGCTTCTGTACGCTGCTGGTTATCCAAGCTGCAGGTCAAATTTCAAGATGGCTTGTCAATCGTGGAAGAAGTGATACTTGGGTTGTGAGTAGTCTCTTTTCTTATATTTACTCTTTCCCTAGCTCTGGCTGCTAACTTATATTAGCTTATTCTCCTGATCCTATCGGCTTCTATCATTGCCAGTGCTGTCTACTTCCTATGGCGGGTCGCTTTATTCCCATCTATTAGCAATATCGATGCGACCCTCATCGGCGTAACTGTTACCTCTGCAGTTTTCCTATGTGCGATAGGAATTCTTTCCGGCCGCGGTAATCCCGTTGAGTCGTCTTTACTATTCGCCTACATTGTTCTATGCGTCTATCAGATATTCACCGATTATGTTCAGTCACCGGAAGCCCAGGCTGCCGCTGCAGAGCAAGCTGCAAATCAACCAGAGTTTCCACCCCTGCCACCTATCATTATGGCAAGCTACTCGACTCGTCGTCATCTCTTTAATTTGTTACCTGAAGCTGTATACTCCTCCCTAAGCTTCCTCCACGCCGCATTTCAAACCATTGCACCTTCGGTCATGATCTCCCTGATTTACCGACTAATCGTATTTTACTGTGCGACTCGTATTATTCCAGCAGTACGAGAATCAGGCGCACGTGCCCTTCTACAGGAGCCTTCTTTGGATGATTCAGATGAGGCGAATCGCATTTTAGGCTTCCTCTCGTGGTTCTCGCCTTCTATCCTTATCTCCGTCTATACAAGTCTACTACTTCAACATTTTTCTGCCAGCGGTGGTGAAGAAGGCTGGACACTCCGACATGGGGATTCGGGAGGCAATAATTGGCGTTGGGTTAATGTTGCCGCTACAATGAGTCTCTATGCTATCGAGTTATATCTAGGTAGTGATGATTCGGACAGCGGTCTAGTTAACCATTGGAAGACGGACTAGACAAGGTTGTCTATTAATTCCGAAGTTAGTAAGGTTGAAATATTTTGGCCTGTGGTATGAAGCAGATCCGAAAGACAGGTCGCAGAAACGTCATTAGCAGGAAAGTGGCATATGTGTTTTAACCTTAGTCGATCATGGTTGCGATCGATATTTGGCAGCAAGCATTGGGCAGGGCAGGTCGTCGGCTTGGGAAATGTAGGTTCACAGCACTTGGCGTTGGGGGCATTAGGGACAGTATACCATTCCATTGAATTCGACCATGTTTTATTTGTTGCAACGAAACAGCACTTGGACCTAATTCGTAAACCGGGCACATTTTGCATCTGCGGGGAGTTTTAATCCATTCCAGGTACTTCCCTACCTTTATGGAGTAAAGATAAACGACTTATCACAGGAAGCAAACATTTTAAAAGAGGTGTGGTGGTATGAATGGTATGAGTGGTATAAGTGGTATAAGTGGTATGACATGTCTTATGGCGAGAATAATTCTCTCAAGATACATCACATCGTGTACGAATTCCATTCGACGACTCTGCTGTTCTTCCATCATGATCATTAAATATACCTCGTGGAATTGGTTCCTCCAACTAATACGCCTCAAAGCCTACAGCTCTCTTTACATAAGTACTGCTGCATATAAGAACTCAGCCTCGATGATTTGCAGAATGGGCTTATTAGATGCGATGTAACATGGAGAGCCTCGTCTCAGGTGTGGCGCAGGCTGGCTGTCGGTCTTGCAGATTAAGACCCGCTTGACAAACATAAAACAGCAAGTTCGCTACCGAGATGTTTAAGTCATTTCTCATCTTTTTCTAATTTGAGGGGGGCTTCCCTTCTGTCTTTGTTTGAATTTTTTCTATATATTTGTCTCGGTTATGTACACATAGGAGACTTGGGTTTATAAAATTTTTGTTTGTATTATTTTCTAAGACTCAAGTTATGCAGCATCGAACAAGGGGTAGAGCGGTAGGTAACGGGAGTGCGCATATGCCTAATAATTACGACGAGGACGAGCCGGATCCTAATTATCTCATTCCGGATGGAAGGCTTGGC